GTGTAACAGCTTAGGTGGGGCGAAGTGTCTTTTTTTTTTTCTCATTTCATAATTATTTTATTTGATTTTGAAATGTGAACAGATTGCCTGATCGCTAGGGGTGGCGTGAAGGTAAACCCCGATCACGAGGGATTGGGGAATGTGAAGGTTCATGATTCAAGATTCTTATGGACTTTTCCCGCATTACGGCATTACCGGTTTCAAAGACATCTGGAGACATGGGCATTCCCACACTGCATCTCCCTACTCGTAGCCTACTCTGTAGGTACAATGTGCGATGACAGTCTAGACTATATCGATGTCCCACGTACTTACTCCGTACTTCGTACTCCGTCGACAATGTACGGAGTTTCGGGCATGTGCAAAGGGACTCCGTGCCTGTCAGAGCTATAACCGCGCCAGAAGTCGCTTTGGCGTCTAATTATACACCATACACCACCGGCTTAGGGCCTTAGGGGTGGAGCACGGCCGAAGGATCCATGGGAACGCAGCTGCAGAAGGCCTAATACGGCTATGCAGTTGATCGCCTGAACTCAGCCTACGCAATCTACTTGTACCTTTGAAGAGGGCACAGGCCGTGATCCAACTATCTGGGTATAACTTTAGAACTTAATAGCCTCCTGGGCGTTTTTCACTGACTTTGTGAGCCGAAAATACGGTGCCCGGCCGATTCGCCAGATCACGTCTTACACCGAAACAGACGCGTATTTCGGCTGCACGGACTCCCACCTAAGAAAACCCGCTTTTCTACTCCACCGAGACCGGGAATGGCCGGATTTTATAATGACAGTGCGCTGGGGCAGTGGGGGATTATAGACCCGTTCACAGTTACTGGCTCTAATCACCGGAGTGGACACGGCGCATATGTCTTCGTATACACGAGTTCAAAGAGACAATGGGACAGAAGTGGACCACATGTGCAAAAGTGCAGAAAAAATGGATCAAAAGTGGACAAAAGACAGTGGATATCTCGTGCTTACGGGCGCGAAGCGGACGAGTGTGTGTCAAGAGCAAAGACACGAAACAGTGGAAAAAGTGAATATCATATGGGGGCCAAACGGGAATGTCACGGGAAAAAGGGGCGATGACATGCAGGTCGATCAAGTTTCCCCTCTTCGGCCAACCCCATTGCAGTAAGAGATGAAAAAAGTACCCGACGCTATTCGCTATCCGTCCTGACCATCCTTTTCTTTTACCCTTTTCACTTACCAGAAATACAGATCGGCCGCTCTAACTTTGGGTGGATCGCAACAAAGGTACAGACAAACCTATTCTTCTCTTGAGTGTTGATCATCTTGGGATGTTTCGTCGAGCTCCACCATGACAGTTCAATGCATCTCGTATATCCACACTTCACCGGGGAGAGAGGTGCTCATAGCGCGATCTGGCAACGGTCGCAGGCACACAAAGTACGAATATACAGAATGCAACGGCTTTAAGACAAGTTGCCTTTCCCAAACCAGTAGGAGTTTTCTAACCGCTCTGAATTAGTTGCAGCAGCGGGCTTGGTGAGGGCTTGGTGGCTGGATTCTACTGCAACCATCGTTGGTAGTCTCGGGATAATCACCGAGTCTCCACCGGTAATACATACACTGCATTGTACCATGGGTACGGAGCCTAGGTATGGAGTACATGGTATCTTGTAATATGGAGAACTCAGGCGCGGCTTCTCCGTTTATAGAATATGTACTACAAAATACATTCTGAAGTTATAATCTGATACTTTGCAATAGAAATCCTACGGCTGATATCTGACTTTCCCACCAAAACCGGATTCAAGTGACTCGGACCGCTCCTGCGGCTCTAATATCCGGGAGTATGCACGAACTTCTCGATAGACGCATCGCTTACACGCTTAGTATCTCGAAAAGAGTAAAAAAAAATCGAGCTAACGAGCGCAGGCTTATCTGGTACTTTCCAGCTAGTCAGTGCGCTGTCCTTTTGCGGAGTACAACGTACGCGCCAGCTTCGGCCGTATCATCGAGTGATAAGCATACAATAGATCCGCCAGAGGCCTCGCCCTCAAAGACCCCGGGGGGAGACATGGATATCCCCCGTTGGATCAGGTACGCAGCCTAGAGGAGGAAGCAAAAATTCGTATCATTTATGCATCACGACAAAGATCGCAATGCGCTCGGCGCATCCTGACGTCAAGTCAACCGATTCTCGCACGTTCATGCACTTCATGCACCTCGGGGTAGACGGAGCCATACGGGAGAAACGGTAGAAACGGCAGAGGGGCCCAGACGTAGCAACCGTCGTCGCAGCGGAAATGCACCTCGTGCTTCCCCCCCGGGCACTAACGCGCTGCAATTACCAGGAATAGGATCGATGCGACCAAAAGGAGATTGAGAAGGACGCCTTTTCTAGAACCCCATGCTCGTGCAGAATGTCGTTTACGCCACGCAGGTGCGTATGTAGACTCGGGCTTGGCCGTTGAAATAGGCTGTGCTCTATTTTTTTTCGATTTTTTCGATTTTGAATTATCGGATTTAGATTGTTTTCGGAGTTTCATTTCTTCCTCTTGGACATGCTTGGCTTTAGATGCCGTTTTGGATATAGGCTTTTTGTACAATGTAGAACCTTCTGTTTGAGGAATATGGTGATATACAAGAGTTTCATGTCTACGTAACCCTGGCATTCGAATAGGGTTACGAGAACTCAAAGCATGGAATATGAAAGGTCTGTGTGGATTCACCATAAAGCTATTAAAGCTACCTGACCAATTCATCAATAAGATAGCAAATCAAGTGATGTTGATGTAGCAAATACCGAACGGGAAAGCCATGAACCATAAAACGGCCAGCCCTATGACCTGTCGCCTGTCTCATCTTGGCAAGATTCGCGATCTGAGCTAGATCGAACAGGTTTACTCGGACCTCCAAAGCCAGCCTGCAGGGTCAAAACAAGACTCAAAATCAACGCCACCGAACAGCCCAATCGCCCCATAGAGGTCATAGTCCCCCTCCAGTCCCTCAACTCCCCCGGATTCGGCATCGACTTCTTCATGCAGATCCCAGCCCCCAGCATGCCGGCCATTTCGCGTGAAGAAGATATTCACCTTGCCTTTCTTCTCCTTACCCGCAAAAGACATGCCAATACCCACCGTCTCCCCAACCCGAATCTCACTGGTAAAGTCCCGGCCCCCAAACGAGTCATTGACAAACCGGCACCCATCATCCGAGAACACTCCCAGTCCACCCCGCTCCCACCCAGGTGATCTCCAACTGGGGTATGGCTGCGCAACGAATCCCAACGAGAACCCAGAGGAATCCCCCTGTGGTCCACCCCGCAACCCGGTCAGCTTCACCTCAAAGTAGATCGACTTGCTAGTCCCGGCATCCTCGTGGGCAAAGTAGAGCGGCAGTTGCGTCAGGATGACACAGTCTCCATTCCCGTTGCGGCTGCGTCCCCGCCAGCGACCTCGTGCGATAGCGGATACGTCGCCGTGCAGCTCGCGTGGGTGCACGGGGCGCAGGTCGTGGCTTTGCACGGTGGCGTAGACGGCCGATGAGGGCTTGGTGGGGAGCCAGAGGGGCACACTGTTGCAGAAGTCATGGGCGCGCTGGGCGTCGTCTTCGGATGCGTTGCCGGTGCCTGAAATCAGATAGCCGGTGATTGGGGGCGGTGGGAAGCTTGTGGTGTCAGGGACAGCTTCTTGCCAGTTGTGGTATGGAGGTGGATCCTGGCCAGCCTGTGACGCATCATAGCTTGGCGGGAGATCGGAGTTGTGGGGTTGAGACATCTTTTGTTTTAATCTATTGTATAGAAGACCAGGTGAGGATAACTGAGGTTGGAGGTTCTGCGCCAAGGTGGGCCTTGGCGTGTAGCGTGTCGAGTTTCAGACGATGGATGAATTTGCAACTCAACTGCGAAAGTTGAACTTGTCTACGGAGTAAGTTCAAGTGTGATTCCGAGATGTGTCGTAAACAGTATACTTCGTATTCGGCACGGAGCACTGTCCACGGTTGTTCTCCGCGACTACGAAGGTGTATAGCGCCCATGGGTTCACTAATTTGGTGCCTCTGAGAATACCTGGTTCTGCTTAAGTAGATAGCAGACACCGCTTCACACCTGGTATTGTAATTCGCATTTGACAAGAAGCTCTCTAACGTCTCATGAAATTTAGGGCTCTCTTTTTCAACCCTCTTTCCAACCCTCTTTTTACCGTCTGAACCCAAATACCTATTGATCAATGTCTGTCCGAATTGACCGAGAGCTTGAAGACTCCCGACAAAAAACACTAAGTTTGAATTAGAGAAATGAATGTACTTCGATCACTATGGCTTGTGTAATAGTAATTCAGGTATCTTAGATTGCCAGTCCCAAATCAGGCAATCGGAGACCCTAATCAGGCACCAAATCGGACATTTGAACCTTTGGGCGCTATACACCTTCGTAGGCGACTACCAAAATGTATAGATCAGAAAAGCTAAGAATAGCTTGTATGCAGGTTTCACTTGGGGCCGTATCTCACGCGGGTTTTGAATTTTCGCTTCGATTCTCAACTGCTTTGTACTATCTTTTTGTTCGGCCTTGGGATCTGGGTTTTTTCTTGTTTTCTGCTTTTCTTAGGGGAGGAGTCTCTTTCGCTTTACGACTCTCTCTTTCTCCCTCGCTTCACACTTCATGCTTCACGATTAACACGCATAAAATCGTTGGGCTACCACAGCCCGATGCCATTCGTTCTTTTATATTCGTTCTCACATTCGTTCTTATCCCACTAACTCGGTCGCTTAATTTTGCCCAATGTCAGCCGATCGCAGACGACGTCGATCCTCCTTTTCTGAGCACATCAGCCGAGTGTTCAAATCCGAGGTGAGTGGTGTTCACACCGCTGGGGGAGCTTGGACTGACCACCCCGGAAGAAACGCGCCAGTCATGGCGAGTTTGTCCCTCCGCTTCCCTTTTTAGGTCGGGAGGCACAACAGGCAGAGGACCAATCCAATGGGATCCACGCGTTGGACGATGGTACTCCCAGTTCTGTCTCGTATTCCCCCATGAACTCACGACTGCCTTCTACGGGAACACCTGGCTCTAGTCTATCAGTCGCGCGCGGAGAAGATGACACTCCCACACAGATTTCGCCTGTGCCGGCCAAAGAGATCGAGGTTGGCAAGTCTTCCACGTGGGAAAAAGTAAACCGAAAGGACAAACGGGTGACAAAGCGACTCGAGGCCGAAAGACAGGAACTTGAGAAGCGTTTGATCGCACTCGAAGAATCCCAGAGCAAAGTCGACCCGGTCCAAGATCGAACTTCGCGCCGTCTGACCAAGAAACAGCCTGTGGGCAACTCTAGCAGATCCTCGAGTGCGAACGCAGAGCGGCCGAAGTCCTCCAGCGGGTTTTCTTCGATCTTCAGGCGCTCACGTCGCAGCTCGGCTTCCAGTGACCTTGAAAGCCAATATGACGAATTCAGTCGGCTTCAGACCGATACAAACCCACCTTCTTTACCTTTGACTCTGCCTGAAAGGTTTGGAACGGCTATCACTCGAGAGCTCCAGTCCAAACATGGCACTGCACTGAATCTATCTGCTGCCAACAAGGCAGGTAGACCACCTGCGGGCCATCTCCTTCATGCCACGCCAAAGTCCGACGACCTCCGCGAGAACTGGAAGATGGCTGAAGCTTGGAAGGCACAGCACGGTCAGGAGAGAAGCTGGTCGTTATCGAAAAGACTGAATGGTCGGTCCGTGGCTGGCAATGCTAGGAAAAGTGAGATATCAATCAATCCAGCCTCTGAGGAACTTGACCGGGAGTTATTCTCAGCAGCCCTCAAGCATGATAGGAAAAGCCTACCAGCGGTCGACCATTCACTTGATCGTATGAGTCGCAATGATCGCACCGTCAGAGCTGCCAGTATGCCCACTTCGCAAAGCTTGGCCCAAACCTACCCCCCGTGTCCCGCGAAAATCGCCGTTCCTCCAGAGATAGCTGCCCCAGAGCCTTCAGACAGCACACCAACCTCATCCGTCGCCAGAGTTTATACCCCCCTGCAAATAGCCCAGGCAAATGCCACGGGCAGTCTGGGTAGAAAGAATCGGGTGGATCCTTTCCCACGAACCTACAAGTCATCACCTCTTGCGTTGAGTGCCGCAGATGCGGATGACTTGGCCCAAAAGGAGTCCGGAAATCCCAAGCCATTGGAATTGCACGAGCCTAACCAACTAACCCCGTTGTCATCTCCTATCCCCGCCCAGTCTCCAACTGACGTTGGCGCAAAAAGCCGGATACCCATTGCATCTTCCAACGGTCCCACACAGACTGCCAGCCGTTTCAAGGAGGATTTCAATGAATCAACATCCCAATCCGATACGCCCAAGATCCCCATCAAAAGCGAACGTCGAAGTCAAGAGAGCTGGAGGGTCCCAACCGCCTCAACGGACACACTCCGTGATATACCCCATTCCCCCTTCCAAGTGGGTGTCCGATCTCCTTTCCACACGGGCAACACATCGCCTGGGGCGAGGAGCCATCGAACATCCAGAGATATGTCCGATTCCAATTGTTCTCAAAGATCTCCTCAACGAGCCTCTCGTGGCTCTCACGATCATCCCAGAGGACCGGGAGTCTTCAGGCCAGGCCACAGCCGTACATCATCGCACAACTCCGACTACGATGGTCATTCAAACTATGACACTGCCGACGAGGACGCACCTGAGTCTCCCAGCTTCCCGCGTGAGCCACAGACTCTGGAACCCAAGCCACCTACTATCTCCAACCCTCCCCCAATTGCCCAACCCGCTCCTATTTCTAAGCCTACACCTACGCTTAAACCCGCTCCTACCCTCAAGCCCACACCTGTTCAAGCCAAGCCCAACCCAACACCGAACATCGAGCCTCCCACCACACAACCTATGCAACCGGAACTCCCCGATTCCCGCGGACCCATGAGTATCCTCAAGCGTCGGTCCCAAAAGTCCAAGCACCGCCAGCTCACCAAGATCTTCGTCATCTGCTGCCGCTGCAAATACTGGCACGATCTTCCATCCGAGGTCTACGCGCGCCTCGCTTACCCGGACCGACTGGACGAGCCTAAACTTAGCTCGCGTAAGGGAAATGATCGGAAGTCTAACTCTCGGATGTCTATGCAATTCCCTGCTGCGCATGCCGTTCAAGGAATGGACCTACGACCTGCGCCGCTTCTGCCAAGGAAGGTCTCTTGCTGCTGGTGTGGTCATAATATGAGCCGGTCTTGTTGTGAGGGATGGACTGCCGTTGTTGAGATGCGTGAACGACATCATTGAGCGGCTTCCAAGGCTAAGGGGGAGGCTATGAATAAACGAACCCAGCTATGATTATTTGACATGATGTTATGATTATTGCTTTCGAGCATACTGACGTTTTGATGCTGTTAGGGGTGTTTGCAAGTTTCAAGGAAATTTGCTTGGATCAATTGTAAGCTAAGGTCAGATGTGGAATACCTTTCAGCTTTGAGCTTGATTAGTTCCAGCCAAATGTACTTGTTTCCAATTTGATGTGTACAAGTAGTAGCCCTGGACTGTACTAGTAGTATACTCGATTATTCTGCCAGTGCTCTACCGCCTTCCACACCGCCTTAACAGACCATGTGGATATTTTTTTCTTCGGCGAGTTTTCCTTCCTCAACTACACAGTACCTCAGGGTCTCTGTAAAACATCAAGATCTAATGTTGTGTTCTCGATGTTGAATCAAATTTCTTACTAACTAGCACCCTCAACCACACCGCATACCGCATACGCATACCACACCATCAGATATAAAGCCACTTCGCAACTTCGCAACCCAGCTGCCCTAGTCCAATTGGACATTCTCAAGGGCTCTCTTCGGAGAACAGTTACCACAGCGCCGCGTCTTGTGGCCGTGACCGACTGGAGCTGAGTTGGGAGCCGGGATCCCGTCAGGGTTCTCTTTGATTTTCAAAGGTTGCCAGAGCAATACAGGGCCTTCATAGTTCATGTTATACTTGCTCGAGTCGTTCCTTCGGGAGCTTTACTTTGTCTACGAGAGCATGACTCCTTGTGCACTACATTCTATATTATAGCATCGAAATATTGATCTTTGTTCACTGAGCATATCGGCATCCATTTCTAAATACAAAATTTGAACTTGAACTGTACAATGGAAGACCTCACAGCTTACTCTTCGCCTCCCCAATAACATTCACAACAACCTTACCCCAGGTCTCCCTCCCACCAAGAGCCTTCAAAGCCCTAGGCACACTCTCCAGTCCAACAAAGCTCTCGTCCTTGAACGAAGTGCCCTTGAACTTTCCGGCGCGCACAAGCTCAAAGATTCCATTCCAAACATCCCCAACAGTCGCCGTCTCAAACTTGGCATACTGTCCCCAATGCAACCCCACAATACTCACATTCTTAAGCAGCACCCGATTCAACGCAACCTTCTCAATCTTCCCAGCGGCAAACCCAATAACAAGCAACCTCGCATTCCACGCCACACACTTCAAACTGGCCTCAATCATCCCAACAGGATCATAAACAATATCCACCCCAGCAGCCCCATTCCCCTTCCTATTCTCCCGACACAACTTCTTCACAATCTCAGGCCAATTCTTATCCCCATAATCAACCACATAATCAGCCCCAAAAGCCTTAGCAACCTCCCTCTTCCTCTCCGTCCCCGCAGTAGCAATAACAGTCGCCCCCTTCGCCTTGGCAATCTGCACAGCAGCAAGTCCAACCCCACCAGCAGCAGCATGAACAAGAACCCACTCCCCAGCCTTAACTCCAGCCCGCGTAACAAGTCCCCCATAAGACGTCGGCGCTGTAACAAACAACCCAGCCGCGTCTTCGAAACTCCACCCCTCCGGCACGGGAAGGAGTGTCGTCTCAGAGGCCAGCACGTGCGTGGCGTAAGCGCCTTGCGTCGCGCCAAAGACGCGGTCGCCGATTTGGAATCGGTTGCGGGACCCGCTGGGTGTTGCTAGGACTGTGCCAGCGAATTCGGCTCCGCCGATCCATGGTAGTGGTGGCTGGTGTTGGTATTTGCCTTGGATTTGGAGGATGTCGAAGAAGTTCGTGCCTGCGGAGTGGATTTCGATGAGGTATTTGTCTGCTGCTGGGGTTGGGGTTGGTACGTCGGTTACTTTTAGGTCGAGGGGGCCCTGGGTTAGTTAGATTGGTGTTTTTGGTTGTGTATTGGGGTTGGGTGTTTGGTACCTTGACATATTCGCTGACTTGGACGGCGCGCATTTTGATTATAGACGTAGAATGTGGGATGGGTTGGTGAGATGTGGGTGTAAAATTGGAATTGAGGGCTAGTGAGAGGTTGATCTTGAGTCAAAAATTTGGGGGAAAAGGGTGAGAGGAAAGAATAGAGAGCTATATGGGGGTTCCCCGCAAGATGCCGAGGTCCCTTTTCGGATAACTGAGTCTTGGCAAGGTAGTATGGAAGTTCGGAGTACGGAGTACAAGGTAGTAGTTATTGATCGGCATATTCTTCAAGGTAGAATTGAAAGTCTCTGTTCTTTTTTATGTCCAGCATGAAAAGATTGTGTAGAGTACATTGAAATTGGTATCGAGGTATACAGTTTGCTTCTCATCCAGACTCCCCATAAGACATGAAAAAAAAAAGATGTGAAAGAACAACGCCAGGTATGAAACAAAAGACCACCCAGATAGCACACATAAGAAAAGAGGTATCACAGGTATTTATAATAGCATAGTAGAACAAGAAATGGCAATTTAGTAGCCGATGCCATGAGGCTTCTGGGCATAATTATCACCCATATAAGGCATGATTGGAGCGCACATTGCAGGATGTGAGCCTGACTGGGTCGAAGGAGATGCCATGTGGTGAGGTGGCACCTTCCGGTCGCCCTCACGTCCAGGGACGGGGTGGCCGTGCATATCATATTGCAGGGACATGGCGCGGCGCCAGGCCGCCTTATCATAGTGGAAGTCCCCCTCGGGATAAGGATACTGCTGATATTGACCGGGTGGCATATATCCATTAATTGAGGGGTTCATGGGAGCACCGGAGTGTGGCAAGCTCGAGGGAGGAGTGATCGCCTCGAAGGGCAGCGAGTACCACTGTGCCGAGTTAAGACCATAGTCGGCTGACACGGAGCGCTGGGGCCAAGCGAGGCCTGGGGTTGTGGTGCCAGGACTGGGCAGGCAAGATTCTGGGGAGAGGGGGTAGGCCGAGTTGCTGTATGGGGGTACGGTGGTGTTGAGGATCAGACTGTCGCCGACGGGTGAGGTGCCGGGTTGCTCGAAAGAAGTTGTTGGGCTGGGATGTTGGTAAACGGAGCGGTCTGAGGCGAGAACATGTTCGCCCGAAGGGCTGGGGGTGAGTTGTTGGGCCATTGGGTCGGACCATTTGCGCTCTTCGCCGAAGATGGATTGAACGGGCCATTCATGGCGAGCCTCTCGTTGTAATGAGGGCAGGGGACGTTGCACTGAGGATTTGCGAGACATTTCCTCTGTATCATCACTTGAGGAGGCATGGCTCTTCTTTCTGGTCTGACGGGAAGGCTTGGTGACGCGCCACTTCTTCAATCGACTGCGCAGTTGGGTTTCACTGAAGGTGGGTTAGCGAGAGCGCGCTCGGATAATCCGACGTCGGAACTCACCTGGGGTTGAAGTCGTCGGAGCGAATTTGCTTAATGACCTGTTTCAAGGGCCATTCCTCCTCCATATACAACCGGGCGATCAACGCCTTCTTCTTGTCCCAAACGTCTGAGGAGATGGAAGTCTTCATGATGGACCAAGGGGGTGAGAGTCCAGAGTATAGAATGTTTAAAGTGGGAATGAATAAATTGAAACAGGAGACGGGGGAAGTTATATAAGAATATCATTAAATACTAAGAGTGGTTTTGTTAGCCAGCGAGACCTCCATGGTTCCAAGTGATCGTCCATTGTCAAAGAGGTCCACTTCCACTTGGACCATTTCCTACTTTTTTTTTTTTTTTTGGAGGATTTTCTTTTCTTTTCGTTTCTTTTTTCGGGTTTATTTCCCATTTTAATTTCTAAATTTCCTACTCGTAGGATGTACTCCATTTCCACTTTTTTCCCCCTTAGCGTGGCGTGCACGCGGCGTCGATCATGAACGAGATTTGCACGAGAAAGCGAGAAGAGGCCTATTAGCGGGTCCGACGATCCTCGCTATGTCATTCCTGTTAACATCGTAACGCTATCTACTATGCCCAGTCTAGTGCTTGGCGCAGCTGAACAAAGCAGTGCGGATATCGAGAATGGATTGATCATCTCTCCAGGATCTGTATGACAGCTGTGACCTTGCCTTGTCTTGGTCTCTTTACTTTCTTTTCCTTTCCTTTTTTTTTTTTCTACACTATCTTTTTTTTCCCTTAATGCTCCGATATTCAGATCCAAAAAGTCTCCTCAAATTTGTTACAGATGAGCGATCCTCATTGACTCGAATTAAAATCTCCGATTCAGGTCCAACCAAAAAGAGAAGTAGACCGGGCCCAGTCCGGAGGTACGGAGATGGGAGTCGGCAGAGGGTCGGTAGAGAGAATTAGACAGAGAGAGAGAGTTAAGCGTTAGTACCAGTTCGGACAGGTAGAATGGTTAGGGTAAGCTCTTCTGCCGAACGTTTGAACCAGATTCACCATGTGTTTGGTTCCCACTCGACCGCGGAGGATGCGATCGGGTCGATCATTCGTGCAAAAGTCGTTGGAGCACTTCTTCATCCGGATGTCGATGCCAAATAAAGCAGCAAAACCGTTGAAGCCAAAATAATAGAGAAAACCCCACTGATAAAACACATGTGTAAATTGTGGTGATCATCACATCATGTGCCCCAGATGTGAAATTATCGACCGAGGCGAGTCCAAACTGTTGGAACGGTTGGAATATTTGGTGAGAAAATAAAAAGACAAAAACCTAGATCCAGACCATGAGGGTAGAAGGCACCGGGCCCCTCATGACCTGAATCCGCTAAGGCTGATGGTGTCAGAGCTAGTGACCCCTTTCTTCCTGTCACCATCCAATGAACATACCCCAGTGGAGTACCAGTTCGTGTGAACGCCAATCGATCTTGTAAATTGATCGCCGGGGATCTGCCCGGGTCCTCAATAGTGGATGTTATCAGGTCCATTCCCGGAGAAACTCCCTAACGGGTGTCGAGAAGCACGGTGAATATGGAATATGGAGTACGGAGTACAGAAGCACGGAGTACGAGGTGCAGACTACGGAGTACATGCCCCGGTGTACGAAGTATGGAGGATTCAGGTCTACAGGTGGGCTCCTGCACGAGCCTCTGCCAATCACTCCTGGACTGTTCCATCTGCATAGATGTCAAGGTTTTCTGAAACGTCTCACTCTCCAAGCGTATCTCTGTACGTATCTCACGTATCTCTGCACGTATATCTCATTCTCTTCTGCAGCGATGGTAGAACCATGGATTTGCCCCTCGGGAATGGGACCTCTGTCGCTCTGCCGAATGCTCCACGTATCGGGGGGCTCACTGTGATCCGGGAGCTTTCTATTGAATTGCCCCAAGCGTCCCCGGGTGTGGACCCGAGAACCTCGAACCTCTGGCTTCAAATCTCTCCTTTTTCTTACTCCTTCGGGGAAAATGTCCTTTTCTCAACCCAAGGTTTGATTTGGAGATCGGAGGCCAAACTGAGACAGGACATTAGATCCGCGCGCCTCTAGTTAACGCCTCTTTGACATGTCAACAGCCGCGACAAAGAAAACTATTTGGAATTCTCCAGGGTCTTGGTCTATGCGTCGGGACTCCACGGCCATGCGGAGTGTGTAGTATATAGTACGGAGTATGTCGACATGGTCTGATCGGAGGGATGGTTAATAACTCCGTATTTCCCTGCCACTTTTGTCTATCCCCCTGAGCGTCATAGTTTATAAAACCGACCCAATGACGAGACTCCCGTTGAAAATAAATTAAAATTAAACCCTCAGAGTCAAATTAAAATGCGAGAAAATGCGAGAATAAAGGTAAAATACTGGCGGCTCAACCCGGAAGACAAGCCCATCTGAGGTACGAGTTAGGGCTAGCGATCTCCAGATCACCATGGATCTACTGCAACTCATGGAGGTTGGCCGAACACAAAGCTTAATATCCGGGTCTTTCGCCGGAAACAGTATGCTCGTTGCAAAGTGACTCCAACTCACAACCTATACCCGATCAGTGGGCATCAAGCGAAGATCGGTGGGTCAATCTCTGCCTCTCCACCAACCCGAGCAGTTCCCAACCCGGTGTATCCTCGGCGACAACTGGCATCTCCAACTGCCCCCAGAGATGAACCAGTCGTAATTGCTGCAGGATTCACGATCCACTTGACTATCCTGTTTTCGGTCTGGCGTCAAGATCATATGCGAGTTTTGTCGTATACCCGTCGTATAGTCCGCACTCCGGAGCGCGCTCGGCGGTCTTCTCCCCCCCCCAACTCCGCTGGATCTCCACGCCCACAGGCCAGTGTCGTGCTCGGAGACTCCCTGCCGAGGTAGTGGCTTTGGCTTTTGGGGAGATCGACCGGCACCGGGTTTTCCATGGTGAAGAAAAGACAGGCATCCTTCCCGGGAAGATCGTCCATCAACCCATCAATCCCATCATATCTCTTAACTTGATACACTAGGGCTTCGGAGATGCAGAGACACGCAGAGACATGAGGCTTTTCAAGGTTTAGAATAGTATACATCTCTTTTTTTTTTCCTACTGTCGACTTCAAAGTCGTTTTTGTTTCTCATACAGACTTCCCTGTTTCAAGTTGGATCTCCATATTTCATAGTTTTTTTTTTAGTTTTTTCTAACTCGCCTACGAAAACTCCGTACTCTGTACGAGTCAGTGGCCCATTGATATCACAGCCCATGTCTCTGCAGGGCGAACCATGCTACCCAAACCAGGCTTCTAAGTATAACCATGATCTAACCAACAATGGTATCGGTACAATCAATCGGCAGTATATTAAAATTGTCACGTTGCATCCTGCACATCGTGCTAGCTCGCTGACACTCTCCACAGCAATCTATTGTATCGTCTGTGCTTCCCAATAGGTAGATATGGGCGGTTTGCCGGAGGCAACTAGTCGCATTGGACGTGCTTAGCTGGAGATCAAGCAGGGTCTATCGATCTTGGGAAAGAGATGAAAGATAGAGATCCACTGCCTCTAGAACGGTATAATCTCCGGGTGGGATTTTTAATTTAAAGTATTTGTCAAAAACGGTAGACTAGAGTACTAGACTGACTGGATTTGGGGCGATTTCACCCAAAGAGGTAATGGTACTCCAAAGCCTAATTGGATACGTCCGATGCGTCGGATGTCGTTTCGGATGAAACTTTATATTTCTAGCCGTTGGCTAGTTCGTGCTAGGACGATGGTACAGAGTATGTAGTATGGGGACTTTGGAGTACTTGGAGTACAGAAGAATCTTAGAAACCTTAGAATAACCTTGAGTACGAGAGTCGGATACGGTATATGAGAGTCAATATCAAGGTTCTAGGTTCGAGGTACGAGGTACAAAGTACTCATGAACAAGGATCTATACAAATGCATACATTTTACAACAAAGCAACTTTAAGAATAATGAATCTCAAAACAGCTAATTCAACATTGTACACTTAAACTATTACATTATTCTTTCTTCCACCCCCAGACAGGTAACTCCGGTCAGTGGGGATCTTGACTCGTGAAACAGAGGGGCGCACTGTCCTCGTGATCTATCGCCGCCTCTTCAGATGATGCTCTTTGCCCTTTTTGGATTTCTTCTTGCTTTTGTCCGGGGGCAGAACCAGGGGTTCATCCTTCATGTTCCACTCCATGAATCGTAGCAGATAGTCGTCGATGTGGCCAGGCTGATTGCCCACGTGTGGCGCACTTGGGTCGGCCGATACGTCGGTGGCTCCACTAGCCGTTTGAGCGTTTTCTTCGAAATCCCCATCGTCTGCATGCTCCTGTTCTTTCTGTGCGTTCTTCGCGGCATCCAGGTCCTCCTTGTCCTCGGCTGCTTCAAACACTCGGGTACCACCCCCGACCCGATTGCCGAGCACGCGATCCATCGCTGCACTGGCTTCGTCATTGCCATCGCGCTCGTCGGTTTCCACGGCACCCTGCACATCCATCTTGGTGAAGTAGTCGGTGGTAAATTCACCCTCTTGGATAATGACGTCGTCCAGCATCCGTTTTTGATTGGCCTTGCGGAGGATGTTGGATTCGATCGTGTACTCCGAAACAAAACGGTAGATATGCACGTCGCGCGTTTGACCGATACGATGACAGCGGTCTTGGCATTGCTTGTCCATCGCAGGGTTCCAATCCAGATCGTAGAAAATAACGGTGTCAGCGCCCGTAAGATTGATTCCGAGACCGCCGGATCGACTCGATAGGATGAATGCGAGGATACGCGGATCACTGTTGAATCGCTCCGTAAGCATCTGTCGCGACTCGACCTTGGTGGTACCATCAAGACGGAGATAGCGATGGCCGTGGATATTGAGGAATTGCTCCAAGATATCGAGCATCTTCGTCATCTGGGTGAAGATCAAAGCTCGGTGACCGCCCGCCTTGAGATCGCGCAGGAGCTTGTCCAGGCGCTGCAGTTTGCCGCAGTCGTACTGAAGCAGTCTCTTGTCAGGGAAGGCGATGGAAAGGCGCATGCGTGCCTGGTGGAAGGGGTCGTATGGCTGGTCCCTACGAGTATTCGTCAACAGCCGTGTTTCAACAGGCGTCAAGGCGGCCTCGTTCATTCCCGCGGCGATGACAGAAGGGGTAACGCAGGCGAATCTCTGAACGTAGCCGTCCATTTCAAGACCTCGTTCCTCGATCGTCAAAATCATTGATGCAAGGACCGCCGACCGACTTGACAGCCAGTCGGCCATTGAGCGCTTCCGTAAAGGTGCGTTGGACAGTGCGTGCTCCTTGGTTCCAGCTCTGATGAACTCGATCAGACTGCTTCCGTAGACAGGCCGACGACCGTGACGCTTGGTTTCAAAGTAGAGACAACGTTCCAATTCCGCCATGCGTCGCTTTCGGCAGGCATTCTCCAAAGATTCCAAAATTGTGGTCATGTTGGATCCGTCAAAGCCCATTTCCCAGTTGGTTCGGTTGTACTGACGTTCTCGCAGTTTTTTGAATGGGCCAATTGCCATGAGTCTAATGCTGTCATCGGCTAATCGACGTGAGATATCTTCTCTTGACACCGGTGCAAGGTTGAGGAAATCCAAATCGATCTTGGTGAGGGGATGCTCAAATAGTAGTCTTCGCCGGACAAGAGATTCCTTGACGTTGAAGTCCATTGGAACAGAGCGCGGCATGGCAAAGGATGTGGAGATCGGACGGGTTTCAAACAGGTCAGGATGGTTGCAGACCTTTCGGAGTTGCATGAGACAGTGGATGATGGAGAGGAAGTTTCCAGACGCAAGCGTCTCCTTGGTCTGGGCCATTGACATGAACCCATCGTAGAGGAATCGTTGTCGCTTTGAAAGTCTGCAGTAAACGACATGTTCGTATTTTCCGGGCATCTGCTTCTCGACATCGGCCTTGAGTCGACGAAGGAGATATGGACGAAGCACGGTGTGGAGTTTGGTGATCACACCCTTGGCCTCCTCGTCCATCGTGTCTCGGCCATGCTCTAGGATTTGTTCAACGGGGCGCCTGAACCACTCGGAGAAATCCTTTAGATCGGCAAACCCTTCGACGCCTCCGCTTTGACCGTCCGAGGGCATCAGGAAGAACAGAAGAGACCACAGTTCAGTGAGGTTGTTCTGGAGAGGCGTACCCGTCAGGAGTAGTCGAGCACGGGACTTGAAGGTGAGAAGTGCCTGCCATCTCTGCGAGCGGAAGTTCTTGATGTTGTGCGCTTCGTCGAGGATCATATACTGCCAGTTTCTTCGCTTCAGGGACTGCTGATCCTGCAACACAAGTTGATATGATGTAATCAACACATTCCATGCGTTGTCGTCTGTCCAGCCTCGACGTTTCTGTTTGCGTTCTTCTTGGTTGCCGTAGTATGTCATGATCTTGAAGCCTGGACACCATTTTTTGAACTCCATTTCCCAATTGAGCATGACACTGGTGGGAACGACTACAAGATGGGGGCCCCAGATACCATGATCCACAGCAAGGTGGGCGAGAAGGGCAATGGTTTGAATGGTTTTGCCGAGACCCATTTCATCCGCCAGGATACCGTTGATGTGGTTGTTGTAAAGACCAGCAAGCCAATCTAATCCATAGTGCTGATACTCACGTAGCGTACCGCGCAAGAGATGCGGAACAGGTGTTTGCAAACCAGGTGCGGGCGAGTGGCTCGTTTGTAAGGCCTTTTCGATGGCAGGCTCCAGTGAAGAGATTGATTCCGGCTCGGATGGTTTGGTTGCAACAGTGCCCGGGGAGACGTCGCTAGAAACTCCTCCAGTTGGTTGGATCTCTTCGGTCTGATCCAGGTCCATTGACTGGGGCTCATCTGTAATTTGATCGGGTTCGTCGTTTCCGTCCGTTGACTGTGCCTCGACACGGGCATCCTCCATCGGAGTGTCGGCAGCGGGTGTCTCAACGGCCGATGTGTCTGCGCCTGTATCAGGGGAAGCCCCAGAATTTTCGGCAACTTCCAAAGGCGTGCCCTCTAACGAGGTACCCTCGCTGGCAGTTGGGGCGATTGGAACAAGGGAAACTTCGTCCGGGTCTTCGAATTCGGCCTCGTCTTCCGCTTCTGATGCCGACTTGACATTTTCATCATGTTCAGGGCCAGCCTGGGCACTTTCATCGCCTTCGCTGTCCTTCGGTACAGAGATCTCCTTCTTGGAGAAGAAACCCATCAGACCACCTCTGTCTTCACCTTCGTCGTCTGAATCTTCATCTTCACTTGAGCCTTCTTCTTCTTCCTCCTCTTCGCTATCACCCATGTCATCATCCATGTCTGTAGATGCATCGCTATCATCCATCAGAACAGAGTCCACATCATCCAGTTGGTTATCGTTGGGCGTGGCATGGTCTGCAGCTTCAGAGTCTATAGCTTCGTCGGGGTTCGTCATTGCAGTAGTTGCCGAGGCTACGGACATCCTGTCGGTGTAGTCTTCGGTGGGTAGGTTGGCGTACTTCAAGCGAAGCTCTTCCTCGGTCAGTTTAGCATCGTCATCCACATTAGTCTCATCATCAGTGCCGGATTCAGAATCTGACATGTTGCTCTCATCTTCGTCGCCCGAGCCAGATTCAGAGCCAGATTCGTGCTCGTCGTCGCTTGTCCCTTGCGTGTCACTTGGCACCTCGCCCAGGATCTCGGCTCGGCGCTTCTCGAAGAGCATTGTGGACTTCGTGATTGCACGATCGAGGGCCTTTTGGTCTTCCACCTTCCGCTCCTCCTCCCAGCGAGCTAGACGAGCCCGGTCGATCTCAGCGCGGGCCAAGTCGAACATCTTCTGAAGATCCTTGGACAACTGCTTGCGCTTCCCTCGCAGTTCCTCCTTCTGTTCGCGAAGAATATCTTCGGGGTCTTTGTGGCGTTTGCGATAGGCATCGGCGCACCATTGTGCAAATAGCTTGGCAGTTTGTCGATGTCGCTTGTGTTCTTTATCGAGCAGCTTTTGGAAGTAGAGCGCGTGCGCAACCAGATGATCTTGATGCGAGTATTGTGGGGGAGGTTCCTCTTGCTGGTCAGTTATATATGCCGAGCAGACTTCCGAGCTCAAAGGACCACCGGGCTCCGCCGCAGCCATGACCTCATTTCGTTTCTGCGCCTCTGCTATGGCTTCCTCCTCTGATAGTATGTTCGCGCGATCATCGTGATGTACCCAGTCTCGGAAAGATGCATGTTTCCTTAACGGTATATGGCCAGGGTGTCGAATCGGGAGAACAGGTTTTTTCATCTTGAGGCGTAACCTGGGAACTTTGACCAGACCCGATTCGGGGCCCTCGCCGTCCACTTTGGCATCTTCAGGATCATCTTTGATATTTGTTGGTAGGTTCGAGTGGGATTGGCGATCGCGTAGCGGGCGGGAGGTAGTGCCATTGGCATTGGCGGAGGGACGGGAAAGGGTGGCGGAACTGCGCGATCTCGCGCGCGAATCACTTGGTTTAGAAGCCGGTGTCTGCGAGACGCGCTGCAGTTTGCTAGTCGCGGCGCGGGATGGGGGCGCACGGGGAGATCCATTGGCAGCCGATTTTCCACCTAGCTTTCCGTTGGCGTCGGCGCGTGACTGCGTGACCGATAACGGGGAAGATGTGACCGGTTTGTTTCCATCCCGAGCAGACTTTCCGATACTCTTGTTTTGCGCGCCGCGTGTGTTTCTTTTGTCCGAAGGAGATTGTAGTTCGATGGGAACCGTGTTGGTTCGCGAAGACCTGCGCTTGCCTTCAGACAGGAAGGAAGTGGGGCCCTCATAGCCAGCCTTCTTCCAAGGCGGCGACGGCGGTCGGGGAGTCGATCGCTGCGATGAGGAGGATTCCGCGAGTCTTCGCTTCTTGGATGGAGGTTCGTCGGCTTGGGGGGCAGCTTGCGCGTCGTTCGGCTCGGCGGTAATCAATTCATCGGGGACAGGACTCAATGATTCTTCATCGACAGACCCGTTGCGAGGCGCGGAATCAGGTATAGTTGTTACATGGTCATCTTGGGGTGATGGGCCGTTGGGGCTACCGTCTTGCATGACTTGGAGCCGCAGACGACAGGGGCCGTCAATGGCAGGTGACCCCAGTTATCCAAATATTGGCGCGGCCAAAATACGACAAAATACCATCAGCGAAGAGGGAATCTTGAGTAGATGCACCACCAAGAGTTTGGCATGCTTATCGGCGTTGTGGCGGCGATGGGGACGGAAAAACAACGGAGATGATGAGAATACGTGGAGAGTGGTTTTTTCGTTCGGGCGAGCGATCTGCCCAGGTCATCACCCGGCGCGTGTTACTAAGACCTGACACTTGGTGCCTCAGGCCACACACACCTCCGGCAAACCTCATTCCGTATTCATCATCAGGTTCACCCCTCTACCCATTGGCTGTCTTGCCTTCCTCCACACTCTCTCAATTCTTGTCTTTCAGCACAACTGTGAGTCTATTTCCTACCTATGGCAGGTCCCTATCGCTCCCCTACACCCTTTCTGACCTTCAATTCCTCGCAGATGCTGTCTCAACGGATCTTGGCTCGGCGCCTGCCCCAGGTTGCCTCACGAGCAATTGCTCCCCGCGCAGCCTTCTCTCAGATCCCAGCTCTCCGTGCCGCTGAACTTGATGATCCCCTACAGGTATAACCTCCAAACGACACCCATGTCATCTCCCCGCTCGGCATCGACGGGACTAACCTCAAGGGCAGAACAACAACTATCCCAACCCTCCCGCAGTGAAGCGCGCCCACAGAGATCCCTACGGTGGTTGGTGGGATGCGCAAGAGAAGCGCAACTTCGGCGAGCCTGTGCACGAGGATAACGATATTCTCGGTGTGTTCAGTCCCGAGCAGTACACCCACGTTAGCCCCAGCAAGGGCTTCTTCCACCTCGGATGCTTCGTCGTTGCTTTCCTGGGCCTTGTTGGTGTTGTCAGCCTTAACTACCCGGACAAGCCTAGTGTCCCCAAGACCTACGTCGACGGTCTGGAGAAGGAGCTGGGAGGCCCCAATGCTTTGCCCGTATGTATTCGACATCTTTCTGGGGAATCCTTTTAGGCGAAAAAGCTAACCCTACGCTTCAGGCTCGCAAGTCCGGTGAGGACAAGTGGTGATTGATATCTGGACCTTTTTTGTTGTGTAAATACCAGTACGATTTTCTATTCGGCGTCCTTTGGCTGGTCGATTTACCGACAGCCCCGTGTTTCATCAAACCCAGAAAAGCCCGATTGCATGGTCGGAATGAATTTGGATTAAAATTGTCTTGTTCTATCGAGATTCTATCGCGTGTTCTGGCTGGATATTTGTGGTTTGCGCCATTTCCATTGAGGATCAACCTCTCTGAAGCCATGTTCAGTAAAACACCCTGAGCTTCCGGTCCGGGCTGAAAGCGACAAAGAGTAAATCCATGTTACAGGATTGTCTTTGATATGCAGGTCACAGGACACGGGTACCTTCGATGGGGTGATATTGATCATATTCGAATAGGTGCCCAACCCTTGCAGCTTTCTGTCCGACGATCACTCTGTAGTTGGTACTGTGTATACCTGTAGTTGAGCTCAAAACAGGGAGAACAGGGATTAGATCTCCAAGATAAATAAGGCAATAAAAAAACAACAACAGAAATGATGCCGGCCACAATCAAACCAGGCTGCTTGAGCTCAGGCGGTAAATAACATTGTTATGGGCGCCTACGTCAGTTGGTTCGGTAGCTTTTTGTTTCACCCTGCCCCCCTCTCTCCCTCCCCTTCAACAATTCGCCCCTCCAGCTTTGCGACAGGTTTTCTTACTGGCTCATTGGAAGACGCGAGTTTTCTGAAAAAGTCCCTCTGTCCTCTGTCTGGGTGGTGGTCAACTCCCTCCATGCTCCCGCATTCTGCTATTTTTTAATCTGCTGCACGAATTAATTTGAACATACCCATGTCGACAGCATCTACCCAATCCCGAGGAGTCAACCGACGGATCAATAGCATTCAGAATGAGGGTCGTCATTCGCGCAACTCCTCCGCCTCGCGGCGACGCCCTTTGAATGCCAACGTGGCATACAGCCATGCTCTCCGAGTCGCCTATCTCGCCTATCTCCTAAACCCTCGCTCTCGTCGCATCCAAAATGCCCCCGTCGCGCCGGCGCGGCCGAAACGATCATCTACGTCCATCCATGATTTGATGAGTGACTTTTCCTTGGTCAAGGACTCTAAAAGCACCAAGATCCCCCACGGCTTCGTCGCCGAGTTGGAGAAGCGGCTGACTGGTGTGTTGATGGGGAAAGAGAAGAGAAAGGAATATCAAGACCATCTGGTGGTACGAACTTTTGCCGTGTTCCTCAATGTGTTGAAAGAGAGCTCGTTTCGCAAGCGCATGGAAAAGGACCGACGAGCCGAAGACTTACTCCTGATCTTTTACTCGAATGCTATCAAAGAGCTAGGAAAAGGCAAAGAACACGACGATGATAGCTGGAAACTCATGGTCGATAGACACGTCGCACTGTTTGTCCGACTGCTTGCGCTTACGCTGAAAGACCACGACTGGTCTAAGGACCGACCCGAGTTGGCGAATCGACTGACTGTCCTGGAGAACAAACTTCTCTTACAGGATCAAGATCTCATGGAATCCAGTGGGGCTGCTTCTGCGACGGAGACCATTGCCTCGTTGAGTTATAATGTCAGGGACATGCCTTTGGTTCAACACGTGGCCAAGGTATTTGGAATGACGAATTCCGAAGCACAATCGGAGATCGACAAGAACAAATCATCATGGACCGAACAAGCTGCTCTGAAGGATCTCAAAACCTACCAAGCGCATCTCAGTCTTCAAACACACAAGACCTTGTCAAGAGACGACTTTGAGTCCGACGAGGGTTATGATGCTTGGAAAAAAAGTGAGAGTCCTGACCTCTCGCAGATGATACTCGCCATCATACAGTCAAATCCAGAGCTGGCCAAAAGCACCCCGGGGTCTCTTCCTCAATTCAACTCGAGTTCCCATGATAACGCCGACCTGTCAAGAACATCTTCCGGTCGAACTGATAGGAATTCTTATGTCATTGATCAATCTGTTGACCTCAGTGGTCTTTCTCTGGGGGATTCGGATGAATCTGATACCTACACATTCATACCGTCTGATCCCAGATCTTTGTATCGATATATCTTGTCCCAGACCCTGAGCCATGATTTACGGGACCGTGAGGTTGAGGCCACATCCGAAGCGTCTTCAGTCAAACTGTTATCAAAGCAGTCCACGGAAATGCTCAATGAAATTTGTCTCCGCTGGCGGATTCCCATTTTCTCACGGGTCGTGATGTTCCTCGAAGTCGCTCAAGCCAAGTTTGTGGACAATGAAATTGATCTCGATACTCTGGACTCAGCTTTCACGTTTGCGAAAGAATCACCGCAAGGCACAAGCAAGCGTAGTAGCTTTGTGGCTTCGTCGGTCTTTGATCGACAGCGATGGACTATTCACGATCTTCAGACTATGCAGATGCTTCTATCCAAACTTCATGAGGCGCTGCTACGTGAACTGTACGATGTTATGATGGATTGTTTCGAAACCAAACCACGCCCAATTGGATCAGTTATGTACATTCTGGAGTCGCACGTTCAGATGGATCCTAGCTATATCGAAGATCCAGAGGACATCGATCGATTCAGCACGTATGTGCAAGAAGGACTTGCCCAGAAAGCAATGGGAAAGTATCAAACTCTTCTTAGTCAAACGATTCCCGTTGATGCCGAATCTTGGGAGGCCGATCATGTCATTCAACTTGGAGATGCTATCGCGAAACTCGCAACGAAAATCCAAAAACGATATCGCAAGAACCCTGAAATCATGGGGTAAGTTCTCAAATTCTATTTTTGCCTCGTCGTTGATTTGATCATTCTCTAATATACGAACAGGGTCAACCCATACACCACTTTATGCTCTAATGTCCTCCCTTTGTTTGCTGAGGATGCCCATGAGATGGTTGTTCGAATCCTCGAACAAGCCAATGCCCGGGGTGAGGAAATTCCGATTGAAGATGGATTCGATCTGTACAAGCAGCTCGCAACTGTCAGGAGATTGTTCCACAACACCCATGAAGAGTAAGATTACCCTAGCCACGTCACGCTCGAGTAATCATTGACCAACCACAGTGCCAAATTCCCTTTTCATGTGGAGAGCTTACTACAAGAGTTTGTCTGGCGTTGGCTTCGTCTCACAGACCAAAAGGTCATGGATTGGGTCAGCCAAGCTACAAGGCAGGATGCATTCACTGTTCGTGCCGATGAAGCGATGGATCTTGCACCCGAAGATGATCGGCACAGTGTGTCCGTTATTGATATTTTCCGATCTTTCAACCAGGTAGTTGAAAACTTGGTGAATTTGGAATGGGATGACGATTTCCAGTACGCGAAATTCATGACGCACCTGTCCAATTCAATTGGCAAAGGAGTGGCAACATATTGCGACTCTTTGGAGAAAATGTTCGCTCGAGAAATGGATCGTCTCACCCCCGAGCAGGAGGCTGCATTGAACCAAACCGCCCAAGAGAAATTCTTGCAGTTTGCCAAAGATGCTTGGACGAATAAGGAAAAAATCGAGCCTTTCCAATTCTCGTCTGAGGTATGCATGATGAGTCTGTCTCGTAATGATTATTTCTAACGTGTCTACAGTCTCTGGTGAAATTGAACAACATTGAATATGCACTTTCACAACTCGACAAGCTTGAAAAGGACATCAATGTTGATGCGTGCGCCGAGGTCATTGCGAGACATACCCCTCCTCAACTCAAGAAAGTTCGCAAGTCGACCACTTATGTCTTCACAATCAAGATTGTGGAAGCAGAAGATCTCAAGGCATGCGACATTGGCGGTGGTAGCGATCCCTACGTCGTGTTGGCAGATGAATATCAAAAGCGCATCGCCAAGACACGTACCATCTACAACAATCTCAATCCTCGATGGGAAGATGCGGTTGATCTTACAACTCAAGGCCCTCTGAACATCATCGCTACTATCTGGGATTGGGATGCAGTGGGGGACCATGACTACGTTGGTCGGACGTCAATCAAGCTCGATCCAGTCCATTTCAGCGACTTCCTGCCAAGGGAGTATTGGCTCGACCTGGACACCCAGGGTCGCCTCTTGCTCCGAGTTAGCATGGAAGGAGAGCGAGATGATATCCAGTTCTACTTCGGCAAGGCTTTCCGTACACTCAAGCGAACAGAGCGGGACATGACTCGCAAAATCACCGAGAAACTGTCCGCATACATCAGCCATTGTCTGTCTCGTCGAACTCTGAAATCTCTGCTCTCTCGGGGCATCACCATGTCGGCTGTGTCGAGCTTCCTGAACCGCAACCGAGCCCCGGCAGCTCCCACTGGTCCAACCTCTGCCGACGTGGAGAACGCATTGACGCCTTTATTCAACTACTTCAATGACAATTTCGCCATCATGAACAAGACTCTTACTCCCGAAGCCATGAAAATGGTGATGGCTCGCCTTTGGAAGGAAGTTCTTGCCACGATCGAGAGCTTGCTAGTTCCACCCTTGTCCGACAAGCCCTCCCACCAGAAGCCTCTCACCATTCAAGAAGTAGATATTGTATCACGCTGGCTCGTGCTACTCCTGAACTTCTTCCACGCGATTGACGACGAAACCGGCGAAGCAAACGGCGTCCCAATCGACATCCTGAAATCACCCAAATACCATGAAATCCAGTCCCTGAATTTCTTCTACTTCGAACCAACAGAGAACCTCATTCGCACCTCGGAGCGCATGGCGTCCGCAACGGTCAACCGCCAACAAGCGGCCCGTAATCGCAGCTCTGCGCCCGCCCTCGGCGCCTCCGGACCCGGCAGTCTGGGTGTTCCCGCTGCCCGTCGTGCAAAGAGTATTATGCTCTCCCGCAACCTGGGCACAATGAAGAAAGCCAAGGAAGAAAAGCGTCGCGAAGCGCAGGCCGATCCAAACGATGACATGATCTTGCGTATTCTGCGCATGCGCCCTGAAGCAGCGGGCTATCTGCGTGACCGCTCCAGACAAAAGGAAAGACTCGCAGCTGCAGCTGCCGCCGATGCCATTGTGAAACAAAGTCTCATGGCCGGTGCGGGAAGCCGCATGAGTGGTGTCATTCCTCGCGCGCGATGAATTCTCCCCACTGTCCTTTGGCTGTTCTCTCCTCCTTTCTTCATATCGATACATCTCACCCGTCCTGTTATTTGTTTGCATTGCGCATGAACTTCTACGATTCCCAAATTTGGCATCTCCTTGTACTTCATCCCAGATTCTCCTTCTCATAACATGACTTGAAGTGAATTTAATTTTTGTGTATACTTGTTTCATCTATTCATTTTCTAGATTTACTCCAGAGCGATACACTCAATCTCAACGGGCACACCCTTGGGCAGCTGGTGGACGGCAACACAGCTGCGAGCAGGCTTGTGGACGAAGAACTTCTCGTAGGTGGCGTTCATTTCAGCGAAGTTGGCCATGTCAGTGAGGAAGACCTGTTTTTATTAGTCCGTATACCATGATGGCATCAAGGTAAAATGCTATGACTCACATTGACCTTGACGATCTTGGACACGCTGGAGCCGGCGGCGGTCAGGATGGCCTTGATGTTGTCGCAGCAGACCTGGGTCTTGTCTCCGATGTTACCCTCAATCAGGTTGGCGGAGGTATCAGCGGGGATCTGGCCGGAAACGAAGATCTGGCCGTTGGCACGGATGGCCTGGGACTGTGGGGGGTTAGCGTTGAGCTTCGAATGTAGAGATGCTGCCGTGGAAGTGGGGGGCAGTGGCTCCCAAGGTAGATGGTAGCTCTGGGGGTGAGAGGTGAACGTACGTAAGGGCCAGCGGCTGTGAGGCAGATAGGTTAGCGATTGAGTCTCTTCCAGGGTTGTGGGATGATTGATGGAATAATCCAGGAGAATTGGGATCTCTTCAGGAAGCACCAAGTGTATAACTGCTCGGGTGGGGTTTCACTTACGAGGGCAAGCATCCTTAGCGGAGACAATGGACATGTTGGCAGACATTATGAATTGAGGTCTGGGGAGAATAGGACGAGTGATGGGACGAAGGGTTTGAGAAAGGGACAAGAGACGAGAAGTAGTTCGCGACATCGGGGGAAAAGGGAAGAAGCTATAAAGATGATAAATATGCCCCGCTTTACGAGTTTCCCTCGGAGAGCGACAACGCTCCCCGATGAAGTCATCTTACTACTCGTATCTACATTGATCGGCCTTTGTTACGAGAGATTTATTAATGTTATGTGCAGGTTCTTAATTATATGAGTCAATTGAAAGGCTAATATTCAAGTCGTGTCGTCGTGATCATTAATGCGCCTTCCGGGAACATATTGTACAGGGATATTCTTCTCATTTGCCCATATTGATACCAAGGCTGGCGAGCTGCTGCATCAGGTTTGCCGTTTGCTCGGGGGAGTATCCGAAGAAGACGGGGCCATTGAACGTGATGTTGGAAGGATTGGACATGGTGGACGGTATACCGGGTTTGGAAGTTGGGTCCTCGCTGACGGAAGCAGACTGGGCAGCCGGTGTTTTTTCGGCAGTTTGATCCTGGACCCCCTCTCGGGGCCAGTTCTTCATGGGGTGCGTTTCAGCTTTTGGGCCTTCAGCCTTCTTATCGTGGCCGAATGGGCAGCCAGGTTTCGCAGGTGTCTCTTCTGCCCGGGGCAAATTCTCAGGCCCGTCAACCCTTTGAGGTGCATCGGCCTCGGGCTTTGAAAGCACGGGTTTGGAGGGTACGGGCTTTGGTTTATCATGACCGAATGGACATCCGGTAGGTTTGGCGGGGGTGGCGGACGTATCGACGTTGTTGGATTTATCGGATTGGGGATCGGGGGAGATGGGCCCAGACGCCGATCCATTAAACGGCGCTGAGGCGGGTGGGAGGTGTGTGACAGGGACTGAAATGCCCCAAGGCCGGCTCGGGGATTCACCCACGCGAACCTCGCGGAGGGGACGGTCAAAGTGACTCTGGCGGTTATCATCTTCGTTCTGAGTATCCTGGGAGCTTTGAGCGGGTGTGGTGGGGTCCACGTTCTCAGCCCATCTCTCAACTCGTTGAGTCGATGCTGAGCTTGATGAGTTACCCTCCCCGTTTTGACACTCCGGCAAGAAGGCTTGGTGTTTGACTCCGAGCCCGGCGATCATACTGGTCAGGCCGCCATACTTCGCATCGAGGTGTCGCATGTTTTGAGGGTTCTTCTGATAACGGTTGACACATATAGCATGGCTCCGGGGGATTTCATGTTTGTGTCGTTCAACGTATTCGGCGATCTCTTCGGGGGAGTGTTGGTCCAAGAATCGAATCGGGCATCTTGAGACTGGACATGCCCCCTTGGATGACGGGGCGGACGGGGTGTGGCTGGAGCGTCGTTCATCTAGCTCGGCCTTGATGGGATCCAGATGCTCATGGCCACAGGCGGCCTCAATTTGGACTTTGGGGACAGAGTGTTTCCCACTTCTGGCTTCACTCCCGTTTTGCATTTTATTGGGTTTGGAGAAAGGGCAATGCAAGCTTCCCTGGGTGCCATTCGTAGTGAAGTCCTTCTCCAGTGCAGTTGCTGGAGCCGGTGCTTGCGCGAGGATGCACGAGGAGGATATTTGGGAAAGGCCATCTTGAGACCGGAGTAGAGACTTGCAGCCCTTCACCCCGTTCTTGATGGCCAAGAAGGTATTTTCGTCTACATTTTGATGTGCAACGAGTGTTTTTATTACATCCATGGATTTCAGCGGTTGTTCCTCCACTCGAGGTTTGCTGTGTACGAGGCCCTGGCGGAATTCTTCCTGCTGAGCGAGCAATTTGGTTTGAACGTCCAGTGCATGAGGTCTATCTTGAGGAGGCAGAGTTTCTATCACGTCTGTGTACTGAAAGATGCAAAGTTAGCAAACGATCATCTTGTCAAATATTTGATAGCAAAGGCAATCAAAGGTCTCAATCAGATAATACATGTTAATCCGTCATTGCCACAAAAAAGTGGCTCCTGATCTAGAGCTTTTCATCATCATGCGAGACCCGGATGCAAAAGCAACCCGAGGGGGGAGGGAGAGGGAAAAGGGGGTTGTTCTTACCTCCTTGAAGACATTGTCCATGTGTTGGAAGAGCTCATTTTGTCTGTGAGTCAGCCGGAACACGGTTAGTAGTAGCGCATCGAAGGCTTTGCCCACGGCGTCGAGCTGCTCGTTGTGCAGATCTGGCTGCATCTCGGCGATCGCGGCAGGTGACATTGGTTACAGGATATCAGAAAGCATTTATCTGAGATGGAAGTGGCCTGTTGAGGCACAAGCTTCAAAAGCATGGAAGATGAAGGAGGAAAAATAGGCAGCTTTATACGAGCGGGATCACCGGAAAAACGTGAAGCGAGTTGGTCCGTGCTCGATCATGTGAGGGACTAGGCTGCTTTGGGTCTCATTGGGCAGGAGGACTGCCGAGTACATGCATCTACTTCGCTCCCCACCCAAAAACATCACTAGATGTAGGTATATGCAGGTACCGAATCAATATCTTGAATCATGAGATGAGCAGTCGATCATCCGACCCTGGGCAATTAATCCTTTCGCCGTATCTTGGTCACTTTTTCCCTGTATAACCAGTATACTGCAATACTCGTACGCAGTTCAATGAGACAATTGGTCAAGCCAACTACTCCAACTTGTTCTAAAGTTGGATGAAGATTGGCTTCTGTGGGTATTCCTGGTGCAGCTTCATATTGCCACTCTTAACTGCTATCCATTTAGGGTGTGTGCTTGTGCTTGCTCTATGTGTATCTGTCGTCTGGACAAGGTGCTTTTCTGGCTTATGATCTCATTTGCCGTCCACTTTGCTAGGGATTATACTAGGTCTACAGGTATAATGCGATGAATTGATGAAGGGTAACGACGTACTCATACTTAGTATTTCGATGTCCAATGTCGTCACATAGCTTGACACCTGGGAAGCAATGTGACCAGCAGGCACTGTGCACAATTGACTGTTCAAGTTTATCTTCATTCTTACCTCCAGGGCTCTGCATTCTGCATGTGTTGACGGGATCTCTGGCCCACCAACACCCATGCTCGGATAAATGGTATGGTTTAAGCCAATTCGACGGAGTGCCTCTGGATGGCAACTTTAGAAGTCACGGACCTCGTCGGATTTTTGATCAAATGGTTGTGTTGTAAGTGTCATTTCCAAGATTATGTTCAAAACACGCTCACTTCATGACCAACTCCCACAGCGGGTATTTATATATCACGTCAAAGGCCCCAGGAAGTGCAGTGTGGAAAATGTTCGATAACTCGGTGTTTTCATACGTAGAGTTTGACATTTTAAAAAAGGATGTCGTATACAAATAAATTAAGTTATGAAACATGAAAGAGTGCCCGTGGACGTTGACACCAAGCAGCCTGGATGAGCCCCCATTATGTGAGAATCGGCGGGTTGGGTGTCTGAGGTGTCAATGCCTCAGGCCCCCAACCCCTGTCACGGAGAAAATACTAGAGCATAAATCACCTGATTAGCAAGGCTACATTAGGTGTGCACCTTTTTAGCTGAGCGGTCAAAATCGGTGGTTTTTATTCCAACAAACCCACCAATTCTCCCAGGACAAGATTCTCTCTCTCTCCCCCCTTCTTCTCTCCCCTCCCTAGTTTAGACCTCTTTCTAAAGTTGATTCAAATGGACCGTATTTTCTTGCGTTTTGCCAGCCTGTCAATAATGACAATAGTGATAATAAGGACGCAGAAAGTATATTTAAAGCTTGTTTGCTTTTAGTAAATGAAGCTATTTACACATTGGAAATACTTTATTTATATAAGGAGCAACAAAACCAAATCGAAACACATTTTATTTCTACTTAGTCTGTATAAGTAGACATCAAATATTATTACAGGAAAAAAAGGGTGAAAGCATAGAAGCAAAAGGATATAAAGGGCTATTTCTTATCAAAATTTGTATACAAACCAGAAATATATGTGCGTGTTCCTGTACTTAAGTAATAAATACCTAGTTGTAACCATAAAAAATGGTCTGATTGACTAATTATACTAAATAGGTTTCACTGTAGTTAGCTTTCTCTCAACTTTAGAACCCATGAATAAATAATCTTCAGTGCGGAGATGAGATGCACGTTTCCCTGTGGGTGATGAGTCTACTCGACAAGCAAAAGCAAATACTTAAGTATGGGAAAGCCACTTGAGCCGTTGCATCTTGATCTCCAGTCACTGTAATAGAGATTAGAGAAGTCAGAATGTACATGTATGTAGCAGACAAATCGGAATTGGAATAGCATTTCAAAGTCGAATTGCCTCGACTACCAAACCACTCTTTTGAATTATTCACTCCGTTTCAACCGTAGCGATGCAATAGCTCTAGAGCTGTACCATCTACAAGAACTGAAACAACTGTGAAGCTCTGTTAAGTTGCTCTAAAATTCAGGTATCCTGATGTAGACTAAGTCTGAGTGCCTTGCAATCGTCGATCGAAGCGATGAGTTTGGCTACGCAAGGAACAATTTATCGTATACAATAAGGAATTACTTAATCCCTTTGTATCATTGGTGAATGTATGAATGAATGCGTGTGATGAGATGTGACCTATCCATGGTCTCATTTAAAGAGGCCACGCATTAGCCAAGGATCAAAAAGCAGCTCTTTAGCGGACGCTCTTTCTTCTGGGAGCCAACATAGCATTCGCCGAAGGAAACGTAAAAAGTCCACTTTTTCATCACCTTTGAGTCTCTCTTCTAGTGCCTCAAGGTTAAAGTCTGGCACGGGAGCTGCACCTTTCCAATTACCTGATATAACAATTAACATTGCCAAATATGATTGAATTAATTGTCGAGGGATATCCGCACAAACCTTTTTCATCCCAAAACTGGTGGCTCCTTTCGCTCTGACCGAGGAGTTTGAGAGGAGGGCTTCCTAAGACTGCCTGCATTTCGGCAAGATGATATCCATCATGAAGTTCGCGTGCGGGATTTCGAGCCCTGAAAAGGTGGCGATGCTCGAAAAGATCCCAAATCTGAGCCTTTGTCAGTTTCAAAATAGCCGCAAACGACTGCATAGTTTTCTATCCTACCAACATGCCAACACTCCAGATGTCAACTTTGTGGTCCCAATTCATGTTTAAAATGACCTCCGGCGCCCGATAGATATCTGGCATGATATCGCCTTTCTGGTCATTGGTGCCTAATCGAGCCTCGCCCAAATCACAGAGAACGGGAGTTCCATAAGAGACAGGGAGGGGTCGTGAGAAGTAGATAGTGCGATTCTCGAGGGTTTTTCGCGGCACAGGCATGTCGATTTCAGCCTGTTCAAATTTGTATAATATTGAATCATCTTTAATGCCGAGGAGAATGTTATTTGGCTGTAGATCTACGCTGTGGATTAATATCTTTCAACTTAATCCTTGTAGAGTAAAGGTTTCTTTGAACGAACTAGTACTGACCGGTATGTATGACCTGTGCTTCTGTATGGAGGAAGTCAAGAGCGGCAAGGACATTGCGGATGGTAGTTCTAACCATGGCACTGCTCATTACTCCATCGGGGAGTAGCTGAGCGAGCTGGTCAAGGCTGATCCCAAGGGGTGGATGCACCAGACAAGTATGATCACTATTTCCATCTGGACTATGGATATGAAAGATGTCAATCAAGGGTCGTAGACAAGTCTGGCCGGCATGGTCGGATCGGATAGCTCTGAGATGGTTGTAAATTTCGATCTCTTGGGTCACTGTTGTTGACGCTGTGTAAATCTTCAATGCTACATAGTGGTCATCACTGCTCTGTTAGCTTTAAGCCGAACGGTAGAGATCGATTGGTCTTACGATAAATCACGGCCTAGCCAAACTGTCGCAGTGGACCCATAGCCCAACTTGCCCAGTACTTGATATCGATGGTTGAATACCTCACCAATATACACGGGATAGAATTTTTCGGGTCTGTAGGTGGGAATTGACTCTTCTTCGATCGGGATGGAAGGGTCGATGATGTCCCACCCTGAACTAGGGAAGACGCGTGGTTTGGAGGGAGAGCGACAATGAGTCATGTCACGCTTGATTGGTAATATACGTCGAAACGCGGAGTGTGTGTTCGAACTATGTGGAAATGATGGAGTAGAAAATACTGTTCGGAAGCTGAGAAGTCGTCTTTTCTCCATATTGCGCTGGTCGATGAGAACAAGAACCATCGACTTGGGACACGCCAGCTGGCCGGAGCAACATTGGCCCGGCAGGCTCATGTCACATGCACGAAACGTCCATCACATCAACTTAAGAATTACTACTAGCCAATCAAGCATGCCTATCCGGGCTATCCCCAACAGCAAATTTGGACTGCAGGTGATCAAACGTAGGCGGCTCTACGGAAGAAAGCCTGATTGGACACGTATCACCAAAATAGCTCAATTTTCTCCGACAAAATCATATTGTGACCACATTAATTATGATCATCCGCTTTTTAGTGCTCTGCGATCATTAATGGCCACCCATTTAGCGCTTGGGCAGCACGAGCGCGAAGTAAACAACAGTACGCTAGTGACTGCATCGTTGATTTCAGCATGCGTTCAATGCAATAAGAAAACATTGCACTATATATAAAGAGGAATAAAATAAAGATACTGAACGCTTCCAAGATTTCAGTTCCTCCTTCCTGAAGTCCTAGATAAAACATACTTTTGAGCCAAATCGACTTTTGCAGAACATTTCGTGCTCTGCTGACTTTTCTACAAGATGAACCGTGTCCCAGCTCGAGGCTTCCAAACAGCTGCTACACGCGCGATCAATTGGATCGGAAACGTGTCCGTGGCAGACGTTGTGCAGATGAACAATGATCCGGAATGGGAAGAAGCACTTGCCAGTGCAGCATCGAAGACGGAAGCACAGGTAAGATTCCGACATGACAGCTCCATGTAATCTTGTGTTAACAAATGATCAGAACCCAAAGGTAGTCGAAGCTAAGATACAGTGCGTCTCTCTATCTTGTTTTGATATATCGTTTACTAACTGACCCCTTCAAAGAGGTGCCTTAGCTCATACCTCGGCTAAGGACCCAGACGAAAAGGAGAAGATTGTCACTGTGGGCTATTATAGCGCTCGAGGAACCAGACTTTTGTCTTCCCATGTTCGTCGGGATGGTTCCTACAAGTCGTGGGAAAGTCGTGCGGGAAAAAGATAGTGTCTTCAGTCAAGATTTTGAATCTGTGAGGACGCGCGCCCAGGCCCACGACATCCTAAAACCACTCAGCCAAAAGACCTAATATGACAAGACGATGTCTTGTCATGCCTGGGACCGGTATATATAGTAGCGCACGTCAGGACGTGGTCCTGACAGGATCTATGCATGGCAGCTCTAGAGTCACTCACTCATTCTTAGCCTTTCGCCAAACACGTTTTGCTGACAAGATTCATTATCCATATCAAACTCTTGGTGAAGTTTCTTCGCCGTAGTGAGGCTATCATGTCATCCCTGCACTCTTCCTATCCAATGTAAATATACGAGGTGTTCGGATGTGGTAGATGTGGTTATCCAAGTTGAACGGGAAATAGCAATTGACGTTGCCTTTTCCGAGCTGTATCTCAATAAATCCAAAATTAGAAATAAATTTGCAGGATATTGCGGTAACCGAACGACACTGGGGCTCCACGGTACTAGATTCTATTTTGACCAGAACTCCGCAAGGGAAACTCAACTCGAAAATGCAATTTTTGCAGAAGAAAAAAAGGGTTGGGAAGATCTCTTTTCTTCTACTGCAAAAAATAACAGCAAAATAATCCGTGAACTATACTACGATTAAACTTCGACGATTTATAGTGAGATAACTCTTTCAACGGAAAACTTCCACAATATTCCAAAAAAGTAATTGGAGAGAGGGTAGAGGCGAAGTGCCTCAAATGTCTGCGAACTGGGAACCTCCAGCGAATCGTTGGAGATTCCCTAACGTATCGCGAGAGATTCGCGTTGACCTTGTATGAAGTCAGGACTTCTTACACCACCACATTATCCAACATTTATTTGCTTTCCCCTTATGTAACATTATTTTTTTCAAATTTTCAACAGCCTTTCGCCGGGCTAGCTCAATCGGTAGAGCGTAAGACTCTTAATCTTAAGGCTGCGGGTTCGACCCCCGCGTTCGGCTCTTCCTAAAACACCAACATGGTCTTTAAGATTTCTTTTTTGCTTTTTTTTTTCTCTGAGTCGAGTTCTTTTTTTGACTGAAAATCATTATTTGTAGGTGTAGGGTGGGGTAGCAGTTGAGAGTTACCAGGTAGAATTGATGAAGTCCAACATACTTAAGTACACACCTAGGTAAGTAGGTACTGAGTGGAATGGTCGGATAACATCGAACAGCGTACGCCGCCTGGGAGTACGGAATCCACTATCTGCACAACAAACATCCCTGTCCGCATCAAGTACCTTGACCCTTTCAGCGAAGCCACCGTGATGAGTTTCAGATCACATAGCGCCGTACAAAAATCCTATTGGCCTGCAGTGGCTGCATCAAGGGCCAAACGCATACCCGCCGCGATGGTCTGATCCGTCACTGCATGGTTAAATTCCCCGGTCTGGACTTGGATAATGAGTCATTTGTGATACTGTACCTTACATACGAAGCAGAACGATCAACGGTCCAGACTTTTCGACAGGTGCACAAAGAAACAGGTTAGGTTGGATTGCGACCCTGGGAGGGGGACTGAGCACCTAGGGTCAATACGCAGATCATGAACTAGGCCCGCAGCGGGCCATTGGGTTTACAAATATACACACTAGGCCAGATTGACCCGATAGACGAGATACCCAAGGTATCCGAGTACCTCGACTCTTAGATACTTCGTACTAGTGTTCTAGAAGAATATGCATTGCGTGACACAGTATTTTACCGTGGCGCTGTGAATCCGACCATAACCTCTTGCGAGATCACCCATGGGATCAAAAGGATTAATCAAAATATTTAGAGAAAGAAGATTACAATTAAAACGGATTGAACATCAAAATAAAGTCAAAAATAAGGATCTGGGAATGTTAAATAGCCGTATATAGAGGGGCAACACTTATCTTATCACCCTAGCGTAATTTTACCATTCCCCCCTCCCTCATTTTTTTTTCTTTTCGTTTTTTTTTGGTCTTTTTGGTTTTTACTTCTTCTACCCATCCCCCCCTCTCCACCTCCTCCTTTCTCTCATCATGTCCTCCTCCACCCTTCCAGATGCCTCCCAAGTCGGACTCCCCGCCACCGATGCCTCCCGCGCCGCCGAACTCGCCAGTCTTAAGGTAAAGCTGCGCGCTGGCCTCCGCCAGTTCCCGGACTTCCCCTCCCCGGGAATTTTGTTCGAGGATATCATGCCCATCTTCGCCGACTACACCCTGCACGAGGCCCTGATCCGATCTTTGGAACTTCACATCCTTGAGAACCATGGTGGCCAGAAGCCCGATGTCATCGTTGGCCTTGAGGCCCGTGGCTTCCTCATGGGTCCCAGCTTGGCTCTGCGTCTCGGTGCCAGCTTCGTGCCTGTGCGCAAGCAGGGCAAGCTCCCCGGTCCCTGTAACACCGTTGGATACGAGAAGGAGTACGGCCAGGACTTCTTCCAGATGCAATCCGATGCCATCAAGCCCGGCCAGAAGGTCCTTGTCATCGACGACATCATTGCTACCGGTAAGATAGCCCATCTGGATGAATCCATACAATACTAACCTCAACAGGTGGCTCTGCCTACGCTGGTGGTGAGCTGATCCAGAAGATGGGTGGCGAGCTGATGGGCTTCATCTTCCTCCTCGAGCTCGAGTTCCTTCACGGCCGTGACAAGCTCTCCGCCCCGGTCTACACCCTCCTCTCTGGCCAGGCTTAATTTATACCCCCAAAATCATCCGCGAGCCCATAATTATGACTAAAAGCCGACACCCGATCGAGCATCACCCGGGCGGGCTCAGCCCGATTTGACCAGACTCAACGGATTATCGAGGCCTCCCCAAGGTTGTTTCGCGGGACGGCATCCGCCATTGGCTGGACCAAAGCTGGATTATCATTCCATTATAGACAAATAGCTTTCTCAATGCAACTTGAAATGTGAATAGACCACCGCTGTTCTCTGGTGCCCGATGGAGCCTGATCTAATCTAATCTAGTCCCCAAGATCTATTCGGGAATGAATTTCCTGATGACTTCATCCACCCACCGCTGCGGCAACCCGAGCTGTACAGACTCATGAATCCCCCGATTCATCCGTGCAATGTATTCGAAGTTTGGTTCGGAGAGCGTAACGCAACCCTCATCAACATAGACCAAAGCGTCCACTTCCGTCTCAGGATTCTCATGCTCATCGAGCCATTTCACTGCCTCCGCCTTAACAAACCACTTGTTGTAACTTCCCCTTCCTTGCTCTTTGGGTCTCACGTTGACATCCACAAATTGACCGTCGCTATCTTCGGCGCGGACATCAATGCCCTCGTACATGTCCAGAACTTTTTCATCGCGCAAATCCATTTCATAGAGCACACCGTACACCGTGTCCTCTGATCCGGAAACGGGGATTTCATGTGCCGAATCGGAATCTTGATTCGGGACCCTTAGGCCAGAGGGTGGAAGGACGTTCGCAAAGCCCGCGTTATTGATGAACCACCGCCAGTGGGGAAGCGAGGCTATTCCAAGGGGCTTGCTGGAGCTGGGATTCTTGTGACAGCGGGCTGCCATCTGAGTGGGCGAGAGATTCGAGCCATAGGCGAAGTAGTAGTATCTTGGTTTTGTGATTGGTGGACTTGGGGTTGCTGGGATGGGGATGGGGGTGATCTGGGTGTGTCTCTCTGTTTCCAGGGATGGGTCTGGGCCTTGGATTGGGTCTGGGCCTGGAGCGTTTGGCATTGTGTCAATTTGATTGACATACACTCGAGGAGTGTTTGAGGTTTAGAGAAGATGGCCAGGTGGGATTAAAGCACGAGTATAAGAAATAGTCCGGAGTAACTATGCAAGGTTTACAACTGACTCACTAAGGAGTGAAAGTACGAATTATTACCGTATTGGGTATTGAGTCCAAACATTTATCCATTCCACGGCTACCCACATACTTTAGAGAGACACTGGGTATTGATCCCGTTTGATGGAATTGAATACAATCATTGAAAATTATACGTGCATGTGCTGGAACCCAATCAGACAGCCCTGGAGGCAAATTGCCCAAGTTGCCCCTGAGAATTATTATTGGTCATATGCACCAAAAGTACTCCGTACCATAAAAAGGATATAAACAAAGTATATGACATCTGAAGGAACTGACACGACCACAAGTACATAGTACTCAATCTTGAAAGTGAGCCGATGAAGAATTACCGCTAATTATGATGTTATACTCGCATGTAGATTTACGTACAAGGTGGGGGGTCATATTCAATTGTATAATACTTTATGTGAATGGTGCAATAACGTTATTTTTCGAAGCTCATTTTATAAACAAAAAGACCATCCCAGCGGGATTAAAGGTCACAATAGGGCCGAGTTTACTCTGATTTCACGAGATGGACCAAGAAAAAGGACCTCGGATGAACAGCCATGCTCAGACGGTTCAAGAGGATTATGCCGATGTGACTCTTCGAATTGTAGAGGAACATGGTGATGAATTCGGGCCGCTAACACCTGAAAAGGAGAAGAAGCTGAGAATGAAGCTTTATCTTCATATCATGGGATTGATGTCTGTCATCAACATCATACTTTTTGTAAGTCAATTCTGATGTACACAAGACTGGCAGGGAGGATCTGACCAGACAGATTGATAAATCAACCCTGGGATATGCTGCCATTCTTGGGCTTTTTGAAGAGACAGGAATCTCTAAATCGCAGTACAATACCCTGAACAGTCTGTTCTACGTCGGTGAGAACAACCCCGATAGATGTCAAACCCTAAGCCTAATTTAAAACAGGCTATCTGGTTGGCCAATGGCCTGGTCATTACTTGATGCAGCGTCTCCCCCTCGGAAAGTTCGTCAGCGGCATGATCTTCCTCTGGGGAGCTATTATACTACTTCACTGTGCAGCAACCAGATACGGCGGGTTGGTCGTGCTCCGACTAGCCCTTGGCCTCGTTGAAGCAGTTGTCGTCCCGGCTATAGAGATGACCATTGGAATGTTTTTCAACCGCGAAGAACAATCATTCCTGCAACCTATTCTCTGGATAACATGTGTGGGCGCCCCCATCCCCGCCGGCTTCATTTCCTATGGTCTTCTGTTCAGCAAGGGCTCCATTCTCCCCTGGAAACTATTCATGATCATCATCGGCGGTGTAACAGTGATGCTATCGATATGGGTATTCTTTGGATACCCTGACAATCCCGCCACAGCCCGATTTCTCACACTGGAAGAGAAGGTCCACGTCATCAATCGCGTGCACAACTCCCATCAGAGCTCGATTGAGCAAAAACATTTCAAAAAGGCCCAGCTTCTCGAAACCCTTCGTGATTCTGTATCTTGGTTATTTGCCCTGCAGGCATTCACACTTATGTACTGCAACAATCTCAACTACGGACAGCAAAACCTACTCACCACCTCTCTTGGTGTGTCGGAACTGGGCTCAACACTTGTTGCAGCAGCCGGGGGAGGATTCGGCGTGGCGCTTTGCATCACCGCTACGCTTGCGCTAAAATGGTTCCCCAGACACCTCGCTCTCCACAGCACTGTCTGGTGCGCTCTTGCCATGGCAGGTGGGATAGGTATGGTGACTATAGCCTGGGAGCGGAAGCTGGCGCTTCTGGCATGTATGCTGCTTGCCGAGAATACATATAGCATCACATACATCATTGCATTGGGCTGGGCGACCTCCTCGGCAGCTGGGTATACAAAAAAGCTGACCCGCAATGCAATGTTCATGGTTGGGTATAGTGTGGGCAATCTTGTCTCGCCGCAGATCTGGGTTCCTAGCGCTGGACCGAGATATTATGGAGCGTGGGTTTCTATGATTGTTGTTAGCTGGGTTGGAACACCGGTCATTCTCTGTGTGATATGGTATATCTTGGCGAAGAGAAACAAAGAGAGGAGAGAGTCGAATGCGGTGGAAGAGAGGGAAGGGTGTGTGGAGCAGGTTGAAAATGGAGTTGTGGTCACGAAAAAGGTGGATGTTGCATTATTGGATTTGACTGATTTGGAGAACAAGTCATTTATTTATCCGATCTGAGAATACCTACACAGACGATCATCTTCTCCATACAATTCATACTCCATTGGGGCATAATAGCGACAAGGCCAATCAAACGTGGTGTGCTCCACAGTCGCAACCTTCTCATACTCCCGATATCCGGAGGTCGTATATTTCTCCTAAAGTCTATGAGTAGAACACCAATGGCGGAAACAAATAGGTTCCAACTTCGAGATTTCCTCAACCTTTAAGCACAGGCTACATCCCAAAAATCCAATCTCGAAGACTATCGTATCAAGGGCGATCAGTCTGTACATCATGAACAATGATGGGCGAGAACATGACTCGGAACTGTCAACTCTAGCAACCACCAACTGGGAGCCAGAACGCACTGCGCTGGAATATCCAGAGGGCGGCACCACCGCCTGGGTGGTCGTAGCTGGCGCATCCATGATGCTTGCCTGCACATTCGGCATGATGAGCACGGTCGGAGTGCTCCAATCATATTGGGAAACCCACCAACTCAAGAATTACACATCAAGCACAATAGGATGGATCCCATCGATCTTTATATTCCTGAACCTCGTGCTAGGCCTTCAGGTTGGGCCGATGTTCGACCGATACGGGCCTCGATGGATCATGCTCGTCGGCTCCGTGTGTTATACGCTTTGCATATTTTTACTTGGATCCTGTGAGGAATATTATCAGTTCATGATATGTCTGGCCTTTGGTGGTGCAAGTAGTGCGCTTGTTTCGACACCTGGAATGGCCATACTGTCGCATTGGTTTTGCCGAAGGCGCGGCACTGCAACTGGCATTGCCATGGCGGGCTCGAGTCTTGGGGGAATCACATTTCCTTTAATTTTGAGGAAGACGTTGGAAAAAGTTGGATGGGGGTGGGCACTGAGGATCTTGGGGTTGATCATCTTCGTGTTACTTGCGATTGGAAATATTTGTGTGAGAAGCCGGCTTCCAATGAAAGCTAGAAAGGGAATTCTTGACTTGCGCTGCTTTACGGACTCCAGATTTATATGGACTACTGTCGGGGCTTTCTGTGAGTCCGAGTCCCTTGCGATCGCATGTCCGTGGAACTGACATGCATGCAGTCAGTGAGATTGTCTTGTTCGCTTCTTTGGGATTAATACCGACATACGCAATATCTCAGGGCTTTGGCCCAGAGACTGGCGTCTATCTCTTGGTTGTGTTGAATACGTGAGTCTCTAACTATCCCTGGGCCACTCGACACTGACAAAACAACCAGTGGATCTGCTTTTGGGCGATGGTTATCAGGAACGGCTTCCGACTACTGGGGCCGCTTCAATACCATGACAGTCATGATGGCAATAACAACTGTTTTCATATTTGTTTTGTGGTACCCGTTCGGTCATTTCATCGGCGTCCTTTACCCTTTCGCTTTTCTTCTCGGTTTTGGGACCGGGAGTATACTCAGTCTCACACCAGTCTGTGTTGGCCAAATATGCGGAACCGAAGAGTTTGGCCAATGGTTTGGAACATGCTATTTTGTTGCGAGCTTTGGGTCAGTACCTAGAACTGTTTTGAGGGAAAGCTACTGACTCCCCGTTAGAACCCTCATTGGTATTCCAATTGGTGGACAGTTGCTCGATGTTGCAGGGCCTTCGCGATTGATCGCTTTCCTCGGCGGTATACTCGGTTTGGCCTGTATGAGCTTTGTTGTAGCACGTTGGGCATGTCTGGAGTATCACTGGAACTGGCAGGCGAAGGTCTGATCTAACATAAAAGCGATTGGATACTCTTTGGGTCGAAGGATTATCTTTTCCGCCGCGTACGTATGGGAATAGTCTTCGGTAATGCCGCTTGGAAAGGAATCTGTCAAATCTGTCCAATCTGCCAGTCAGTTCCTTAGTAATGAGGGGCTCACATCATCTGTTTACCTGGGAAAAAAAGTCTTGTACTAGCTAAGCTTGTTTTCGAACCTCCGATTCCACCAAGCACAAAGAAACGAAACAGAACTAAACTTCCCGGTGAGTATATCAAGTAAACATTGTTGATTCAGCATAGTTTTATCTGACGCAGACTGACTGGCTGATTTTGGTAGCCATCAAAATGGCGGCTTCACCTTATACCACCACTCAATACAACTCGGAACAGTTTGTCGAGAGCTGCGGGGCGATTCTCTTTGACTTATCCGACAAGCAAAATAAGAAAGTGTGCCTGGTCTATTATCGCGCGGGAAACGAATGGCTCCTCGCCAAGGGACGCCGCAACTGCGGTGAATCCCGACACGAGGCCGCACTGCGCGAAATCCGCGAAGAGACTGGCTATCAAGCTCGTCTTTATCCAGTTACAATGCATACACGGGCGCCTCCAATAGACGAACAGGGGCATATGCCAGACAAACCTCGCTCTTACCCTGATATCACTGAGCCCTTCATGGTGACTATACGGCAGTTGGGCGGCCACGGTGGCAATGACATAAAAATGATATGGTGGTATGTTGCTGTGCTGGAAGGGCAGGTTGCTGGAGGTGGCGGAGAAGAAGATTTTATGCCGAAGTTCTTTCCCTTGGAGGAGGCGAAGAAGATGCTTAGCTTCCAGAATGATCTTGCGGTTCTTGAACAGGCGATTAAGTTGGTATGATCTCCATTTCTTGAATTGTTTTATATGCAATTGCAGTGCTTAGCAGGCCGATTCCATGGGTGACAACATAATGTTTGCTTTGATAGGCATACTTTTACGCAGGTCTGTAGGTGCTCGGAGCTCCAGACTAGCAGGCCTACAGACCTGCGTAGACTTTTCACTTTCTCCTTTTGTCTTCCAAACTGTGATGGACTGAGAGCCCGACGGGCGGTCTGGCGGGTCAATCAAACCCCTTCCCAAATAGGAAACTGATTCTGTTTTACGATCTTGGCATTTTTGACGTTTTGTTGGCAACGAAGGCAGAGATGGGATGCCGCGGGGTATATCAGAGTGTCAAACCTCGCTCTCCATCCTTCTTCCCTTCTTTCCCCATGTTAAAACTTTTCGTTCCAGGGCCTTTCAAATCCATCATTTTTTTTTTGACAGCCTGCCTCGTAACACAAACTAACATCACTTGCAACTCATCCGGTAACACTGATACCATGGCGTTCATTCAGGCAAATTTTTCAACTCTCAAGAGAAAAGTCATGTTTTTCACAGCCTCTCAGGACAACATCAAGAGAGCCAAGGGTGGAGCTAAAGAGGAAAGCGACCTCCGCAGGTATCTGGACAAGACACCTGGAGATCTAGAGGAAACCAAAAGACGGAGAGATCAGCAGCAGACAGTAAAGACAGACTCGCCGATTCTCACACTTCCGCTCGAGCTGGTCTTGTCGATAACAGACTTGCTTGATGATATCGAGACAACATGCCTCGCGCTTTCTTGTACCCAACTCTGGTCCACCTTGAAGTCCCAGAGGGCAAAACTCAAATCAGGCTGTCTGAACATGATTGACAGTGAAGAGAGACGAGGAAAACTTGTTCTTGTTCTCAGTCGGGATCTGCCAAAACACATTGTCTGTGACTACTGCGCTCGCCTTTATGAAGTTGACATGTCAGATAAACCAAGTCTCCCACATCGACGGTTCATGAACCCGGACACACTATGTGATCTGTGTGCTCAATTTCTGCATCGACTTCCCCTAGATTTCCAGTTACAATGGAGCAATGGGTACAAAATGTTGCATCGAATCAACTTCTCGGATGTCAAACTTGCCATCCAGCACTTTTCTGACCAGAAGTCTGGATATAGCATCAATTCCCTCAACCACACACAGGTGGCTTGCTTGAAACCGAAGACCGATGACCCCGAGATGGATTTGGAAGCCGATACAAACCAGTTGTTGACTTCAATCGAAGCGATGATCATCCACTCGGAACCGGAGCGTCCTACAGTGTCCCTTCGGATCCAGCATATCATGACTGCAAGAGCCCGGAAGCGTGATGACAGTATCATGGACTACAACGAATTACCCCACCCATGCTTTCATATAGACCTCTTGTATATGACGACGGAATTTGCCAAAAAGCTTCCTAAGCAAGGAGAGAAACATCATGATCGAAGCTTTCATTGCCGAGACACATGTACTACATGCATGGTCGACTACCAGCTCGACATTGTGAATGATACAGGGTACGAATTTACCCTGGTTCTCACTCGATGGATAAATTTGGGCTCTGGCTCAAGTCCACAAGATGTTCAATGGAAAGCCCACTCTGCGTGGTACGGCACGGTTGAAAATCCACACCTCAAACCCCGTCGGGTATTTGAAGTCTCCTCGAGTCTATCCCACAAAGCTTTGCGGGCTTCCAATCTTTTTTATCTCGAAAATCAGAACTATAGAAGGTTGATGCAAAGATCTCACCAGGAACTCAGTGTCTGGGTGTTACGTTCTCCAAGGAATTGGGCCCATCAAACAGCCAAAAGAATTGGCGAATTACATGCAGATGCAGGCGTCTTTTGAAAACTAGGTGGGTTACCCTGGCGATAATATTTAATTTTCTATTAAATCTGACCGAAGTTTTAGCTACCGATTCTAAAGATCAAGTTGGCCCTAGAAATGGGGGGTTGGCGATGAAAGCTGTACTCCGTACTCCGTACACAGAAACTATTGAATGTTTTGTCGCGTTGTAATAGCCAAGCAGCAGCGTAAGGCAGGCCAGTGAGGCTCAAGTGGTTATCAGGATTCGATAGATATTCAAAGGAGACATTCTAAAGTTTGGGTTCTGGTAGTGTTGTCCCCTTGGTAGCTAGAGCCTGTTTGCTTAGGAGGTGTTTCCCGCCTGTGCCCTCTAAAGACCATTCAAAGAACTCCATACTATTATCCATGGTGCATATTTGTTATGGTACCCAAGAAAACCTGAACATCTGACTTCGAAGAGCAATAAATAACCGAAAACGCAACGAAAGGCACAGGGTGCTTGGAGGAGGCAAGGAGACATACACTCAAACCCGAACAAACACCCACAGGCCAGTCCGAGAAGCAAAGATCGTTACTCCTACAATCTTCCGTTGAGCTCCTACTGTCTGTCGCCTACAGGTGGACTTCCTCTTCCTCGAGGGTATCCTGTGCTTAGCATTGTGGTCGGAATCTATGACTTTGAAAAGTGGAGAGAGGTCCATATCCAATCAGCACTTCGCTTCGGTCATTAAAGACCGAGATCGCTTTTCGCAGGCGATATATTAGAGTCAATTAAGAAAGGATGAACCGGACATGCAGGTGCATCAATGGCGGGGTTGAGAAGATCATCGACCAACCGGAAACTAAAATCCGTCATCGGATATATCAACGGGACCCTTGGAAGTCATATACTTGACAATCAAAAGTGCAAAATGGCAAACAAACTAGCAATCTCCAGCATCTCCATAAGCCAATACCCCGGTCACTTGCTAGACCAGAAGATCAGCGCTGCCGCCAACGGTGGTTACGCCGGCATCGAAATCGTCTACAATGACCTCGAAACCTACGGCAAAGCACATAACATCCCAATCCACATCGCAGCCCAAAGAATCCATCATCTTTGTCAATCCCTGAATTTTCAAGTCCTATCCCTAGCCCCCTTCGAAAACTATGAAGGCGCCTCAACCCCCCTAGACCAGCGACTCGCTCTCGCAAAGCACTGGATGGACATTGCCCGCTTACTGGAAGCACCATACCTTCAAGTGCCCTCAATCTTCGCAAACGACTGCAGCCGCGACGAAAACATCATTATATCCGACCTGCAACGGCTAGCCGATCTGGGCGCCCAAAAGCCTACAGTCGCAATCGCCTACGAAGCTCTGTCATGGGGTATCAATTGCTCGACGTGGGAGTCTGCACTGGATCTCGTGAATCGAGTCAATAGGCCCAATTTCGGTCTTTGCATGGACACCTTCCACGAGGGAACACGGGTGTGGGGTGATAATGCGTCTGCGAGCGGGAAGCAGATGGATGCAGATTTGAGATTGCGAGACTCGCTTGCGCGGTTTGTGCGCGATTGTCCTGTCGAAAAGATATTCTATGTCCAGCTTTCGGATGCGGAGAGATTCGACCCGCCTTACTCGGAGGTGCATCCCTGGGCGAGGCCTGGGGAGGCGAAGGAGTTTACGTGGTCCAAGCATGCTAGACCTTTCCCTTTGGAGAAGGAGCTTGGTGGGTATTTGCCCGTTGCGCAGATTGCTAGGGCTTGGATTGTGGAGAAGGGGTTCGGGGGTTGGGTTTCGATGGAGGTCTTTGATCGCGCCATGAGGGATGGCAGTGTTAGTCCGGAGGTTGCGGCGAGGAGGGGAGTTGAGTCTTGGGGGAAGGTGAAGGCTGAGATGGGAGATCGATCGAGGCTTTGAGAATGAGAATCTTTCGTACTTAAGTAGCGAGGTCATCAGCATGAGTTGAAATGTAATCGGCATTCCATGTACAGCTAAAGAGATCACAGCGCATCGAAGGGCAAAAAAAAAAGTATTTCATTATAAAATCAAACAATATGTAAATTTGTTATGGGAACACCACGCGAACGCATCGTATATCGTCTCTTGACGCCCAGAGCGCCTGCATGTCGTAGAAGCTGGTATGTCTCATCGCCACCACCAACCATCACCATGCTAATGAGATAGTTGCGCGGAATGCCACTGGGAGTCATCTGCGCCTCGTCAAGGTGAGGGCGGATGAGGGTGGACTCGGCACGAGCAGCAGCGAGGGAAGGTCGAGTGCTACTTGTTTGTTGATGATCAGGCATGTCATCATATGAGACAACGACGATTAGCTTCAGCGCGTTTCGTGTGGGACGGTATGCGGGTATATTGCGAAGCTTTTCGGAAAAGGTGCAGCCGCCACGCTTGATCACAAGAACTTCGTGGTGCTGGGCGACTTCGCGAGTGATACGCTCGTCGCAAAGGTCGCCGGCAAAGTAGATATTTGACCACGTGAGAGCTTTGGTCGATTGGCTTCCAAACAGAGACATTGTAATGGCATCTTCAATGTCTGGTAGCATGGCGGATCCAACGCCTGTGGAAATGGCAGCTGGGAGGCTCAGACGCAGCGGAGCGGGTTCTGCTGGCTCTTCGCGGAGAAGAGACGAGACTGAGTTGACCAGAGACGACAAGATGGCTCTTACAGTTGAGTCGGGGGAGTCGATGGCGGTGTCGACTGGAGAGGCAAGGCCGTGGGAGTCTGGCGACTGCGGATGGTCTGCTTGAGACTGTTCATCTCGCGGAGGAGCCGAAGCATTACGTCGGCGAGAGGGCTCTGGGAGTACGTCAATGACGAGGTCAAGCATGGTATTGTCGCGAACACGAGTAAAGTTCGGATCATACGGATCGACAACATCAAAGGTGATCTGCCGAGAGAGATATACCTTCTCATCTTTGCCCAGGGGCACATTATTGATGACTTGAACCCGATATCCGTCTTCGTCCCCTGTCGTGGGAATCGGATCCCCAAGTCGTGCATCCTGCACCATACTCAAGCGAAGCCCTCCTATTGTCTTCACGAGAACTCCATCCCGAACTCGCTCCAATGCCCCGGGGCCAAGGTTGACGCCGCCCGGAAGTGAGGGGAATGAAATGTCGAGTGTGGGCCGGACGGCCATCGGGGCGCTAGTAGCATTGTAAGGAACCAGCTGGGGAGGTAACGTCCATGGGTAGAAAGTGTAGTTCGTTGGTGACGAAAGATCAGTCACATAGACACTTTGATGTTCGGCAGAGTCTTGGAGAACGGGTCCCTTAGTTGCCGTGCGATCGGGCATTAGCTCCAAGCGTGCCAGTGTGGCAGCGTGGAAGATATCCGAGCGAGATGCAGTGGAAGATACACCGAAGAACAGCGGGGGTGTGATTTGGCACACCCCCGGTGGGATTTGCTGGTCCTGGGGCGGCGAGCGTTGCCGGCGAGACGGCGATGTCTTTTTGGTTGGAATGATCAAAGGATGTCCTTCCGTATTGAAAACCCAGGGGGAATCAATCTTGTTGAGCGGGTGTTCCCGGTCGAACAGGAGGTATAGATACTTGGCAGTCTCGCCTGTGAAGAAGCTCTCCATACGATCGATCAGCTCTCCGGTCAGGACATTTCTGATTCCAGCCCAGCCACACTTGGTCCAGCATCGTCGCTTGAGATCGCTGAGAACCATTTCTCCAACATGCAAATACCAGGGGTCCTGAGTCGCCCGGTATATGTAGTAATTGGATTCAATGAACTCAGGCCGGCCTCCGTACCAAGGCATGCCATTGTCAATGTCACCCGTGGCCACGTTCCAGCGCTCAGGAATACCTGAGTAACGAGTCCAGATGGCGGTGGGCAACAAATGGATCTGGATCGCCTCTTCCACCTTTCCGTCCAAGGTAAGAACACCCGGATAAAATGAGCTTAAGCTGTCGATCCAAAATGCCCGTGTAGCACCCGTCATCACGTCGCCTACAATGAGATGGGGATGCTGATATCCCTCGCCACGGAGAAGATGACGGTTGATTGCCGCGTGCGATTCTTCCCAAGCCTGGCGAAAGGCCTCCGAGGTCTGTTGGTAAGCCGTCAGAGGGGACTTCGCATAGTATGAGTCCATTTCCGCCCAAGGACTATTGAGATCAAATGGCACAGGTTCCCCCGCTGACAACAGAATAGGGACTTTCACGGCATATTCATAGAAGCTGTCAATACCGGCACCGATACCAGTCCATGGTCCTACCCAGTTGCCAGACTCCACATTAATACCAAATCCGAGCAATCCAATATCACTTCGGCGATCCCACACTGCCCAGAAAGCTCTCTTACCCAGGTCCTCATACCGCCCGTCCCCAGTGAGTCGACTGAGAACGGTGAGTTCCAGTACCAGACTACCTGCACCAGCACTGCAAGTCTCGGCAGGGTCGGTCTCTGCCGAGGACTTGGCGTTGCGCTTGTCTTCCTTCCTTCCAGAATTGGGATTCAAGGGCGCATTTTCATAGAATGGTATACCGTGACGCAGATTCACCCGCGGATATGGAAGACCAGTCTCTGTGTAGAAAGCAGGGAGCAAGCGATGGGCCAGATCAACAGCTAGCCGAAGGAGTTGGCCATCGTAGACGAAGCCGCTGTTCCAAGGAATTCCATGAGCACCTTTCTCGAAATCGCTTTTGTCCCAGGCACTCGCGAAGGCGACTTCGGGATCTGAGGGCTCGTATCCGGCGATAGGGAGCTCGCCAACGGCAAACAGATGAGCGCTGAGCAGTCCACCTGAAACGGGTGAGATGAGAATGAGATACGATCAGAGCATGTATAGAAATGTGCAGAGCATACCGAGTCCCCGAATCACAGTCTCAAAAAGCTGAACCTTGCTATCCAGATCGAAGCCTCTAGATCTCTCGCCCTGACCAGCAGGGCCGTCCGATCCATCTCCATACAGCCTAACGAAATCCTCAATTCCATTTTGGAAATGCGCCAGTGCACGCTCGCCACTATCCGGACTGGACGAAATAATCGCCAGCGTCGACAAACTGTCAATCAGAGTTAAGGAGTAATTCCCTAGCACATCGTTGTTCTCCGGGTTCTTGTCGTCGCGCACGAGGGGGCCGCAGGTCAGCGCGCGAAGTTCGTCTTCAGGAAACGCGTAGTGGAGGTAGTTCTCGAAGCCATGGAAGAACATGCGCTCAGTTTCTTGTCTGCGCAGGTTAGCATATTGTCTCCAAGGCTACCGAGGTGAGTGAGTGTACCTTAATTCGTGGACTCGGCTGTCTCGCATGCCGTGGGCGAGGGTCAACCATAATGACAGGATGGCCCATATTACCATCGTCCCCTGGGGGTTGAACATGAGGCTCCGTGGGATCTTCACGGAGCAGGTTTCAACGTAGGGTCATGGATAGCTGCCAGATGGCGGACAGTAATGTAGGGCGCATGTGTGGAGATTCGGCCAGATAAGCCATTCTTTTTTGCCGCTAATTGCATCATCTCCGACTCGGGTATAGATCTATGTGTGATATGTATATATCAGGGAGCCCAGGTGAGTAGTTGAGCCTAATACTTTCAGATCCACATACTTCCAAGCTTGAATTTTAGGAATTTGAACATGGGAAGATTCACTGATGCCTGGAATCACTGCTCCAAGGGCTCCCGCTTCCGAACCCCAGGAGGTCCCAACTACCCATGAACCAGAGGAAGCTCTAAAAAATATAGCAGACAGAACAAACACAAGTCCACTGAATAAAGAGACAGACAGACACGAGGAACGAAGATCAGAGACGCTTCCAAAGTGCTGGAGTGCAAAGTTCTTATTGTACAATCAATAGTTTCATATGTAGGATACAGATCAGGAACTCTGACTGGCGGTTATTGTTTTGAGACCAAGTCGTAGCGGAGGAGCTTGGACCATTGGCTTTGAAAAGATGAAACTGACGCCCGCTGAATTTCATTATAACATTATTATCACGTATGCTTACTTGCCAAGCTCCCCTAGCATCAAGTTCCTATCGGATGAGCAAGAAACAACTGAACAAGAGTTAGCAATTGTCGGCTGAAAGTATGTTTGGGGAATAGACTCACTAATTGGCTCATCGTTGGGAGAGAAGCGGACGTCATTGACAGTTCCCTTATGACCAGGGAGCTTGTATAGCAACTTCGCAGTCTTGGCATCCCAAACCACCACACTTCGATCACCGCTGCCTGCGGCGATCTTCTCACCGCGAGGATCCCAGCTGGCACGAATGAGATTCTTCTCGAGTCCGACAGGAGCACCATCGTAGGTCTTCACCTGCCGGTTAGTGGGAGCGAAGGGGCGAATGTCCCATGTGCGAACGGTCGAATCGTGAGAATTAGATAGCAGAGTCTGTGAGTCGGGGGAAATTTGTAGAGACGTAATGGTGTCTGTGTGTCCGGTCATGGAGTAGACAATGGCCTTCTTCCGAAGATCCCAGACATGGATCGTGTTATCAATACCTCCACTGTAAATCTCGTTACCCGCCTCAGACAATGCCACTGCAGTGATGGGAAGCTCAGTCTCCAGGTAGTCCAGAGCATCCTTCTGTCGGGGATCCCAAATGCCGATGCAGCCATCGTCACTGCCGCTAACAAGTAGTTCCTGGCCTCGTTTGATAATATCGAGACAGTTGATAATCTCTTCATGGCCCACATGACGGCGTACACGCTCTCCGGTCTCAACGTCCCAGCTTCCGAGGGTCATGTCTGCAGATGCGGAAAATAGCGCCCGCGAATCGCGAGACCACTGGAGATCTAGAACAGCTCCTCGGTGGCCGTTCAATTGGCCGTAGTTTTCACATTGTCCGTAAGTGTTCCAAAGGACTGTTCGCAGCAAATTTCATCAGCAAAGTATTCAAGGCGGCGTGCATGGAGAAATATCGAACATACGGATCGAACGGTCCATCGAGCCGGACGCGATGTGTTGAGCGGTGGGGTTGAACCGGGTTGCGAAGATTTCACCGGAGTGTCCTGGTAAAGCCGTTTAGTTAGCGCTTGTAAAGATATCGATTGAAGACAGCATCTCACCTGTGAGCTCCATGATCGGAGCATCTAGTCCACTTGTACGAGGAACCTGCAAAACCAAGTTAACGGTAATTCTCACACACAAACTCTCGAGCTAAATCGAGTTTCTCTGGCGCATACAGATTGGACAAGAGCTCCATTTTGCGCAGAGCCTTTGACAAGTGCGGTTCCTGCATTGACGGCGTCGGCCTTGTTTCGCTTGACCACGAGCTCGTGAGAGGACCCAAAGGCCGCGGGGGCAGGGCGCTTTTCGCCAGACATGATCAGAGTAGTCGGCGCAAAAAGACCAAGGAGAGAAAAAGGATTGAGTGTTGACCAATCGCGACTTCGGGCGAAAGTGGTGGAGAGCAAAAGTTCAAGGCGAGAGCTGCGGGAAGAACGATAATCCCACTCTCGGCGGTGAGTAGGCAGTCCGTACAATTAGCTCCAAACAACATCAACTCCCCGCAATTCCCCTGGGCTATTGACTGTCGCATTCACCTGTGCTTGTCCGAACGGCGTTGATTTTCCACATTCTACCTCGACGAGAAGGCCTCGAAGTGTTGCCTGCAAGATGTCGTCTAACAAAACCTCAAGAATAGGCGAAGAGTAGGTTGGCTCAGATATCTTATTTATCCTGTGGAGACCTTTCTAACTGATAACTTTACAGAATATGGAAGTCAGTAGCTCCAAGCCCCCGACAACAGGAACCGAAAAGCCGTTGCTCATCCGGGCTTTACCTCCACCGAACCGAAGCTAATTGGCATTCACATACAGAACACGAGTCGATAAAGTCAACGCAGAATTGGTTACGTTAACCTATGGAACGATTGTCGCACAATTGTGCCAGGACTACGATAGCAACTATCAGGATGTCAACAAACAGTTGGAAAAGATGGGATACAATATTGGAATGCGTTTGATTGAAGACTTCCTAGCAAAGTCAGGCGTCGGCCGATGCGCCAACTTCAGAGATACAGCCGACATGATTGCTAAGGTAGGCTTGAATTCTGATACGCTGAAGGGGGCTCGGATAGTTGACATCTCGCAGGTTGGCTTTAAGATTTTCCTGAACGTTACCCCAACAGTCACGAATTGGACGAGCGACAACACGCAATTCTCTCTGATCTTCGAAGAAAACCCCCTCGCCGACTTTGTGGAGCTTCCAGACGATGGACGGGCCCAAGACGAGCTCTGGTTCTCTAATATCTTATGTGGTGTGCTTCGCGGGGCCCTGGAGATGGTAAGTTCTCGGACCCCTGATCAATCAGGCCGGGTTCCCTTCAATTGGGTCCGATCACTAACCCAGCTTCCAGGTTCAAATGCAGATCGAGGCGCATTTCGTCAGTGACGTACTGCGCGGAGACGATACTACCGAGATGCGGGTCTCGCTTGTACGATACATCGAAGATGAAATGCCACCCGAAGAAGAGTGAGATCCATGGAAGCAATTACTACATGATAGGCGTTTGGGGATTTTATTAGCAAGGGAATATATTTTTTTTTCCACATTACAAGATTGTATACCTGTTCCGAGCCAATTAGTGTTTGTGATGTATATCGCGCTTAATCCACCACGCGATTTATTACTGGCATAGGGGGTAAGTTGATCAAAAGTTCATAAGAAATGAGGTTACGTTTCAGATCGATGGGAAGATCCGGGAGCTGACAAGATTCGGGTTTCAGTTGCAATGCGATCAGTCGACTGTATGGTGTTGTATTCCGTATAAGTTGCATGATTATCGGTTTTTATACACGTAGATCTTCGGTGAGGTTGCCAGCGGCGCTTGATCTGTATGGTCATAGTAGAAACAGTATTATTGTGTCACCGTGCAGTTTTGTCAAGTATCTTAAATCACTGTCAGCACCCAAATTGTGCGAGAGTTTGGGTATCCTGGACTTGTGAAAAAAAGTATTTGTCAGGTACTGTATGTCACAAACAGCGTTACCAGGTCTGTACCACTATCTCCGCCCCTCAACTCTGACATATCGATTTCCTCTTTGCCTCTCTCCCATCCCCTTTGTCACCGAATGAAGGCTATTCCTATTGTTAATTGATCCTCCTATTGAATTTTCCGAATCCCTGGATCGCTCGATCTTTGCCAGATTCGTGAGAAGGAAAAAAAAACGTAGTGGCTTGCCCTACTTTTTAGACTCCCGCTGGGATCCATCGCAGGGCCCATCTCAGGTATCATATCATTCTCACCTCTCCTCCCAACTTCTTTGGATTTTATATCATTCCAGTCCTTTCTGCGTCTATCCGCTGACTTGGAATCTCCTTTTGTTGTTTGCTGCAGACCGCAAGTTCAATGGTTATCAGATCGGTGCATTCCCAGAAATACGCCTGACAGCGCCATCCCCAGCCCCGATCGGAGGTAGTTGATCCGCTTCCGGAGAACAAGCGATTTCCCGCAGAGTGCAGCGCCTGTCGCCGTATGTCCCCCCCCCGGCTCTCTCTCACTAAATTCGCTCTCCCCTTCTACTGTGAGATCCACATCTCGTAGATTCCCCCTTCCCATCTGTTCGTTTCCCCCCTCGTCTTTCGGTTTCTCTTTTCTTTTCTTTGTATAATTTGGTGTTCTGCGATTCTGCCCGATCGGGTGTCTGGCGCCCGCCCCCCATACCAACCACCTCACCTGTGCGCTTTTTCCGCCTCCTTGTACTTCCGTCATCGCCACATAGACCGCGCACTTGTTCTTCCCATTCGATCGGTGTTTAATATTTTTCTTGGGTCGACCGCTCACCAATTTCTCCAGCCAGAGACATCGAGCGTACTGTCTGCGCCTCCGAGCCTCGAGCCTCTCGTTTCTACCCAGTCGCGTTCCCAGATATTGGTGAACTCTGATCTTTACATCGCCGCCCCGTCACCTTCTGCGACTAAGCCCATTGGGTAGCCGGCGCAGTCACGCAAACGCGTTGCTGGTCATTCTCCATCAACGAAGCGCCCACACCGCTCATCGTCCCGCTCACTTTCCCACGCGTTGGATCTTGAACCCCGCGTTAGGCTTCGTTGCCTGAAACGGTGGTCGCGCGTTGGAAGCTAAACGTTCGACCTGAACTTTCCCGTCTATATATAGGCAACGGTGGCTGCAGTCCCACCATTCGCCATGAATCAGATGAATGTTGGGATGAACCCGGGGGTTGGAGGACCCGTCGGGGGAGTGCCAATGATCAATAATGGATCTTCAGCTTCTCGTAACGACGCCTCTATGAACAACCCCGAACAGCTGATCAGCAATCTCAACACCTATATTTACGATTACTTTCTGAAGCGTGGCCACCACGACTGCGCTCGGGCGCTTTTACAGGATGAATCCATCAAACTTAACACGGAGAACAACCCCAAGACGAGCCCAGGAAGTCGACGTGATGATGTCAATGGCATGGACCCGGATGCCATGATGACTGACGGCAAAGACGGCGAGAAGATCAAGATCCCAGATGACCTGCCTCGCCCAAGTATTCCCAATAATGAGAGTCCCTCTTCATTCCTCCTCGATTGGTTCAACCTATTCTGGGATTTCTTCTGGGCCCAGCGCAACAAAAAGAATGGCGGTGACATCAGGGCATACCTCCAGCACAACCAGGTTCGTAATCGAGCCACGCGACGGTGAGGAGCACCGACTAACCCTGAGATCCTAGCAATTCATGCGTCTGCGAGAGCAGCAGCACAACCAGTTCATGCGCCAGCAACCCATGATGCCCGGCCAGATGGGCGTGCGGAGGCAGAATGGCATGGTGCCTCCCACCTTGCAAAAAACAGTGCTGCAGAACAACACTCCTGGCCTGTATGCTATATGAACTTTCTTCCCCCATGCGGAGCTTTGGACTGGTAGGGTGGACGTGCTAACGTCATTTTCTGTAGTACGCCGCAGCAACAACTGGCGCAGTTCCAGAAGAACCAACAGCTGCAAATGATGCAACAACTGCAACGAGAGCAACCCGAAATGGACATGGGCGGACACCGACCGCAGTCACCAGCGTCTGCAGACAACGCCCCCTCGCCGTCGAAACGCCCACGCCTCGAAGGCGCTGTCAACGGACAGCAGCTTGCACCGAACGGACGCGCACAGGGACAAGGGATCCCCGGACAGCCTAATCAGCAGGCTATGATGATGCAGAATGGCATGCAGCGAGGGATGACGCCGGCGCAGTTCCAGCAATATCAGCAGCAAACGGGACAAGCGCAACAGAAATCTATGCAGGTATATGCTCAAAACTTGGCCCTTCATCACTCTCGCTCAGCATCGAATTCCCAGGGTATCCCGAATGGTGGCATGATGAATCCCGGTGTTATGGCCAACCAGGCAGATCTGGTACCCATGCCCGATGGCCAAGGAATGTACCCCATGGCTGGTGCTGGTCCTGAATATTATGGTGCCAACGGACCCATGGGCCAGGTCCGACCTGGTGGTATGCAAACACCTGGTGGTGGCGGTGGTCAGCACGGTAACCATGCTCTGCAAGATTATCAAATGCAGCTTATGCTGCTTGAACAGCAGAACAAGCGGCGCTTGATGATGGCTCGTCAAGAGCAAGACACCATGGCCCGTACTGATGGCCAGCCTCCCCAAATGCCAGGCCAGCAAGTGATGCCGCCAGGCACATCACCAGGAAGTAGAACGGGCGCCTCCCCCAACCCCAGCGACCAAATGAAACGAGGCACGCCTAAGATGAACCAGACTGGACTCCCCGGATCACCTAGTGCTGGTGACATGTCCCAGCGTGGCTCACCTGGATCCATGAACCTCAACAATGGCCAAATGCCTCCAGAGATGGCTGCTCAGTTCTTCCAGGGCTCCAACATGCGACCTCCCAGCTCGAATCCAGCCTTCTCCGCGGCTCAGATGGGTCAACCCATTCCGGCCAACGCCGGCCAGCGTATGCCCAGTGGACAATGGCAGCAAGGGCAACCGATGGCTCCGCAGCACTCGCCCGCGCACCAACCCCAAGTTGGAACCCCGCAGGAGCGAGGCGCGATGCCACCGCCCTCCGCGCCACCTGTCGCTGGACCTAACGCTGGCCGCGGCCCGGAGGCATCCCCCCAGACCGGCGGCAACGCACCCCCCACCCCCAACCAGACCAACAAGCCCGCCCCCAAGGGCAAGAAGGACACCAAGGACACCCGCAAGGTATGTATACACAAGAAAGCCGTATTAACCATGTTTTCTGACCTTGAATCTAGCGGCCCAACAAGAAGCAAGCAGCTGCAGCTGCGGCTGCCGGTGCCACTCCTTCCACTGAAGCTGCAGAGCTCCCAACTCCTTCCACTCCTGTCACACCCCATCCTCCCCCCAACGCCTTCAAGAACGGAGCCAACGGAGCTAACGGACCTGGACCTGGCCAGCCCACCTCGGCCCCAGCTCCTCAGACCATGGTCCCACCGCCTCCTGACCAGAATAACCAACCTTTCACTGACCTCAGCATCCCTGATGTATGTCCCTCCTACGACCGTGCCACCCCGGCACTCACTAATCCATCTCACTGCAGGCTTCCGCATTCAACCTCGACTTCAGCGCACTGGAAAACCCAGATATTTTGGAGAACTTCGACTTTGACACATTCCTCAACACCGATGCCGATGCCACAGGCTTCGGTTTCGACCCGAGCATATCATACTCGGGCGACGGTGTTGAGACAGGAGCCGGCGACGGCCTATGAACGTGTAAAAGTCTTAACGGTCCTTCAGGTGCTTCACCTCCGATATACCCTTGTTTGTACATTTGATCATTGCTCTAGTGCGTTTTCGCGAATACTCGACCTGTTCTGTTTTCTCTCCCTGGATATGTGTCTCCCCCACATGTGCCGTGAGATAGGCGTTGCGCGGACCCATCGCATCTCCTGTTTCCATGCTCGCCCTTCGCAATTTGCTTTGGATCGTTCTGTATTCGAGATTAGTGCACTGTGACCTACGAGTTTTCTTGGCTTCTTTCCTTTCTTTCCTATTATTACTATTATTACTTGTGTGGTTACTTAATTCCTTTGCCTTGGGGCAACGTTGATACTCAGTATGAAGTCCAGTTGCCTATGATCCACCGTTTTCCTTTCTTTTACCCCTTTTTCTTTTCCCATTCTGTCCACTCTGCTCTCTTTACAAATGCCGGCCGTTTTCTTTTTCTTTTGTTACCTCAATTGGTAGTTGCTCTTGGCCTGTGACCTTTTCTTTCCCCCCTTCTTTTTTCTCTTCTTCATCTTCATCTCTTTGCTTTTATTTTGCACTCTCGGATCAATTGCTTAGGTTCAAAAGGGGACAAGAACCAGGAATATGGTGTCTGGGTTGGATATTCCCCTTGCAGAGGAGTTCAATGTCGTTATGCTTATGGTCTCATATGATCGAATCCATCTTGTTTGCACCAAAAATTGGGCCTTGTAGCCTTCCAGGTCTGTAGGGACTAGACCGCATTAGAAGGGGAAGCATGGCAGAATGTTCAGAGGCTAACCCTAACTGGTGTCTCTTTTGATACCCTCTCTTCTCCTCTCTTATTTTCCCTTTCATCTCCCTCTTCTTCTCTTTCTCTGTTTCTCTTTCCCTATTCCTACCTTGTCAAAGTGTCTTACCTGACAATGTCGGGCTTTGTGGCAAGTCTTATCGCACCTCTCTCACGCCCTGCCTTCCCTCGTGTTCCCCATTCCCTTCCTATTGTCCTATTGATGACTGGATCTTCCCTGATATCCTCTCATTCAATATTTATGTGCGGTGATCTGCTATCCTGAATAAGCTATGGCCTCAACTCTCTCAGCATGTACTACGTTGATGATTCCACATCATATCAAGCCTCTCCTCACAGGCTCAGATATGCCTGCCGTTGGATCTCCGCTTTTTCTCCATGGACGACGCCGATATTCACCAGCCCCGCCAAGATACGTGCATGGTGACCATTTATGTTGGCTATTGCGTTATATGGCTGGTCGTGAGGTGTTCTGAGATGACGGGGCGGGTCTGATACTGTTCCTTGCCTTAGAAATGAACTGTGCTATGTTCATATTTTTTTCCATCCACTACAATCCTTCCTACAGACACACACCGGTGCTTCTATTTCTGTCGTGATGATATCCTGGGCAACTTAGCAAGTCGAGCTCTATAGTATCCACCTCAAAACTACTTGACGCATGAGGCATTACAGAAAGAAGTAAATGAGGAAATCATCGATGTTAAACAAAAAAGATGCCGAATAAGCTCCTAAGCTAAGTGGAATTGTGCGGAGGTGAACATGGCAAGCTAATAACACGATGCTAACTAATACCATAACAGAACCGGCGACAACAAATGTCGAGACCCAGGCAATCCGAGGGAAAATGAAGCCCGACAGACAAATCATCGAGATTCAAAACAAGTCCCATGCCACAAGACAGGACCGGTCCCTCCACAAGATCACCAGCAAGATCCAGATGCCTTGCTCTGACTATCCAGCCGCTTCTGCGTCTCGCTTTCCAGATCGTACAGCGCCCGCAGTTGGCATTTGTACTCCGCTTCAGAGATATCGGCATCTTCCTTGACCATCTGGAGCACGTTAAGAATGACATGCTTAACAGCGATCTCATCTGCGACCTCAGTATCTGGACCCTTCACAGTAGCAAGCATGATTGGACTTGCACGATGCAGGTAAGGGTGGCTGTTGTCAAAAGTGGCGAACATGTCGTAGACGTGAGGATGATCATTTTCGGGCGTCTTTTTGCGAGTGATGGAGGGGTTATTTATTCCCAGGGCGGTACAAAGGGCTGAACGGTTATTTTAAGGTCTTCGGAAAGGGTCAGATGACTTACTTTCCATCATCCTGCGAAAAGATGCTCCCGAGCTCATCAGCTTGATCTCCTTTTCAATGCTCTTCAGCTTTGCGAGAGGGTCTTCCGGGGGCTTGTCAACCTCACGGATTGGTGCCAAACGACTGTTAGCCAGTGGAATATAATTCGCAGAGCTGGCTTCCATCCGAGGCGGACTCGGAGGAGGAGGTGGACGACTCGGAACATCAGCAGGTAGACGACCCGGAGCAGCAGGAGGTGGACGACTCGGAACATCAGCAGGTAGACGACCCGGAGCAGTAGCAGGTGGACGACTCAGAGCAGTAGCAGGCGGACAGGGTGCCTGGCTTTTCTTTGCCCTTGACTTCTTTTTACCCTTACGAGTAGATGTGCGCGGATTCGCTTTGTTGGAAGTCCCTTTGCCCACGCCTGCAAACTGCTGAGAACGATTTGACTTCTTAGGATTGATGGTAATCCCTGAACGCAAAAGCGCAGCACACTGCTTCTCAATTGAGAGGCCAACTGGCGCAGCAGCGCCGGTTGCAGCAGCCATTGTAGAAGTCGTTGGCAGGTTGGCAAAAGAGTCGGGATAAGAATTGTTGGAATCAACGACCATCAGCTGGTGGATCGAGATGTGCGCCGCAGTGTTTTGCGCTTCTGCCAGGCTTCGGCACTCTCGAACAGTACGGAACACCTTGTCCTTGACAAAAATGTCACAATACCAAAGGCTTCCAGTACAGCTGGGTCGATAGAGAGGCTGCGGCCAACCTTGCTGGGCACAGTAGTCTAGAAGGTCGCCTTATTAGCTTGTTTTTCTAAAGATGGGAGAAAACATACCATCAAGCATCCAGTTCCAGTTCCAAGCAGGAGTCGTGGCCCCATCAATGGGCTGAGGAGGAACCAACCACATCGGGTTATCATCCTGCAGCTGCTGAATGCCTCGACGACAAGCAGCAACCTTTGCCGCCGTAGTTGAGTCAAAAGACGGAGCAATTGTCACCGTATGGCCCCACATGGTAAGCTTGACTCCAATCTTCTTTCCTCCCTCGCCACCGTACTTGAACGTAAAAGCAGGCTGCAGGTTGGCCATCATAGCGATGACCTGAAATATGAAAAGAACTTGGTGGTTGGTGAGAATTTCTACCGCTAGAATTCCAATGCGTAACTGAGGATGCGTTAGATTCCTTGCCGTCATGTATGGAGTGGCAAGCTTGGTATGACCAAAAGGTGTACTCTGATACCATTGATAGCCATGGAACTTACCTGATCAGTGGGGCTCCCTGGACCGTGGGAATGTACCTCGCCGAGGGAGCCTTTTGCATTGGTGTATCTGTTTGGATCCAGAATTTCACCTGGCTCCAGTTGAGTTGAAGGACCACCCAAGCAAGTTCGGGCAAATCCTCCATCGTCGGTCTTGACCAAAGCTCCGGGGCCTGCGGTATCCTGTACGTTGAAGGAGGAAACTTCACGTGGCACAAATTTGCCCCAAACTTGTGCCGACGACGAGCTAAACTCAATGTTTCCATCAAACCCTTGATGGCCCACAAAAGGGCTCTGTGAAAGCCTTTCGACCTTCATCTGGTCGCCCATGCCCGAGGTGATCCCTGGGGGAAACCTGGGAGAGACAGTCGAGTCGTCATAGGACATAGCGGCAACAAAAGAAGGGAAACCGAATTTGACCCCAATGTGCGCTGCCCCCAAGTGCTCGTTCTGTTGGCTACTAGAACCAACATTTGAGGGAAAACCTAGGGCGTTTCGGCCATAGGAAGACCTGGGAGCCGCAGGTTCAAAGTTTTCAGCTTCAGAAATGGAGGAGAACCCAAATACAGGCATGCGACGACTGTTGGTCATCGCCGAGCTGGAGCTCAATACCTGATTAACAGGCTGATTAACCTGACCTTCATTGGAGATCGAACTGTTGGTATTTCCCTCGGACACGCGAGCTGAATGGCTTTCAGACCATTGACCATTGAACGGAACGGCCGTAGAGTCGTCGGTGAAGGCAAAGCGTTCAAAAACATTTGGTTGAACATTTTGGATGTGCGAAGGCTGCTCGCCCCCGAATGGGGGCCAGACATAGCCGCCAAGGGGTGAGAGCCCTGGAGGCGGTCCAAATTGAGTAGACTGCTGACTCAAGTGGTCAGAAACGGGCTGCCGGGAACTGACACCCTGGCTCGAGGGCTGTCCACCGGGATTTCTTGGATCCACACAGTGTCCAGGAAACAGGAGAGGATCACCGCTCTGCGAGATAAAGTGCTGACTCGAAGGAATCTGGTTGACCGCAGTATGGATCGAGCCTGGCTGGCTAAACTCAGGAGTGGAATCGATAAATTGTTGAGTGAGCTGGCGTGGTTGGTGCTGGCTCATGGCCTGTTGATACAGATAAGCCGGAGGATTCTGAATACGAGCCAAGAAAGGTGCACCAGAATCGACAGGAACATGACGAATATGCTCCACGGGCAAAGTGGGAACATCGATACCACTTGACAGACCTCCTTCGTCAACAGAGAGCCCACCCTGCTGAAGCATAGGCTGGCTGCAAGCATCCTGGGGACCCACAGACAATGACTGGACACTTTCCCCATGGCCAGTATCAGAAGAACAATTCAATTTGAGATGTTGATCAACAGCAGCACACATCTGGCTGCTGTCAGGAGTGATTCTTTCAAACAAGGTGGTGCCAGATGACAGTGGCTGAGGTGAGCAAATCTCCCTGACAGAACCCTTTAGACCCCCCTGAGCACTGGTGCTGGGGGGCAATGACAAATCACGATGTTGGCTCAAGGTCTGCTGGTTTCGAAATAAAGCTGAAATATCGGCTTTATCCCTCACTCCAGACAAAACCGCAGCCACGTCATTTTGATTATCCGTCATGCGGCTCATCAAGAAATCCAATTCAGGCAGCTGCTCATCAAGAGCAGCATGGGTAGGATTGCCCTGGCCAGGCGGCTGCATAGAGGTGCATCGCTGTCCATTGTCAAGTGAAGGCGCAGTCAGCGGCTCAGTGGTGTTTGAGCCACCTGCAGCCGACAGACCAGACAATGGCTGATGACTTTGGTCTTCAGTCACAGGGCCATAAAAGACCTGCGACTCGGGCTGAGTTGGAGTTGGGCGTTGGACATGCAAGGTGTGGGGCTCGGGGGGAGGTTGGATACGGGGGACGCTAAAAGCATCGGGGCACGGTGCTAGCTGATGCTCAAATCCATTGATCATTTCTGCACCCGACTCAATACTCGACACAGGAGGAGTGGTGCTTGAAATGACATCCGGAGAGCCTGAGGCGGATGGAACCACCGCAGGCAAGGACACTGGGATAGACGACATGGTCACGAGAAGATCTTGAAACAGAAAAGAAAATCACGTCAAAGATTACGTGAAAAAGAAAAGAAGCAATGAGGGTTGTAGAAGAGAAAAGATGTTTGGGGGAGGGAAAGGGTAAACAAAGTGAGAGTCTGCTGAAGTAGGAAGGAACTCAATCGCAGGCAGGTGGGGTGGTGTACATTTACTATTTACTGCTCATGAGGAACACTAAAATCACTGTGAAAGTATTGTGACACTTTTCATTGAGATAAAACATACTACAAACCTCATCAAACCAAAGTGTGAGTAAGAATACTGGTCCCGGAAACCCTCCCAAGGCCTCTATGAACCTGCTACCATACCCTCCTGCAATCCTTCCGCAATCAAATCCTCAACCTGCTTCGCGATGTCTCTTGCATTCTGCTCCAAATTCTCTTGATCAATGTCCTCAAGGCTTTCGGGTGTGATCTTGTGAGTGGCTTTGTCGGATCTCTTAGCAGCCCGAGTCTCCCGGTCTGACATGATATGTTCATTTGTACTAGCCAGCCCAGCCTTCTTCAAGGGCTCTTTGGAAACTTCTTGGCTGGTCCTTCTTCTGGTATCTTTCCTAACCTCCTTCATTGGGGCTTTCTCAGGAGCAAGAGATTGACTTGACCCCGAAACCTCTCGAGTGCTTGACTGGGAGCTATCCGCGAGAATCGAGGTACGACGACTGCGAGTGTATCGCGCAGACCGTGCTAAGGCTGCAGCAGACAGTTTTGGGGGTGGCATGGACTCCGAGGGAGTGTTGGAGGGTGCGCAGGTTCCCAGGGACGGTGCTGCTTTGGTCGGCGTAAGGGATTGAATGAGCTCATTGTAGTGTTGGTCGTCGTCGAGGTGGACGGGGATGCTTCGATTATGGCGATCAGTCAGATAGTCAGGGATGCTTGGATTGCTATGTTCATAGCTGTAACCAGTCAAAGTGGAAAGAGGTCGACTGCTGCTGGCGTTTGAACTATAGTCGGGCATCGCAATGTCTTCACGAGAAGATCGGGCCCCGCGCTGGCGCCATGCCATATCCTCAAATATAGACTCCATTCCGGCTTCCGCAAAGTGTGTATCTTGTGGCTCCCAACGCGGTCCCTGTGGATATTCGTTCCACTGCGTCACAGGAATCGGAAAGCCTCCATGAGGTGCCCAGGCATTGTAGGCCGATAAAGAACCCCCACTGAAGGTGGCTGTGTCGCTGCTCGACTGGCTGCTCGGATTTACCGGCATTACCACAGTTTGCTCAAGCCTACCGGGTCTGACTGGGGAATGTCCATGGTCGTCATATTCCTTTGCGCTACCGTATGAAGCTGTCGCCGGCGTATAACGAGGAGCAGTCGGAACCGGTAGCCACAGCTTGGGATTAGGCCAAGCAATTTCGGCATTTTCCAAGACACCTGAGGCTTTGAGTTAGTTAACTGGACCGCATTTGGGATTAGTTTACATACTCAAAGGTGCATGCTGAAACGAGAAAACAAGGAAGTCTCTGTATCGTTCAAAAGGTGGGGTGCGGTTTGGACGAGAGACACCCTCTGCGAGGACTACCTTGATGCGACCATGGAAATCTGCTGCGTCCCATGCTCGTTGCTGAAGAATCTCACGGTGGAAGGGAGGGAAGCGAAGGTTGTCCTGGTTGCCCTCTCGATCGGGATCTACCTTCGTCAGCGTGAAACCTGGAACGAAGCGATGTCAACTTACGGGAACTCAAGTCTGTAAGTCAGGATCAGTAGGCGTAAACAATCAGGAGAGCCCGCGAGGATTTCCAAAGCTCATGTGTAGGAACACTTACTCATGATTTGCGGCCAAGGAGTTCGCTGCCCATAGAGACTGCCACTAAGTGGATTTAGTACGAGTTCAAGTCTACCACGGAGGGTACACTCACGATGAGAAGATACCATCAATGTAGACGCGAGCCTCAAACATCACGGTGTCCTCCGGTCCCATGTTGCTCTCGAACTTGGCACTAGGGCGCGGGGTCTCCCAGCTGTGAATGGATATCTGGAACGTACTGTCAACCGGCAGGCTGGGAATGAAGGTTGTCAAGACAGGCAATTGGTTGAACATCACGGGTCCTTGGTATCCATGTGGGCCGAGGTTGATTGCCTGTAAATAAGGAGCATCAAAGTCTTTAGCCACAAAGCATTGGGTTTTAAACTCGGAGACGGGCACCCGGCCGCCTCCAGGAAATAGAAGCACATCCCAATTTCGGTAGCGCATGATGATCCCTAAATCTTGGGAGAGAAGAAAGAAGAAGGATGAAAGATGAAAGATGGGAAGTGAACAAAGGTTGACATAGGAACAGCCAACGAACAGGCGCTGGAGCCTTCCACAGGCGTGGACGTAGACTCGAGGCAGGCGCGAACATGTGGTGGTGATGTTCATCTTTCCCACATTTCCCACCTTCCCTATATCTCCTACATTTCCACCCTTCCAAACACTCTCTTATGGAGGCAACTACTACCAATATTGTCCTTTTTATCAGCACAGGCGCAATCCATGGATATAGGCTTCATACCTCCCGAGGTTGCGTGCACTGTGACTCACGCCCATCTCATATATTAGCCCTAACTCTTTACACTTGGGTAGATTTAACCAAATAGTTGATCTATTGTCAGACGTTCATGGATTGCTTTCTTGTCTACCAACATAAAAAGATGGAATTCGGTCTAAATAGACTACAACGAATGATCTAACCCCAAACATAATACCCAACCACTCCGTCCATGTCTGATCTATCAAAACCAGCCATTGATGGAAATGAATGTAAAGACTCCACTAGCCGAACACCAGCAATACAAAGAATGCAGCAGATTATTGCACAAGCTTTCAACGCTGAGGCGCACGAAACAGGTGTTGTACAGGCGATCTAACCAAAGAAAACAGAGTAATCCTCAAAGCGAACATAATTCAATTTAGCTGCTTGAAGAAAAAAAGAAAAAAAAAAGAAAAAAAAAGTAAAGACAAAAGAAATAAGGCGTATCGTGGGTAAATGGAACTTTTCGCAGAATGCCTGCCCAGGGAGTATAAGGGAAAAGAAGCGCATAAACAATTCGGACTTCCGTTACACGCAAACAAAGACCCAGGGTGGGAAAACCCGGTAGCAGAAGGGCAGAGTAGACATCGAAAAATAAATAAAGAAATGATACGAAAGAGCGCAAAGACGGGGGTGGAAGGAGAAAAAAGGGATACATAAGAACAAGGCAGATCGAAAAAGGGAAGTCAAGATCTTGCTAAGGTAATAGCGCTCACGTAAAAAGGAAATGCGTAGCACAGGAGACAGATGCTCATCAAGAGCTATAGCCTTGGCAAGGAAAACCAGGGAATCACGAAGTTATGACACAAAAGACCCATCATTGGAATGATGCAGACAACTCCTGCCGGTGCTTTCAATCAAAGGAAACGCTTACTGGGAGTAGTCAGCCGACCGCCTGCTTCACATCTGATCCGGGATCGGGCTGCCAGGGTGATCGCTCACCTTCATGGGGGCAAAACCGCCATACTGGTGGGCTGGGGGCATGCCCATGGAGGGGTACATGGGAGGTGGCGGGGGAGCAGGACGGTAGGGGCTGCCGGCAGGGCCGGAGTTGTTCTGAGAGCGACCCCAGGACAGACGCACGCGGGAGTTACCGATGGGGTAGCCTTGCATCTGGTTGATGGCCATCTCGGCAGCGTGGCGCTGGACGAATTGGACGAAACCACATCCCTTTCCGGGGGGAATCTTGACGTAGGTGATTTCGCCGAAGCCCTGGAAGAAGGAGCGGAGCTCATCCTCGGTGACGTAGCCGGAGAGGCCACCAACGAACACAGTGGTGTTGTTAGGGTCGGTGAACTGGTTCATGGGCTGAGGAGCACCGTAGAAGGGCATGGGAGGGCCACCCATGGGAGGGTACATGCCAGCGGGGCCGGGCATACCCATAGCTCCGCCGTTGCCGCCAACACCGGGACCCTTGTTCTTTGGGGTCGCAGTGGAGATGCGCATGGGGCGGTTGCCGCAGTAGACACCCTGCATCTCGGTGAGAGCGCGCTGCTGGTCGTTCTCGTCGGAGAAACGAACGAATCCGTAGCCACGGGACATGCCGGAAATGGGGTCGGTCATGATCTTGGCGGACTTGCACGAGGGGAAGCGGCTCTGGAAGAGAGAAACAAGGACATATTCGTTAACCTCAGGGCCGAGATCACCAACGAAGATGGAGTACTCGGGACCACGGTCATCGCGGCTAGAGAAACACATTAGTATTAAAACGACGAATTAAAACACTAGGCGATTGTAGCTTACCTGCGGTCAGCCAGACCGCCGCCGGTAGCCCAGTTGAGCTTGAAGACCCGGTTGGTGTTGGGCATGGGAGTGCCGTTCAAAGAGAGAGCCTTGGCAGCGGCGGCCGGGGAAGCAAAGTCGACGAAGCAGTAGCCAGCATTGCTCCTACTACCATCATTAGAAACAATTCTTCTTGTTTTTGACATGGAAAGATTTCAGGGAACAGTGTCTTACCCAGAGAACTTGTCACGGATCATCTTGACGTTCACCTGCTCGCCCATCTGGAACCACAGGTTGCGAATGAAGTTCTCGTCAATCCAGGGCTCGAGCTCACCCATCCAGAGGGTGGTCTTGCCATCGGCGCCCTGCTGAGGAACGGGAGCCGAGTTAGGCTCACCGGGGACGGGGCCCTGGAACTGAGCAGGGTCGGCCTGACCGGTCATGGTGGTGTCAACGGGAGCCGGAGCGCCAGCGGCAGCGGGGTCCTGCTGAGGGAAGTTTTCGAAGTTGTTGTAAGACATGGTTGCAATGTCCGAAAGTCGACGTAAGAATATAGGATGGCTGAACGACTAGAACTTTCGTGGAGTCGTTAAGGAAAGACCGGCGTGAGATCAAGTCGTAACGAAGCCAGGCGAATACGTTAAAAACTTGCTAAACAGATGGCTGGTTAGATCTTGTAGCGCAAACAAGTGGCACGAGAGAAAGAGCGTAGAGAGCAAAAAGTGAAAGCTGTGTGATGCGACGCAAAAGGAAGAAAGGTGGTAGGGGAAATGGAGAGAAAAAAATTTGATAGGGAAGCAAGCGATTGCTTCAGGCGCAAGAACTCTCAAGCCTCAAAAGCGGAAATCGCCAAGACCAGAACTTCGGGTTGCAGCGAGCGAGGCGAAGGTTGGGAAAAGTGGATCAGGCGAAGGTGAAGGGTCGGGTGCGCGAGACGGAAATGGCCTTTCGGTTGTTGATGCGCCGGCCGTTTCCGTACGTCGAAATCCAAATGCGACCGCCCTAAACCATCCACGAACTCGCGGGACATCCCACATCGAATTTCAAGGTGATCTGAAGGTGATTGAGGGACAGGTATCCCAAAGTTCTGGTCATGGCGAGGGCGAAGAGTATCGAGAGCAGAAGCGCGTTGCGCCTTCACGGGGGATTTCAAGGCTATGATGAAAGAGGCTGATGCGATAGTCAAGGCACTCACCTAGATATGATATCTAACGAAAAACTGAAAAATGTGCGAGGCAAAAACAGTAGACAACAAGGGAAAGCAGAACTCCCAACAAGAAAAAATCGAAACCGAAATCTTATCCGAACAATAAGGAAAAGAGAGGGGGAGTAGAGGGGAAGAAGAAAATGAAGAATTGAAATCTCATGAGGGAGGGGAAGTGGGAAACGAGTTACGTGACCTGGTATCGTCGTATGTGTATTACGGGTATGGTATTCTCACGCCGTACACCTCTTGGGATCTCTTTATCCAGTACTAGAGCATGATAGTATCATATCAGCTGGCAATTTGAGAGTTACTGGTTACTGGGCTACGAGGGTTGATAGATCCTAATAGTTCGGTGGCTCCTGGGCTAGTCCCTCTCTTGTAGTGCAAGTACCTTGCCTAGTCAATCCAAGTCCCTTCAAGCTATACATTATATTGCTGAATCCCCGGAGTCTGCCAGATGCACTGCATGATCTCAGATATGCGGGGCTGGCGACAGGCGATTCTTCATCCAGGATCCCGGGATGAGTGGGAAATTTCTGGTTGATACATCAGACGCATCAGATCAGCGAAATGGCTGAGGTATTTGCCGATCAACACCCTTCCGCCCGATCCGCCTGCAAAGGACGAGCCCTGAACTTTGGAAGGTGCGAAGGCGGAAGAGCCTGAGGTAAATCAACCCGAGGGAAGAAAGCAAGAAACACAACAAGGGGCACGGAAACCTCAATGCATGAAATCTGCAAGGACCTGTCGCTGTCCTTGCAATGTGACTTGTCCAGGTGGACCTTTCATCGTCATAGTTGTGCTGAGGTAATTTCCAAGGCTCCGCCAGACAGTCTGGGGCTGAGCTTGACCCTCCTGTTGGGTCGCTACATACATATCTTTGCACACTCGTATTTTGCAGCATCTACCGAGTACTTGCGCCTATCTACAATATTGTAGTTCGGTGATATTGCTCAGATTTCTATAGTTGACCTTGATACACCCAAATGCTGTTCCGTATTGTGAAAGCCAAGGAACCCAGGTACTGAACCATGGATCTGAGCATACAGTACTCCGTACTATGTAACTTATCCTGTATCCATACAGTCATTTTCTCGTCCCCTGCGTCTACTAACTCTCGTAGCCGCAGCCTTAGGCTCAAAGCTCTTGTCAAAGCAAGGATTTTTTTATTGTAAAAGCAAGGATTCTTCACAAGCTTCTCATTGTCTTTGGAGATTTTGTACTTTGTACAGTGTAATCTGTACCTGCGGAGTACATCCCCTGTGCCCTACACTCATAGCTCAGCCGCGCACGTCCGGTCGAAGAACCTATAACAGGTTGCGCAAAGAGAGAAAAAAAGTCAGAACCATGGAATCCTTTGTTGGGTTTGCCTATTGGCCGGGTTTGCTGGGCCGCTCGTATTGCAATTACCAATACGATCTTTAAACCCTTGGCAGCACTCTATAGCAGTACGCGACGCGTTTATACGTAGGGCTTGGGATGAAGTCGATGCCAGATGTCCCAAGTTTACAGCCAGGCACCATCACCAGATCGAGGTGGCTCGCAGGTAGGCTTGTTAAAACCGACGTTGAAGGGGTTTGCAAGGGGGTCTGCTACTTACATGGGTTTGGGCTCTAGGAAATAAGCTAATCAGCCCTTGCATGGTGAGACACGGGAGCTGTGAGTGAGATTTCGCTTTTGATCTGGTACAGCGTACGGAGTACGGAGTACTATGAGGCCACAGAGTAGACCCTACAAGCATGTACGAGCCCTGCTGTGTGTCTGGGGTAGGAGGTCTACTGCAGGGCATGCCCTGTTCTAATCAGAAATGGTAATCCCACCAGTAATGTACGGAGCAACCAAACCATGGGTCGCAGCGGATCTAGACGTACAATTCCCAGGTCGAAAGCCTAGCGCATATATCTGAAAGAAACATCATCAAAGAAAACAAGATCTAACAATTCACATGGAAGTCAAAGCACTCAAAACTAAATCAATAGTCACTTCTGGTCTACGGTTGGCCCTTTCAGCCTCGGGGCTGAGCAGTAGACCTCTAGACATTCCCCACTTTCAGGGCTTGCATCCACTTAGTTCACTCAGTTCTGTCCACACAGAGTCCCAAAGCGCATTGTGACCGTTACCTGAATTTGAGGTACGGGCACGCTTACTGTATACTCAATTACCGACTCAGCTCTGAGTGTCCTTTTTCTCCACACTGGTTTTTTTTCCCCTTCAGGTTTCAGGCTTTGCTGAAAAATTAAGAAGCTAGAAAGTTCTGGAAGGTTTTTTTTTTCCCCTGAAATGGCATCCATTTAGATGCAAACTGTGGGACTTCTTGGTACCCGACGTTATGTCACTGCCTTAGCCTACGATGTTAGCTTGGCCTAAGCGTCGTTGGTCCTTCATCATACACGGGACATTCTAAAAATATCCAGATCAAGCATATGTTGCATACGAAGATTCCGTATAGCGTACTACACACGAGGTGAATTGGCAAAAGCTTCAAATTCAAGGCGTGTATATCAACATGTAAACTCATCTCCTTCCACCGTTACATCATTCTGCTCTGCAAGCAACATTAGACTCTTCTCGTACACTTTGGTAGCCTCCAACATCCACGGCTCATCGGGTTCCTCAAGTTCCTCATCGCCATCTTCATCGCCGGCAGAGGCACCTGAGGTAGCCAAACAAGAAAAGACCTGATGCCTCGTTCTTTCGGCCAAGCTGCGAATCCGTACCTTCTGCGTCTCCGTGGCGAGAGATTGGCCAATTACTGCGCCTGGCAGCGCGGCTCCGGTGATGGGATGCGTACTGGTGCACAAGGCTGCAAATACACTGTCAAATTTGTGGAAAATTGACAGGGTAGCTTCGGCCGAAAATGCGAATGATGGGAGAGAGGTTTGAGTTAGTCCAGCTAGAGTTATAAGAGCCTCCGTTTGGATTGCCGCTAGCAGATTTGAAACAGCCTTAGCAAGGACGAAATATATCGAGGGCCAGTTTTACTCACGCGTGGCAGACGCCCAAAGCAAATCAACTAGTCCACTCACATCGTCTGCTAGCTGAGCAAAGCTGTCATACCTGCGGTGTGTCGGAGGTGTGTCGGGTGCGTCCATACCCATGTCGGATTTCATCTTGCGATAGGTTACTCGTTCAACTCCTGTACTGATCTGTCCGCGGAGTTGAGTTTCTTCTTCGGAACCTGAGGCAAGAGGCCCAGCTCGTTGTGGTGGAAGTGAAAGGGCTGGCGTCCAGGTTGGCGAGGGCCGGGATATCGGGATTTCCACATCATCCCCTCCGATTCTTCGAGTCATTGGAACATCCTCAAATTCAGCATCGGAGTCAGAGTCTTGGAACTCCTCAATCTTGCCGGGTGCCATTGCGGGCTTTGAATTTCGACCTGAGCTGACGCTTGATGGGTGCCCCAAGAGTTGTGGCTCGAGTAGATAAAATGCCTTGGCTACAGACCCGCAGAGAATGAGCTAGGTGAGGGGAAGTGATGTTATGTTGTATTATGCAACAAAAATATCTCTGACCCGCTGATCTTGAAGATATCAATAACCATTTAAAGGTGGGATGTCATGCCAAGCCTTGGTCTGTGCGGGATGATGTCCATATGTGAACGATGAATATAGTCATGGAGTAGGTACTTGCCGGAGACTCATTTAAATTGTGAGGTGAGGAAGTGATGAGAGCAACCCGAATTTCTTCCTGCAGGCTTATCTGATTTAATGGTCCGATACAATCGAGTAGCGCTCGTGTTTACTTTAGAACTACTTCGAGAATACGTCTAAATTCCCGAAGAGCCGCATATAGGGGGATCTTGCCCTCAATGAGGTTCTGAATGGATATACAACATGGGGAAAAGCCAAGCTTATTGGGATAGATAACTAAAAGTGAACTTCAATTTAGGAATTGAGAAGAAATCCATGAAAGGAGTAGAGATCAATCGATATCGAGATGGGTACTTAAGTACCTGCATACTTGATTTCCAATCATATCAATGATGATCATCCATACTTAAGTATACCTGCGAGGCCAGGTTTGAATGATATACCTTCCAAGGTCAGACCCCGGGGCCTTGATTCTCCTTCGTTCAATTATGTCCATCTAGAGATAAGCAAGAGCCTAGGCAGCTGCACGCCAAAAAAAAAAGAAAGAAAGAAAGAAAAGAAAAGAAAAAAAGAGAGAGAGAGAGAGAAACTACAGAGTAGATCGAGTTAAGAATTTGTATTGACCTATCACATATGCATTCATCTGGTTGAAGGAAGGTTAGCGTGTGTAACACAGACATGTGCGACGAAACTTTTCAATCAGAGGCTCCATTTCAGAAGGTGAGAAGATTTGAAGTAATGCTGGTTGTTGCAGACATGGCAGACAGCGAGCAAAGCGCGTCTTACTACTATGGCCCCAGCGTGCTCATCACGGAGACAAAAAACAAAAACAAAAAGAAACAGAAGAGAAGACCAAGGACCAACTCACATATACACTAGACGCCTTGGTCCATTTTTCTCCACACAACCAGAACGCCATGCTCCCATACACTAGGTTACTCAGGCTGCGGAAAAAGTTAGCAAAGAATCACTGAGCGGATAGAAAGGTACAAACCCGAATCTTGCCCCGGCGAGCCTTGATATCAGCCAACTTCTTCTTATCCTCATCGAACCGTTTGATAAGACGGTTCTGTCTCTCCTTCCTCTTCTCCCTAGACTGGAATCGGTAGAAGTCCTCAAGACCCTCACCCTTCTTCTTCTGCTTTTCAAGAAGTTCGCGCATCTCATCCTCCCTCGCAACAGAGTTAAGCTTAGGACCATGCTGCACAGTAACGAAACCATCTTCGTCGGGAACGGCAAAGCGCTTGTGGTCCTCGCGCTTGCGCGCCTCTGAAACAGCAGAGAATGTAGTCATGAACTCATTGACGGCACGGAGAAGAGTTGCCCGCTCCGGGTACTGCAATCGCTCGTGGGCGGCATACCGGCTCAATCCTAGTGCGGGAATTCGGTCGGAAGGAAGGTTCTCGCCCCAGGTAATAGAAGTACCGCGCTTGGCGGCTTTGGTGCTGGCTTTCAGACTGCTTTCCATGCTGGGTCTGTCGGCGAAAATGACAATGGCGTGGGCGCCACTCTTCTGGAGTTTGCGATCCCAGGTCGAGGGAAGGGAGATTGCATCGAGGTGTTGTTCGAAGTCGTCTGCTGTTACGCGCTTGCGCTTCTTTTTTGAGGTGTTTGTTTCCGTGCTTGTTACAGCAGTGCGCTTTTTGGTGGGGACATCTTCAAACTGAACACGCTCAACTCGGCCGGCAGAGAGTTGAGTACCGAAAAGGTGGCGCAGGTGCAGTTCCGTGGTGTCTATCGGAACATTGACTATGAAGAGAGAGCGGGTGGAATCTGGGTCTGGAATTCGGGGTTCGTGAGGGCGGATGTAGAGGTAGTGTGTGGCGGGTTCCGGAGTCAAAGATGTGGCGGGAAGTTGTACCGGCAGGGTGGTGTACCCTGGTACCTCTACTGATTCTGCCTTCATTTTAAATGCGAGGTTGATGTGAGATTGTTGCGTTGATCCAAGCCGAACTTTTTCTGCGGTTTTTTCTTGGCATTGAGTTTTGCCTTTATATCAGAGCGGTGTCACAGGCGGTGAGCCACGGTCTCTATGGATCTACTGCACTTCATCTGGTATCAGGACTGACGCATTATGATATATTGCTCTATAAAATACTTGAACTATGATAAATAGCCTTTAGCTCACTTCAGTTCGCCTCTGTTGATTTAAAATATTTTGGAAATCGTCGTCATACTTCCTGCCATCGTACGTTGTGTCGTTTCAAACCTTGTCCGGGTCGTTGATACCGCCATTGGTGATGATATAGACTGCCTCGCGCTCAGGGCAGTCTGCAAAGGTTCAGTTAAAAAAAAATTCCAAACTCCAGATATAGGCACATACCAGGTGAATCCTGAATCTTTGCAACACGCTCCTCGCCACGGCCTTTTCTCAAAAGCACTCGGGTGGTAGAAGCATGCGCAAGGACATGTCCACCGACAGGCTTGCGTCCATCTGCACCAGCAAAGAGTGCGCTAGCACCGGGGTCGCTCTGGACCTGGTTGGTCTATCAAGAGTAAGAAACAACTCCAAGTGAACGGAGCCTACTCACCATCAGAACGCAAACATTGAACTCTGCCGACACATCAGAAAATGAAATCCGGAGCCATAAACCCAATCATACTTACCTTCAGCCATGTGCGCCAGCTTCATGAGGAACTGGTTCAACTTCTGCTGCCGATCCGCCAATTCTCCACGTCCACAATAATCAACCCGGAAACAGTTCATGATGCTATCAATGACCAGCAGTCGAAACTCGCCCCCGGCAAACTCCCGACTGAGCGAATTCAACAATTCAAGCTGGTGCTCACTGTTGAGTGCCCGCGCATATGCAATGTTCTCTTGCGCAGTATCGGGATCTAGACCGAATCGCTCGGCAATCTGGGCAATTCGCTCCGGTCGAAATGTTCCCTCTGTATCAATATATGCGACTTTTCCACCCGCGCCGCCCATTTCCTTTGGGAGTTGCGCTACAACAGACATTGTGTGGCTGAGTTGGGTTTTGCCGCAGCGGAATTCGCCGAAGACTTCGCTAATACTCATGCTTTGGAAACCGCTGGATTCGTTAGATGGGATTTGCAAGGAAAAGAGGGAGAAATACCCGTTAAGGATGGAGTCAAACTGCTGGCTCCCTGTTGAGATGCGTACGACTTTCTTTCGTTGATGGTGGAGTTCCATTGCTGTGATAAAACCCGAGGTAGAAGGGAGGCATTTTTGAATAGCCTCTTTGACCTTTTCAACTTTGACTTCGCTGAAACCCTTGATTTTCAGAAGGGTCTTGCGTGTCGCGCCATGGACGGACTGGCGTGGTCAGAATGTGAGAGAGGAGGACGTGAATGGTGTGTATGTATACTTACGGCGACAGTGTAGAAGCCATTGGATTTCAGCTTGGTGATATCGGCTGCACCGATGCCGTGGGATTGGATGCTATCGATGTCCACAATGAATGCCTGTTAATGGTTAGTCGTGTAAACCATAGGGAGTGGGTATAGGTTACTTCGTCGTCATTGAACTCATCGCTTCCTACTGAGCCAGGCATTGTGACGAGATGAAACGTCTGATGAAGTGAACGATGGGAAGATGGGGGAGCAAGGTAGGAAATGACATGGAGTCACGAGTTCAGTCCAGCAGTCCTGAGAATACCATCACCACACCAACACCGCCTTACGCCAAACAGAAAGAACCTTGGAAGTTTACAGGAAATGATAGGTGAAATGTCTTTTTTGGACTCTCGAAATACTCTCCAGGACTCTCCTCACAAGCAACGGTCCCCACGTCCAATTCTCTCAACTCGTCTCAGCCATTGCTTCATCTCTTCGAACCGCATTCAAGAGCCGAACATAACCAATCCATGAGAATAGACAACGCCAATCGTAGAGTGGGACTTCGTGAAAAAAACAAGGGAAACTTTTCTGTTTCGTATACAAAGGGGTGATAAAAAAAAAGAAAGAAAACAAAGGCTGTTTTTGTGGCCAAACCAGAAACCCAAGAGGGTGGAAATATATGCAAAGGAAGCGGAGAGAAACTCGAAGTAACCGTACAGATCCAAAAAGGGCTCCCGCTAAGGAAGTCCAGAGGTCAACCCCCTTATGCGACGGCGGTGGTAGGGGCAGCAGCAGGGGCGGTAGCGGCAGGCACCGTGTCAGTGGCCTCGGGGCCAGCAACGGGAGCAGGGGTAGGGAGAGCAGGCTCGGCCTCGGCAGCAGGGGCAGCAGGGGCAACAGGAGCGGAAGCGGAAGCGGGAGCGCCCTCGTTGGTGGGGCACTCACGGGAGATGTGGCCCGCCTGAGCACACTTGTAGCAGACCTTGCCAGCGGAGCTCAGGGGACCACCATTGGGTGCGGTACAGTCACGAGAGATGTGACCGAGCTTGCCGCAGGCATAACACTTCATGGCCTGGGCCTGGCAGTCACGCGCAAAGTGGTTGGGACCACCACACTTGTAGCAAGTGGCGGCGCGGGGGTATCCTTGGAAACCACCGCGGAAGCCGCCCTGGAAGCCGCCACGGCCTCCGCGACCAGCGGCGGGACCGGTGGGGGCACCGGTGCCAGCGCCGGGGGTAGTGGGGTTGGTGCAGTTGCGCTGCAGGCTGTTAGATTGAGTTGTGGGATTCGGCGCGCGGACTTACGGCAAGGTGCCCGGGCTGGCTGCAGTTGTAGCAGCGGCCGTTGGAGCCGCCGTTCAGGCGCAGGGTTGGGCAATCGGCTTGGACGTGACCAAGTCCCTGGCAGTTATAGCATTGCTTGGCTGGCAATCGGTGTTAGTTGGGTTGCGGATTGGCGTTGGCGGTGGGAGATCGCTTACTCTCGGTGGTACGGGGAAGAGGGCAGCTGCTTGACTCATGGCCTGGAAAGATTAGGATTCGGTTCGAGGGTGGGATTCAAGATCGAACATACCGGGCTGCTTGCCTGCAGGTTGAGAAGGTTAGCATTGGCCAAAATGGAATTGTGGGGATCTTCACGTACAGTTATAGCAGAGACGCTCGGTGGAAGAGCAGACCTCTGTTGCTGGGTTAGTCTCTTTGCGCCGGAAGATCAATCATGCTACTGACCAGCGTAGTGGCCAATGGTACCACACTTATAGCATGCACGACGAGACAACATCATCTTGGCGGGTGTTCTATCGCGAGTCAGTCGAGTGCCGAGGATTGGGTATGCGATGAAAGGCGTCTTCCCCTCGCGATCGGAGAGGCATGATGGATGCACGGCGACATGCGGATGGTACCCCCCAAGGGCTTTCCAGTCATATCGTATCGTGGATCCGGTCCCAGTTGGGTCGCTTATCGCATGCGCGTTGCGATCTCAAATTTTCAGCCGAAGGAGGGGGAAGACGTGTAGATCGGAAGGGTTTCGAGGTGCAACGATAAAAACGACGTGGATACACACTCACCACAGTAACAGTCTCTTCGGATCCTTGTCGAAAGTCTATAACCTTGTGGTTAGTCTTGAGAACCTTGGAGGGGGACGTTGACAGCCCACTTCTGGAAAACCGAAAAGTGGGACAAAAGCACACACAAAGAACAAAAACCACACAATCGGAATTTTCAACTCAACTCACCAACTGCAACAATCTCAGTCTCAATCACGAGTAGAATATGGAAAGTGGAAAACTGCAAACTCGTTAATCGTCAAACCTCTAGCTCCCGGGCTTTTCCGCATTGCGTAAGGCCAATTTATTTACTTCGAGTATACTCCCGCATATACAACCGCATATACAACACGAGCAGTAAGGGATATATCAGCCTCGATGTCATGTCCAGTGCATTGTGTACAATGTTCATCGGTCCAGGAAATTCTCCCCCCTACATTCTGTCCAAAGCTGTAGATGTAGATCCATTCCAAGGCTGTTCAATTCTTTCCCAATGTTAAGATTGATATCTATTGTGACATCTACTCTACTCTTCCCGCTCCAAAATAGCAGGGGCCTTAATCTCCCGTCCCTTAAGGAATTCCAGGTTCTCACCAGCCTGGGACTATCAGTGGAAGCAATCAAAAGAAGCGGGATATAACATACGTAGCTGATCAGTGGGGAAACTTCAACGCCCTTGGCATCACCCTCAGTAACGACAATACCTCCAGCAGCCTCGACCCAGCGCTGGCCCTGCGCCATAATATCGTCACGGCTGGTGTCAGGGTCATCCTCACCAGTGCCGCGGGCATTCTTCAGTGGTGAGAACTCATCCTCACGACGGACCTCAATGCTGGCGAATTTATCCAGCGGTGTCATGGGGAACACGTCAAACACGAATTGCTCAAGCTTGATGCCGTTGGGCTTCTCGGGCTTAACCAAGTCACCAGTTTCGGCATCTGTGAAGGGGATCTTCTTGCGCGCAACGTGGTGAGGCAACTGGTGGGACCAGGTCTCAATCGACTCCAAGAAGCGGAAGGAGTAGTAGTGGTTAACAATATTGGCGGCGCGGTACTTCAACACATCGGGCTGCTTAGCATCCTTGGCCTCAGCGGTCTCCTTGTCAATCTCGGAGTACTCAACAACATCGGGCTTGCCATTCTTCAGCAGAATCAGACCGACAGACTCAGTAGCGTTGCGCTTACGCACAACCTTGGTCGCAATATCGACGTCCAGCGCCGCGGAGAATCCAATGAAGACTGGGTCGGCAACCTTCACAAGGCAGTTGTCAACGCCGTAGAGGTGAATGTGCTCGATTCCACGGCGGCGCATGTCCTCACGCACACCCGAGACCACGAGGGCCTGGTAGATGCCGCCGTTTCCATCGGGAGCGACGGCAGCCTTGCCCTTGTTCTCCAGAAGAATCTTGCCGTCGTTGGATATACAGGGCAGGACTCCCTGCTCGAAGATCACGACGTTGCTCTTGTCAAGACCGAAGTAATTGTTCTTCTCGAAGAACTCCTCTGTGGGCTTGCGTGTAGGTCCACTGGTCATGATGTACCAGGGGATGGTGACCTTGCCGCCTCCAGCCACGGACTGGAGCTTGGCGATGCGCTGAGCCTGCAGCTGGAAGAGAGACTTCTCACTGAGAAGACCGATGTCGAAGCATCCCTTGGGAGCGGAGCTGCCGAGGCGGGTTCCCTGCCCACCGGCCATCAACACCACAGCCACCTTGTTCTCGGCCACCTGCTTCAAACCGGAGTCGTACCATTTCTGGATGTCGTCGGCGCTGGAGTCGATGATGGAGGCTGTGGCGGATTCAGGGAGGGGCTCGAGGGTCACTGGGCCCGTAGCGGCGGGGGGAGGATTGAGGGCCTTGTCGGCCAGCTCGTTGATGCGGGCGGGGTCGAAGTTGGAGAGTTGGTGGAAGAGTTGAGACTTCTCGACAGTGGATAATTGTTCAGCAAAGGCGAAAACATGTCCTTGTCCCGCCTTGTTGTATTTCTCTACAAGTGTTTGGAACTCCTCAGTCGAAGGCTCCCGAGGAGTCTCCTCGGATGTGCCTTGAAACTTTCCAAGAATGTTGGTGACAGTGTCCTTGATAACGCCAGCCATTGTGTAGAATTATAAAAAAAATTATAGCAGACAGAGGATGGGGAGGAGGGGAAGTGGCAAAAGTGAAAGTAAATAATTCGCGGGGGGGTTGAAGCTCCAAGCTGATTAAGTACTCCTGTACTCACCGTAACATCCTTAATATACACCTCACACTATGTTTGCCGTAACCCACTTGGGGTTATTTTTAGTCAAGCTAAGAGATCTACTCCGTGCAAAGGCGAATAATAGCGACGGACATGAAAGTGCCTAGCGAATGCCGAGTGAGACTCGCTGGAACTAGTGGCGGGGCTCTGCCAAGGGGCGCGCACTACTCCGTACTCATACTTTCAGCTCTTAGTTAGGTCCTTCGTAATAGTACATGAGTCCACGGAATTGGACACGTCAGGTCATCTGTCCGATATAATTACAGAATATCGTTTCCAATATGATGGATATGATGGTACATGCTATTTTGACAGGGGTATATCCTAGTATCGACGGCGATCATCACGGTAACGGCCTTGTTCCCGTTCACGATCTTTTCGTGAATCCCTTCGTGGGCTCCGGCTGTAAGAGCGACGCCGGTATCGATCCTGATTCCGTCGAGGGCTTCGACTTGAGTCTCGGCGGGACTCTGGATTCCGGCCAGAGGGAGCAGCGCCTGAATTCTTCTTCTTGTTCTTGTCAAACACCATGTTATACCTGGCGTCATCCTGATCCACAGGAGCATCGACAACCTCTCGGTACTGTCGTTTCTCCTCCAAATCATCGACACCACCGAAGCCGCCTCTTGGTCGGCGCTTGGTGACAGTGGAGTTGCGCCAGGACTCAGATAGCTTGGAAACCTGGGATGGATTAGCAATTTATCTCTCTTTGATCTTGCGATGCACTTACACTCTGGGAGAAATCCACGTGGATGCGGTGGTCGTCAATCAAGACACCCTGCATCTTAAAGTAGGCTTGTTCGCAATCTTTCTGCTCATCAAATTCGATGAAAGCATACTGCAGACTGTCGCCGGTGCGCTTGTCCCGAATGACCTCGCATGACAAGATCGTTCCAAAGCGACTAAAGATCAAATTCAAGTCCTCGTCTAGTGGGGAGTTAGTGCAATCTCTCAGTGCGGGGAAGCTCAACGAACCTTGTGTGACCGGGTTCAGTTTGCAAACAAAAAGAATGTTCTCTGGTGGCCTGACATCGGCAAAGGGCAGATCGCCCACCATCTCCAATGTCAAAGCTTGGGCGCGAGCCTCGCGTTCGCGCCGCAACTTCTCCATTGTCTCTTCGTCCATATTATCATCCAGTTCCTCGTCGTCTGCGATTCTCACAGTCGCCAGTTGCGCTTTGGAGGGCACGGGGCTTTCTGCTGGCTCAACCAGCTTTGGCGGGTCATCAAAAGGGTCATCCAGGACTGTTGTGTGACGAATTCGAATATCCTTTAATGGTCGACCGCGGTCATCAATAAAAGACTCATTGATTTTATCCAGTACGTCGAACCCTTCTACAACCTTGCCAAAGATTGCAGCTTTCCCATCCAGGTAATCCAGATTGTCCGCTAGTGTGATGATGAACTGACTCGCGGCCATTCGCTGGTCGGGGTCGTTGGCCGACGGAACCGTAGCCATGCTGACAGTACCGCGCTCCAAATGTTTCAATCTTCGCGGCACCTCAATGGGGAAGGTTCTCTTGGACGGTCCGTCCAGCAGACCCCATACGGAAGACCCTCCATCGCTTTCCGGTGCATCAGGGCCGAGTGGGTCGCCGGTCTGGAAGGTAAAGTTCTTCTGGACGCTATGAATGGGCGAAAAATTGTAATACTTGAGCTTGCACAGCTTCAGGAAGCTAGCAAACAACTTTTTTTTAGTTTCAGGTTCAGCACAGGACAGCCAAGGAACAGGAGGTACTTACTTGTCACACGCTTTAGGTGCATCATCGACCAACAGGTCTATGACAATATCGCCCAGGGAGGTTTCTAAAAGCGCGCTCATGGCGGATGTCTGAAAGAAGTGATTGGCTGTGCGCGAGAGAGAGGGAGAGAGAAGGGAAATGCGGGAAAGGCGAGAAGATCGGAGCTTGGACCAATGACCGCACCCACCCGCAACTCAATCATCTTGCAGCTTGTCCCTTTTTTTTCTTTGCTTTTCCTTCCCCCTACTGTTGTCCGCTTCGGGTCATTTTCGGGATTAGGCCTCATTACTCGTGAGGTACTGGACACCCCCCGTTCCCATCCATTCCCAGCGAGAAGAATGGGGGACTCTGGTCGGCGGGTTGATCGGCCCGCTTGTACTACCACGACAGCTTGACAATCGAGCGGCATATCTTCCGAGTGTCCCCGTTGGACACATAACCTCTTTTGAGATCGACATGCAGCCGATCTTATTAAGGGCCTTGATCGACTCTGGGATTTGAAGCTGTTTGTGCTTATCCCTCACCGACCAATGCACTCAGCAGGCCCTACCAAAAGAACTAGGATTCTCTGGTCTTGGCGGTGTTTCTGCCATTCCCAGCCTCTGAGATCGGTACACCAAGGACACGGTCCGCTCTTCCGTGCTCCGTACGGAATACTATGATCTGTTCCACGGCAGAAACGTTGGGGATCAACGCCCGGCCTCCTGCAGCAGGTCTCAACGGGCATCATGACGGGAGCCACACACGTGGGAATAGAGCAAGCGCCTCTTCATTCGATGGAAATTGCCGTATCGCCTGCAACAAGGGCCGGTCTCAATCCCAATGTGTTCCTGGCGAGTGGAAAAGGTCGGTCGAAATGGTCTTGATTCTTCATTCCTTCTTCCCCCCGAATGTCGTGCATTGTCAAACCTTGGCGCGGAGACAATACTGCCCATATTGGTATTTGAAACGGGAGACGGTGATCTGCTGGGACTCTTTATCTTCCTCATTTCCACCGTCAAGTGTACTGTGACTTAATTGTACTCTACTTAGGGGCTCTACCTTCCCTATACGCCCAGTGGGCTCTTCTTCGGTATCTGCGGTACACAATATATATCCCTACCTATGTCCCTCTGATCCCAGATGTAACGCGAAACCGACCCTTGTAAGTATCCCAGGAGTTCATGCATCATCACGGTCGCCTCTAGATCCCCCCTATTAGCAGTTAGCGTTGATCATGATCAAGATCTCTTACATCGAGAACAAAATCGATCCATCGCATTGGTATTTGCTAGTCACCTACCTACTTCAGCCAAGTCATCACAATCCTTACCATTTTTTGGCCTTTTAGTGGACCTTTGCTTTTTCCGATTTCCATTTCAATCCACTTGCGCTGGCGCTAAATACCCATGTCGCCGATCCTTTTTCGATCGTTGATCCCTGCGCCTATTTTTCAGAGCTTTGGTTCGGGGAAGCTATCTCGTGCTAAGTGACAGGTGTCAGTTTTTTTTATTTGTTTTTTTTCTTTTCTTGACTCCCTCTTTGCTTTTATTTTTGCATTAATTTTTTTTTTCATGTCCTGACCGATTTCTCCATTGAGACATCTGTAGCCTGAGACAGCGTTTGTATTTCCTTCCCCTCTCTGGGAACACCGTGCGTTTGCAAGATACTAAGGCAAGTATACTCTAGACCTTCAAAGGCCTCAGCTCAATTCCAGACCTCGACAATGACCGAGTTCAGAACAGTTTGATGCAGATGCAGCCACACCAATCGGTTGAACTATCGAGCAAACATTTCCCTGGTCTTCATCGGACGTCGGTCATACTCCCCCGCGGATCTGCAAACAGTACCCCGGCAGCTGCCCGTTTTCCTTGTTTCTGTTGGTAGTCCTGGGGTTTCTGAGTCGCCAGGACTTGGAACTTTTGGAACTCTCTAAGTCTTTGGGGTTGTGGGACTTTGGACTTTGGACTTGTTGGTCCATGACATTTAGGGCATGGGGAGGGTTTGTCCCTGGGCCTCCTGTTTGCCACGAAAGAAAAGTGCCCAGTTCAAATCGACTGAAACACTACCTACCGGAGCACTCTTTTTGCCATGACTACCTATGAATCAGGTCATGTGTGACGTTACCCGGTGAAACCTCTTCTTAAAACGCCGGCTCTTTCATCATACTATGAAATCTGGACCGGAAATTTGCATACAATTTCCCCTTGAAAAAATTGTGCCAAAAAAAACAAAAACTAAAAGATACGAAACGGCGAAAAAGAATTTAGGAGAATTATCTAAAAAGCAAAAGCGTACTTTTGCCGCGTATGTCTTCATCTATAGGAAAATAAAAGACAGGGGCAAAAAATAGGAAAAAATAATGTACAATCACACACCGATTGTTACCAAAACCTGGCTTAAATCTAGCCCTATCTCCCAGAGACACCTTTCACTTCCTCCTTTCTCTGTTGATTTATAGGACATTGTGCTCCCGTGAACTTTGAACCGAGCCTTGATTGTTTCTATCCTCTGTAAAAAGTTGTTCCTTCATATCCCGTGAGCAATGGATCATTCATACGACCTAGGGCTGGAAGCCCGAAGTGAACCCAAGCGTGCTGTGTCCCGTTCAATGCGTGTGGTCAAGCAAGAGTGCAATGTGGGCATGCCTGATGGGGAAAAGACCCTAAAGCCGAGGAAAAGAGCCCTGGTTGCAGTACGTGATGTCAATACAACCTGAGCACCCTGTCTCTAACCCCTCATAGTGCAACCGATGCCGGAAGAGAAAGATCAAGTGTAATGGTGATTTGAACAACGGTCTTGCCTGCTCAAGTTGCCTTTCCGTGGGAGCCAACGAGTGCCACTATTCGAGGGTGAGTAGTGATACAGCCTGCTCAGCAGAGGCAAAGTCTGACAGCTTATTCAGGTCAACTCCCTATCCCCCGAAGAGGCTGCCAGATGCATCATCGTAGGCAAAAAGGGGAGATCAAACCCTCTGTCCATGGGCTCGCCTCATTCACCTCAAATGAGAACTCCATACCAGCGGGAAGAATACGGCATGGAACAATCAAGCTTTTCTCGACAATCCGCTGGCATGGATCCTCTCATGGCCTACGACGAGCAATCAGTCCCCTACCAATCAAGCTACATGCTCCCCAGCAACGTCGACTACACCTGGGCTAACCGCTGGGACCCAGCCCTAAGACCCACCGGCGACTTGTTTGAAGACAGCATCAACCAATATAATTTCATCATCCCGGGCCAAGTTCCCTCAACCCTTCCCTCATCCATGCCCGAGCAACCATCTACAGTCTTCCCAGAGGTAGACCGCACCCTGCCCACACCGCGCAGCCAGCCAGAAGTCTCGGACCAGAAAGCCTTCTATGGTCGCGACAGAATGCCCACTGCCTACAACCCCCGCGTCAAGTCTGACGACGCAGAGATGGTCTTCGGCTACATCCCTATGTCCACAGCCGATGATGCGGTTCCCGTCCCCACCACTGTGTCCTCGAACTATGATCCAGAAATGGAGTTCAACGCAGACCGTTTGACTCGCACATACTCTCGCGACACAGCTCAGCGTCTTCTCCCGCTTGATGCATACGGGTACAGCAGTGGTCGGAAGACCGAACGCGCACCCACGCTCATGAACGGTCTTCCATATACCCGTGTTCGACCTTCAGACCCTGTGCAATACAGTTTCCTTCCAGATGCCCTACCAGAATATGGTAGAGAGGTCCATCGATCTGCTGTTTCCCCACTGGGGCATCCTGGCTACTGAACGTTGAGCCAGAAATGCTCGTTTGGACATTTGTTCCCTTCTAATTTTTGTTTTTCTTATTTGGTTCTTTTTTTCTCATACAAAATAGAGATACCCCGAGTGGCCCTTACACCTGCCTTGCTTCATGTGTCTTCTATTGCCCTGTCATCCTATTGTTTTGGTTGTTGCCTTTGCTCTTACAAATGTCAAAAGAACCCCATGGGAAGGCTGTGATGAGGCCTGGCCGGCCTTATCACACTAGGATTTCCATGCCTTAATACCCCGAGGCTCTGTGATTGATATTTTTTGCTTCGAAATTTGCTTGTTCTTGTATCACGTTTTGGTTTTTGGTGGGTTTGTTTTGTTTTGTTTTTTTTTTTACTGTTGTGGGCTCTTTTGAACATGTCAAGGCAAATCATCGCCAAGTTGGCTCGGCTGGTTGCCTTTGTTTTGGCTCTAGTCCTGTTGTCTGTAAAGTGTGGGATTCTTCTTTTTACTATGTCTATGCCTCTTACATCTACGCCGTAGCCATATCTGAAGTTAGGCTTTGATAATATATTGATTAATGACTTTACCTTTGCTATGATATTTTGGACATTCTTAAGTTTCACTCATATAGCCATGGCAACTCATCTAATTGAGGACGACTGTAGTCCATACGGTACACTGTGCATCCCTAACTCGTAACTAGGGCGCCACTTGGATATTAGGGTGGGTCTTGACAGAAGTACACCGAGATACGACCACGACAGACGTGCTCCATAATGCTCACCGTGATGCACCCAAGAATGACTCGTTAGAAACTCCTAAAGTTGGAACTTAGGGCCATCATAAGAATCCTAGACACCTAGGTCTGAGCTTGAAACTTGCTGTGCTCAATGCAACTTTAGAACCAGCCTCGGGCATATATTCTCAGCCATGCAAAACGACCGGTGATACAGCAATGGCATCCACGTGTAGACCTACCACCTGGGCACCTTACATATGCAAGTCAATTACAGATACTGAATCGTACAGTAACAACTTAGCAGTCAGGCGACCACCTGAGCAAACCCAGAAAAGCACATGTCATCAAAATGTGACATCCGAATCCATTCGGACAATTGAAAGCCAAATCATACCGAAGTACGGAGTATGTAGATTTGTTCTATTTGGAATGTTGCGCACGAGACCGAAACCTGTGCCTGCATTTTCATGGACTACAAACATCGGGGTGTCTGGGGTTCGGTGCTACTCGTGTTCATTCATTTGCCGATATAGTTCTTTGCTATCAAATCTCACACCTGGGCAGTACGACCTGTCATTTGCGGGGACTCGGATGTTACAACGCGGATGTCACAGCAAGGTTCCGAAGAGATCGAGGACTAGGTAGCTGATAACATGTCTAGAACGGGACAATTCGATCCAAAAGAAGCCAGTGGCAGAAAACAAAATTGCCCGAGATGTACAGAGGGCAGAGTACGAAGTACGCGATGAGCCCCCCATGGCTATACCCACCTGGTCTCCGCAATGTACAAGGTCTAGACTACCAGGTTCCCCGAGGTCCGGCCTACGCCTACAACAACCCGAGTGAATAACAAGTAAAATGTAATTTCATCCCGGGCAGCCGCCCGGATTCTCATAACCCTGAAAACGGAAACCGATGACCCCAAAAAAACATACACAAAGAACCATGACACAAGACGCCCTGGTTGGGTCGCCTGGTCTTTTTTTTTCGACGGGAATCACCAGCACCAGGGACAGGAAAGAATTTCCACGATCTTCAATCAACGGGCATCATTTTGGGTTTTAGTCTGATGTTCGCTGAAAGGAAGATAAACCACCCCCACACACGACCGACCGCACCTGGTTCCAACAAACCGGAAACCCAGGTGGGAAACTCCAGGGCCAAACCATCCACACAATCGTATCAGTCCATGTTGATTCGTGCGATAAATTGATGCGCTTAGTTCTTGCTCTTCTTGGGGCCCTTGACCTTGGCGATACCGCGGAACTTCTTGGAGCGGTTCTTCCGTTGCTTGCCTGTAAGCCGAATAGATTAGCACTAGTCCGGGCGGATGGTGGTGTGAAGGGAAACATACGCTGCTGGCGGGAAGCCTTCTCGATCTTGGTAGCGGCACCGATGCGGACGAGGCGGTAGTGAGGCTCGAACTTCTTCAGGGCCTCGGAGGAGTCGTAGACGAGAGCGAAGCCGGTGCTCTTACCACCACCGTACTGCGTGCGGAAACCGAAGACGGAGACCTGGTCCTTGTTGGACTTGTACAGGTCGGCCAGCTTCTCGCGGAGCTCGTCCTTGGAGACGTTGGGGCGGTTGGGGTGGAGGACGTCCCTAAATTCGCGAAAACATGTCAGATCGGTGTTTTTTGACGGTGGCTGGCATGGTTTCTGTGTGTGTTGTATATTCCGATTGGGTTCTTGTTTCTCTTGCTGGGTTGTCGTCCGATTTCAATGTTGCGCGCCCTCGAAGTATTTCCACCACACACAGATCCAGAGGGGAAAAATATCAGGGGGTTCTTACACGACCATCTGCTTGCGGGCAAGCAGAGGGTTGCGGATGAACTTGCGAGTCCGCAGAGTGACGGGAGTGTCGGCCATTTTGGTGTGTGCGTTGGATGGAGGAAGTGTCGACGGGGTCACTGAGGATGTCGAACTTTCAATTTTCTGTGGGCAAGGGCTCGGCTAGAGTATACACTAGTCCATTTTGGGAAATATGCCTTAGGCATCCGATAGTCGCCCTCTTTTGGCCTGAGGCAGAAATTACTCAGCAGAGAGGGCTGATTACGTCACTTCTGACACATCTCCCCGGGTCAGCCCCTCCAATAATATCCATCGCATTGATCGGCCATATAATTTTACTCTATGCCGTAACATGGATTACATTCACAAGTTAGCAGCACAGTACTTCCAGCTGGTGGAACTCAATCATCTCGACCTACCACCAGGCTCGGTGCTCGTTAGGCCAGATGTGCAGGCAGCCCTATATGAGCACATGTTCGACGAGACTATCTTTCCTATCCCACCACACAGCTATCGAAGCCGAGTGCTGAAACAGATTCTCTCGCGCATTGAGGAATCAATCACTGATCCTGAACAAGATGTATGTAAAGAAACGAGAAAATCCAACACTTCGTTCATTCTCACATCAAGCATTCCATCATAATCTACATCACAATTCATATCGCATTCAATTCCGCTGGTCTGACACATGCTAGGAAATCAATGATGATCTCATGGAAAGCTGGAGCACATTAGTCTCACAGCCAAAACCATCATCGCTCCAACAAGCCCAGCAACTTTCGTTGGTGAAGTACACAGCCCCAAACAGTACTCGGACAGTCACGACCTCTGAGTCTCGAGGATTGATTCTGTCTGGTGGCACCACGGGAAACCGAACCTGGGAAGCAGCACTGCATCTCGGTTCTTTTCTGGCATCAGATGCAGGTGAAAAGCTCGTCCGCGGGAAGCGGGTTATCGAGCTAGGCGCTGGAACAGGGTTCTTGGCTCTGTTCTGTGCTCGGCATCTTGGTGTGCAAAGCGTCGTTGTCACTGACAGAGAACCTTTCTTGATCGATAACATCAATTCTTGTGTACGGTATAACCAGAATGACGAGGAGTCTCTCCCCATCTATCCGGCTGTTTGGGAGTGGGGCACACCATTAGACAGAACGGGAGAGCTTGATGGTGTGAAGGGAGGATTAACCTTTGATGTTGCACTTGGTGCCGATTTGGTAAGTGCTTTTGACTCTAGCTAAGATCAAGGGCTTATATTCTTAGATCTATGATTCCGACCTCGTTCCCCTCTTGCTATCTACCGTGGGGGATCTTTTCGAGAACTATGGAGTTGAGCAGTTCATCATTGCTGCAACGCTGCGCAACGAGGATACCTTCCGCACTTTCTTGAATGGATGCGGTAAGTTGACATTGCGTGAAGAAAAGAGCCCGAGTAACGTGCTGACTTGCCAGGAACCAATGAATTCGCCGTTGAAACTCTCCCATTTGAGTCAACACCATCGGAAGACCAAACGGGTTTCTTCCACTCGACCAGCATCCCGATCCGGACTTATCGGATCTCGCGGTCGAAGTCTACGTCATGAGCTAATGAACAGCGATAAACAGCATTGTATGAGCCAAATGAAAGGCCGGAGGTGATCAAAATGGTGCAATTGTCAAGCCACATGGCTGACTACAAGATATGCCAGTTCAGGCTGAGGCTATGTTGTTGACAGGGAGAGAAACATATGATATTGATAAATACATAATGCGTAATGTCCAAGCGATCAATGTAAGGATAAAGAGGCAAAGAGCGGCATCTATAGTGTGGGAAAACACAAAAGCGCATGGGTATCAAGTTCGCAATCGCAGGCGCCACCGAAATCAATGCGAGAACCAGGGAAATGCAGATAAAACCATATCAGGATGCAAGGTGATAGTCAAAAGAGTGTATGCAGGAATAATCGAGTGTAATCGCTGAGCAAATGCAAGTAAAGGAATTCAGGTTGGGGAGAGCTTGGCCATTTATTCGGTCAAGCTTTCTCGCAACAAATCCTCGTCTATACTGTCGGGATGGAGGGAGATTGGGGCAGGGGGTGGAGGCCGCAACCCCTTTATGGGTCCCTTTTGGTTCACACCGGGGTATCTGAACCGAAGAGCCAATGGGTCCATTTTGGGTACAGGGACTGAGGGAGATGATGCAACAGATGTATTGGGAGATTCTGCTGGATCCTTGGGGTTATGCGCCTCATCAGAGACAGGTGCCATGCCCCATCGGCCCAAGACCCAGCCTCCGACACGGCGTCCCAAATTCGTGGCCTTGCGGGGCTCGGTGGTGGCTGTTGAGCGAGTGCTGGTGCTATCTGCGGAGGCAATGGATGCTGTGTCGGACTTATTGTTCGCAGCCATAGAGGCTAGCAATGACTGGGATGTATGTACCGAGCTTGCCGCGCGGTCTGCTTGGATGGCTGGGGCGGATATTATGGGGGGCGTTGAGACCAATTCAACGCTGGGAGAAAGGATGCGCTGGGGGATCTTCATGCCAGGATGCCAATTGCCCATTCGCGTATGACGGTTGTTGGGCGTGTGGATGTCCATACCGGCAACGGAGACGGAGAGTAAACTGTCGTGGGACGAGGACCTGCGCAATGTCGAAGGCTGTACATGCATGGCGAAGATGTCATCGTCGGCGGCTGGATGCGGATCCTGTGCAGATGTATCAAAATATGAGGCGGAAGGAGAAGATTCAGATTCCTCTGGGATGACGGGTTGTCTAGTATGGTCGCCTGTATTGGGGAAATCTCGGTTGTATATCTCTTCTTCATATGTGGGCAAGGAGTGAGATTGTTCATCGCTCTCAAATCCATTCATGGGTCGGAAAGGCACGTCGAGACCCTTCCAGTTCCGCATCCCCATCATGGGCGAGGAAAGAACTGTGCTTTCGGGGCTGGTAGGCTGGGAGAATTCAAGACCACGGTCAACACGGTCGAATATCGATGCTGTTTGAAAAGCAGACTGTGGAGAGCTTGCCATTGAATCCGGCGCGTATGATTGCAACGACCAGCGACGTGATGATTGTGGTGGGATGGAAACAGAGGTATGGGATAGGATTGTGGACATAGATGAACCGGACGATTGGGAGCGATGCATGTTTCTCCGAGGGGATTGAGAACGCACCGCAGAATGCATTGCAACCGGGCTTCCTAGAGCAGGGCGGCGTTTCTTGACACGACGATTGAGCGGGCCCTTCTCCTTCTTGGCGGGTGGGATCGGCGAATGATAATGGTGATGAATATGGAGTTCCTGGGATACGCGACGTTCTTCCTTCGCTCTCAGTTCCTCGCACAATGTTGTAGAAACAGTCCTTGGTTGTGTATTATCTTCATCAATGCCGACCAGCGGCTGATGAGACAAAACTTGTTCCCTTAGGTTCTGCACTTCTTCATTCGAGCTTTCCAGCATGTCGCGCAACTCCATGATCCCGACTTGCAGATTGGCATTGTCCTGTAAGATGTCCTTCACAAAGCGAGAGACCACGTTGGTCCCACCAGTGTTGCGATTCAATTCGGAGGCGGCGGCAGCGCCTTTAAGACGTCCTGCCGCGTTATCTAGCTCGCGTTCCACTGCCCTCTTCCGCTCCATGCGCTCCACTAACTCGTTATGTCGCTGGCTCTCTTCACGCGCTTCTTTTTCGATGCGGTCAACCTGGTCATGGAGGTCACGTAAATTGCACTCCGCTTGCCTCCACCGCTGGACGGCCGACTTCTCGTCTTCGTGTGCTGAGGTGAGATTTTCTTGGAGTTTAGACTGCTCAGTCTCCATAAGAGCAATTTGAGATTCAAGGTCTTCGGCGCGCGTTGCCGCGACCGTCAACCTTCGCACCTCAGTCTCGGTGCTTTCTAGAGTAAGAGTGAGGGTTTTGACATGATCGTCGGACTCGGCGACGGCTCTGTTTAGAGTGTCCAGTTGCTCGAGTAGGCTGCGGTTCTCCTCGATGATGCGCGCGTTTTCAGCCTGGACCTGTTTCTTTTCGCGCTCTAGATCGTCAATGCTAGTGATCAAGCGATGACGATCTTCTTCGGCCTCAGCCATATAACTTTCATGGCGGTGAAGCAAAGCCTGTAAAGGAAAAGTCAGCGAAGACGTCCCAAAAGATCCTGCCTTAGCAGTAAAATCATGAAAGGTGGACATGACGGACGCCAACGCAATGTGAGAGGATGGGTGACCAGGGACCAGAGGTAGCCATGGGGAATATGGAACTAGCCATGGGGAATATGGAACCACGTAGACTGGCAGACAAAGTGTCCAGTCCAAAAGGAGTAATTGAAAAATTTAAGAGACAGGAATGAAGATGAGGTAGTGTTTTGTGAGGAATGATGGGAATGAGACGGTGTATCAAATATGCATGGTTCAGCTCAGGGACACCTCCGCCCAACAGCGATCGTGTCATTGGGCCGATACCAAATCACACGTACCTGACCAAGCCTTGCAGCAGTTGCGAGGTCTTTTTCCAAACCCTCAAGGGCTACATTATTATGCTCCAATAAAGCACAATCATGACGACCACAGCAGCAGCGGAGGGTGGTGGAAGCGCTTGAATGGGTCGGAATGCTGAACCCTTCCGAGCTATGCGGGTGGGAATCCATACTGAGAATGTGGCCCCTTCAGGAGCTGAGGTGTGGAGAAAAACCTCTCGATCATCGAAACTCGCAGCTCAAGTCACACAAGAGATGCGCCTGCATTCGTGTTCTGAAGGTGAGGCTAAGTACCCAATCTTCGCTGATGAGATAAGCGCTCCCCTGTATTATGTAAGGCGGTATAAGGTTTGACGGTTCCGCGGTTCGTTCCGGCGTGACGGCACTGAGCCCTAGCTCGTTTCAAGTGAGATCGAATAAATGTAATGGAAGGACTATATTGTTCCTAGACTGGACTACGGATCACATTATGTAGAATTAAATCAGAGGCTGTATCATATTGATCGCTGGTGCATCATCGACATACCGCTAAGCAGTGCCCCACTGTGACTGGGCCTATCAGCCTTGAATTTTGATATATACTTTTGCCGGGGTATGGACCAATCCCATGTTCATGGACGTGTGAGAGACTCAAAAGGATCAGATGTATACTCTATTTGCTACAGCCAATCATTAGATAGTTTTATATACTCGTACTCCAACTTCGTTTCCCAAAATAAAAACTGAAACTCGGAGTTGGACAATCCTCAAATGGGTGACTGGGAGCCAGATGTGACATGTTACATAGACTCTATGAGCTCCCAGCCACGCTTTACTTAAGTATGACTTTGCTTTTGCACTCGGTGTCTACCTAAGTACGGAGTACTCCATGTTTGGTCTAAAATTGCTTCATCCACAAGAAATCCTGAGATGGGGGCTTCCTGGGTGGTAGGTCTCCACTTGAGCAGGGCTAACCTTGGCCCTCTGGCCTAGGATCCGTCACAAATTGCCAACCTTAGAACAACTTGCAAGTTGCGGAGTACTACTGGAAGGTCACGGACATGGGATGAAAACCTTGGAAATTCTTCTTCCAAATAACGAATCCCATCCCTACTTATCTGCCCTGTAACAGAACCTGCACCTGCGCAGCGCTACATGTTGGCACTAGGATTATGGGCAAGGAGCACGGAGTCTGCCATTTAACTTGGTCGGGCTAAGAGAGTCGAGATGTGCCAGTCGATATAGGACCGGCCTGGGAAAGGAACAAAAAAGAAAGAAGAAAAAAAAGACCATATCAAGCGCCTCAAAGCAGAACATCATTCCGAACATTAATGAACGCCCCAGCGCCGCCGTCTTCACTGATCTCATTAACCAAAACTTCCGTCTGTTGGTATAACCTCTCCAGAGCGGCAGCGGATGATTTACCCAACGACACTAAAAACCGTTAGTATCGTACCACTATTGAGGAAAAGCGAAAAGCAAACACGAAATACATACCCAAGATTGCCGAGTTCAACTCCTCAGCGACAGCAACACGTCCCTTTGTTTCCAGATAATGACCGTGGACGCTTCGTTTCGGGTCAGGATACGCAACGAGAGAGAATATATCATCCAGTAATTTCTTGTCGCCACCGTTGTCATCATTAGGGTAGTCCGCCCGAAGCTGCTGGCCGTACTGCACGGCCTCGGTGAGTAGCTGGTTAAAGGAGCCGTCGGTATCATCGTCAAGTTCCATTTCATGATCGAAGACGGCATGTTCGTGGGAATGTGCGGAGGGAGGACGTGTACTGATCTCGTTGGAATGACGCATCATTTCGAGAAATTTGCGGCAGCGCAACTTAAAGTGGATTTGGGGATTTGCTTCGAGGACGTTTGCGTAGTATGCTTTTGTGTGTTTGAGGGCTTTGTCGATGTCCCCGTCCAGGATTGCAGAGCGGATTTCTAACTTGTTAGCTGCATGGAGTTGGTTGGAGAAGGGGAGGCTTACTGTTCCTGTTGATGGCTTCGTGGTCTTCTTCCACTTCATATTTCTTTAATGGCTCGTTGCGGCCGTTTTGCAGGGCTAAGGTTTCCGAGGCTACTTCTCCGGCGAAGGCGCGAGCTGTCTCTACATACCCGTCGTGGGCAAGGAACTGTGCAACTAGCTCTTGTAGAAGCGTCGACTCGTCCAATGGCGGTTGGAGATTTGTTGTAGGTGTGGCGTTGATCTCATACTGAATGGCCTCTCTCTCTTGCTGCTGGAAATTAGCGGATTTCATCCACGGAAAGCACCCAACACATACCCTAACCATACTGTCGATATCAAAAACGAAAGGCTCCTGTCCAAAGTTCGCTTTGAGGTGTACTGGTGGCAGTTTCTTCATCCCGACGGACGGATATAGCTTCACATTGCGCAGCTCGTGGAACGCGTTGCCTGATCCCGTTAGCTGCGATTCGTTTCCAAGCCCACGAGACATACCCAAAAAGATGCCATTCTTAGTGAAGAAGGCCGACCCAGTCGAAAAGTTTACACCGCATCCCACAGTGTCGCCGACAGTGAATGTCGGTCCATATGCTCGACCCTGGCCTTGACTCTCGCCGAAAAACGACTTCCCGTCATCGCCATGATAGGCCCAAGATTCCTGCTCCCACCCTGGAAGTCTTTCAACCGAAGCTTTTGGGCTGGAGAATCCAATACCGATCATACTACACAACATCAGCCAATGCTCACAACAAGTCACACGACCATCACATACCCCTCTTTTGGCTTGGACTCAATTTTGACTTCAAAGTAATAGATCCCGCACTGGGGCGGCATGGGGTGGTCCGCGCGCAAGGCCGCAGCTTCATGATCATGCTTATGGACAGGACCGGTATACCGAACGTCGAACGAGTCGTTGCTCAATTCCAGACCGGCGTACTTGTCCGCCGAGCTCCATTGACTGGGCAGCGGGGAAAGAGAATCCGTGGTCGGGGGTTCCTTCTCGATAATATCATAAGTCATGCCGCGGTGCGACGGAGCAATGCGAGGAAGGTGAGCATTGCTAGGCGAGGCGGAGAGGGGCGGGTTGGAGTCTCTGGTGAGTTTGGCCCGATGGGCGGTCTCGAGCCGGGCCAGGTAGCGGGAGTTGCGGAGGTAGGAGGGGGTCAAGAATGGGGGATCGAGGAGTCCTGGGTGTGGGACATCGGACTGGAGGAACCCGGCATATTTGCGGGAATGGGGTGGAAGAGAGTTGGGTCTCCAGGCGGAGTTCATTTGCATGTCGGCATCCACGCCGAACGGAGCCCGGTGGACTCGGTCGAAAGTTGAGGATGGAAGGGACTCGGTGAGAAGGTTGGAGAACGAGGGCGGAAATGCGTTGCCGGAAACTACAGAAGCGTAGGAGGAGCGTCGTGGGATGGAGGAGATGCTGGGGTATGAGGTTGGAGCTCGAGCTCCACCGGATGGGGGGAAAGGAACATCGCTCATGATCGCGGGTCGCCCCCGAAATAGATCTCCGTCCACCACACTTTTCCTACCGTTTCTGGTTGGAATCTTCGCTTTAAATCACTGGTTTTCTGGTCCCACTTCCGGATCGAGGGGGTTCTGGGCTTTGGTCAGTATTGGATGATACCAGTGCGTGGCAAGAAAGTTGATGGGTGTAAGTGCGTGGACTTAGGAAGATATACGTCGAGGTGCGTGGAAATGCGTGGGTGAGATTCGGTGGGCAGTGCGTGGAGAAAAGGTGGACATGGAAACGGCCAGGATGGGAACCGCAACCAGCTCACCTCGAAAGGTCCGAAAAGACCAGAGCAATTAAAGCCCACACAAGTAGGTCTTGAAAGTGCCCTGATCGCGATAAAGATGAGACCAAACGGGAAACCTGAGATCTAGAGAGCGGGGAAAGGAAAAGCTCTCGCAAGATTAAGAAGTATATACAATGTACATGTCACGAGCCCCTCTTAATTTGGGCTGTGCACTAAGAGACAAGGGCCTTATGTTATAATTAAGCGCCGTGCAAAGAGAGATAGGGTAGTAATGGTGTCATGTATAGTTCTGCGCCATCTACCAGAAGCACAAATATTGAATCAAAAGCACGCTCATCCCGAGCTAAAGAGGTCAAATCCTAACCTTTCCCAGAGCCAAAAAAAAAAAAAAAAATAAAGAGAAAAAAAACCTATGATACATCATCCCAAACCTGCAGTATAACGCCCCTAACCAGAAATCAGATTAATGTACAATCATGCTGCGAGGATGGCTGGCGATGAGGGTTCCACCATTTGCGACGCAGGTGTCACATCTCCATCTCCGCTCTTCTCACTCGGTACAGCACTGCTGAACTCTGGGACCAAAAGCTTGCTATCGCTGTCAAGCTTGCTGTCTGCGATGCCGGGTGTGCGCCACGAGGGTAGCTGCCACATAATACCGGTAAAGCTGCGAAGTTGTAGCGGTTTGCGCTCCCACTTGCGACAAGCGGAGCCAGTGCGGTCGAGGGCACGCAGACCAGCGTTGATGGCGCCCGTATTAGCTTTGGGCCCAAGGCGCTGGGCAGCAGGGAGTTTGTCGCCTTCATCACTGTAATGCTATTGTTAGTATTGAATTACCCCATGCTTTGCGGGGGAGGCATTGGGGGTTGCTTACATCTTGGGCTTCTTCTTGGGGCCAGGTCGTCCACGCGACTTGGCGTCGGTTTGACCGTTTGGTCGCTTGTTGCCTGGCTTTGGGCCCGGGACAGCTTTCCGACGCGGCGTGTCGCCTGGTGTCGCCCCGGTGGCGGGTGTCGAGTTGGCGTCGTCGGAGCCATTGTCGGCGGAGGATGGACGAACCGCGGGTGGTTCCCCCGAGGAGGCTGGTGACGAGCGGTCCTTGAGCTCTGGGGTGCCCTGATTACTGAGCATGAGCTGGGCTAGTGAGTGCCCTGGCACCTTCAAGATGATGGTCAAGGAGGAATTCTTCCCTCGGCGACTGTTGGGGGTACCGGCAGGCATGGTGGCGCGTAGGTGTGAAATAACGAAGAGGGGGGTTTTTTTTTCAAATCGAGCGACGGAAGTGTGAGGCAATTAACGACCGTGACTGTGACGTGGTGTTTCTATTGCCCGTCTGGGCTTCGAGCTGTATAGGGTAGATGAAGTGTGATGGAGTGATGGATGGTAGAGTAAAGCATAGTCTGGAGGGGAAAGAAGAAGGGGCAAGTTAAAAAAGGGATCGTGGATCCGGTTAATTTTTTTTCTGATCGAAGAGAATACCCATCATCCAGACTGCGCAGGGGGGAATTTGGCCCGCTGAGCTGCGAGTACCGGTATCTGACTTACGCCGTCATTTACTTATTGGCTCGTTTTTCTTTCTCTATTCTCCCTCTATTTTTGTATTCTCTATTCTATATGCTCTATTCTCTCTTCTCTGTTCTTTCTCTGTTCTCTATCTGTTCCTTTTTTAGAATGATTCCGTTGTCGGCTATATTTGGATCTCCTTGTTCTCGACTCAATCTCAACCTCTGAACGTTCGGAGTACCTACAGTACCTTACGCATTCTCCAAACCCGCTGTGTCCCGAGGACTGACCGCATGATGTTTCGCGCCTTTGACCCTTCTTGACACATGTGCCAAAACCTGGAACAACTCAGCTGGACGCAAAAACAGACCGCTTACGCAGCCCAACAATTGCGCGCCAAGTACTTTAGTCAAAGGGCACTGGGTAACTAACTAAGGTTTACTCGTACAGATTGACCTCAGTGGAGATTTGCCTCTCGGACTGAGTATCGTGATTTGTGATGCCCATTTCCGGAATATAGCGGCACAACTTTGCGCGGCACCGAAAATTCACCCGAGTCTGCTGAGGTCCACTTGCTCATCCACGGCAAAGATACCGGAAACTAGGGATCGCCGTTTGAACAGACCCTACATTGTAGAGACACGATCGGTTCTCGGTGGGAAGACTGCCAGCTTCGGCGGCATGTAATCCTTCACTGGCACTGTTCCCTGCCTGGCTAGAAACATCGTTCAATTCCAATGAAAGATACGAAATACAGTATGAAGTAGGTCTCTGTGATCACAACTTTAGAAGGACTCGATTAGGGACAGCCTCGTTTGCACAAACCCATTTCTCTGGCTTGGTTCACCCCTGGCCGTTTGTCGAATGATGGATCAACCCATGGGGCTTGATTCCTCGCGCGGGGTCCGCTAACTGGACGAGCTAGTTATACGGAGTACGTTTGAATCTCCCACATCGATATGTGATCTATACCAGCTCGGAAATCTGTGTCATGCATAGGATTCGATTTCGCAAAGTTACGCGGAGAGTATGTAGCACCAGCCAATGAGGAGGGCTCCGACATAGTCACTACATCATTTGCCGATACAATCCATGATGTTCAAAAGGTACGGAATAAGATCAAAGGATTGAGTTGCTTCTTATTTGGTCGATAGTCAGAGTTTCGTCTGCGGGACAAACGACTGTAGACACTGCTGAAATTACAACCATGACTAACGGGTGTGATTTTGACTCCAGCTGGACAGGGGCTGGTAATTTGATCAGGTTGAGTACGGAGTACCCAAGATCCATCCATGGATGGATAATAAAATACTCAAGTATGTTCTGAGACGCTGTCAAAGATATAGCCACATGGGGCCTACCCCGTATAGACCGCTGAAGCAGGGTTGATATCAACAAGCTTGGAATGGTATAAACATCGATCTAAATATGTATGAAAAGTTTAATCCTGCTTATTTTCAGCCTTGCGGCGTTCCATGACCTCGGCCACGGCCTGTTGCACCCCAGGACTAGACCGCACTCCGCCGAGAATCAGACCTTCTTTCATGCCCCGCCGAAGTGTTGATACACTCTCACGATCACCTCGGAAAGGCGCAAGCCCCATCTGCATTAGGCGCGTTGCCTCGCTATCTGCTGCACGGCTCAGCTGTACCACTTGACCAATTCGTTGCATGGTCTGCGGGGAAATCTTATCCCCGTTCCCACTCGTCGGTGCTTTGGTGGAGGGCGGGGCCGCCTGAGAAATGAAGATATGGAGCATGATCGAGGCCCGGCGTGCGAGTGTCAGAATTTGGAATGGTAGGAGGTAGAATGAGTGTTTTGGGAGATAGGCTTGAAGTGTAAGGGGAAGGTAGGACAATGGCATGAACACTGCCTGGGGATGTGTGATTAAGCCCAGCTCAAGGGTGAGCAATGCACCAAACGTGAAGAATCGCCACTAAATTTATTGTTAATTGAAGCACCAGTCAACTTGCCGACAGGACTCACGTATCGACCCCAATTCGCCCACCATAGCCAGTTCAGTACCATCATTGTGATAAAGCCGCCAATATATTGCGGCGCCATCTTCGTCAACGAGGTCATCAAATAGTCGCGCATAGTCTTTTTATCGCCCCATGTGAGAATGTCGGTTCCAAATCTGTCGTACGCGAACCGCTTCACAGGGTCGGCTAGTGTTTCCTGGGCTCTTCGAAGGTACAAGAAGTAGGCCTCGGCGCCGCTGTCGGTTCCAACTTTATCAGGATGATATTGAGCAGCGAGTCTGCGGAAGCGCGATTTGATTGCTCGTTCATCGGCGAATGGTGAGATGCTCAAAGCTTGGTAGTAGTCACCCGCCAGCTGAACTTGGTAGAATGTCTCATAGAGCGTGTATAGGAGATAGCTCGTGATCACGAAAATGAAGATACGGCGACGATGACGCTGAAACTTCTCGGACTGAGGTGCTGGCCGAGGATCGCCCGCACGAATTGTCATACCATAATAGACACTTTGAAGGAAAGACGTGGCATACTGTCCATTGTATTAGCTTGTATCGTGTACTATATCGATCGGGCCACTTACGTTAGGTAGAACAGCCCAGCCAAAAAAGGGCAAAAGAGAGGCCATGACGAGAGATCAGATTTACCTGTTTCTCGAATGCAACATGTTCAACAAAGGAGAGACTGGCAAGTTGTCCATACCCCAAAATAGTCCGGGGCCATCTGGCGCCCACCGACACCGCCCGCCCCACCGCCTTCCCCACTCGTCATACCAAAAGCCAAATGAAAAAAAAAAAAGTTCTCGACTTCAAAAAGAAGCACCCAATCCCTCCACATCGAACTCAGCTCCGTGGAGCGCCCAATTGCGCCCAACATGGCAGTCGACGCAATGGATATCGACGCCCTTCCCCTGCGTACCGCAGACGCAGAGCGCAAACGCAAATCCAAAACCAAGGACTCATCACCAACTAAAAAGCGCAAGCAAGATACGCCCGAGTCCCCATTTACCCTCAAAAAAGCAACTCTTTACCTCCCTCTCTCGCCAATCTCAATTTCGCCAACACATGCGCAAGCTTCGTTGCTGGCAGAGCACCTCTCACCCCTCCTGCTCACTTACTACCCGCCGCTGAAAGGTGTGGTCATGGCGTACTCCAATGCCTCGATCTCCAGCAAACCGCCTGCCCCCGCCTCCGCGCCGTCAGAGAACCCTCAGCCGCTGACCAACGCTACCACCGCGGATGAGTACGGTGTTTTGTACGTCTACCTGACCGCCACCTTCTTGATCTTCCGGCCTCAGCGTGGCCAGATCTTGGACGGCTGGGTGAATGTTCAGTCGGAGGGTTTCCTCGGAGGCGTAGTCTTCAACTTGTTCTCCGTCGGCATTGAGCGCAAGCGTCTTCCTTCAAACTGGAAGTGGGTTCCTCCCGGCGAGGAGACCGAAGCTACAGACGACGACTCCGGATCTGATAAGGATATGGCAGACTTCGACGCCGAGAAGGAGGGTTTCCAGCCTGCTTCACTGGATGAGGAGGAAATTCCCCTCGAGGGCGAAGAAGAGGAGGAGTCTGCGCACAGTGGCTACTTCCAATCCGTCTCTGGCCACCGCGTGCGCGGGTCTGTGCGTTTCCGTGTTGTCGATGTCGATGTTATTCCGGGGTCTGAGCGAGACAGCGGGTTCCTCAGTATCGAGGGTACGATGCTGGGAGAGGAAGAGGAGCGAGCACTCCTCGAGACCGAGAGACAGGGCCAGTCTCTGCCTCCTTCGTTCTTTGCCACGCCAACAGTGAAGGCTACTGCTATTCCCATCAGCAATGGGCCGGCGGTGGATGCCGTGGAGGAAGTCGATACTGTCGATGTGCATCTTGACAGCCCCAAGAAAGAGAAGAAGGAGAAGAAGGAAAAGAAAGAGAAGAAAGAGAAGAAGGACAAATCCGAGAAGAAGGAGAAAAAGTCCAAGTCTTCCAAGAAGTAAATCTCCTCACATATATGAGCCCTGATATCTGATATCACTGTTTACTACACCTGGGGCGTTCCGGATCTACTTTTTTTTTCAAATGTGTATATGTCAATTGAACATTCCAGCCATTCCAACAAGCTCTGATTGATTATTATTCGACTCTCATACCCTAACACTCAATACGTCTCCCCCAGCTATGATCTCCTTCTTTCCTAGCATCTTTCCAACCCTCATCAACTCGGCACTCTGACTCATGACCGGATCAACCCCCATTGTAGCAACAGCAACAACCGTCTCCCCACTTGTATAAAATGCCACAAACTTACCTTCTCCTTGCTCCCTCAACACAACATCGTCAAAGCTGCCAGCATACCCACAATATCGCAACTGCGCTCCCAGCGCAGACCAAAACACAGGAATAAACCTCTTGGCTTTGATGGACACTCCACGTTGCGCGTGCACAATCGCACGCGCGGCTGCACGCCCCGCATTCTGCGCGACGTTCCAATGCTCGATGCGGACACCAGCCCCATCGCCTCCTGGTCCATGGTACGGATAGGTTGCAATATCGCCAATTGCAAAGACAGAGTCCAAACCGCGAACTGAGAAGTGTTCATCTGTTGCTATTGAGCCGTCCTTTTCGAGAGTGATGCTCGTGTTATTGGTCAGATAGTCTGTTGCGGGGCGGACGCCGACGCCTAGAATGACGAGGTCGGCTGGGAGGGCTGTTCCATCCTTGAGATGGACGGTGCCGACTTCGGAGCTGGAAGTTGAGGATGGAGAGGCGTGGCTTACGCTTGCAGAGAGCTTGAATGTGATGCCATTCTTGGAAAGGTTCGATTGGAAGATTCGGCCGACCTTTGCGCCCATTACTCGTTCCATGGGGGCGGATTCCATTCCAACGATTGTGACGTTGTGGTCTTTTGAGAGGGCGTTGCCCACTTCCATGCCGATGAAGGAACTGCCGATCACGACAATGTTCTTCTTGTTGCTGGCGGCAGAGAGGATTGATTGTACATCTTGGATTGTCCGCAGTGTGAATATGTTAGACAATTCACCTTTGAAACCAGGCAGTGGGAGGGTGCGTGGAATTCCACCTGTTGCGAGAACAAGCTTGGTATAGCTGATATTCTTGCCAGACTTCGTGGAAACAGTTCGGCCTTTGAAGTCCACAGCTGTTACTTCATCGGTGAGGGTTTCAATCGCGGCCGACTCATACCATTCTCGGGGACGCCATTGGATTTTGGAGGGGTCTGAGATGAGGGCTTTGGAAAGCTTGGTTCGATCAATGATCAGATCAGGCTCTTTGGAGATCATGGTGATTTGGCCTGGATATTTGAGTTCGCGGAGGGCTTGTAAAACGCCTAATGTTCCACTTCCACTATTTGAGGTTAATTACGATTGTCTTGCAATTCTATCTCCCCATGGGAGAAGGGGACATCAAGTCAACTTACCCTCCAACCACCACCACTTTCTCGTCCGACTTTGACACGCTGCATTTGACCACAGGATTCCGCTGGCCAAACTTGATATCCTCTTCCTTGGCGTTGATATAGACTGCTCCGTCTCGCTCGAAAACTTCGTATTTGTTCAGGGCATTTGGAGCAGGTGCGTCTTCCACATCACCGGTGGAGACATTGAAGCAGGCTATAGCTGTTAGCTATTTCCTCTTTGATTCTCTCTATTGTTGCCCAGCTGTTGCTCAATTGGATGGATTGCTTTCTCGGGTATCTTTTTATTGCGGAACTAGCATTCAGGCTGTGGGTGGACATACCTCCATGCCAAGGACAGGTGATACGTCCATCACCTGTCACAACACCATTCTTCATCGGTGCACCATAATGCGTACACCTAGGACTGAGGGCGTGGACTTTATCATCCAGCTTGACGAGTAATACTTTCCCCTCCTCTACACCTTCGACGTCGACCTCAATCTTCTCGAGAGATCCAAGAGTGGACAGGGAGGATATGCCTTTGAGTTTGTATTCGGTCATCGTTGCGGAGGTCGATAGGTATTGGGGTGAATTTGATCGACGATACAATGGAAATTGACGTACTGGAAGCGAAAAAAACGGAAAAGCAGAAGGGAAAGCAGAGACAGAGGCAGGAAAGGGCAAAGAGCGGGGAATATATGACGAGATGCAGCGTAGAGGCTTACTACTTGCACACCGGCTACTTTGCAATGGCCGTAATTGGCCCCTAAACTGCAACATAGCGAAGAAAAGAGAAGCTTGAAATATAGGAGTGTATCAACTTTTAGAATGAAACCTGATTTGCACCTTTGGAATGAATTTAAATGAGAACATTGAAGCTCTGCAGTTCTCCGTACAGGAAGCCCTTGAGTATATACAAAGTGACATCATTGAGTCCACCAATCAGCGGTCTGGTTTTGTCACCAAATCCTGATCTGCGGCCATCTGTAAGGGGGTTGAGTGAAATATGTCATGTTGAAGAAAAAAGGATATAAGAGAAAAAAAAAGAAAAGAAACAAGAGAAATAAGGAAAAAAGACACTAATTGAAATTCGTGACCGAAAAAATGTAAACGAATGTGTTCCAGAACGCCGTCGCTCTGCGCCTGTATATACTACTACACCATATGTATGTGTTTGAAAAATATAGTCACCACAAGTATCTGTCATCAAGAATGATCTTAGAACATCCTCGATGTACGTCTCTTCTTCTGAGATTGCGCAGGACTGTTGGTCACCACCACAGCGGGCCGAGAACCCCCAGTGGAAGCACGCGATCGCCGCGACTGGGGAGGATCCTGTTTCTGCCCAGAGCGCGAAGATTTCCTGCGCTGCGAGGGGGTAGTCTTGGGCTCTGGAGCAGGGGATCCAGCTGGGCTGGAGGTGAGATCAATGATCTCGGACATTTGCGAGCCGGGAATCTGGGAGGCGGAGGGTTCGGACTCGGGAATGCGACTGGAGGCAGATTCACGCGCTGACTGGGACTGTTTGGGGCGGCTGGAGCCAGCCGGGGAGAAGAAGTCGAGGAGGTGCGTTGGATCAGCTGAGTCGGAAGTGCCATTTTGAGTATTTTTTGGTAGCTTGGGTGACTTGGAGGGCGATTTGGGCCCAAAGGGCTCCCCAGAAATGTCTGTGTCGCTGATGCTCAACAGCTCATCAATCTCGGACGGCCCGCCTCGAAGTCTCTCAAGCATAGCTGCCCATGACTCTGCAGAGCTGCGTGGAGGCTCGTTCTTGATACTCTCTTTCTTGACGTTCTGCGAGCTTGGCATGCCGCCGGTGGTTTCAATCGTAGAAAGAAGTGAGGCAGAAGCTGGGCCACTCTCGCCAGGCGGAACAAGTGTTTCAACGACTTGGCGCTCAGGTTGATCGGGGGTATCATGGGGAGTGTCATCAAAAGATTGATTAGCTGAAGTGTAGGACAGCATGAAAGGTCCTTCATCGCGATTTATCCTGGCGGACGGAGTTTCGCCCCCGACAAGGGTGCGACCCTCGAGATTGCCATCGAGGCCTGGAGTCTCTTGTTGCCAGGATCGGGCGGAATGGAATCCAGTGAAAGAAGGGGATGGGATGGGCGGCGTCACGCTACGTGGATTAGACCCTGCTTGGACTTGAATCTGTGGCAGCTCCCCCGGTGTTTGCTGAGATTCACCAGGGGCATCTGCGGATTCGCGAGGTGAGTCAAGACGGCTGACTTCGTTCCCAATAGTGACGAAAGTGGTTTCATCAAGGTCCATTTCGGGCGCCAATTCAGCATTCGGTACGGATTCTTGGACTACAGAGACACTTGGAAGAGTAAGTAAAGACCATAAAGTTATCATTTAATTGACTGACATGCTACCTTCTGGGGTCTTTTCATCTCCTCCCGATGAAGAGGGACGCAGGAGCTTCGGATCGCTCAATTCTGCAAAGGCAAGCTCACGGTAGCCATCGTCTTCTTCCTCCTCATTCGCAAGGTCTGGAACCTCAAACTTGCTGAACTGGCGAAGCTCATTATCCTCATCTGCCTGAGGTTGCTTTCGGTCTCGTTTAGCCAGGAGCACATTGATTACCCCCTGCCCTTTGATAGAACGCACTTCAGCCACCCGATAACCAGACATCTGAGGCTGCCAGTTCGTGGCCTTGGACATGTCTAGCTGGCGGAAGACAATGATTGCTCCAACTTTCACGTCACTTTGACTCAGAACGGGAACAGTGCTCATGTCACTTGGGGGAAAGGGGAGATCATCAGAGGCCGCACTTGGCTCAGGCTCAGGGCCCTCGTCATAGTTGAGCTGGTAATCACCTTGAGCTTCGCCACCATAGTGTCCTTGATAATAATCATCGGCCGTGCCGTCATGGTAACCCTGGTCGTCCTCTTGGTAATAGTCGTCGCCGTACCAATTTCCGTTCTCATCATATTCTTCCTCATTGTTGTAGACCTGGATGCGCTGCTTTCTCTTTCGCTTTTTGGTAGGCCCTTTCTGCTCGCGAATCGAGGCATTTGCTTCCTTATCCCAGCGCTGGACGAATGGATAAGGCGGAGCAGTCATCGTAACATCGGAATAGACACACTCAACAGCATGGACAACAAGCTTATTCATCCAATCGCCCTCATACTCATTATCGTCATCATCCTCGTCCATTTGATCCGCATTTTCCTGGAAGACCTGCGAGGGGCGCTGCGGGCGTGCACTTGCACTGGCTTTGGCGGCCAGTTTTTGCCGAGTTTCCTCCTCCTCCTCTTTAGTTTTCGGGGTTCGCATTCCAAGAGAGCCAAATAGCATGCGCCTCGAGCTCGCGACATCCAGAGTCCGCCTGTGCGCGGCTTCTTTTGAAGACTCCTCTTCTGGTTTCTCTCCAGTGGAGACTTGATCCGACGTTGGAGCCTCTGCAGCAGACGCAAGAGGTGGAACATTCTCCTTCTCTGATGTTTGGTCCACGTCAACGCCATTACCTGATGCGAGGTCACGAAGAAGCTTCTGACGTTTGGCCTCAAATTCTTTCTGTTCCTGCTCTTTTTGCTCTTTCTTGAGCTGCTTTGCAGACTTTGCAGATGATTCTTCAGGGACAGGTTTCGCAGGTGCTTCAGAAATCAAAGACTGTTCAGGATTGAACCAGCCGCCGCTTGAATTTTCCCACGAACGTAGTGCATCAAAATCCGCTTCATCTGGCAGAGCGCCAAGTGCCTTCAATTTGGAAAGACGACGGCGCAGCTTGAGACGATTATTGCTCTTCTTGGTGCGAATTGACCCCTCGCCAGGCGCACTAATTACAGGCGGCGGCTGAGCCTTGGGAGCAGGCGGGGCCTCGTCTTCAGATTCCGAATCCGACGAATCGGAGCTATCAGAACTCGAAGAAGAATCAGAAGAGGACTCGGAGCTAAGTTCAACAACTTCCTTCGCCGGTTCCACTTCGCTTGATGAAGCATCATCATTGTTATCGTCATCGTCGCTGGAGTCAGAGTCCGAATCCGAGTCGTTGTCAGAGGAAGAGTCACTGTCCGAAGAAGCAACAGACTCTGGGTCAGACAATTTTGGTTCTGCGGCGCTTTCCTTGGCTTGGGGGGCTTCAGGAACACCCTCATCCCCTTTGTTGAATCTCACAGCCTTCGAGATTCTTGGTGACGACAAGTCATCTCCCCTAGACCTTTTGCTGGAGGAGTTGGTCGAGGCGGCCGCGATTGATCCTTTAGAAGTTGGTCGTTTAGACACAGAGGTGGCACGTAGTGCATGTCCGCTGGCGTTGCGGGTTTGGTTTCTGATGTCAACAAATTGAGATGATTCCTCGAAGTCTTCCTTCAGTGCTTGAAGTTCACTTTCCAATTCGTTTTCATCTTCATCTTCGTTTTCATCCACATCCGACAGATCTTCTTCACTTTCAGACGCCGCCAGGTGTTCAATAGGATGACGAATGACCGTTCCCATGGACTCTTCATGCTCGAGTGGCATGATAGAGAGCTCTTTACCAAATCCAGTTTGTGGAGGAGGTGCCCAATCTCCGTCACCTTCGTCATCGGCGGTGTCATCGAGGGCAGCACCTTCACCCGGGAAATCTGGACCGTGCTCCCAGCCCGAGAAGACAGTTCGCCGCTTCTTTCGGGGTGGAATAGTGATCGCCGGTCGTGTTGTAGTAGATCTTTTCAAGAAAGGCGAGCCAAAAGGAACGCCGTCAATCAAATGCTTGCCCTCAGACGTAATCTGGTGGCGACCACAAAGTCGCCTGGTCCGAAGGTCTGCAAGCTGGAGAGCTCGAATCCTATATGCGAGCAAGTTAGCGATCTGTGACTGTGTAGTGAGATGTAATTCGCAGACATACACAACTTCATCGCCATCTCGAAGCAAACCATCAACTTCCATGAAATGCAAGCATTCAGAGCCAGCTACTTCGACCACATAATCTTCCAACCCCCACTGACCGCTTAGTTCCTCATCAAATACATGTGGTTCAGTCTCTAGTGGCACAACTTCATTCACATCCTCGAGGAGCTGTGCGACTGTGTACCCGCCATTGGAGAAGGCGGCGTTCGGGTTCCGAGATGATGCGACAGCGGCTGTCGGCGCGGGATGACGAGCACCGTATTCTCCTGAAGATGATGCCGAGGTCGTCCAGAGAATTCGCGTCACCGGCAAGCCGTGGCGCGAGATAACAAGGTGGAGACGCATCGCGAGCTAAATCATTGACGCGGTCGATTTTTTTTCCCTTCAGCCTTCAAGGATCTCGCGGGGGATTCGGGTGGGCGTTGTTGATTGAAGCCAGAATGTATGATAAGCGATGACCTCACGAAAAATACTTGTCAAGACTAGATGAGATGGCAAGTTGCCATGCGCGGGGTTTGAGCCTTGGGAAAAGAAGTGAAGGAAGCTCTCAATCGCGGAGAGTACGCTAGTCCACTTTCGGGTTAGCGCCTTCCCTCTTCAGTCGTAGATCCCTCGGTCTATGCCTCTTTCGACCTGGCCTCGTTTGCGACGTAAACAAAACGCGTAGCGCAGATGATTTACAGTGAGTCTACGAAGTACAAGATGGGTGGACACTAAAGCCGGAATTGGGACCTGAATTAGAATGGTAATAGAATAAAAAGGGCTCCAAGATTGATGTCTCAAATGATATGCATTTCATAGATGTCACACATCCCAAGAGAATCCACATAGGGGAAGCTTTGATGCCAATCGTAAAGTTTTGATACTGAAGAGTTCCATGGGGGGTATAACCTATACATTTCATATGCCGCATTTTGACCTAAAGCAGGGTAAATGAGAGAAGACGTTAGTTGTTCAATGACCTCGTTGATCCGGGCTTCGTGGGACTGGTTTCCGACTTGGAACACCGAGATTCATGGGTCGATTGTTCCGGGAAGGTTGGCGCTGTGTCTGGGCAACACCCTGGGCCGCACCAACAGGCTCGTACTGCGGTGGACTTTCGTCATCGACAGGGTTCCGTGGAATCTTCATCATACTGCCCGGCCGTCTAACCGGAGATGGAGGAGGGGAGCCAGAGTGCGACTCTGGTGGTGTGGTAGGAAGCATGTCAAAGGACTCCGAGGAAGAACGGTGATCGCGTCGGAGGGGCGCCGAGGATCCTTCTGCCGCAGGCCGATCCTCATGGTAAGGACCCTGGGCTGCGGGCTTGCCATCAGTTCCAGATTCCATGGGCTGGGAGGCCTCCGGTGGGTGATACTCGCGGCGGGGCCCATCTACTGGGCTAAGGTGATCTGCCATCGCATCCTCGTAGCTGGGTGGGGCATCATCAAATACGTCACCTGAGTTCACGGGAACAGGCTCGCCACTGGGCCGGGGTGGCATGGGTGGGCGGCTGTCTGCTGTTTCTTCCGGAACACTGGCCTGGGGCTTTTGCTTTCCTTGTTCGAGAGAGGCTGCAGCCATTGCGTCGAGAAGAGCCTGTGGCGGTGCAATTCCGGAGAAAATCTTAACTGGCATTCGCAAAGGTAGCACGATGAGTTGGGGCTGTGACAAGGGTTAGCTTGAAGATAATCAAAGAGCCAGTTTGCACGCACCTTCATTTCTCTGGAGTTGCCATGTGTCAAGCCGACCCGAACTTCCAGCTCGTATGATCTTTCGATATTGCACGTTTCAAAAGATGGCGCCACTGAATTGGGCAGGGATAAGCGATTCCATAGGCCTGGGTCAATGGTCCAATCAGTTCCTATGGGATCCTCTGGCTTGCCTAACGGGATATTCATATTGCTACGGCTCATGACAACCCAAGAGCCGCTTTCAGTGCGTGTAAGATCATGTGCCAAAATTTTTGTGTAAGCGATTAGCTCAACTTGCAACATTTGAAGGAAGATGATATCTGGGCCCTCATTCAGTCGTTTAGCAAGGAGACGAAGTGGAACGGGTTCGTTGCAAGTAAGAATGGATGGATTGGGAAGACGAGCATCCACAGACACCCTTGGAGGTTCTGAATAGATATCTCGAAGGCTATTAGACCCACGTGAGAAGATACTCTTCTTCTTGGATCCGGGTTGTATCTTGGAGAATTGGTGCTGCCGTCTGGCGTAGGTTTCCTCGTTCGGATTTCCGGTCCTTGGTGGCTCAATCGGGAGAAAATTTAAAGGCATAATCTGCAATTGGTCAATTCTTGCACCACGAAGAAGGGATACTTTATTGCACATACAGATCTGATGTTTTCCTTGTAGAATTGCGGCCGAATGACAGTGGCTTTGACAAAGTATTTGATATCTGCCTCTCCTGGGAACCCACTCAGGGATGGTGGAAGGGTCTTCCTGACATGCCTGTTGGTGTCTTTCGCTACTTCAACTTTCAGCCCAGAGAAATTGAGATTGGTGAGCATGCTGTTAGTGGAGTTGCATGAATTATTAAAGGGGAACTGTCGAAAAGAGTCAACGACATTCCGTGGGTCATGGCAAGGGACTATTACCTTGAACTGAAACGGATATTCGTAATTTCCCGCAGCGAAAGTATATGAAGGCGCGGGAGACCCATTTTGCATCACACCAGGCGTGGGGAAGACGGTAGCGACCTTGTAGAGGATCTGCGTTTTCGATGAGCCAATGCTCGGACCAGTTCTGACCCTCCCATTCAACAGCAAGGGCTTCTTCTCACCTTGTGAACCTCGAGCTCCGTGCGCTTTTTATCCGAGTGCGCATGATGGGGATTTTTGGGCCCTGACAAACGAGTGCGACTCTCGCACTCTAATTTGACCTGAATACCCCCGATCGCTGCTTCAGTTGGAAGTTGTAGCACCACTTTGCCCGTCAAAAAGTCCAGGTTTGTGTAATGAGCATGGCGGTTGTCCAACACGATATTTGCGGACATGGCGGCGGAGCGCCCGGGCCCTGGCGGGGCTCTTTCGTTGTCGAACAGTCGTGTTTTGGGTGTCAGATGCGTGTTCGCGATCACCGAGGAAGTATCCGACAGGCCTCAATTGTTCGGAACAGCCGGCTCGGGGGTCGATGAAAGGTCGTGGGGTGTGAGAGGGGGAAAATGCAGATTATATGCGAGGAATGCCGAAATGACGTTGGGAGCGTTTGCAGATGGATCGACTTGCCAAGCAACGTTCAACTGACACCACGTCTTCGAATCCAATCAATCATTCTTAATGATCAAGGGTTCTGCAGAGACAGGGAACCTATGCTGCGCCTCATTGAAATTACAGCCACAATCATTTTTTTTTGGTCGCGGCGGAGACAAAGGGCCTCCGGCGTTCGGCAAACTATAAAATGGATACTATTGACGTTTATGGTGGATTTCAGACAATTCATATCGTAAACCCCCGAGGACAGCTCATTGTAGGATGATATTCGTTTTTGAATCCATGTAAATCCAATAATAAATACTTAAGTACTCAAGTACTCGTACCAATAAAGTCAATGACGGAGTGAAGCAGGCACCAGAATTCCAGAACCCGATGTCTGCGACCCACAGCCACAACAGGGCTGAGAAAACTCGATTTATACCCACCTCGTAGGGTACTTTCTCGGATGTCTAGGCATGTCTAATTATGACTTTCTATACTCTTCATGACCACTTGAGCAAAATCACTCACATCGTACTTATCCAGGCAGCACTACTATTTGATTGTTCCAAATATTATTTGTGCATCTTTGGATGCTTGGTGGTGCCATCCTCGCATGTACATCACTCACCATCCTCACTTGATCTATAGATATTGTTTGGCGATAGTTGCTCGGGAAGCGTGGAAAATGTGCAGGATACAGAAATATGCGGTGTTATAATTTGTTGATCTCAAGACCTTTTACATAACTTTGCAGATAGATGCTGAAAAGCCAAGTATTGAGATCGCTGGAACCAACAAGGGAACAACGCTAAGTGGGATTATCATATCCGCTTTATGTTTAGAATCTGGAGTTTCACAGATTCTCTTTTGCCAGCATGTCTGATCATGTCAGTATGGTCTCAGGCGATGTGGGAAAGTGATGATACCTACCTGCAATATCCAAGTAGAACGCGATGGCATTGAATCTGCGAATAGATTAGTTTAGACCACGAATTGATAGGGCCTCGCTCACTTTCGCTTATTGCCCGTAACCTCTCCAGCTATCCACTTAAGTCGATTGGTCCAGTTTATGAGGTCCAGGTGGCTCACGCCCATCAGCGTTCCTTTATATCCCGATTCCCCTCCCCAGCGACTGCTAGATACGCTGACGAGACCATCGTTCGGTCCCTCATTTTGTTCAAGAATTCGATGGGATAGTCGAAATGCAGACCATATACTTGGTTGAACTGCAGCACCGTAGGAGAAATATCTGAACAGTCAATTAGTGGACAATGCAACGAAGATTGATATACTTACCGGACATCCGCCACATCCGGGGTATTTGGATTGAACGTCTCGGTCATGTACTTCCGAGTCAGTTGTGAGAATGCTCCCGTTTCGACATTCAACCGATTTAGGGCATAGTAGATCTGGGGGAGGACATCGGCTATAGTGAAGGATGTTGGCTCTCGGTCGTTGATTTAACATTAAGTGAGAACTAACCTCCAATTTGGTCAAACACGTAGTCCGCAACAGCGGAGCCTGAGAAAGAGTCAGCTTGGTATCAGTGCCGGCTGGCGACGGATTGGCTGACCTCGGTGTGGAGACGCAATTGTGGTCAATGATAGTACCTTGAATTTCTCCGGTCTAATGTGACTGATCATGTACCGAGAATCCAGGCCACTTGGTTGTTATTAGCATGTACCAAAATACCTCCGAAGTTGGTAGGTAGCTCACCCCTATCACTGATGAGCAATTGTCAAGTCAAGTGACCGGGAAACCTCACCATGCTATGTCTGCAACCCAATCAGATCATTAGAGAGAGCACAATATGGGTAGAAATAACATACGCAATAATATTTACATCCTTCCCTCGCGCGCCGGCCTCGATATCTCGGGCTAGTTCTTTCGCTCGATCTTCAATGGAGCCTGACGGGGGCACAGTAGCTGTGATGACTTCGACACCTCGTGCTGTCAAGGCTTCTTTGATTCCACGCCAGTACTGAACACCTGGAAGATACCGACCACCAATTCGCAGTTCATCAAACCCAAGCAAACCATGGGCCAGAACAACGGGGTGTTTCGGAACGTCTATGCAAAAGTGAGCGGTGGCACCAGAAGTAAGCTCGAGACGCGAAATACCATATTGATCACGGATGATTGAGTATTCATCGTGAATCACTCTTCCATGGTCTTCTAGTCGCGGTTCGAGACTTGGCCGGGATCCTTGTGGAGTTGCATGATACGCCCTGTGTCCAGCATGGCACACAAATGAGGGGAAATGATGGAATGCCGTTACTCCTCTTCGGAGCGTGATTGAGATCGCAATAGCATGATTCATTGCTGTCTGTGCCGAGGTTGCGAATCGAATATCGTCGCGGAGTGACGCAATGTAACAACAAAACCTGATGCCTTAGGCAGAACTACCAAGGCCGCGGACTCTCTTGTATTGATTTTGCACTGTTTGTTTTTGCCTAGTATGCTACTTGTGTTTAGGTATAGGCTAGCTATTTAGAGGATGGATTCAATCAAGTTCAATGGACACCTCATTGGGCCAAGTGGGACCGCATAGCGATTTGCACGGCATGATTTTCTATCAGGACTAATTAACTACTGCGACGTGAAGGCCACCAGTGAGATACATTGTGATATAACCTTGAGACATGGGAACGCAACACAAGAGAAAAAAAAAGCATTGCGTTTCAGCCTCTGAAAGAAGGCTAGCTTCATGGTGTGGTCACTGAAAGACGTTGCCAGTGTCAATAACGGTCCTCCCTTCACTTTCCCTAAACCAAACAAAACAGCCAGCTGGACCAGTCATATGTCCCTCAGTCATACCGGTGTTTTGAAAAGTGACAGGATCAGTAGCATAAAAGTACCGTGACCATCCCTTTGGGTGCTCGATGATAGTCGTGCCATTCGTCTTCCACATCGGTCTTCCAGACCAGTATTCATGCACCCTCGTGCACCCGTCCAATTCAATGGGATGACATCCCTGAAAGCCCCCTGAGATACTCAAAAGGGTCGCCGAAAGTCGCATCCAACCCCTCCAGGCTAACGCGTATAGTCCGTATTGAATTGTGCTTTGCTGTTCTTCTAAGCACCAGCGAGGTATCACGCAGTGGTCGACAGAACAGCCCGGGGTTCTGAGCTCCTCGAGGTTATCAGCCTTGAGCTGGGCTATGAGAAGGTAAGTTGAATCGAACACAAATACCTGAGGACATTCATAGTAATAAGCTTGCCTGTTTGGGAGTGCAAATTAGTTTGTGCCACAGAAAAATGCTCTCACATATCAGCAAGAGGCGAAGAAAGATGAGGACAGAAGAGCCCAAGAAATAAAGCCTCGAAACCTACTCTCTGATGGTCTGCTGGAGGGTTTGGGTAATTGGGTCCATATCCCGGACCCCAACCCACTGCTCAACCTTGATAGTACCGGGTTCTCTAAATATCCCTATCATCGCCGATCTTTCGTGCAATTGATTCTCCATTCCGGGCCAAGTCAGTTGGTAACCACAATTGAGGCCTGATCGGCCCGTTCTGGTGGGCGGAGCTGATCTCGAAACCATGAAAGGCCCTTGGCTGTATGCGGCGCGAACAACAGGCTCAAAATTCTGGTAAAAATCGCGCTTGACTTCTTCAAGCGTCTCAATAACCTCCCTGCCTAATGAGATCATCGGGAGGGTCTGGTTTTCAAGGCCTACATAGTTTGTTGGGTCGCAACAAGGCTCATGGAAAAGGAAATTGGGGCCCAGGAAGTTGAAAATCCCTTGTTTTGTTGGGGCGTGGACTGTGACTTTCTCGTGCTTTGCATCATTATCAGGTCTCAGTTTAGTCAGGCTGATGGTTGGGGTGGTATTGATTATGCGCGGATGATAACCGAAGCTATCAAGACGTTGACGCACGGTCGTGAAGTGAGGGATTCTCTGCATTGGGACCGACATTCCAAGACTTCGTGCTGGTTGTATGTTGTTCGAGGCTTTGCTTAAAGACAGAATGTGGGAGCTGTAGTTGGCGAGATTGCTGTTATTGCGATGGATCTGGCGGCCCGGGTATCTTATATCTTTCAGCACAACCTTTCTAGCATGCATTTCTTACCTCTACATGAGATTCCGAAGCAAAGCCCATAGCCCCCAAAGCCACAGCATTTGAACCATTCATTTCCAAAGGGAATGGCAGCAACCCTGGACCGCTCCTACCGCAGGCACACAAGAGCCACGGAAGTTTGCCCCATAACTGCGACAAACACTCAATATGGCAAAGCATCATTGGATGGGAGAGGTTGCCTGGAAATGCCACGATAAACACCGGTGTGACTCGAACACGAGTATCTCTTGTGGGCGTCCACGGGTTTGGATTGTTTGCCAATACAACTTCGGCGCCGTCATATAATAAAAGCGGTAGTATAGCCCCAAGACTCATCCTGAATGGTGGCAAGGTATCTCAACCAACTGCGCCACGGCGTCAACACCAATGGCAAGAGGTATCTGGAACCTGGATTGTTTGGAAGGATTCTGGTGCCTGTCAACGCAAGATATCGAATTAACACGCCCCTGTCATTTCTGCCCCGAGGACTGGATAGCCCCGAACGGTTGAAAATTTGGAATAGCGCAAATAACTCGCAACAGTGTCTGTTTCAGCTTCTCAAGATGAGAGGCTGGGAATGAAAGCTCCGGGTGGAGGATAGTGAGAGGATGTGCTGGCATGGCTGTTCAAGCCTAGCTTGCCGTGTACAGCCTTGGAGATTGAACTCACTTTCAGAGAGACCCCGAAGAGCATGGCACCAAATTGAAATATTAGCTCGGCTTCCATCTCATCGTGCATACTTGGTTGAACCAAAAGAAACTGATATTGTTCGGAGGATGGATATGGGTGAACAGCACACGAGCGCATTATTCAATAAGCAAAGAAAAGATGTACTGGGATATCTACATTATGCCGCGATTTTCTCAGGCACCTGTGGCTTCACGTCGGTCGTCACACGAATAAGTCCTTCGATCACCTCATCGCCTTGCTTCTTGCCGGCATCCTTGATTTCCTGGAGCTTGGCGTCGGCTTCCTTGTTGGACTCCTCCTCGGCAGTCTTGAAGCCACTGGAATGCTAAAGCAGAGACCTTCGTTAGAATCATGACATGGTTTCGTTGGGCTGAGTTCAAGCTGTGTTGTGCTGTGTTGTTCTCACCTCGCCCTCGAACTTCTTGTACTCTTCTTCCTTCTGCTTCTTGTATTCCTCGATCTCCTTCTGGGCCTCTGACTTGGCGTCTCTTATGCGCTTAGTGCGGTCTGAATCGTGGCAAGATTAGTTTGGTCATGCGAATACCGACTGGGGAGCTCAGATGGCGTACATTCTCGGGCTAAACGTGATGTGACGTATTAGTATCTCCGCAATGATGATGAGAGAGTCAAGGAACTCAGCCTACCTTGCTGCACAATCTTCTGAGCCTCTCTCTCGGCCTGTCAAGCTCATGGTAAGTACACACCCCGGTCCAAGGCCAAGCTGGCACTTACGTCGAGGAGGGTCTGAATGCCCGCGGAGTTCTGAGCTGACTGTTGTTCACCGTTAGCAGCCATCCACCAATGCCAACGTGTATCGCTTACCATGTTTCCTGGGAGCCTCTGTGACTTGAGAAAGGGGTAAAGGATAGATGAGGCTGACAGGGACGATTCAACGGCTGGTCTGGAGCTTCAGGTCCAGGTCGATCGGAGCCACGCATCGCCCCCCAGAGCGGTGGGGGTTCTGCCATCCCCACCGCCCGATCGATAAACTGATAAACTCCGACTTGATTTCAACGTTCATTGATTTCATTGCCCGTGTGTCCGCGTTTGTTGTACATTAGCGCGTTGAGCCGTACATCCACCTCGTCATCATGTCCCGTGCAGCAAAGGCCACTTTTGCAGCCACCGGCCTCGGCACAGCAAGCATCATTTGGTTCGTCCACTGGGCGCAAGAAGCGGATAGGGCGGTATGTTGCGACTTCATGATCATGATTAAGGATCTTACTAACTTGGTACCAAGGCTATGCACAAAGGTGTCGAGCGAGATATGGAGAAACAACGGATCCGGTTGGAACGTCAGGCCGAATTTGAAATGCAAAAGGCCCTCGAGCAGGAGTACCTCAAGCTTCAAACGGTACACAGTACGAACGACGATTCCAGTACCACGAACAAAACCTCGAATCCTGGGTCATGAGACAACACAATTAATCTGCAGTTGTGCTGGACCTTGCGTGGTATGTCCACATGGCCTCGAATCGCCTGATAGCCGTGGAGAATGCCGATTGTTGCCCGCGATGCATAGAAGCTTGGAGTTGGAATTGTCCGATTATGCATGCGATGTTGTACAAATATTTTGAGCCCGAGGTGTATGATATTCCCTTTCTGTACTAGTATTACATGAACTTATCTCTCCATTCCCAAGCGTTCCCCGGTCTGAGTTCTGAATGGTTACGATTTACCGCAAGCAGGATAGCATTCAGTCTTTTTCAGAAGAGGATCAAGCTTTCTACCTGGACCCGAAAGTGAGAGTTAAGCGTTTGGGGTGCAGTGTTTTTTTAAGAAAGTGACCCAATTGGTAAATGATCTTGCTCACTTCTGAACGAGCTTCCCTTCTTCACCTCCCAATACACACAAGTCTGAGGCCAAAAAACACACGATGTTGCTTCCTACCCACAGAATGAATTTTACGCAGCGGCCCTTGCACGGCGCCATGTGTCTTTTATTGGCAATTTGTTTGATTTGGGTCACAGTCATGTCGTACCTCACTTTTGCTAACCAAGGGCCCAACAGCGCCCCGGGAAACAAATTGCAACGAGTCGCCAAAGTATCCATGCTCTATGGAGGCACAAATGACATGTATGAGAGAGCATTGCGCAGCCATGAGCGCCATGGAGAAAGATGGGGCTATCCGATGCACGTTTTACGACAGGATATCACAGCCGGGTTCTGGAACAAACCATGCTATCTTCTTTCCTTGGTAATCAATGAGTTGGCCCAACCAGTGGAAAAGAGGCTGGAGTGGTTCATGTATGCACCCCAACATGCATTTTGAGACATTTGCTGACAGTCACAGGTGGGTGGATGCAGACTCGATCATTCTAAACAACGAAATTCCCATGGAAATCTTTCTTCCGCCACCTGACCTTCAAGGCATCCACCTGATAGCAACTCAGGACCACAACGGCCTCAATACGGGGATAATGTTCTTGCATGTCCACCCATGGACTATCAACCTCCTAACCGAGACAATGGCATACCCTTTATATCTTCCAGGCATTGACCTCGGGCGATCTGCTGACCAGGAAGGCATGAAGCGTGTGCTCAACAAGACCACCGGAGGACCAAATGGCCGGGGTTACGCTGATGGGGTGGTTTATCTACCAAGACCGTGGATCAACGCATATGAGTGGGACTGGGCATATGAAGGGCGGAGGGGGGATTTGCTTGTACATTTTCCCGGACTGGAAGAACGACGGTGGCCGCACATGGCCAAGTGGCTGGACATAGTTGAGATGACGCCTCACGAGTGGGACCTACCATTGGAGGAGACTGGTTATCCTGACCGGACCGTCACTTACTGGTCACTATTCCGGAGTGCGAGGAACAGCATCGAGTCAGTGGAGAAGAAAATACACGCCGGGGAATCTATGCCTGCGCGCACTGTGGAGGCGGTTGAAATCCTCAGGAAGGTGCTGAGGGAAAAGTCAGACAACATGGACTTAATCCGAAAGGGTCTCAATACTCTGGGTGCATTGGTCGGAAAGAACTAGGAGATATCAATTGTCTTCCGTCCAACATTGGAAGAAAGTTGACTCAGTCTTAATATCCGAGAACTTGTCCGCATGGAGTAGCCCGCCGGTGCTGAGCGAAAGTTCTAGATCATCATTCCACTCTGATACCTTCTTTAATCAATGATACCGTGAGCTGCTACTTTGGAACTCATCGGTGTGATCTGATGATGTGGTAGAAACCCTAGGTGTCCACCCCTCTAAGTAAACTCTGATATATTTCGATCTCTTCACTTTCCTTTTACTTGCAAATCTCTCGACAAAGCCTCTTGTTTGGGTTAAGTTCTCCAAGGAAAGTTCGGACCGAAGTTCAAAATATCAACTGATGGCCAGAACTCCCCGCATACTCCCGCTTTGGGCAATCTACCTTCAACAACAGGTAATCCATGGATTCAATCAAAGTGATGTCATGCTTATTGAACCTCACATTGTTCAATCTGCTATTGTTTTGACCACTATCTAATGATGTACTGTAGTGTGAATTGCTCAACATGCACCTGCGTCACTCAACGTTAGGTCTGAATCGACGCTTCGTCCGCTTTCTTGCCATTTTCTTGGTCATAACTTTCTCGGGCTGGGCCTTGCTTCATCTGGATACACAGAGGGGTGTGGTTGCTCATTCGTATGGGCCAAATGACACGAAGGTTACGACCGGGACGCTGATGAGTATAGAAGCTACCATCGATGGGCATTGAAAAGATCCCCGACTTTGTCAACAATTCACAATATCTATGATCATTCCATTCAACCTGTTACCAATACCATTTTTGTCGGCCACACCGGGAAGCGATTTTGGCTCGGAGAGCCCTTGAGATTTACCGAGCCATTGGGAAGAAGGATCCTCATTTTGGACGCAGAAAGCCGAAAGATGAATGAACATCAAGGCTTGTTGAGCGAAACACCCCTCAACGCAAATGAGCTCCCGCATGACACTAGCGGTAGACTGAATCATTTCATGTACGGTAAGTTCTAAATCGCTTCGAATATTGTACACTTTGGTTGACATATGCAGCCAAAATTCATGGCTACGACTATCGACTGGTCGTAATGCCTAGAACCGACGGTCGGTTTGGGACGTGGTCGAAGGTGACTGCGATGAAGGAGGCCTTGCAACATTACGATTTTGTCGTCTTCCTAGACGCTGACGCAATGCTACTGTACCCGAATCTCCCAATGGAATGGCTGTTCAACTACTGGGACATCACGGAAAACAATCTCGTTGCTTTGGCACTTGACCCAGACGCTCCTCATAATCGTGATTGGAATGGCCGCACAATGCTGAACACCGGGTTTATGATAGCCCAACGGAGCCTCCGTACCAATGAGCTATTCGAAGCGTGGGAGTCTTGTCCAACAGAGACGCGTTATCCAGGGTGTTCGAAATTCGGTCGGGAATGGGCTCACGAACAGTCTGCCTTTGGGAACCATGTTCGGTATGACTTCAACAGATCCGAGGATATCAAAGTTCTGCCCTGCGCGGAAGCCAACGGTTGTCCTCAGGTTGCAACCACAGGGTGTGTTGGGGAGTTGGTCAGACATTATTGGGGGGACAAGAAGGCTTTGACGGCAGCCGCAGGGGATGCTGTTTTGCGATACTTTCTACCCCAGCTACATGAGCTTTTTTACCAGCAGCGAGATACGCTAGTTATCAACAGAACCGAGCGAGAATTTGCCTGACTCATTGCGATGAAATGATGTTTAATGAAAACTGACTCCATCTGTTCGTTCATCGCCCGTTAGCTTGTATACTCAAGTGATAGAGTATGCTATGTGCTTCGCCTGACAAGGATATGAGAACTGTATGGGTTCGCATGGCCTTTCCTACTGACCGAAGTGACCAAGCCCGTGAATCTACACGACCGTACTATTGTAATCGGCCCTATATCAAACGTACCTGGAATATACGTGGCCGGCTACTCTCGGAGGCCGGTAGCATTCCGGCCTCCGAACGCTAGGAAAGTCAAACTCCGCGTTATCGCCCAATCAGACGACGGGAACTGACGATCCTGGCTTGGCAACGCATGGAACTTCGAGCATAGATCGTGCCTTGAACACACCACTTTAGGTCTTGATCCGTAATAAATCATCATTGAATGGTCGATATCTTTGGATCAAGCATTGCTGGGCCCTCATCTATCATTTGTCACCACAAATCCTCGATAAATCCTCGGGGAATGGCCTAGGCCGCTTTCCCCGGCTTCTACTGCATTTGGCTTAGCGTCACCTCGTGACCTACGCCTGCCCTCTATCACTGGGCAGTTGTATACTTCATTTGGACAGACATATGGATGGCGAAATAATGTATTTCGGTCAAATATGCCCATATAAAGCCGTAAGACGCTTCCTAGGCCTATGTAACATGGATTTATCTCCTGCAGCATCGGATGTCACGGGTTCCACGCTATCTCTATCTCTTTCGTAATGGTGGACTTGAGGCCGGAATTGTTACCGGCCTCAAAGTATTATAAGAATCTGCTCCTTGCCCGCTCAAATTCCCTGAGCTCCAAGACTCTTTTCATCTCTTCTAGTCTTCTGACATCTTCCCTTCCATTTTCACACAATTTCTCCTGGTTCTTGACGTGCCCTTTGGTCTTTGTCACTCTACCTCCTCATCCATATACATCATCCCCCTTTACACCATCTCGTCTCATTGTGTATTCCTTTACATACTACAGAGCCTCTTTGTTTCACACACATACTCAGTTGTACAAACTTCAGTATGACTCGAACTCAAGTCCCCTACCCCTCCCCAGCTACCCTGAAACGGTTTCCTCATATCAATGATGAACCCTCTGCCCTCTCCCATAGCCTTGACCCCTTTACCATAACCACCAAGACAGGCTTCCTGCCCTATGAGACTGCCCCAACTGAGCTACCAGAGGCCTTCAGTGCCCTGTTGTCACTCGTCAACCGTCTCCCTGTCGTCAGACTAGATGGCAAGCCTGGTCTACTGGCCACCTATGAGCTCGGCCCCGCCGTCGAGGCTGAGCTTACTGATTTGACTCATGAGGTTGAGAAGCTGCTTCTTCCTGATGGCTCTTATGACCGCTTTACTATCGCTGCTATCTTCCGTGATTACACTTTCCTGGCCTCGTCTTACCTGCTTGAGCCTTGCTGGGAGCACTGGAACAAGGATCCCGCAGGTGGATACGGACTTGGTCGCGATGTCCTGCCCAAGTCTGTGGCCCGTCCCATGTATCGCTGTGCTGAGATGTAAGTTGATCCTATATTTACTCTTGTGCATTGCTCAGCAGGAGTATGCAACCGCCCACCATAACATATAGCTGATCATCTATAGCCTGAACCTCCCCCCCTTCATGTCATATGCTGCTTCGTATGCCCTGTTCAACTACACAGTTGAAGACCCATCTAAAGGTCTGAGCGAGTATTCGAATCTGCGTCTGATCCGCTCCTTCGAGAAGGGTCTTGACCCCAAGAGCTCCGAGGCTGGCTTCATCTTGACCCACGTCGACATGGTGAAGGAAACTGGCCCTCTCATAGCCGGCGCTCTGAAGGTTGTCGACTCTATGGAACAGGGTGCTTCCCGCCAAGAGGTTAATGATGGCTTCCGCGAGATTTTGAGGTCTATGGAGAAGATCGAGGGTTCTATGGAAGGTATGATACATTTCCACCCTTGCGATAGCAGAAAACAAAGTATTAACTGATATCACGATAGACATGTGGGGTAACTCGAAGCCATCAGAGTACCTCTCATTCCGTGTCTTCATCTTCGGCATCACCAACCAATCTATGTTCCCCAACGGTGTCATCTATGAAGGATGTGAAGATGATAAGCCTCTCAACTTCCGTGGCGAGAGTGGTGCTAATGACAGCATCGTAAGTCCAATCACAAAAAAGCAATCTTAAGGCCTAGATTGACAAATTCAGATTCCTCTGCTTGATCACCTCTGCGAAATTCCTATGCCCGAAACTCCTCTTACCAAGATCCTCCACGAGTTCCGCGCCTATCGCCCTCTCCCCCACCGTGAATTCCTCACATACATTCGCGAAAAGTCCGAGGAGATCGGCGTTCAGAAATACGCCGTGCAAGACTCTGAGACCGCTGTTCTTTTCCTGCGCACTCTTAACCACATCCGCAGCTTCCGCTGGCGCCACTGGCTCTTCGCCCGTGAATACATTATTCGCCGTACGCCTCACCCCACTGCTACAGGCGGTAGCCCCATCGTTACTGTGAGTCAATTTCCTTCTTCTCCCTTCTTTCTTATCGTGGAAAAATACTAACCAACAATTTCAGTGGTTGCCTAACCAATTAGCGGCTGTCATGGAGCTCATGGTGAAGATCTATGATGCGCACCTTGCACCTCAGGAGGGTGCTGCTGTCATTGGTAATGAGGATCTCATTGCGTCCCACAGGAAGCAAGTCGAGCCCATGATGGAGCTTGTACGGGATCAAAAGGAGAAGCTTGCGAGGGAGGTTGAGCGGTGGTGCCAGGAGCGCGGCGTTTAGACATTTTGTTATTCCCGGATGGCTTCTTTTGGGCGTACATCGCTAGGATTGTGCAATGACTTCCCTGGGTATCTTTATGATGATGAAAACTGTTTTGATTTTCTCGTTAAAGACTCGTTACCCTGTAAAAGCAAATTCTCATTTCCCCTGCGTAGCAAGGCTTTGGGTTGCAATTGACATGGACGAAGATATACACAATCATAACTTTGCCTGTACTCCATTCTCAAGCACATATCGATACCTTGCCTTGCCATCATGCATGTCGCTCAGGGCAGCATTAACATCCTTCATTTCCCTCCTCTGAACCCAAGGCAAGACCCTCTTTTCTGCAGCAACCCGTAACATGTCTCGGATATCCGCAGGCGATCCAATATTAGATCCAGTAACCTTCACACTTTTCTGAATCAAACTCCAAGCCATGAGAGGCGGTAAAGCATCCTCTGGGGCCCCAACCTGCACAAACGTCCCATCCCGCTTCAACAGACGCAGGTATTGCGCAAATGGCATATCGTGCGCGGAAACAGTACACAAAATCACATCGAGGGTTCGCGAGTGTTTCTTCGCCCACCCCTTTTCCTCACCAGTTGCAATAAATTGATCAGCACCGAGGGCATCAACGGCATCATTCTTCTTCCCAGATGATCGTGAAATAGCAACAACCCGATCTGCCCCAAGCGCTCGTGCAAATAATATCCCCATATGTCCCAGCCCCCCAATTCCAACAATACCAACACTCTTCCCAGGCCCCACACCGTATTTGCGCAATGGTGCAAATACAGTCACACCGCCACAGAGTAATGGCGCCGCCTCAGCAGAAGGCAAAGCATCTGGAATTCGAAAGACAAAGTGTGCAGGCCCGCGCCAGGTATCGGCGAATCCGCCGTATGACTTTGATCGCTGCGCATCAAGATAGCGCCCGTTGTATGTCCCTGTCATGCGTGCGCAATAGCTTTCTTGACCATCGGCGCAAGCTTCGCAGTCTGCGCGAAGACACGAGCCGCTCTGTGCGCCGACACCGACGCGGTCGCCGAGCTGGAGTTCATTGGATGGAGATGGCAAGGTGCTAACGCTTGATCCGATGCGCGAGACAGTGCCGATTATCTCGTGGCCAACTACGCAGGGGTAGTCTGTTGGACCCCAGCCTGAGCGGAGAGTGTGGATGTCTGTGCCGCATATGCCACAGTGGGACACACGGATCTCAATATCGTATTCTGTCCAGGGTTTGGGGGTGAATGTTGTGTAGACAAGTGGGCTTTTGGAGTCGTGGGCTACCCAGCCTTTGAAGGTTTCTTCGGACATCTTTGGAAATGCGAGTGAGGACCAGATTTTGAATATAAACCGGGCTGCAGGTATTTAAAATGAGAAAAATTGGGTCAATTGAGGTGAAAGATGTGAGGAGATGTCGATCTTAACATGGGGAGAAGCCGAAAAAAAGTTACCGAGGTCCATCTTATCTCCGAAAATGTTCATGCGACGCATTATGAAAATTCCAACTCCGTATTTACATGCTATGTACATTATTATGGGGTATCAATTGATTACCGGGCCACGCCCATCAGATCGCCAAGCTCGTCAGTGGTGAGTGTACTTCGGCGGCGGTTAGGCGGCCTAGAAGCCTTATCTGGATGACTTCTCTTTCGTGACTCGCGCTCTTTTTGTTCATTTTGAGCTGCTCGGGCCTCATCCTCAACCGCAGCAAGCTTTTGTTGAACGCTCAGAGATTCCTGGTTGTGCTGGGTAAAGATATCAGTCCATGGAGTATCCTTTGGGGGTCGTCGTAATGGCATACCTGGGGGGCTTCTTTTGATTGGGTCTTTCGTCTTGACGGTCTGCGGGTCACACTTTCTGTTTTGTAGGCTTTGATCTCGAGTGTTTCATCGTCGACATTCTCAACGGCCGGGGAGCCTTGCAGACCGGGGGTGAATGATACCTTTCGGGGGCGCTTTGCCATACTGTTGTCATTACGCTCTCGTAAGACACGGTCAAGTCGCTCGGGTACTTTTCGGATTTTCGATCTTGTCCGCGGGTTGGAAATTTCGGGCTCTGGTGCTTTTTGTTCTGTGTGCTGCTCTGAGTTCCGCAGATCTTGCTCCTCGTCTTGGTCTTCCAGGATTGTTGGTATAGGGTTAGACCCAGCACTTTGAATGCTAGTTTCCTCGGGTGAGTTGATGCTGAGGTCGAGGTTCATGCCGTGTTTCAACTCTTCGGCCTGTATAGAGTCCCCACCATCTGCAAGTCGACGTTGCCAGCCGCCCATCATAGTGACAGCTTGCTTCCACCGGCCTTCCATCTTCACCCAGCCCTCTCGGAGTCGTTTAATTTCCTCCTCCCGTACCTCGACTTCTTCCAGAGGGACGAAAGACGGGTTTGTAAGCAGGGTCCGTAGGTGATCCAGTACTGTCTCCATGTGGACAGACAGCTCCTCGCACGAGGTTGGCAACGAAGTAACAGGCCCAGGCTTTTGGGCTACACTTGCACCCATGCCATTTTGTTCAGATTCAGGTGTAGCTTCCGCCTGCGGCAAGCCCTGCAAGTCCTTCAAAGTGTGAACTGTGTTTCGTGCAAGCTCAATGAGCGTATCATTTTCGTCACTAAGATTCTGACACAATTCCGTCAAGAAATCGGTCGTCTCCTGTTTCAAGCTGTATCCAGGGTCATTGATTCGATCTCCTCCACTGGCTCCAAGGCGCGACCGGTCGGCTGCGGGGTTGATGTTGATAGTCGTAACGCCTAGGCCTTCGCGTTTGCCCCGTTGTCTATCGGCCAAATGCGATTTGAGCTTCTGCATCTCCAGATCCCGCTTGCGAATATCATTTGCACATTGCGCCCGAACTTGCGAGACGGTGCTTTTCATGCGCTGCACTTGCTCCTTCAATCCTCGGATCGTCGTTTCAGCGTTGGTGACGTTCGTTTTGAGCGCGCGCTCCTGAGCCTCCGCTAGAGCCACCGAGCGAGTTAATTCGGATGTCTTGGTTCTCAATTTTCCCTGCGCAAGTTAGACTCATTAGCGCTGCGACACATCCAAGTGTGGCCAAACTCACAATCTCCGCCGTCTGCTCCGTCTCAGTCGCCTGGAGTGTGCGAATAGTGGTAGACAAGCTTTCGCGGTGTTCGGCTTCGCGCTAGGTTATGTTAGCTCAATTCCCAGTCGCATAAGAAAACAGAGCACACACGTCTCGTCTCAAAACCAAATCGTTAACCAAATTAATCACACGAGCCATGGTGCCATCGGTGCCTCCGTCTTCATTTTCGGGGTCTGCGAAATCGATCGCACGACCCCCTTTCAGTAGGCCTCTCGCCAGCAGGATATTGTTCACATAAGTCGAAGCTGCCTGCAAATTCTGCGACTCCATGGCGACGATGGAGGTTTGCGATGGTCAACTCTTCATACCGAATAGGGAAGAAAGTAAACACGGGAAGTACGGGGAGGCGGCAGCACCAAGGGTGCAAGGCGGCGAATAGAGGGCAATTCTGCCAGCTTCACATCGCTTTCACGACTCTCTGCGAACATCGTATACATCGCGAGTCAATATGATTTGGTTCAGTCAAATCTAAATCGAATAGGTTTATCATAATAGCCACCTAAGACTTGCCTCGATCTTCTCTCGCATGAGCTCACATCTTGAATCCCTTGCGCCTATGACGTGGTGCGTGGTAATATTCCCTTTACCGTCGCTCTAAGACACTGTCCAATCCACAGTGAGAATTAGTCCCTTGCGTGGCTATAACTCTCACATTTCCTGCCACTACGTATGTCTTCCAACCGCTTTGGCATCCGCTCTGCATCATGGCGTCCAAGCCAGAGTCACGTATAGTGCGCGGAGCAACCTCCAAAAAGAAAGTCAATGCAGAGCAAGCTGCCGTCCATCAAAAGGCTGGCCAGGTCGCATACAAAAAGGGTAATCTTCAAGGCGCCATCGACTCCTTCACCCAGGTACGTTTCGGCTTGTTTACTCCAGCACGCGCTACTCTAAACATATGATATCCAGGCATTGGCAGAAAACCCTGAAGATGTTGGGATCTTGGACAACCGCGCGGCTACCTATTGCAGCCTGAAGCAATATAGCCAAGCTCGTGCTGATTCCCGAAACATGATCAAGCTTGCACCTGACGAAGATCGTGTAAGTGCAGACCTCAGCGCTTTCCTGGCAATTTGCACTCAAAACGCAGAACCCTTTGTTATGGATCTCTATTTTCACGGGATTTCTATTCTTACGTTGATTCTCGCCGTGTCCAAAGACCCCACTTTCTGACCGGTCATAGGGATATCTACGTCTGGCAAAGGTCTTATGCCTTGATGGGAATTTCGATAAAGCCCGCGACATATACGAGTACGCTCTCCAAAAACTTCCTGCCGAACACAAAGGCCGTGATGTCAGTGGTTTCTTGACATATACCAACCATCCGCCCGGCACTACTAAAAATCCTTAGGTCATTTCTCAGCTCCTAAAAAGGCTTCGTGATAAACTTGCTGGAGGTAATCGCCGTGACCCATTCACAGCCCTGCCCCTTGAGATTGCCCATCTGACCTTGCGTCTTCTCACATTCAAACAACTAGCGTGAGTACATTTAACTTTATGTATTGAGCTCTGACTAATCACCAAATATAGGGCAATTCTGCGCGTTTCGAAAGGATGGAACAAGTTTTTAGGGGGTCTTCCGAGTTTGTGGATGTCGATTGATCTCACAGGAGCCAGATCTCGCGTCCCTTGGACGTCTGTTCGAAACTACATTCATCGATCGCGGGTCGAACTGACCCGCGCGACAATTTCGAACCTTGTTCCGGCCTCCACTCCGAAAGTGCTTGACATGCTGAGCAGGTGTCCCAAGCTTGAACATCTAGAGCTGATGGTCGCCCATGAACAGCCCAAAGAATTCTATGCTAAAATTAAAGCGTTCCGGCATCTGAAAAGCATTACTTGCGGGCCGGAAATAAAATTGTCTCATGCTTCCATTGGAAGCATTATCTCCAGTCTTCCTCGGCTGGAGAGTGCCACATTCCTTCAGGCCTGGGATGCGCCTTCCAGGGCACCACGAGCTGTAACATGGCCTCAACGTCTTCCACATATGAAGAGTCTTACCATTGCATCTTCCCAGGAAGATCGGACCGGCCTCGCATTCCCGGTGATCGTTCCTGGCCTTGGATCGGTAAGGCTCCAATCCCTGGCTCCATTGTCGCGCTAACACCTCCTTGTCGGCTACTCAGTCAGCATTTCCTAACCTAGAAGAGCTACGCCTACTGTGGGAACCGGCTCGATCACGATCCTACCGATTTGACCCAGTTCAGGACGGCGAAACCCTCCCACCATTGCGCGTACTAGATTTACGAGGCGCTGCAGTTCAACATAACTTCTATTCAATCCTCCCAAGCACCCTCCGAACACTTCGTTTCTACTCGGGATCCATCGAAACCCCCGCCGCGGGAGGATTTGGTGGCAATTTCCTCACACCGGCTGAGAACAAGCTTCCAAAGATGAGTACTCTCGTCTTCAATGACACACCTTGGGTCAATATCGATACTCTTTCACTCTTCCTGCTACACTCAAAAGCCTCACTGCGAACTCTGCAGGTCAGCTTTTGTCATAATATTAATGCTCGCGACTTCCTCAACCTTCTTTACGACCCGCAACGGATGAACCCTGAGCTGGCAAATATCACTGAACTGGGTGTTGCTTGCATGGCAGACATTGATGATATTGGTGTTGGTCATTTGTGGGCAACACTGCCAAAGCTCAAAGTACTCGATCTATCGCAGACTAAGATCACAGGGTGCACGATCCGTATGTTTGCAGATGCGCAGGGCGATGACCAAACGACGATCAAACTTGAATCTCTCATAATAAAGGGGTGTGATGGTGTTTCTCGTGATGCAATTGACTATGGACGAAGCATGGGGATCAATGTTATCACTTGAGATGACTATCATCGCAACCTCCTGGCTTTTACTATTCGCCTTCTGAAAATTGTATTGACCGCCTTGTGGCCACTTCTTCTATCCTTTGTCAAATTACCTTCAGCGTCATGCTGTCTGTACAACTCCCTAGAGCTTCCCATGTATCTTTGAATGACATTGGTCTTGGACACGATTGCAGACCTCCTTTCGATAAGGGGGGAACGGACTGCTGTATTGATGAACTAGGCAACTGATACCGCGAAACTAACTTTCTTTGACTACTGCATCGACAGTTTACAACTTTGCGTGTTACGTGAAATGGATACAAAAGGAGCTGTATCATCTGAGTGTGTCAGCCTAAACGAGATGGGTTTGCCCAGGCGGGATGAAGTGCACCCGCACTAGCGGCTGAACTCTCGGTTCGGCGATCCTCCGCCCCCGACGGGCCAATGTTGCACCGGACTATATGTGCATGCTCCCATAATGCTCAAACAATGCCCCTCACGGAGATTTGCTACTCAGTTTCGCTCCCCTTGTTCCACATACATCGCAATGCGAGTTCTACTACTCGGCGCAACGGGGAACTTAGGCTCCCGGCTTCTACCAGCTTTGATTCAACGAGGTCACATCGTCTTTACGTTGATCCGAGATCCCTCAAGACTACCCAAAGGCGTACAACGGCACCTCTTCCACGTTAAATGTGGCGATGCAAAGCAAGCAGGTGTGATTAAAGCAACCGCACTTACGCACGAATGCGATGCGATTGTCAATGCAGCTGGGGCCGCTGGTATAGCGCCTTGGGGCAGGGGTGATTTATCCGCTATCATTGATGCGGTAACTTGTGCTGCTCTAGAAATTGGCCAAGAGCGTGGAAAGCCGCTGCGGCTATGGGTACTCGGTGGTATTGGCCTTTTGGATATACCAACGCAGAATTATATGCTGGTGGACTAGTAAGTGTTTTCAACGGAATTGGTGTGTCTGTTTGACCGGATTATACTATACGCCTCATAGGGGAGCATCGTGGAACATTGGCAAAGCTCGAGGCTTTGCCAAAAGGAAGTATTCTTTGGTCTATCTTATGCCCTTCGATGATGCAGCCTCTTGCCCAGCCCATGTACCCTGTTATCAAAACATCATCGGTTGATAATCTATTCGTTTCCGCTAGGGTGCCGCCTCAATGGTCAGAGAAATATCTCTCTGTCCCAATCATTGGAGGATATCTGAATATTGTTACCCAGGCGGTTGGCTATACCACAACGTTGGAAGACAATGCTGATCTTATTGCGAGTGACCTTCTGGCAGGGGTTGATAGTCCGTGGGTATTCCAAAAAATCGGGACGAAAGAGAAACAACGAAAGTAAATGGTAATATGGATGTGATATGGATGGTCAAACGGAGCAAACGGAGTAACAAAAAATTGTTCTTTCTAATATCATCGTGAACAACCGAGACTTGGTTACTGAAAATCATGAACTTCAGAATTCTGTTTCGCATGGCAAATTTAGACCCACTGAAGGCTCACTGGATGAGAAACTTGACTTGAGGTTTATTTGATGGACGCATCGATTGAATTGTTCGCGCCATGGCGCTAGTTTCAAAGGTCCATCGGGCTTCTGGGCTAAAGGTTTCCTCGAACCAAGTCAAACCTGATAGGGGCCGGAAGGCATTGTCAAGCGTGTGGCAAGCTCAGTTGTCTCGGGCATGCTTGAGTGGTGTCCGACCCCAGTGGGACAAGTTATAAGAAAAGAACTGGAGGTGGCACAGTATATGGAGTGGTCACCTAACCAATAATTGGCATGGTTTGGGGCCCATTGGGCCCCCACAAATGGGCTGGGCTGGGTTGGGTCGAGGGCTTTGTGGGCCGTTGCGGAGAGCTAAGCAAAGTGCGCTTCCAAGGTTATATATGCCAACATTAACTTCATTGTGTACATCCCGTAGAGAATCATTGCCAAATAGAATACAAGGCGAGATAGAGGGTACTTATTGGATGTAGTTGAATGTTTTACCAAATTTTCAATGCGAGGTGCGTTATAGACAGGGTGAAAAAGGCCAGGTCCAGGTCCCTGCATCTTCAGGGTTCACATTCTCATAATTTCGGCTCCTCCATTGGGTAGAGCCAGGGCAACTTGCCCTTCATAACCTCTAAGGCTGGTATAAAGTCAAGAACCTGGGCCTTCTGAAACGAAGGAGATATGCCAAAACGAAAGATGAAATCTTCCACAATTGACCAAACAGCGATATATCGGGACAACAGCCAGTAAAAGGGGCCTGACCAAGTGTGCATACGAGTCTCCAATCCTGAATTTTCCAGGTCGGTCATCAAAGAACATTCTGGGCTTTTGCGGGTGGTTTCGTATTTCTGAAATACTTGTGCCAGAGTTTCGGCATCTGGGCATCCGTTGGGAGTCTCTCGGACCCTGGCTCTGAGATTATTGCATAGCACCACAACATCCTGAACTCCGTTGTTGAACCCAAGCCCCAAGTGTGTCGTGAATTTGTGGCAAGAATCGCCCACAAGCACAATCCTCCCAAGACTCCAGTGCTTGACAATTCCTTCTTGCAAATCTGTGAGACCAGTTGCTGACATATTTGGCCATAAGTCCTTGACTTTCAGCGTTCCGTTCAATGGAAAATCGGCAAACTCTCCAGCGAGTGCCTCAACTTCTTTCTCATTGTAGCGATTGCTCTCTGTGGTTGGTTGGGGTAGTTTGTCGTATAAAAAGAACCAGCCGCGGGTTTTGCCACTGAAATACACCACAGATTTTCCAGAGGACTGAACGTCGTATCCTTCACCAGGCAGAGAAGATGCAGGGAACGCCCCATATAGTAGTCTGAAGGTTGACTTGTATGGCTGCTCCGTATCCCAATCGCGCAGGGGATTTCCTTTCAGGGCGATCTCGCGCATCAGGTGGCGGGTTTTGCTGTGGACGCCGTCTGCACCTATCACTATAGACCCCTGAAATGTACTGCCGTCGGCACATGAGACGGCGATGCCATAATCATGGGTCTCTATGTTTTGCAATGCTTTGCCAGTGAGTATTTTGGATCTGCTGGTCTCCGGTAGACATTCGTATATAGCTTGAAGGAGCTCGGTGCGGTGAAATATGACAGGTCCGTAACCATGACTGCACATGTGATTGGGTCAGAAACAGTAGAAAAGGTTTGACTGGTGGGCTATTTCACTTTTCCCTTATTCTCTGGTATCTTGTGCTTTCATTGAATACTTTTCCATCCTTCGTAAATGACAAGTGATGGTCGAGCTCAGTCCCCAACGGAAGTAAAACATCTAGTATGCCGAGTTGATGCATAACCCTGAATGTTTGCGGGTACAACACGATGCTAGCCCCTTGCTCTTCAACGATCGACTGGCGTCGCTCGAGAAGAACAAAATCTATGCCGGCACGGTAGAGAGCATGGGCTGCGAGGAGCCCTATCGGGCCCCCACCTATGATGATCACTTTGAACGTACTCTCCATTACCCCAAGTGTGTGAGAGGGGCATGAAAACTTTTTGCGAGACAAAGGGGTTTTGATATCAACCTCTTTACTCGCCTCGTTACACAACCTGCAAAGCTAAAGTGAGAATCATGCTGACTCTGCATACGAGGATACGAGGGTTACGAACAGGCAATCGCTTGACCCCACCGCTTTCTGAGCTGTCACATTGGATGATCGCCATTGATAAATCTACCATGCTCCGCTTTCATCGAATGGGGGCCTTCTATCGCATCACTGGCCGAGGGGCTTTTAGTTTTGCCCAGGTATTCATGTTGGATGAGTCGGGCTGGTAGACTCCAGGTTGGCACGGAGCAGTTTGATATCTTTCATGTTGATCCCGGAGACGCATGTGAAGCTTAAACATTCACATCTTCCAGTGCTGGCATATGCTGGCTAATCATTGTGGATATTTCGCTGTTAGAGAAATGGGAGGCCTTGTTCGACTCCGGTGCGGTGACCCAACCCAGACACTGTCAATAAAGTAGAATTTGAACGGTAGATAGAAGAAGCGATGCAGACCTTTTAAAGTTGCTTTGCGAACAGTTACTAATGTTCAATAGGAGGGGATCCTTGAGGACAGCGCCCGAGCCCTCTCTGTATCAACAATGGGGTGGTGAATTACAAAGTACTTAAGTAACACCTGATAATATTCTAAAGCTCGTTTGCATCGACGATGACCCAATCGTGGTACTTACAGCCCGAACCATAAGTTAATGGATGAAAATATCGATAAAAATTACATATCATTATCAAGGAGCCAGTCCCCAACGAACCCTCATCCTATAAGAAGTACAAAACCCATAGCATCCGCCATGCTCGTAGAAAAGGGACGCACCCAATGCATCATAACGCTCGTTGCCCATTCGCATGCCTCATCTGCATCCCAACATCCATCACCTGTCTAGCTCCCCTCGTCTCGGCATGACTGTATCCAACACCCGGTTGAATAGATTGGCACGATAATTCAACGCTCCATTGCCGCTCGCCAGGAGCAACCACGATTCAAATGGCAAGATTGAGCCATACATGCGCCCATCACGCATTTTAAAATCAACAGCAACAACCAGTATTGCCGGATCTTATGCCAGAAAAAGAAAAGAAAAAGAAAAAGATTCCCGGGCCTGCCTGAATTCGTCCAGTGACCCAGCCACTCTCAGAAAATCACCGACAAGACCCTTTTTCGCTTGAATACCCGGAATCCGACCTGCGGGGTCCACCAGATGAACGCGAGTGACGATCACACGCGTAGCCGACCAGGACGGTCTTTTCCTGCACTGTATGGCCGCGTTGGCCGTAGGCTTGACAGGGGTCGATGGAGTGTTCGAAATAGAGACATTTGCAGACGGAGTAGCGCTCGACGACTTTGTAGCACATTGTCAAAGGCTGAAAGATGATATGAGTGTAAGGAGAGAGAAGCGAGCCAGCCCGTGGGAAATTAATGAAGGGAGTGTGATGAAGTAGTAGAATGGTTAGGTAGTAAAGAAAGTAGGGCAGAGAGAACGACCAGCATCCCGTGTTATTTTAAAACTACACGAAACCACAATGTAGATCCCATTCAGCCCTATGGGAATATCGTGGCCCCAGGAAGAAATGGACCGGAGTAGCCGATGGGGCGCGCCCAATTAGAGCCTCGACTTTGCAAGTACATACTAGTACCGTTTACCCCTCTATAGTGGGGTGAAAACCAGGTCATTTCAGCTGTGTTCGAGATGAGCCTCATTATTGCTCATTTGAGTAATAGGCAAAAAAAAAAAAAGGACCAGGCGATCAGGCGCACAGGTACGGTGAGGACGAAGACGGTGAAGACATAGTGAAGAAGCACCCCGCGACAGGCACATTTTGGTGTAGCGAGTCGGTGAGCCAAGGCTGAGTCCACTCGGGGCGTTATTAGTGTCGGTTTAGTATAGTTGGCTTACGTTCCCTTGATCGACACATACTACTCGTACATTCCAAGGTTTGGCCCGGGCGTTACTCAGCCTCTTGAGCCTCATTGTAGATATTCTCACGAAGAAAAAACACACTTACACCGCTCATCAAAGGGAGTTTTCTTCATGGAATTCTATTCTACGAGTAATTCGGAGTGGGAGGGTTCAGAGGCCTGGATTAGGCTCCCGCATTTAGATGACGCTAACAGGTCAATCGTGATCCATAACCGGTTTGGGGTGAAGTGCTAAGACCGACTGGGGACCCTGCACCCGGAATTTGTCTGGTAGGGCTGAGGCGTCAGGTCCACTCGGGCTGATGATTGCCTTTTTGGGCAATCGGAGAGGACTCTTTGCATATTGGGTATGGGTGCACATTGCATAGACATAGGCGCTATCAGAATTAAATGATGAATTGCTATTGTACAAGGTATTGCACACAGAACCGGTCCAAAGTCACCAATCGGTCCAAACTCCATTCCTTTTTGGGTACCAAAGCATTAGATTGCACCTAGAGCACCATGACTCAATCCGCGAGCCAGGCCGAGTCGGAGCATGCGCAGAACATCCTCGCCCTGGGCAGACTCCGGTAGGCCCGCACGCCAGTCCCAGCCCCTCTCCGCATCGGCGCCAACAAGGACAGCAGAGCTACCAAGAGATCCGGCACCAGAGCCAGAGCGGGTGCGTGCCTCTCGCATGTCGTTCCCGATGACGGAAAAGCTGGAGGCGTTGACGTTGACCGATTTCTTGAGGAGGGATCGAGGGGAGGGACGATCCGACACTTCCCCGCGAGTAGAGGATTGGTATTCGAGGAGGGTGGAGTGGAAACACTCCGCGCACTGGGCGTAGACGCGAGGAGTCACGGTTTCGAGGTCCTCGATCGCGGACAGGATGGTGAATTGTTGTGAGACAGTAAGGACAGGAGTGGGTTCTATGTTTGATGAGTGTGTGAGTCGGTGGAAAAGTGATCGGTGAAGGGAATTGCAAGGCTTACGTTGCACAAATGCGAGTGCTTCACCGAGCAGGGCGAGCAATCCATCAACTTGAACGGCAGAGTCACGGTCCGGGTCGTACAGGCCACCGTAAATGTTATCCGCGGCACTGCCAATGACAGCTGCGAGAGCCTGGGCGGCCGCACGACGACGGGCCAAAGGCTTGTATCGCGGTTGCTGTCCTTCTTCGAGCTCGAGTTCCTCATCCCGAATCTCGTAGAAACGACGCAGAGTAGCGTAGCCGCTGAGATAGAACTGGAGAATCCGGGCGGCTTCTTCGTCAACCTGAGCGATCGAAGACAGACACGCCTTCGGTTCTTTCATGAGGGAACGCAGTTGTTCATCAAGCTCGGCTGTCGCGGGATACGCCCGAGATTGGACCAAGCTGTAAGAAATCAGGAGATCAACAACCGACTTCACCTTGCGTCGGCTCTGAGCACGAGCATAGCACACCAAGGCCATGCCGAAGTTCTCGGATTTAGATGTCAACATGTCGGCGAAGCGCTATGTCGATTAGTATTTGGCTCGAGTTTGGACTACTTGGTGTTACTTACCTCGGATACCCTGCGTCCTTGGTCATCCAACTCGAGTTCTGAGCAGAGAACGACCAACTTATCTAGCTGATCTGGTGTCTCCAATGGAAGTTTATCGACGATTTCGGATACGGCATTCTTCATCTCCTGCCCATTATCAAAGCGATGAAGCACTTCCAGCGACAATTCCCAGCCCTCCCGAGAACCGTTTTGATCAGCGACGGTAGGCCTGTCATAGAGTGCGAAAGCATAGCGACGCAGAACGTCATCTTTTCGCAATTTGGTGGAAGATTTGGGTGTTTGTCCGTAGGATAGAACCATCAAATCATTTTCCGACAGACCAGGCATGGTCTTTTGACTGGCACCGGACTCAAACCAACCACCTTGACTAGCGACTTCTACCACAGCAGCAGCCACACAGAGGGACCATGTTTGAATCAACTCCAGCACTCCTTGTACATTTCCTTCAAAGACGGACGCCAGACCCACTTCAACGCTATTCATCGTGTTAGGGCGGAAATCCGCACTATCGGATGCGTCTGTGGTAGTGTGGCTGAGGGCCTGTGCCAGGCGGTTGCGGTAGGCATCGCGCATGTTTCGGTCAACGGCACGGACATGACTCTTAGGCCCACGTGAGCGTAAGAAATCTTGGAATTTGTCGCCTTCGCTGGCACCGAAGTCAAGACCCTCTTCATCATCCTCGCCATCCCACCAAGCTGTTAAGGTGATTGTTGCCTCAACCCAATCCTGGGATTTGCCCTTGATAGCGGAGGGGTCGCCCAAGATGATTCGGTAGATAGACCTCAGGCTCTGGTAGATTGACCAAGGGACACGACTTTCGGCCATGCGAGCAGACTGAGCGAAAGATACCGGGTTCTGGTTCAAGTTCTGGTTGAAAGTGGGCATTCCAAAGTTGACGGCTTGGAAACGAGGTTCCTGGACCGGGACATTTGATTCATCGCGCTCATCGCCTTCGGCGAAATCCTCCAAATCAGTAACAGCAGAAAGGACGCGCTTTCGGTATTGAGACCACTCGTGGCCGGTAACATCCCAGTCGTCGGACTGAGTCGAAGGGCATGATTCAAGGATTTGAAGGGCCTTGTTTACACAGCGCTGGATGTTCTGGAGTTGCGCGCCGCGGTAGCCAGGCTGTGTAAGTCCATCTTCACGTGCGGATTGGGCGTAGTTGAAATCCGCAGAGCGGAGTACCTCCGCTGCATCGCTCAGACGACCACGCAGCACAGACGCAATGATGATATCCCAGAAGTTGGTGGAGGCTGTGGGATTCGGCTCCACATACTTCAGCGCTTGGAGGTCCTTGGTTTGTGATGCGTGGCTATCGCTTAACCATTCTAGTAAGAGACGAGGAAGCGCCTTGGGGACAGCTGGTCGACCGACAGCCTTGATCAGCCCAGCTGTGCGCATAGGATTCACGCCTGCCACTGAAGGAGCTTGACGAGGAGGATGATGGATTTGAAGGAGCAGCGAAGCCAAGAATGTTGCTTTCATAATGGGGGGAGCCTGCTCCCCGGGTCCGATCCCAGCGTGGGCGCCATAGGACCGATCGGCCGCGCTATCCTCGGTGCAATTCCGCCATGATTCAACTAATTCTTTCGAAATGTTGGCGAGAACCGCATCGTAGTCAACGTGTTTGAACTCTGTTGCCTTCAGCTGGTCGATGAGCTTTCCTAGAGTGTCCTCCGTGTTGAGAATGAACTCGCTAGTCTCATGGACGGGAGGAATCTTAGAGCGAGAAGCAATGTTGTGGAGGATTGAAGGCAAAGGGGAGGATTTCGTTGGTTTGAGGGTTTTGCGAATCGGTGATGGTTGGCCCCAGTGCTCATCGAGCTTCGGTCGCTTAGCATCGCTTGGATTAGTGTAGATTGGTTTGCGCTGGGCACCAAGTGATGGCTCGGACTGGAAGGGATTTCCGAACGCTGAGTCCAAAAAGTCGAATTTCTTCGATGGGTCCTGGATACTTTCGTCCATCGGGTCCGCACCTTCTTCTTGGTCCTCCTCCATTTCTTCCTCCTCTTCGAATTCTTCCTCCTCACGGTTATCTTCCTGGTCGGTCTCATCATGGTAGTCCGTCATTTTGGACGACGCGAATCCATTAGATTGGCCGAACCCCAATGAATCACCAAATGTGCTACCATTCGTCATTCCGAAGCGCAGGCTGGACTTGCCTAACGGTTGTGAAGAAGAGTCTTTGGTTTGTTTTGGTGGGGCATAATCAGTCGAACCGAAGGAAGAACCGAAAATGCTGTCGTTTGTGTTGATGCCTCCTGATTTGGTGAAGATCGAGTTGGAAAAATCGTTGTTGGAGAATGACGTTTGGTTTGTGGAGAAGGCACTCTCATTCCGCGTGAATGAGTTAATGCGTGAGCCGCCATTGATGTTGGATGTCTGTTGCGCAAATGGTCCTGTGCTCGAAGGCGGCGGGCCAGCAGGCGTCGTCGAGATGTTGCTCCAGAGACTACGAGAGCGATCTTTCTCGGGTGTCTCAGGCGGGCTGGACTCGTAGGGCACTTGGAAGGACATGGTGGAGGGTGATCACAATGGGAAGAGACGAGTTGACGGCATCCGAGGATGTAAGTTTTGGGCCGCAAGAGCTTTGCGAGATCAAAGAGAGAGCTATCACCCAGTCAAACTGATCAGGGTTGGTGAGCTTGTGCAGCGACAAGACTGAATTTGCAAGTCAGATGTCAAAGAAGCTATCTCACTCCTTTCAAGCTCACGTTGTTTTTCGCTGATCTTCACTTCCTTGACGCGACGGCGAAAGTTCTCAGGCATTCAGGCGACGATCATGTGACACTGTGTCACGTGCTGGTCGTCCAAAACAAACATTCGTCCTACTTTGATACTTTGGTCTACCTCGATGCTTGGACTACTTGGCTTTGATTGAAAAGCACAAAGAGAACTCGTCAAAGCAACACTATTCGTCACTTTTGATCATTCGAATTGATCGGAACTCTCAGCACGGAGTAGTCAGACTAATCATTGCCTCACTTAACGTTTACATGTTGCGGATGCGGCCCAAACAATGCAACTCTCAACGGCGTGACCTGAAGACTGTTGAGATCTCAGACGAACATGTTCTGTTATCTAACAAATTCTCGCACCCGGGTTGGGTATTAGGTTGATCAGTCTCATTTAGTGCTACTCTGCAGTCAGCCTTGCAATTCGATCCCGTTTGCCAGGGTAGAACTCGCTATCAAGTGGCCTCACCCCAAAGCCAAGTGTACTCCGTAGTTTTTCATGAGAAAGACAGCATGACGTCTCTGGGGCACAGGGATTTCCCGAATTGGGAGATCTGCAACTGAGGCTCAGTTCACGTGGGCGCTACGTGTTTCTACTTTCAGCTTGGGGGCCACGACATGATTGGCCCGCTACCCTCCTGTTTGCCCTGCACTGCCTGAACCCCCAGCCCTGGAAGGCTCAGATGGTTTGGGGGCCAATTTCAACAACTCTGATTGCCCTATATTCATGGATGAATCATAGCAAGGCTGAGGTGCCGGAACAGACCCGAGAAGAAAAGTATATATATGTAGCCATCGCTCCTGGAATCTGTTCTGGGAATTAAACGAATTTCAAAAATTCAATGATACTATATCAATCCATCATTACTGTCAAATCCAGATCAAAGCCACCATGAATCCAGTCGCTCAGTACATCGTCACCCACAGCTTCTGGCGCCACAACTACGATGTCAGCACACCAAACAAAACACACCTGTTTCATGTGTCCAACTCCAGCATGACCCCGGGCAAACCGGATCTTACTTTCCACGCGAGCACCGACAGCAACGGGTCCATCGCGGGGGTGTGCAAGTTCCGCCATTTCTCCTCGGACTCAGAGATCGGCCTTGGCAATCCGTCTTTGCCAGGCCGAATGGAGTGGGAGTACCTGCACAAGCAGGGATTTACGAAACGCCAATTCTGGTTTCGCATGCACCTCGACGACGGCAGCAAGCGGACTTTCACCTGGAAACGAACCCACTCCCTTGGCAGTGGCTATGAAAACTATAAACTGGTCGAGGAGGGGAGTAATAACGTGGTTGCGGTCTTCTCCTCTGGGAGCGTGTTCTCCAAAACTACGGGGTCCTTGGATATTTATTGGAACCTTGGCCAGAGATTCTATCTGATGACGCTCATGTCGGGGCTCACGGTGGTGGAGCGGGCCAGGAGAGCAAAGGCCTCGGCTGCCAGCACCGGGGGTGCAGCAGGCGGGGCTGCCGGGGGAGGAGGGGGTTGTTGAGCCAAGACTTTGTGGGTTTCATTCACGGCACTGTGTGCTGTACTTTGTACGAAATTACGAGATCATGAGGCGCTCGGGAACAGGGGTTTGGCGATTTACGGGTTGGGGTTTGCGATTGAGATTCAAGATTCAAGATTGAAGCAGAATCTGAAATTTGTTACAGGTTTTACTTTTACTCCTTCTGTCCTTTTACCATTTGTGGACAATAACTGTGAAGACACCGAACATGGTCGGGAAAATAGCCAAATGCCGTTAAGCTTGATTTTTAAGACCATGGGTGATTTCTTAATGTCCTTAAGCGATTTAGATTGCATGGATCGATCAAATCAGATCGATTCCACGTAGCAAAGTAAGACCCTGAGGCAGTGCACGAGAGACAATGTTTCAGATTAGACAAGCCTTTTTTTAATGTTTTTTAATGTTTGATCGGCAGGGTTTCGTTACATAATCCCCATCTCTATATCGAATCCTGTTGCCTGAGACTGATTTTCCCATCTTTTTTGACTCTCATACTCATAATGGCTCAAGTCTCATGACATGGCGCTCCGACGACCGCACCGGAAATCCCGTCATGGCTGCGTGGAATGCAAGAGGCGACGAGTGAAGGTATGAAACATTGACCAAGTCCCGAATATTCCGTCTCACTTCTTCTTTCAGTGCGATGAAACCCGCCCAACCTGCTCTAATTGTGACAAACGCCATACTGAATGCGAGTATGGCTCATCGACCTCATTCCTTTGGACAAATGAAGACCCTGAAGGCGTTCGCGACTTCGCACGCTCGTCAAGCGCAGCTACCGACTTAGGCATGACTCCGAGTACGGAAAATACTCCGTCGCTTAATGTACACGACTTGGAACTCATGATGCAGTGGTGCAACTCGACTTTCCACACTCTTTCGCGCAACCAACAAACGGATCCGATCTGGCGCAACATCGTTCCAGAGGAGGCTCTTTCCCATCCTTTTCTGATGCACGGTATTCTCGCCCTTGCGGCTTTGCATCTTGCGCGCACAGGCCCGGAACCTTCACGTCGCGCTTCATATCTGAACCGCGCTGTCGCACATCAAAACCAGGCGCTGGCGCTGTTTCGAGGATTACTGGGTGGTATCAATGAAGATAATGCCAAGGCCATGTTCGCATTCGCAGGCATCGTGGTTATTTATACGTTCGGTTTTCCAAATACGCCAGGTGTTCAAGATCCGTGGACTTCGGTCGATGACTTGTATCAAGTTCTGGTTTTGACCCGCGGCGTCCAGCAGGTGATTTATGCGCCGAGGGATTTTCGGACTTTTCTATCAAACAGTTCCTTCGGACCTATCTTACAAGTCGAGACGGTCGTGGGAATTCTTCCCGATGATGCGGCTGCCGCTCTACGACAATTGCATGCGGCGAATGAAACTTGCGGGCAGGACACAAATCACGAACTACAGATTTACGCAGAGGTGATCAAAAATCTGGAAGAGATGTTGACTTGGGTCTATGGTGGCATGAGGGCAAATACCATCGCAGGGCGATGGGCAATCAAACTTCCTGCTCGATTCATGGAGTTGTTGCGAGAACGGGAGCCCTTGGCGCTCGTCATGTTGTCGTACTATGGCGTGCTTTTACAATGTCTTGAGCATAAGTGGTGTTTCGAGGAATGGTCCATTCGTGTGGCGAAGGTTGTGTGGGCGATTTTGGATGATCAGTGGAGGCCATTGATTCATTGGTCCATGACCGAGCTCCTTGGTACGAATTACCGTGAGGCTGTCATTTGAATTGTTGTCATATATTCATATACCCTGAAGCGATCTGTCTATAAGAAGAAAAATTACAAAACTCATTTCTTGTGCCATCGACTCAAACCATCGATCCCTCCTTCACTTTCAACCCACCCATGGCCGTCACAACATGACCCCGACCAAGAAGATAGTTCACCTCACTTGGGTGGATGGCAAGGAAGATGACCATGAGCGCGAACATCAGCAACCCATCGAAAACATAGATGAACACCTCGTGCTGCATCAAGAATCCTGATTCGCCCTGAACATATTCAACAACACGGACAATAGACCGGATCAAAACAAGAATACTGGATGAGTGCAGAGCAGCCATATGCTTGCGCCAAGGGAACTGGCTTGCGACAGCAGCCGCACCAGAATTGCCATTGAGACGGCGTTGGAAGATCACCGCACTGATAAGGAAGAATCCAAAGAAGATGATTTGCACAATGAGACCGCCGATAATCACATTCTGGCCCGTGCTGGCTGACCCGTCCGAGCCCGTGACCATGAGTCCAGCCCCAGATGCCTGCATCAGGAAGCTCAGTACATCGCCCGCGACGAAGATCTTGGTCATCCAGCTCACGCGCACGAGCGCAAGCTGCTCGCCCTTTACCATGAGGATGACACGACCAAGTTCCATGTAGATGCTTGCTGCGAAAAGCGCTGGGGCGATGAGGAGGAGTGTGCTTTGCATAACGTAGGGCCCGATCGTCCAGTTGGGGGACTGCTGTGATGACATTGCGCGGCCAATATAGCCAACAAGCTCAACTATGAATCAAGTTAGTATTTGGAAGAGATTCCTGCGGCAGGGATTCCTGAGAAGGTACGTACAATATCCACCAATGACGAGGGGGATAAAGAACCATGTTCTCGTGCGGAAAAGATGGAAGGTATGAAGGATAGTCACAATTGCGAAGAGGATGATGAAGACTACCGCCGCGCCCATCGAGGGATAGTATGTATAAGCGACCCAGTTTCCATGATCAGAAGACATCTTGAATGATGATGAGATTGTTCGGGGAATTTGAGATGGTTTGAAATGAATGTCTGAGAGACTTACTGACTGGATTCCAGCGGCTTTAAGTACCCCTCAGCCTTCAGAATCTTTCAGGGTCAAGACGCCGATTCAGCAATTATCAAAAAAACGCAGTTCGTATAGACCCATGTTCGTAAACTTATCCCAATTTGGGCTAGCTCTCGGCCCCTAGGCCTATTTCGGCTAAGGTTACGAGAATGCGAAAGTCAATCTGCAAATTTAGATCAACCCACGGAATAAGCGTTCAGGCATACAAGAATTTCACCCCATTAGTGGACCCCTGGCACTTGGCTTTCCGTCTCATACATGGTTAGAAAGGAAGGCTGGGGATTTTCTGGGGCTTGGCTGTGTAGCCGTTGTGAAAACGCGACGGTGAAACTTGCGTGGCTTGCCACCGAGGACACAAGGGTCAGAAATTTTTACAATGATGAGGTTTGTACCGTGTTTTTATTTTAAAGTTATAACAACGCCATGTGCTGTGTGATATTTTACTATAAGCTGTGTCTATAAAATACACAGGTCATTCAATGCAAAGGAGAACCATCGTGCGAATGCCACCTCATACTCAGGAGACTGGGGGGCTGGCGTTTGCAGGCCAACTGTAATTCAATACTCATACATAGCAATCGACCACTTTCCTTTGCCCGTGGGCTATTCGTTCGAGATCGGCAGATGGAGAATCGACTCTGCCTTTGTCGATAGTCGCAGCTTCCCGCCGCCCAGCACTTGCCCATTGCCTACATCAAGTAAACAACCTTCTATCTGCCCAAGAGACGATAAAGACCTAGGTACAATACATCATAGCCAGTTGTTGGCGATAGGTATCTTCAGCCCGCATTTCAGTCTAGTATTAAAGCTTAGGCTGCGAAGCTGCAAACATCATCACACGTCCGACGACCCTCGTCTCCACCTTCTCATAATTCTTGCAAAGAGCCTCCCGGATATCCTGCTCCCCATCGTCCCAGTTACTAAAAACCCCATTTCTATTGTAAAGATTCATCAGGATCCTTCCAAACCAATTGTGTCCGATGTTCTTCCCAAGAATTGTCGTCCCATAGATTACCCCGTTCTCCGAAAGAAGCGGCTTCAAGTTCTGGAACACTTGAGTCTTGCGCTCCGACGGACCGGGAAGGCAATGGAGAACAAAGAACATCGAGATAGAATCATAAACTTGAGTTACTGGGATTGGTTGTGTGACATCCGCCTGTACGGTTTGAGTATCGGATCTGCCCAAACGTTGCTTTGCAAATCCCAAAGAATGCGGATTCAGATCCAACAATGTGACTTGTGTACTCTTTGGAATATTGGCGTTTGTGAGGTAGTAGCCGGTCCCAGGGCCAATGTCAAGATGGGATTTTCCAATGAACTGCTTGAAGAACGGGAGTTGTACGCTTTTTGTTGGGCAGCTCCAGGCGAATGAATTGGACAGACCAAGTACCCAGATGTCGTATAATGATAAAGTGAGCGCGTTGTAGATAGCTGCGCCCGCGGCCCCGGGGGCTGTGGTTTGGGTGCTTTGGGCCATCGTGAGAGCAACCAGGTTGGACTTCCAAGGTTGGAAGAAAAATGGAGAAATAATATGAACCGCCGTACGAGGTAGAAAAATCTTTAAAGAATCGCGCCGATCACCCGGTGCTTATAATTGACACTGCAAACTTTGGAAATCCAGTCCACTTAAATTCCAGCTAGCCACGAAAACCCACACGGCATCTCAACCCAGCTTTTCTGTTTTGTCTGATTGGTTGTAAGAATCTATTTAGCCCGAGGGCGCCGGTAGTACGGAATATTATTGAACAGTCGCAACAATTGTTGAAACTATCGAGAATTGTCACGAAAAGCTAGGCTGCATTGCTAAATTGAATTTCTCGATTGTTGAACTAAAAAGTTCTGATGCTTGCGCCTGGATATCCATGGACGCATTATTACGGTTCTACTACTGAAGATATTTCCTTAAAATATTTCGATCTACACCTGTGGACAATGTGAACATCCTGAAGGTACAGCAAGAACCTCGGGAGGTGCCGTCAAGTTCGGGTCGAACCTTGGAAGTGTCACCAGGTTCTCCAGGTGCCTCGGGACCACCCGTCGTCAAACTTCTTCCCCTTCAACCCCAATCAATGTGAACCACTAATCATGAACCCATCAGTCGATTCTGAGAGCTCCAAACGGAAACGTCTATCTCATGCTTGCAACCACTGTCGCCGAAGGAAAACGCGTTGCGATGAACAGCAGCCCTGTCGCACGTGTGAGCAAGCTGGGGTGGAGTGCGTAACAACCGATAAGCGCCGAGATGGCGCTCCGGTCGCCCAACGGCGACGGACAGGTGGAACGGTTTCTGCATCTGCAGATATCACACCAGTCTCACCAAATCCACCGAATGGTGGCTTGCCATCTACCATCTCTACACATGATCGTCCGCGGTTGCTGTCGCAGTGTTGGGGTCGGGAAAGGTGGAGGACGGGCCGTTTGCCGATGATGCCCCGCTTACCCGGGGGCAGTATGCTCGAGTTGACAACTGAATGGCTAGATCTTGCTTTTTATCGACTGAAAGTGAGGCGTATATCGTCTGTCCCTCCTGTTATCAATGACCATTTCTCGACTCTCTCCTTTGACAGTGCTCCCGATCTCCCCTCGACAAGTGAGACTCGTAGCTTGATCAACTCATACTTTGCCACGTTCCATGGCATATTTCCGATAATCGATTCTGATTCGGTGGAGCATATCTGTGGCCTTTATCCGGTGCCGTCTCGGGGCCCCTTATCAAGTCATCAAGATGCAAACCCCTGTCAAGTGGCATTGATCTATTTGATTGTCACTGCTGGAATGATGGCCATGCCCGCATCAGAAGAGTATCGTGAAAAGATTGCATGTTACATCAGATACTGCAACTCCCTACTTGGGCATCTTGTTGCAGCTCGCCGCTTGGAATCAGTTCAAGCGGTTGTTCTCTTCGCGATTGTTCTTCGTTGCTGCGATAAGCTTTCATGGGCTTGGGATATACTCACGATGGGTGTATCAATGGCGCAGTCTATTGGTATTAATCATACCGACAGCAAGAGTGCCAAGCCAGGATCCGGTATTTCGAAAAAGGAGGGCAACGACGAACGAACATGGTGGTGTATGTATGTTTTCGAAAAGATTCTTGCATTTGAAAGCGGTCGGCTTTCACAGATCTGGGACCGTGACTTGTTCCGGCCACAGAAAGACCTACAACCAGACGTATTGATGCAAGATTCTGATCATGCGTTCAAAGAAGCGTCTATTGGCTTGGCAGATGTTCTCTACGAGATCCAGGAACGCTCGGCGAGGGCTTGGCGTCGAGAAGAATGGCTGCCCCAGTCAGTTGAGGAGGCAATTGAGGAGAAACTACGAACTGGAGGAGAATTGGCCATGCTTCTTGAGAATTGGAAAGACAGCCTTCCTATAGATTTCAGGTAAGACCAATTGCGTTTCCTATACACCTGCAACATTTTCTGACGATAAAATATAGACCAAGAGGTGCACCGATCTCTGGACTTCAAAGAAATTCACAAGCAGCCTTTCTCTCTCTTTACTACCATACAGCGTGAGTATCCAACTTTAAGCCAATATGCAAAGCTCTGCATATTTGGCCTCACCATATTATGGGATGCACTTTACTAACAGAGCCAACAGAACGATACACCTGCACAGGAGCGCACTGCTGGTTGACAAAGACGAGTTGACTGATGTTATTAACAAGTATTCAACAGGGAAGCCATGGAGACAACGCCTTCTTGATACCCCTATGATGGTTACTGAAGCCGCTCGGGATCTGGTGAGACTTTTGGTCATGCTCGCTGACTCAAGTGAGCCTAACCTTTTGTCGACACTAGTATCCCCATTCAGTGCGGTAGGTGTTCTTGCAGTTCATATCATACGTGAACGTCATTCGCTGCTGATTCGGTCGGACCATGAGGTAAGTAACTTTTCCCTATTGAGTTTTGCTTGCTAACATGTGATTACGTTCAGTTGATGAAAGTTGCTACACAACTCACAAGGAAATTTTATCACAAATATGACACTGTGTGCAACATTGATATCCTTCTCAAAGGCTTGGAAGAATGGACATTATCTTGCCTTGATGGGCCTGCACCAGCCTCAAATGAGGGATATATTGCTGGCACTGCGCCATCATTTCTTCCTGAATCTTTATCACCTTTTCAAGAAACTACGATCGCATCCTGGGATCCAACTTCTCTTGACTGGGCGAGTTGGGACTGGAATGATTTAGGTTATTTATTTGAACATGGCGAGTAACATGATTGATATTTGTTTGAGTAATTCAAAATTGCCAGAACTTGCAACAAGAAGTCAGGTGAGCTAATGCAATCGGATCTCAAGCCATCTGCTCAAGATATGGAATACCAGTCAATTTGAAGCCACGTTCTGAAAGTTGAACAGGGAAACGAGGTTTCGAGCGATTGTGAGGATCAATTTCGCCGTTTCTGTAAACGGGAAGATCAACAACATGCATTGCGTTTGGCCAGTGGGTGGTCATCTTGGTGTCTAGAAAGTGTCAGCTTGGGCTCCCACTCTACGGCAGACGGTCGATGATACCTTCAAACGCCATCTTCTTGGTCTCGAGCTGCTCCCTCGATGCATCTGACACAGGCATAAAGCATGTGTAGATACAGAACCGATTCTGCGAAGTTTCCGATGAGAGGTTGTAGTGAGGAGTACGTGAGTCCCCTAGGCCAGTCAGTTTGTACACAGTGACTTTCCATATTGACCACCGGTATCTTACAAAGAAGTAGATCACCAGGCTCAGCTTCCACCTTGACCCATTCGCAACCACGCTCTTTCAGCCAAGCCTGTCCAGCTTCGGTAAATCCATACCATTCTGTCGTCCTGTAAGACAAGTCAGCCTATATTCCCGGTATGGCGAGCTCCCGCCTACCAGGACCAGATTCTCTCCTCCTCCTTGAAGACTTCATGGAACTCTTCACTGAGCAAATGCGCTCCCTTGCAAACAATCAGGCCCCCATCCTTGGGTCCGTTTGGCAATAAATTGACAAGACCTTGCAAACAGCGGAACCCTGGCTTTTCAGGGTCTTGGTCCTGATGTGGCCATGGGGAATTAGGCTTGATATCTTTCCGGTTTGGAAAGCCGATGTTGACCGAGTCAAAAGAGACTATCAGATCCTCCGTATCGTAAACCTTTTCAAATGCTCGGACTACTCCAGGCTCCTGCCGCACAGCCCATGTGAACGATTCATGGGAGATTGCGTAACCTAGACACATGCCCTTCTCATTGATGTCTGGGAGATGATCATTTTGGATTGTTGTAGGGTCGTTGCGGTCGAACCCGAGATCACTATCATGTTGTGTAAGGTTTTTCAAGTCCTGTTGATAGTCATAAAAGGCTGGTGCTTACAATTCTTCTAGCCACTGGTAGATGTCGCTGGCATATTGCAGCGCTCGTTCACGTGCTACAGCACCTTTCACCACCGCGTAACCATTCTTCAAGAGATCATCTCGGAAATCTCCATAGTGGGCATCAATACCATGAGAGAAAAGTCTTCCAGATGGGGGTGTTAGGCTAGTGGCCATGCCTGCTGTACTTGTCGTTGTGGAGGACATTCTGTTGATGTTGAGCTGGAAGGGAATGTTTGTATTCTGTAGTGATGAGAGTTTACTTTTTTCCTAGTCATTCACATGAATACTTATAGCTCTCGTTATGCTGTGAAGCCCGCCCACATACTTGTTGGTTTGGGCTCCAGTTTGTAGGACTAGCTCGGCTCGGCTCGGTTCGGCTGAAACCAGGTTTGCATGTTCTGGCAAATTTGCGGTCTCTTCGCTTCGGCTGATAGACTTGTAAACTGGTTGCGAGAGCTTCTAAGTTTGATTTTGACTGCTGTTCCTTTTTGGTACACTTCTTTGGGGGTAATATCTCAATCTTTAGACTCAGATGGCGGACTTTCCTTGATAACTAGAGCTAGGCAGATACAACGTGAACAATACGCGCACAACATTAGCAAAGAAAACCGTTGATCAATCAACAGAGAGCTCCAAGAACTAGCACCTGGATTTTATGGATATTCCGTGAGGTTCCTCACCCAAACCCCTTACATCAACAATCCATGTGGGTCGCCTGATGGGGCTGATTGTGCCAGTTTGATTGGCCGCCGCTCGGGGTTATTTGAGCCGTCTGCGCCCGGGCCATGTCGCGCGATATAGGTATTTCCGGGGATATCATGTGACCAGGGACGTCCGGTTATGTTTGGCTTTGCGCGGAAAACCCGCCAACGCTCTCAAGACTCGTTTCTACTCTGTTGCTTGAATTGATTTGACCTACCGCTCTTGGAGATTCAAGAAACACCTTTCAGACAATTGGTACGCAATTGTCCCATCGAGCCTCAATCTTGTCGAGGATTAGACTGTTTTGGTCTCATTTTCCAACACCATCTTCACAGTCATGTTTGCAGCTCGTTGGGTACCAGCCGCCAGGCTGAATGTTAGCCAAACACGAGGCTTCTCTTTGATCTCCGCCCATACAACATTTCCGGCGACAATGTACCGATTTCAACTGAGCAAGAAGGCCACATTGTACGACGCCAACCAAGAGGAAACTCGCTACCGCAAAGATGGAATCCGAGTATCCGAAAATGGATTGGTTCATGCCAATATTGCAAAGTCCAGCCCATGTTTGTTGACTCGAATCCGATTATTTGGACCACCGCGCTAAATGCATATCAGACTCGAATGGACCAATCTTCATGCCCAACTCTCGCCTCTTGCAGCAGATGCTGAAGTTTGACTTTGACCACTACCAAGAAGAAACCAGTGACGGGAAATGCCCCATGGATCCTAGTGTCATATGTGTGCAGAAAGGTAAGCATCCGCACTGAGACAAGTCAAAGGCAAAAAGTTCATGACTTTAGGTACACCTGTTCCCTCGGCCCTGGTAATGTGGAGGGAGGGTCTATCTCGCTTTTCACTGCAACCGTCGGAACCCACCGAAATTGAGAGTGAGTACAACACGCAACGTTCAATTACATAAAGCACAATATTGACTCGTCTCCAGAGCTTAACAGGTTACTGAGTGAATTCTACGAGAGTTCCGCCACAGTGGTTGGCGCGCAAGAATGGATTGACGCCCATCCGTACAAGGAAAGCTTCCCGGATCAGAATGAGGAGGATTGGATGAAAGTGTAGATTATCAGCATCTTGCCAACTCATCATTTGATACATGTGTCAGTACTACTAGATCAAGACCAATTCTAATTTAAGATAATTTCTTGCCATCCTTGAAAAAATTTGACCTGGTCGCAACAGAGAGCTCATGCTTCATCGAGAAGATTTACCCATTGAACATTAATGCAATTATCAAGCTGTGAGACATAAGTCCTTCAAGGATACAGTCTCTGTTCCACAATATTCAGGGGTTGGGATATAGTACTACAGAGTGGCACATGATCCATTGCTCAGAACGAAATCAACTCGATCAAACATGTGTTGAATTGAACTGAATGTGTTGCTATCGACAAAAAGTCTCTGAGAGCCCTCAAGTGAATCAACGGGATTTGAAAGTCAAGTTTTCCTCATCAATATCGGACTTGAGGGGGCAGTCCCTGAGAAGTTCATGCACCTGGGCAACTGGAACAATACCATCGTTGGGGCAATAGCAAAGACGGAATGTGAGCAAGACTTTGCGGATGAAAGAGTTGATTCCCTCGGTCCATTCATCGTATCCAGGATCCCCCTTTTCAAGGCGCAGCAGTAGCCACTCATTGTCATCGGTGCTGTCCTCGGGAGGACCAGAATTGATCAAGTTGGTACGACGTCTCGAACAGAACGTGCGGTAGTCGTTATCAGAGCGCTGCGAGTACCTGGTTAGATACCCATTAAGAAAGGGTCCACGGGTGAAGCAGAGACTTACTACTTCCATCACGGTGCGCGCAGACGCGTATTCATCTTTGGTCTGCTTATGGCAACGACGGTGGGCAACCTCTGCCTGATCAAAGGCGAAGCAAAGCTCCCTGGCTGCATGATCAAGCCCGCGAAGGAAGTCACTTTCCCAAACAACGGGTCCAGGCTTGACTTCAAACTGATTGACCCAGGTCAAGAGATCACAGAGGTCCTTCATATCACCTTGCATTGCCATGGGATGCTGATGCAGTTTATTAGTGAACCAGGGCATGGTATTGAATTGGGGTTCACGGCATGGACAACTCACCGGTTTGGGATATTTCTCACAGATGTAGCTCCGCAGGGTTGGTACGTTAGCTCCCTCATTCTTGGAGGCTTTGTAGGTCATGTACTGGCAAAACAAGCCCGTCAAATTCGACATGGTTGGAAAGCGGGCTCCTGTGTGGGTTCTCCAAGCTTGAAACAGAGATCGGGTCATGTTTTATTAACAGAATAATGATGGGGTACACGTGTTATGCGTGTGTGTTGATATGGGCACGTGCTAGATGTGACCTTCCCACTTGGGCAGGAACGTGGGAATGGAAGTTGCGACCCCGAGAGTTGCCAGTGGGCATACCTCGCCAACTTCAATATTATCCCCTTCATGAGTCTCCTTTCACTTTTTCACTTCTATTTTCTCTTGGTTCCCTTGTTCATCATCAGATCATGCACCTGTACACCACGATTCAGTATAATTCCGCATCTTCAAACCAAAGAAAAACACCGGAATGGTAATCAGCGCGAGAATAGCGCAGATTAAGGTTTCAACAATCATTGTTCCATCATACCCAAGGGTTTGGACCGCCGGCAAGGTGGCATAGCTCAGCCCAAAAGAGATTAGTCCACGACCTGCACAAATGACAACCAAAAATGGAGCTGCTCGCTGTGGAAAACTATCAACCGCGTATGTGATGCCAACAATATTTGCCCCCAGAAATGCAAAAAAGCTAGCATTGTACGCGATGATAATGCTACTTACATTCCAACTGCTGGGATGGGCGGCTGCTTGGCCATAAATAATGCCACACACAGTCCCAATCACAGCCGGGATTGCCATCATCAGAAGTCGGTATTCCGGTTGATACAAGCCACCATTTCGGCTGCTCAGAGCACGGATGGTCACATCACCACCATACCCCAGAAGGGGAAGGAAGATGAGACAGCTAACAAGCTGGCCTGCCTGGACATACCCCAGTGATGTAAAGGCAAAGTTGTATGGTGGACTCATGAGGATACTGGAGAATGTTGATGATTGGAAAACATAAACTCCAAGGTGAGCGCCATTGAGCAACAAGAGCCAGAATATTGTTGGCACGCAGAGACCCTGCAAGATATGTTTATAAAACACCGGCACATCACGTAGTCGTGGCGTCAAAATCCAGGGTTTGAGATCGTCTTTCCATCGGCGAGGCCCATATTGCGCAACGTCAAGAACAGTTCCATGAGCAGTCACTGTGGTATTCGCCATAGCTTCGATCACCTTGGGGTCCAGGGGAGCTTGTCCCCTTGTTGCCTCCTCTGGTCGGTCGAAATGAGACTCCGATATAAATACGATGGCCAAAGCAAATATCACGGTGTTCATGACTGTGAAGAAACCGTACCACCATTTCCAACCCCAGGCGGAGACCATGTAGGTTGAGACAACGAAAAAGATACCAGCGGCGATATTTTGGATGAAGATAAACCACGCAATCTTTCGACCTCTCTCGTGGAGGAAGTGGATCTCCTGAACGATCAAGGGGGACAGAGCCTCACTTTGTCCTGCCGCAAGGGCCATGATATTACGACCTGCGATGTGGCTTCCCAGACTTTGTGAACACTGGCACCAGATCCCAGCCCCGATAAGAAGCAACATCGATGCGAGGAAGATAGGTCGACGACCCGCTGTGTATGCCCATGGCATAGAAATCAGATTTCCGATACCCATGAAGAGGGTTGGATAAGTCATTAGGTCATTCGCTTTTGTTTCTTGGCCCGGGTAACTTTGTACTACCACGGAAAAAATGGGACCCATGCCGGAGGCAAGAACAACAGCTGTACAGCTGTATGCAGAGACCAGGATGAGAAGTATCCACTTTCTCCATGGGGGAAGGTTGAGAGGATCTGGGTATGTCAGAGCTTGCAAGCCAAGGTGGCTATGAGAACATACCCCTAGGGTCTGCAGATGGTGTCGGTATCAAAACCACCTTGTTGTTTCTCAAGAGCTCAATTTGGCCGATGTGATCTGTATCGCGATGGGGGTCATGGGCTACCTCAACGTGACTCACGTCGGTCTTGTCCATGATGAGAATATGTTTGATAAAAAAAAGTCGGGGTAGGGGAGATAGATCAAATGGTTGAAGGCCCACCATAGAGGCTGGGTGGATTCTTATAGCAAGAACATAATTGGCGTTAGCTCAACCTGCATTACCTTTGCTTAAACTTACCCCATGTTTTCAAAAGCGAGCCAGGTATACGACTCCCCCACACGGGAATCCGGGGTAGTAATACGCCCGCATGCCGAAGCGAACCGAGCCGAGCCGAAGTCTTCCCAGCGACAATCCCAGCCAGTATAACTATTTACTGTCATTCATCATCTAGATGAATCGTTAGTATTCCTTCACCTTCATTTTCTTCAAGATGTCTCTAAATTTTAATGTTCAGATTCCTGTGGAAGAATTGAAGGAGCCCGTTGTGGGCCATGGAGGGTACCAGGAGTTGAAATCACGCGAGGAAACGCTCCCAAGAGGATATTCGACTGCACCAGGAAGGCGTGTGTTGACCTGCGAGATTCTCGTGGAGCATGACATCCCGATCGTTGTACGAGATGGTTCCAAGCTTTACGCCGACATTTACTGGCCCCCTAAAGTCCCCGCGCGATCGACTCCGGCCATTCTCTGCTGGAGTCCCTTCGGCAAGAAATTCAACGGCATTCAGTCTCTTCAACTCATGACGCCCTGGAACCTTGGTATTTCTGAGGGGACACTGAGTGGACTGGAGAAATTTGAAGCTCCTGACCCTGCGGAGTTCGTCGATCGTGGGTACGCCGTGGTCAATGTGGATTCTCGTGGCGCTTTCGATTCGGAAGGGAAAATGGTCATCATGGGAACACAGGAAGCACAGGATGGATACGACGTGATTGAATGGATTGCTCAACAACCATGGTGCAATGGAAATGTGGGCATGGCTGGAAATTCGCACCTTGCCATTGTGCAGTGGTTCATTGCTGCACTGCAGCCTCCATCATTGAAAGCCATCGCGCCATGGGAAGGATGTGGCGATCTTTATCGCGAGCAGTTTGCTCGAGGCGGCATATACGGGGGTGATCTGTTCGACCACCTCATTGTGAAATATATGCTGCGGGGACGCAATGGAATGGAGAGTTTCCGTAAGATGTTCCAGCAACACCCATTGGCGAATGACTGGTGGAACGATAAGCGACCCGATATGAGAAAGATCAACATTCCTACCTACATCACCGGGACATGGACCAACACTATGCATGGTATGGGTGCAATCAGAGGTTGGATGGAAGTTGATACTCCACAGAAATGGCTTCGGTGGCACCCTTACCAAGAATGGTATGATATATGGGGAAACCAAGACGGTCGAGATGAGCTCCTGTCCTTTTTTGATCGGTATTTGAAGGGAATCGAGAACGGTTGGGAGTTGACCCCCAGAGTACGAATGGCAATCTTGAAATACGGCGAAAAGGAGCCATTGGCCAACTTAGTGGAGGAAAATTTCCCAATCCCGCGCACAAGATACAAAAAGGCATATCTCAACTCGAACGGATGCTTAACCTTGGAGCAAGCACCTTCGGAACCGGCTCAAGTGTCGTACATCTCCGAGGATCCTGAAGACATGGCGAAGTTTACTCTTACCTTCACTGAGCGGACGCATGTTGTCGGCATTCCCAAGGCGATACTTTACATGCGATGTGATGATATGGATGATATGGATATCTTCATTGTTCTGAACAAGGTTTCTGCATCCGGAGAAAAGCTTTTCAATCTTAACATCCCTTGGAAGAATATTCCAGTTTCCAAAATATCCGAGATTCCGGAGGACTTGCGCACCGAAGTTGTTCTCTACCAGGGGCCGACGGGCATTCTACGTGCCTCAAACCGCGCTATTGATTCATCACGCTCTATGCACCCCAACTGGCCATTCTACACGCATGAAAAAGAAGAGAAGATACAACCGGGATCAGTCGTGCGATTGGAGATTGGGATATGGGGAATGGGCGTCGAATATGAGGCTGGAGAAAGCCTGCAGATGTGTGTCAGTGGCCATTACCAGGGAATATCGAACTTCGGTACCACAGAGCATGTTCGCAACAAGGGGAAGCACTGGTTGCATCTAGGCGGAGATTGTGATAGCCATCTTATTCTACCTTTTGTATGAGTCTAATCTCATTCCTTGCGGTTTAATATTTCCGCATTTTACCAGTGTTTGTTTCTAATGTCTACTTAATCTAACTAAAGCAAAAAGAGGGAAATGAGTTTTTGAAGGCCAAGGAGCAACGAATCGCTTCCGTTAATTTAATACCTTAAGCTGTACCTTAAATAATCTCTTTGCCTTGAAGAATTGCAGAATTTTCGGGTGAGAGTGCCTCTGGGCCAGGGTCCGAGCTTCGCCATTATAACAATAAATCCATTTCTATTCTTGAAAGGACAAACACGGGAAGCCACCTATCAATCTATTCTATCAGTTCCGTCCTTGGTGTCCCGAGAAAAATCTAAATCAAAGTCGCGAGCTATTGTTGGCCTTCGCGGCTAACATTTGACCAATGCGGACGTCAACCTTGCCGAACATATCAGCAACAGCCTGCCTAAGACCAACAGGCACCTCGTCCAAAGTTTCTGCCACGTTTTCAATCCAGTGTCTTCTCTCATTTTCATCAAAGACTCGATTCCACAGCTCGCGTGGCTGAACATAATCCTCATCCTCAACGGGAAGCTCGTTTTGGCCAAGGGTAGCATTCTTCTCTATGCGCTCTGTGTGTGTAACATTCGACAGAGCCTGGCTGGGAACACCGGGGCTTAGCGAGCTGCGCACGTAGTTGGGATCACCTCCATAGTTTCGAGTGATGGTCGCCATGCCGTCACGTTCAAAGGGGTGGTAGACGGGGCAGATTGCTCGGTTGGGAGGAAGCTGGGTGTAATTGACACCGAGGCGGTATCGTTGAGCATCGGGGTAAGCAAACATGCGTGCTTGCAGCACTGATTGGGGGAAATTGCTTTAGCATATTGCCGTATTGTCAAAGGATAATCCGTTTCACTCACTGGGATCGGGAGTCACCGCAATTCCAGGCACCATGTTCGAGGGCGAGAATGCTGCTTGCTCAATTTCGGCAAAGTAATTGTCCGGCTTGTCAAGGTTAGTTCTTGCCAATTTCTCCCAGGGATAATCTTCATACATTCTTGTTCAGTGTCATTTTGCCAACTTCAATCAAAGGAAATTCGCTGTGGGGCCAGACTTTGGTAATGTCGAACAGACCACGGCCATATGTCTCAGCCTGTGCTGGCTCCATGGTCTGCACATAGAGTTTCCAAATGGGGTATTGTCCGTGATTGATGGCATTCCACAGTTCTTGATTATGGTAGTCAGGGTTTGCCCCAGCCATGCGAGTTCCCTCCAGACCAGAGAAGTGTGTGATATCAAGGGTAGGCCTAAAGTGGAATTTGCAGTAGCGGAATTTTCCATCGGCAGTGACCATCTTGTAAGTGTGCACACCAAATCCTGTCACTCGACGAATCGAGTCTGGAATACCTCGAGAACCAAACAGATGCATCAAAGCGTGGACGCTTTCCGGTTGGTTGGTATGAAAGTCCCAGAACTGAGAAATTAGCTTTCTTGGCAATGCAGATAGGGGTGGCCACACACCATATTCCAATCTGGGCGATTGGTTGCCGGGTGCCGTTTATGACTTCGATTCAGAGATGGGAATCGGATTGGATCGCGGACAAAGAACACAGGCTGAGAAAATTTGTTAGATTTGCAATTGTGACCGTCCAAAGCAAAACTCGTCACTTACGATATGGTTTCCCACAATATCATGGTTGCCATCCTCCGTAAAGAACTTCACAGAGAAGCCTCGTACATCACGCACAGTATCTGCACTACCTTTCTCTCCACCGGTGGTACTGAGGCGGAAAAGAATAGGGGTTTTCTTTCCGACGCCGTTGAGGAACTTGGCTGACGTGAGAGTACCGATGTCTCTGGTAACCTCAAATTCACCCCATGCACCAGAAGCCTTGGCGTGTACCACTCTATTTCCCGTCAGTTCGGGAACCAGATAAGCTATTGAAGGTCGGGTGGATTGGATAGTTGGTAACCTACCTTTCGGGTATGCGTTCTCGGTTAAAATGGGCGAGTGTCTCAAGGAGCAGCGTGTCGCCCAGGGTCGTATAGCCGCCGCCACCAAATGAAGGAAAGGTGGTACTGACAGAAGGATCGGTAACAGGCTGGCCTGCGAGAGGTTAGAAGAGGGCATATCCTATGATCGACGTCAACCATACCTTCTGCCAAGGTGAAATTGGGCTTTGACATGATGGTAATTGTTCCAATGTCCAAGACTGTCAGATTGAAAGAGTATACCCTTTCTCTTTTTGAGGGAACTTCCCGGCTTTTATCATTTTCCTTTCTCGTGATGCGACATTGTGAAGTTCTCCAACTTTGACCGTCTAGATCCCCAATCCGAGATACCACCGACCCAGTGTTAGAACGAAAGCCACGAAAGCAACACGCCCAAAAAGCCTCCTGCTCATCGAGATGCCGAAAAGCCGGGATATATTGTCGGGCGCAACTCCAATATAGACGAGGGGATGCATATGACATGTGAGATGTGAAGATCTGTTTTGAGACCAGAACTAAAAGGAAACGACGTGATTGGTGGAAGCCTCGCATTCGGCACCCGTGGGCCGAGATGGGCTCCACTTCGGTGACACGCGAGATTCGCCCGATGGAACGCCGAGTGCTCTTCTCTCCAGGCTCCAACCTTCCAACTTCCTTTGACCTTCTATGATCTGCAATTTGTGAGCCTGATTGGTTGGGCTTGAAGGCTCGTGCGGGGTGAGCTTCTCTTTTTCTTTCTCCTCATGAGGGGTATACGGCTCATACAATCCCTAGGGCTGGATCCTGCGAAGCTTAGCCACTATCGTCACGTCTGGAACCAGCCCTATGGAATATTGGAGTAGATACGCCCTGCATATTTCCGGCTTGAGAAACGTGCAGGCCTAACCATCCTAGGAATGTGTGACAATCTCGAGGCTTGAATCTCGTCATGTCTACCGGGCTTCGGCACGACAGGCTGTTTGAAAATGCCCTCATAACGAGGAAGACGATATAAAACCAGCTTGGTGCCTCGTCATAGTCCTATCCACACAGCTTCCTCTATCACTTCCTTTCCATACTCAGCAAACCATCTTCTTCTTCTTCTTCGTCTTCTTCTTCTTCTTCGTCTTCTTCTTCTTCGTCTTCCACCTCCTCCTCTTCTCACAATGGCATTTGTTTCCAATGGATCTGAGTACGACTTTGTCGTCGTTGGCGGCGGTACCGCTGGCAATGCAATTGCTGGTCGTCTAGCCGAAAACCCTGATGTCCGCATCCTGGTTGTCGAGGCCGGAATTCCCAACCCCGATCAAATCGAGCAGATCACCACTCCCTCCAAGGCGTTCACCCTCCGCGGCAGCCAGTATGACTGGTCCTACAAGACCACCATGATCAAGCGTGAAGAGTATGAGCGAGTCGAAAAGCCCAACACTCGGGGCAAGGCCCTTGGTGGAAGTTCCTGTGCCAATTACTTCACCTGGATTCCTGGTTCCAAGCCCACCTTCGATGACTGGGAGGCTTTTGGTGGCCGGGATTGGAACTGGGACAACTGCGTCGACTATCTGCGCAAGTGCGCTACATACCACGACGATGAGAAGCTTTACTCGGCCGACCTGGGCAAAATTGGCACCGGTGGGCCCGTGCAGATATCTCATGCCGACTTGGTTCCGGAAATGAAGCCATTCCGCGATGCGCTCACCGAAGCTTGGATTTCCAAGGGCCAGCCACTGAGTGAGGATATTTACTCGGGTGAGATGAAGGGTCTCACTCACTGTGTTGATACCATCTACCAGGGTGAGCGCCAAGGCAGTTTCCTCTACCTGAAGAACAAGCCAAATGTCACCATTCTCTACGGAGTTCGGTCGAAGCAATTGATCATCGATCCCGTTACTCACATCTGCTCCGGTGTCACTGTCGTCGGCGATGAGTACAACACTGAGCTCAGCGTCTATGCTAGCCGAGAAGTCATTCTGTCGCAAGGTGTGTTTGAGACACCTAAGCTTCTCATGCTGAGCGGTGTCGGCCCGGCCGAAGAGCTCGCCAAGCATGGCATTAAGCCTATTGTCGAGTCTCCCCATGTTGGGCAGCATCTCTTGGACCACCCCATCGTACCATTTGTCCTCGAAGTCAAGGACGGCTACAGTCTGGATGCGCACATCCTCCGTCCTGGTCCACTGAATGACCAGGCTGTCTCCACTTACAAGAACAGCAAGACTGGCCCCGCAAGCTCCGGATTCCTTGAACTCGTCGGATTCCCTCGCATCGACGAGCGCCTGCAGAAATACCCAGCTTACCGCGAGGCCAAGGCTGCTAACGGTGGACTCGACCCATTCGGACCCGCTGGTCAGCCTCACTTCGAGCTTGACTTCGTCGGACTGTTCAGCAGTGCATTCCAGTGGCACTACCCGATGCCCGAGAAGGGTAGCTACATGACTGTCATTGTTGATCTACTCCGGCCCCTCTCCGAAGGTCAGGTCACACTCAACAACGCGAACCCCAAAAACCAGCCAAACATCAATTTGAACTTCTTCGGCAATGACCTGGATATCTTGGCTATGCGCGAGGGCGTTCGCTGGACTTACGATCTTCTTACCAAAGGTGCTGGATTCAAGGACATTGTTGTTGCTGAGTATCCCTGGAAGATGCCCCTTGAATCCGATGAGGAAATGAACCGAGCTGTTCTCGATCGCAGCCAGACTGGATTCCGTCAGTGCATCCCCGTGTAACCCTTATGCAATCACTAATATTTCTAATAGACCCTTGTGGCACTGCTCGTCTCTCCAAGAGCATTCACCAGGGTGTTGTTGACTCAAAGCTTCGTGTGCACGGAGTTAAAAAACTCCGAATCGCGGATGCCTCTGTCATCCCTGTCATCCCTGACTGCCGCATTCAAAACTCGGTATACATGATTGGCGAGAAGGTCAGTAACAACATAATCCTGATACTTGGCACTTTCTAACAACTTTTAGGGCGCGGATATCATCAAGGCGGAACACAAGGATCTGTATGAAGCCAAGAACATTCCCCTTCTCGTCTCCAGTAAGCTGTGAGATAACTGGACCTACCGCCGCACAATATAGAATGAACCCCACGTCTCTCGGTGCACTATTGGCTCTCTTTGTGTCATCATAGATTATGTTGAATATTCGTTTTAGTCTTTCCAAGGTTGCTAATTTTGAATTTGATTATTTTTCTCGTCAGCTTGGTTTTCTTCCTTCGCACATCTAGCTAATCGGGCCGGAAGATGCCACTTCTCAATGGGGTAGGATAACACCAATTACTGGGTACTCGACTTCTTTTCTTCATTTCGGGCTAATTCACCAGAAGTCCTCCCATTTGGAAGGCTCATCGGGCCAAGTATCTCTTCTACTGGGTTTCAAGACATTTAAAACTTCAAGGAAACATAGCTGGGATTTCTCCGGGCATTAAATTTGAAGTTTGTTAGAAATATTAATCAGTGCTCCAGGCGTGAAAACTCGTCCATCAATCATGTAATCGGGCGGCTTGATATTTTTTCCTTCTCATTTTTCGGTTCTCTCCGCTATCTGGATGTCGGTACTCTCGATAGACGGAGAGGTTGAGGTTTCGCTTTGGCTTGAAGGCGAAACAGCAGTTTGCACAACCCCATTTCCGGGGCCAGATTCCTCATCGGTCTTCTCTTCCTTCTGAGCATCCAAAGCTGGTGCAAACTTACTTTTGATTCTGATCTGCTTTCCATATTTGTAGAAGAGAAATGGAATCACAGTCAGGACGGCAGCAACTCCACCGATGAGACTTCCTCCGCCTCCGACGCCCAGTGCAGTGAACATTTGGTTGGTAAAAAGCGGTGCGGCAGCCCCACAGGCCGAGCGAGCGATGGTGTTTGCGGCGATGGCAGAGGCGGCATACATCAGGTAGCAGTCCACGAGGTAGTTCAAGTAAGCAACAAAGATGAGGAGCAGGCAGCTTGAAAGGAAGCATCCGGCGAGAGTTGGAACTATCCAGTGCACCTCACTATGATAAAGTTAGCATCTACCGATCTTTTAATGAAACTCGGGGTCAATGTACTCACTTGTATTGAGCCGACCATGCAAACCAGAACATGGTTATGGGAAACCCGACACCTCCGATCATTGCCAGGGTCAGTCGATCTTCAGGAATGGTATCTTGCATTGTCTTCTCGCCCCTCTCGATCTTTCGTTGGCGAATTCGAGTATCAGCCAGTACGACCGCACCGCCGATCAGCGCGCCGACGACGGTGCCAACCAGTGGTAGCTCGCCCACACCCGAATTCCACCCTCTCTTCTCTTGGAACACAATAGGGTAGATGCTAAACAGCATATAAAGCAAGGTGTAGACGACAGCCATGTAGATCGCACATAGGAGGGAGATCGGGTCGAATAGAATGATCCAGGGTCGCGTAATCGCCACCTTGTAGATATCGACGAGTGTCCGGTCACTACTCTCAACTTGGGCTTTGACGTTCTCGTACCCAGGGATCTTCGCCTTTCGCATTCGATTCGCTTTGTGATACAGGATTGTCGGTGCGTATGTCTCGGGGATAGTCAACATCAGTATGGCTGTGACTCCGCCAAGCCAGAGCAGCACGTAAAAGCTCCATCGCCAATCTTCTTTCAGCTCGAGGAACCCAGCGATGACTGGACCCAGTGCTGGGCCGACATACACCATTGCCGAAAAGCCAGCCATGGCATTAGCGCGCTGTAACGGATCCCATAGGTCTGCAAGCACTCCTGGGGCATTACTTAGGGGAGCAGACACGAAAGTCCCCGTGAGAAATCTACCCACCAGCAGTGCGCCAAGGTTCGGTGCGAAAGCGCATAGGAAGTTGAAAATGAGATATAGGGCGAAAGTGATGTAAAAGATCCATCGGCGACCATAGAATTCGCTGAGCGGGGCAAAGATGAGAGGCCCAGCACAGTAGCCCAGAAGGAAGAGTGTAATCGTAAGGCCTGCTACCTCTGTCGATACGCCAAACTCCTCCGAGATTGAGCCGAAACAGCCACTGGGGGAGCTTGAAGCGAAAGTGGCATTCACCACCAACAAAACGGCAGTTATGGTGATCGTCACTCGGCGAGGCAGAGACCAGTTGCGCGGATTTTCGATATCATTGGGAATGAAGTCCACGAAGCCATCTTCGTTTAGGTGCAGTGCAGGCTCGTAGATGATATCTTGAGATCGGTACGGTTTGTTAACCGCGTAGGAGAGGATTCGGGTCACGGCTGCCATTGCGGCATTCAAAGAGGATGTACACAGCAAAGGAAAAGCAAAGGAAAAGAATCCTTAGTTTTGAGATCGAAAACCAACATACACCATGACATAATTTTCGGTCTCTCCTAAGTCCGAGGGGTTATCCCCGCCAGTCAGCCGAACAGGTTTCCACCTGGCCTCGGAATTCGGCATTTAGTCTCCTCTGCTTCTCCTGAACTTTAGGACTATGGCCATATACGCCCCTATTACACAGATTCTTTGTGTCATCCATGTTTTCGGAGTTTGGAATTACCGGATTTTGTCAAAGATCTATGGATACAGTACGATGCTTATTGGTATAAACCTTGTTCCAAATGCTAGTTACATCTCCTCCAGGGCTCTCATAGGGTCACGGCAGGTACTTAGCCATCCGATGCCGAACCTTATCACAAAGCCGGGACCAAGATTAGGGCATGGAGCTCCACTGTAAAAGTCTTGTCTTCTGTATTTGCACAGAGTGGAGTAAAAATTTCTTCCAGGGCTAGACTTAACCCCGGGCACAAGATGCATGCTGTGTGCATGATATGAACACAAAAAAGTAATCTCTCTCCATCCAATAGCATCATTGGTCTAGTGGTAGAATTCGTCGTTGCCATCGACGAGGCCCGTGTTCGATTCACGGATGATGCACTTTGTTTTTTGGTGTTTTTTTTTTGCTAACTGTGTAGCCTTGACCAGACAGTTATGGCGACGAATTAAGTTTTTGTTTGGTACATTTTGTGCTTGTGAATCTACCTTTAGAGCTGAGAAGCACCATGGTTGCAATAGATACCCACTCATTGAATATGTCAGTTTCATTTCAGGGTGCTTGCCCGGGTGATGTAAGGATTTGGGAGGCTTGAATATTTCCTGCAGAAAACTTTAGAAAAGTATAGCCAAGGGAAAATAAGCATTGACTTTCACGCGACTAAGTCTAGATCTACCTTCCAATCTAGAACTATTAGGATCAAACGGCGAGTTAAGTGACAAATTCCAATATATCAAAAATTATAAATGAGGTTGGTATATAGTTATCAATAAATATGATTGACAACCCCTGTGAAATATGACAGTCGATGTTGGCAGTGAGGGCCGGGAGTGGGTTATCATTACTAACCCAAAGGATTGTCTACGAACACGATTGAATGTTCACTGCGTCTGCTGCTCCGGTCCACGGGTGAGCGTGTATCTGTAGATTTTTTGTTATGTATATCCTTGGTCTGCATGGCTGGCAACGGGTATGAAGAACGCGGGTCCCTTTGATACTACCCTCAAGACGTTGTTCTTCAAACTTTGGCATAGAGCAAGCAAGCCCCAGTTGCGGATGAGAGAGCTGGATACCCACTTCCTAGAATATGAGTGCTCAGTATTCTATACAGAATATAGAGCATGCTGGTGCGCATACACATATGCCGCGGGTGAGCGCATAGATTGATAAAACAATGCAAACAGAACAAACAGCTATCGGCATATCGGCGCGTTCCCCGCGCTCCATAGTGCGCAAAGGAAAAAGAACGTGAAAACATAAAAGCCCAATTCCTCCGTCTTCGTCTCTCTGACACCACCTCTCATTTCTCTCTATATTCACCTGGCTTTTCTCCGAGAGACCGGAAGCTCCGGACAACTACCAAAATGGTTCAAGATGAGGTTGCGCAGGGAATCGTCTCCCTCCTGGACACAGATCTTTACAAGTTGACCATGCAATGCGCGGTCCTCCAGTACTTCCCGGATGTCTGTATGTAATCCTTCCTGTTCTGGGGAAAGGGAATCTTGAGCTGACATGGTTGTAGCCGTGACTTACAGCTTCACGAATCGAACCCCGCACATGAAATTGCGGCGCGCGGCTTACAAATGGTTGCTGGAGCAGCTGAACAGTGAGTAGATCCCCGCCTGCCTATCATGGTAAATTCTAACAGGCGATCTTCTAGATTTAGCCAACATCCGCGTGACCGCTGAGGAGCGCGAGTTCTTGCGCGAAAAGTGTCCTTACCTCAATGACGCATACCTCTCCTACCTCGAGACCTTCCAACTCAATCCCTCCGAGCATGTTGAAGTCAAGTTCACTCCGACAGAAGACACAGGTAGCGATGACGACGAGGGAAACGTGGAATATCTCATCAAGGGCCTCTGGCTCGACACAATCCTTTACGAAATTCCTCTTCTCGCGTTGACCAGCCAGGCGTACTTCATGTTCAGCGATACCGACTGGGATTATGAGAACCAAGAAGAGAAGGCATACCGCAAGGGATGTACGCTGCTGGAGAATGGTTGTGTGTTCTCTGAATTCGGCTCGCGACGTCGACGAGACTACCACACACACGACCTGGTCATGAAGGGACTTTGCCGCGCCGCAGAAGAAGGACAAAAGCAGGGCTGGCCTGGTGTCCTGTCTGGAACAAGCAATGTCCACTTTGCTATGAAATACAATAAGGCTGCTGTTGGAACAGTGGCACACGAATGGTACATGACGATCGCGGCGATCACGGATGACTACCAGAACGCCAATGAGCTAGCACTCAGCTACTGGCTTGGCTGCTTTGGCGAAGGCGTATGTATCATTCTTTTTCTTGCTAGGGATGCAGGCTAACGGCGGAATTTTAGGTTCTCGGCATTGCGTTGACCGATACTTTCGGCACACCGGCTTTCCTAGACGCGTTCAGCAAGCCTATTTCGATTCCAAACGAGACTGCCGCTGACAAGTCAACGACCACGTACGCGCAGTGTTATACAGGCGTCCGCCAAGATTCGGGAGACCCAACAAACTTTGTCAAGATGGTCCGAGAATTCTACGACCGACAGCATATCACTGATAAAAAGACAGTGGTGTTCTCAGATTCGCTGGACATTGAGCACTGCCTAGAATATAAGACAATTGCTGAGGAGGCAGGCTTCACCCCCACCTTTGGAGTGGGAACCTTCTTTACCAGTGAGCCTGACATCTATGCTTTGGATTCACCGATGCTAATACGATGATTACAGATGACTACACGAACAAAGCAACTGGAGAAAAGTCCAAGCCACTTAACATTGTCATCAAGATTGCCACTGCAAATGGCAGCCCCGCTGTCAAGCTCAGTGACAACCTTGGTAAGAACACAGGTGACCATGCCAAAGTGGTGGAAGTCAAGAAGAAGCTGGGCTATGTTGAGCAATCCTGGGAGGAGGGCGACGAAAGTCATCGTTGGACGAAGCAAGCCTAATCAGCCCTGCATTCGATGATCTTGCCGAAAGATCAATTTCTCTGAATACGAGCCACGATTCTATTGGAAAACTGGGCGGGTTTCTCCTAGACATTTTTGTTAATTCCATAAACCATAAGAATACATGACAGCTGCAAAGCGATCGCAGTTTCCACACCCATTCTCCTAGAGATCACCACTGCAATATGAGGTCTCTTTTCAAGTTCCCTGAATCTGCTTGCCGTGCAGCCTGCTGAAGCTCGGCCAGATCAATCGACACCTCCTTGGCATCCGTGTACTCTCCTTTCCAACATTTTTCAACAACAGAGCTGGCCACATAGTCAGAACCGGGATAAGTCCCATCCATGAAACGATGCAGTATCTCTTCGCCGTCGTGGAGATTTCTAAGCTCGGGAAACACTTCGTGCCCATTGATGATGTGATAAATCGCCGAACCAAGGGCGAACAAATCCGTCTTGACACTCGCGTGGTGAATATCTTCACGAGGCATGTATGACTTTGGACACTCGCGCGTGAGACCATCAAGCGCGACCGTGTTGTCGCGCGATAGGAGAATGCCTTGAAAATCGGCAAGCAGGACTTCAAGATTGTCGTTCAGAAGCACATTGTGAAGACAGATATCGCAGTGGATCACATTCTTCGAGTGGACCAGCCCGACGGCAGAAGCAAGTTGCTCACACCAATCCAATTTCTTGGAGACTCTGACGTACGGGTGGTATTTGAGATATCTGCGAAGCGACCCTTGGGGGTAGTAGCGCAGCCTGATGCCAAATTCATTCAGACCCAGGAAACCCACGATTCGAGGGTGTGCTCCGATACGTTGCAAGATTGCTGCTTCCTTTCGAATTACCTCTTGGTACTCCTTGTTGTTTGGATCACTGGGGTATTTGAGGACTTGATTGTCATTGAGTAATCCTATGAGGGATTGCCCCTGCGAGATGATATGCGTCACGCCCAAGGGCTTGTAGTCAGACGGGTTTGATATCTCGCTCACGTTGGAGTGGAAGCTTGTATGCTCTGTGAAACCTGATTCAAATTCGTATAGCTATTGTTTGTGAGATACTGGTCGGATCTTGATGGAATAGAAGAGCTTACGGTTTGTTCTTGGTCATTGGGAGATGGCCCGTGTGTGGACTCCATTTCTCCGGTTGAGTTGAGCATATATCTCCTGGCAGTCTAGAACGCTCGCTTTGAGAGTGTGATCCGAGTGGGGAGGATAAGGGATGCAGGAGTGCAGGAGTGCAGGAGTGCAGGCCAAACAGACATGGAATTTGAGGGTCTGTTGCTCAGTCTCAGGGCAAGCACGACTCAGGGTTCTCCATATATGGAAACAGCCCAACCACCCGTAAGAACTGAATGACCACACTTTGACTAGTTTCTACCTCAGAGACTTGTGGAGCAAAATGATGGAGGATTGTCTCCATTGCTGAATTCGGGCTGTAGAATTCCGGTGTATTGTACAAACATTTGATACTGAGCCCTGATCTTGGATCGTGGTCAGAACATATCATCCCCAGATTGAAAGCCAAGGTCTCTGTCCAAATCGCCAGTGATATCAGGCCGTGCACTGGTTGTGGATTGGTGTCGAATATCAACCTGTGACATGATGTCATCTGCGCCTTCCAGAGTGAATGGAAATGTCTCATGTTCCGGGGTATCTTGTGTTTGATTCGCTGTGTGGAGTTCGCCGAAGGCTTCGGTATGGCGTAATTGGTTCATGTCAGTCTCCCGGAAGAGCTCTTGCGCCCAGTCAACGGTCTCCGGATCCTGGGTATGTGGAGAAACGTTCATTGGATCGGCATTATTGAAGTCCATTGGGTTGGCAGACGTAGGAATGTCGGGGAAGGAGTCAATATCGATTGAAAGAAAATTGAACGGATTATTGTCGACGTTATTTGGGTCGTCAAATTGATCGAAGTCATTTGGGAAAACCGGTGGGGCTGGCTCTTGCGCGGGTTGAGGGCTTTGCTTCATTTGATCGGTGGTCTCTTGGGCAGATGCAGCCCGTGGCCTAGACGCTTCATTGTCACTTGCTGGCCTTCCCAGTAACGATGAATATAGTTGAGGCGTTGGCAAAGACTGCGAGGTACTTGATTTCCTGGTTGTTAAAGAGGTAGCGGGAGAATCAAGATTGTACTGCATCACTTCAAAGAATGTACTCGATGCTCCGGACTGCATCTTTATAGCAGCTTCAATGTTAGCGTACTCTTGATCGGCGGCTGGGTAAATGTCCTTCAGACAATGCAGAACTTGTATGCAACGGTGGAAGTTGAAGACACTGCTTTCGCGAACAGCTGCGTTGTCAGACATTGTGTTGGATAAGTGCGCCACGGCAGCGGGTAAAATCACAGTAACGCCGGATTGGGGTAGGAAACGTGTTAGATTGAGCTGGTTCAAGCCTTGAATGATATGTGTGATGCCTCCCGCTGCATCGTGCATCTTGGTGCGGGCAGTGTTTCGCCATTCGTTGCGTGTCTTCGACTGGTCTTTCGAAGCTGTTGCCCACGGTCGATGGAGCGCACTGCTGGTCGCATGGTAAAGCATGCGGAGCATTGCTCCATGTAATAATAGAACATCTTCGCCTTCACGAAAATTGGTCCTTGTTTTGGGGATGAACTGGGCATCCTTGGGTAGCGCACTCAGCCAAGAATCGAGTTTCTGACCACATCGTGCAAACTCGGACTCAGAAGCCTGACGTGGCACGATAGTGACTGTAGTGCGATTTGTGGCACCAAACTGACGTTGAGATGGTGTATATTGGGCGAATAATACTCTGCCGATACATTGGCAAAGCTTCATCTTCTCAATAAACATAATGGCCAGGCGTTTCTGGTGTGACACATCCTCAAGTTGGCGGCAATGGAAATTTGCAACCACAGATGGGGAGAATGGTTCGAAATCAAAGTCGTCTAGGCGGAGCATTGGAACGCTACTTGTCCCTTCATTGACCTGCAAAGGCCGACGCATACCCATGGCAATGAGGCGATCTCGAGAAAAAAGACACCACCAGAGCCGAGAGCGTAGGCGTCGAGTGTGTACATCCATTTCACCAGATGCGGGGTCTTTGTTGAGTCCAATCGATTGTGCCTGTGTGTTGCATACTCCGATCCAGTCCCAGATATCTCGCTGGGGGCTGTTTTCTGGATCAGACCAGTAAGTCATCAATAATAGGGTTTGCAAAATCACAATGCGGTCCTCTTCACAGTCAAGTGAATATAGTAACTACTCACAAATTAGCCGAGGACATGGTGAATGCTACTTCAGCCATTTTCCAGAAACATACCCGCAGTCGAGTGAAAAAAGCACTACGCGCGCTCTTGCGCGTTGAATACCCAGCATCCTGCAAATGCTTGAGGTCGACGAATGCCGTACCAATGAACATGACTGCCTGAAACAAGAGAATGCTTACATTTCCCGCAGGGTCGTTCTCGGCAACACACCGCAGGAACTCTTGCAGGTTCAAAACGGGCATGAAACTGTGCACCCATTGGATATAGCAGCGCAGCAGTTCATGGCGGAGTCCGCTCTCTGGAAGAGAAAGCGCACCGCGGAATCGCAAAAACTCCAAATCTTCTGGAGCAATCCGAGCAGGCAACGGCTTGAGGAATCGAGGCTCGTCGTCCAGCATTGCTGTCAACGGATCAAAGTCTGGGTCTATCAGGTCTTGGACGGCAGACACCATGTTTGCCAGTGGCAGCGCATGGTGGACATCCGGATTTCCTTGAGTCCGCCATATACCTGTAGGGTTGGAATCGTGCAGCCATGGGACCTGCGGGTCATACTGAAGACTGTGTCTTTTGGCTATGGGGTCCATGCGCGGGTCCGTTGACTTGCGTTTCAGAGCTTGCGTCTGACTATCGGGAGTTGACGACATGGCCGTTCATGTAAATTGTACCTGTAATAGTACACATGCATTGGGTGTTTCAGACTGATCGGCAAGTACTCCCCGTACAGAAGCCGTCCACAAGAAGGCGGTGTTCGGAGGAGTCGGGGGAAGTGTGGGGTATGGGGGACTCTTGGCAAGATCGCCACTACGGACGAGTAGTGTTCACTCCAGAGCTGCAGTCAATGTTGACGTTGAATGCATATGTATTAGAGCATTCAAATATTGCGAGCAACTCTTCAATGGTCTGTAGGAAAGGTTTTGCCGAAGATTCTGCAGTGAGTGTTGACTAATAATTCTTTGTTTTAGGTAAAGATAGGCAGTCTGGGTGTCAACTTTAGAATGTATATTTCAAGCTCCATTTAAGTACTGTGGGTAGAAGTGTGACCATCACAGAGTGGCGATGCAACCAGCAGTGGCAATGCAGTTGTTTCGGTACACTTGACAGCCACCATTTTTACCCCAACTTAAAACGTGCTTTTACTTCCATATAGACTTGAACTCCAGGGCTGTGGATGGTTGTCCTATTAGTATATTATGGACAAAATAACCTTGGAACTGAAGTAAGTATACTTAGTAGTGCACACGCCACCGTGCAACTTTAGAAGCGCCCTGCTTTTGCAATCAATTCAGACCAGATCTCCACTCAACGATGGAGGGAAGCCATGGCCCCTAAGAACGCTGAAATTTATGAATGTCACAAGCAGAAACCATCCAATTGTCATTCTGCCGTTTCGTCGTGGCTCCAATCTTCGGGATTCCAAAAGCCGAGTAACTGGGGAATCGAGCATAGTCTTTCTAAAGTTATAGATTAGTAGGCTCTGAGAGCTAGATATCCCAGGTGCGATAAATATATGATTGGAGTGAACCACATCACTGAACACCAGCGTGCAGCATAATCCTTGATATTCATGAACTCAGAACCGGTGTCGACATGTGTATGATGAGACATGTCCCCTAACAAAATATTGTACAAATTATCCAATCCAAAAACCTCCGGGCGAAAAGTGTCTATGCATTGCGAATTCCGTTGACCGACGCCGATATGCTTCCATAGGATTCAAAAGGAGGGATCCGAGTCGTGTCACGGAAGGTATCAAAGGTGTGATGATATTACATACTGCAATCGGTTAGGAGGCTGTTCAAGCTGTGTTGTCGATGGATTTGCATCGGGCGTGACTTACGGAGGAAGGAGGAACTCTCCGAAGCTGGAGTGAAGGAACGCAATACCGGCCTAGAAGTGAAAATGTTAGTTTCTCGAGGTCTTGTGATATAATGCCAACTCAAAGTGATGGAACGAAACATACACCGAAGACCAGGATACTGCGGACAATGGTCTTGTTCTCAGGGTTGGTGGCCTCATCGTAAGCGGTGCTAAGGAAGCCCTTCTGGGGGCGCGAGCCGGAGGGAACAATACGCTGGTTGGGGGCCATTGTGTGTGATGTGAGGAAGCGATGGAAGACGCGGTTTGATATATAGTTGGTTGAAAGTGAAGGTCGGATGTCGAGAAATCTGCGGCCTCGGAACGCTTGGCGTCACTGCGTCACTAGCTCCTCTCGGCGACCGTATCTTTTGCCCGCGCATGGAAGATGCGACAGCGTCCATGACAATCTTCACCCTGGTTTACGCTCCTGCTTGATGTTCTTTTGAATGTCAGTTGCTATCGCTTGAGATCGAATCCCACTGGAAATTCGGCTTGTTACGCTATTCATTGAACCAGCGATTGCACCGTCGCAACAATGAATGTCGATGAGCTCTTCAAGGTAGGATTGAATATATCCTTTGTTTTTCTTTCCATGGAGAATTCCTGACTGAAAACAGAAGCCATCCTCCAGCGGAAGCGCCAAGCGCAAGTTTGAGCCCCTCTCAGATCCCAGTACGCCTTTCTCCCGAGAACGAGCCAGTTGAAGGTTCCTAACAAGAACAAACAGACGAGGTGTACAAATCAGCAAAGCTGGAGTTTGATGGTGATGTCAGATCAAATGGCAAGGCACCCATGGTAGAGGATGAGATTGACGATGGGGAAGCTGGACCCGAGCTTCCTCCAGACTTCGAGGAGGATGTCCCGGACGATGAGGAGGGACGCTTCTTCGGTGGTGGAATGGAGCACAAGACAGCTCAGGCAATGGAATACATCGATGAAAACGAAGGCGAAGAGGCCGCGGTACGTGGCCTCCAGATACTGCATAGGTCATGCTAATCTGACACCTCCTTCGTTTAGCCTGAGAACTTCGACTCCGCGTGGGTGCGTCGCTTCGCATTGAACTTCGAACGAAAGATCTCGAAAAATGCTGAATTACGAGCAAAATTCGAAAGTGATCCTCAAAAGTGCGTGAGAAAGAAGAATACGTCCTACATACCGCTCACACAAACTTAGGTTCATGGTTTCCGAGGCAGACCTCGACAGCGAGATCAAGGGTTTATCAATCCTCGCTGAGCACACCGATCTATATGAAGAGTTTGCGAAGATGGGGTGTGTCGGATCTTTGATCTCTCTGCTGTCACATGAAAATGCCGATATTGCAATCGACGTTATTCAGATTATTGGTGAACTGACAGACGAAGACGTTGAAGTGGAGCAGGAGCAATGGGATGCTCTAGTCAACGCAATGGTGTGTTCCGAATCGAAATGCCGTTGATGAGAAAATAAAACGCACTAACACATCTTAGTTGGAAGCCGATCTCATTGAGCTGCTGACGCAGAACCTCTCCAGACTTGATGAAGGGTCCGAAACCGACAGAGCGGGGGTATACTATGTGCTAAGTAAGTCAAGAGAGCATGGTGTTATTGAGATATATTAACAAAGCCTAGGTGTATTGGAAAATATCGCCTCCCAGACATCACATGCTGAGACCATTGCACTCGACGCTGCAATCTTGCCGTGGATCTTGTCACGAATCCAAAAGAAAGAAGTGGTCGTGTCACAAAACAAACAGTACGCAGCAGAGGTCTTAGCGATTCTGCTACAATCATCCTCAAAGAACCGTGGAAAGTTCGTTGAGCTCGACGGCATCGATACAATCCTCCAAATTCTCAGTTCTTACCGCAAACGCGATCCAGCAAAAGACTCAGATGAAGAAGAATTTGCCGAAAACCTGTTTGACTCTCTCGTCTGCCTTGTCGAAGAAGACTCCGGGAAAAGCAAATTTGTCGAGGCGGAGGGCATTGAGCTCGCATTGATCATGCTCAAGGAGGGCAAATTCAGCAAACCTCGCGCTTTGAGAATCCTGGATCATGCGTTGGGAGGGGTTGGTGGTGCCCCGGCATGCGAAAGACTGGTTGAGGCAGCTGGTTTGAAGACTGTCTTCGGCATGTTCTTGAAGAAGGTTCGGCTTACATCTTCGAGAAAAATGGAGCAAGACTAACATCTGTATAGCAAGAGGGCGAAAATATTGAACATTTCCTCGGAATTTTTGCTTCCCTTCTCCGCCTCCTTCCCGGCGGCTCTGCGCCGCGCATCCGAACATTGGCCAAGTTCATGGAAAAGGATTATGCCAGAATCGAAAAGCTGATTACTTTACGGCGCGAATATGCTGCACGTATCGCGCCTGTCGAACAACTTATCGTGAAGGAACGTAGGACATTTGATGAGGAGGAGCAAAGACTCATGTCCGGAGAATGGCTATCCAGACGTCTCGACGCCGGTCTATTCTCATTACAGGTACTTTAATTTCTATGATGATGCAGGGCGCTACTAACGGCTCCAGACTATTGACGTGATTCTGGCGTGGCTTCTTGCTGAAGATGATGGGGCAAAGAAGAAGATCGTCTCGCTTCTTGCCGACCGCGATGAGGATTTGTCACTAATTCGCGGAACATTAAAAGGTATGTCCCATGGCAAAGTTCTCAAATCTTCAAGTCTAACCAAAGTAGAACAACTCGAAGGACTTGGCGAGGAGGAACCGGGTCATGAAGATTTCAAGGACATGCTCACCACCCTACTGCAATTCTTGTAAGCAGGATGGCGCAGTAGATCAACTGTAATATAATGGAAATGCAATATCATACAGCCTGCTGGAATCTGACCTCTGAAGCCTACTCAATACATTGTAATACATTAGAGAATGTGATCAACCAGACCGTATACTTCTGAGCGGTGAAGACTGGATCACGTGACAGTATCACATTGGGACTAGCGCAAACCCAGCGAGCGGGCTCAGAAGCATCAAACGTCTGGAGATCAGTCCCTTCATCGCAATATTGACGGGGAGTTCCTCTTTCATCCCCACCAGCTTGTCAGAAAATCTCTTGCAGCTGCTCTGACCCCCTGCATATCCGATCCTACCTCTTCTCGGCGCCCGAGCGGAATTGTTTCAGCGCGTTGAGCGTTTCTCGCGGAGACACTCGAAGGCCGACGCGCCTCTCGCGCTTTTTCAGCACCCGAATCACGCTTCCTCCATTTCCTACTCTCTCAGATATCCCACTCCAGATACCCCGCCATCATGGCCGATTACGACGAGACATATGAGGAGGAGTTTTATGATGATGCCGACGAGGGCATCACCTCCGAGGATTGCTGGACGGTGATTTCGTCCTTCTTCGATTCGAAGGGATTGGTCTCTCAGCAGCTCGACTCTTTCGATGAGTTCATTTCTTCGACCATGCAGGAGCTCGTAGAAGAGCAGGGCCAGGTGGTGCTCGACCAGACTCTCCCACCATCTGAGGATGAAGTGAGGCCAGTGGTAGTGCGCCGTTACGAGCTCAAATTTGGTACCGTCATGCTGTCGCGCCCGTCAGTTACAGAGGGTGACGGTGCGACCACGATTATGTTGCCACAAGAAGCCCGACTCCGAAACCTCACCTACGCCTCACCACTGTATCTCGGCGTCACAAAGAAGATCATGGAAGGTCGCGAAAAACTGGCGAAGGACGAGGATGACGAAGAAGAGGGTGATCAGAAGGGTCAGTCATACGGAGGCCTTGACTGGCAGGAAAAGATGCTACCTCAGGAGCAAATGAAGGAGGAAACAGTCTTCATTGGAAAAATGCCTATCATGCTGAAATCCAAATACTGTATCCTGAAGGATCTCAGCGAATCTTCACTCTACGCTTGGAACGAATGTCCCTACGACTCCGGTGGTTACTTCGTTATCAATGGTAGTGAGAAGGTTCTCATCGCGCAAGAACGCAGCGCTGGAAATATCGTTCAAGTTTTCAAGAAGGCACCCCCCAGCCCCACGCCCTACATTGCTGAGATTCGAAGTGCGGTCGAGAAGGGCTCGCGAATGCTCTCCTCGCTCACCTTGAAGCTGTTCGCCAAGGGTGACAGCGCTAAGGGAGGATTCGGCCCGACCATTCGATCGACGCTCCCATACGTCAAGGCCGATATTCCGATCGTCGTCGTTTTCCGTGCGCTGGGCGTCGTTTCTGACGAGGATATTCTCAATCACATCTGTTACGACAGGAACGATACCCCGATGCTGGAGATGCTGAAGCCATGTATTGAGGAAGGTTTCGTCATCCAAGACCGCGAGGTTGCTCTGGACTTCATTGCCAAGCGTGGCTCATCACAATCCAATCTGAACCATGATCGCCGTGTGCGTTATGCCCGGGATATCATGCAGAAGGAATTACTGCCTCATATCTCGCAGAGCGAGGGTAGCGAAACTCGTAAGGCATTCTTCCTTGGATACATGGTGCACCGTCTTCTCCAGTGTGCTCTGGGTCGACGTGATGTGGACGATCGTGATCACTTCGGAAAGAAGCGACTGGATCTGGCTGGCCCGCTTTTGGCTGGCCTGTTCCGTGTACTTTTCACCCGAGTCACCAAGGACCTTCAACGCTACGTGCAACGTTGTGTCGACAGCAGTCGCGAGATATACCTCAATGTTGGTCTCAAGGCCGCAACACTCACTGGTGGTTTGAAGTACGCCCTTGCCACTGGTAACTGGGGTGAGCAGAAGAAGGCAGCTAGCGCCAAGGCTGGTGTTTCCCAGGTGCTGAGTCGCTACACCTTCGCCTCCTCGTTGTCCCATCTTCGCCGCACGAATACACCGATTGGCAGAGACGGGAAAATCGCCAAACCGCGCCAGCTTCACAATACCCATTGGGGTCTGGTCTGCCCGGCCGAGACACCAGAAGGACAGGCTTGTGGTCTGGTCAAGAATTTGGCCCTGATGTGTTACATTACCGTTGGAACACCGGCAGAGCCCATTATCGATTTCATGATCCAGCGAAACATGGAAGTTCTGGAAGAGTTCGAGCCTCAAGTTACACCCAATGCAACAAAGGTTTTCGTCAACGGTGTCTGGGTTGGTATCCATCGCGACCCCTCGCATTTGGTCAACACTATGCAGAATTTGCGTCGTCGAAACATGATCTCCCACGAGGTCAGTCTCATTCGAGATATCCGTGAGCGTGAGTTCAAGATTTTCACCGACACTGGCCGTGTCTGTCGACCGCTCTTCGTCATCGACAACGACCCAAAGAGTGAGAACTCTGGTGGGTTGATTCTGAACAAGGAACATATCCGCAAACTCGAACAAGACAAAGACTTGCCCCCCGACCTGACTCCCGAACAGCGCCGTGAGCAATATTTCGGTTGGGACGGTTTGGTGCGATCTGGTGCTGTTGAGTATGTCGACGCAGAGGAAGAGGAGACTATCATGATTGTCATGACACCGGAGGACCTGGAAATATCCAGACAGCTCCAAGCTGGTTACGCCCTGCCCGAGGACGAGACCAACGACCCCAACAAGCGCGTTCGTTCGATTCTCAGCCAGCGTGCGCACACATGGACACATTGCGAGATCCATCCCAGTATGATTTTGGGTGTCTGCGCCAGTATCATTCCCTTCCCTGATCACAACCAGTCTCCTCGTAATACCTACCAGTCTGCTATGGGTAAGCAGGCTATGGGTGTGTTCTTGACCAACTTCTCACAGCGCATGGAAACCATGGCCAATATTCTTTACTACCCTCAGAAGCCTTTGGCCACTACTCGGTCAATGGAATTCTTGCGTTTCCGAGAATTGCCCGCCGGTCAGAACGCCATTGTTGCCATTGCTACTTACTCTGGTTACAACCAGGAAGATTCCGTCATCATGAACCAGAGCAGTATCGACCGTGGTCTCTTCCGCAGTTTGTTCTATCGTACCTACACGGACACTGAGAAGATGGTTGGTCTTCAGGTTGTCGAGCGCTTTGAAAAGCCTATGCGCGCCGATACTCTCGGCATGCGCAAGGGTACTTACGACAAGTTGGATGAAGATGGAATTGTTGCCCCAGGTGTGCGTGTTTCCGGAGAAGATATTATCATTGGAAAGACTGCACCATTGGCCGCCGACGCAGAAGAGCTTGGTCAGCGAACGAAGGCGCACACCAAGATTGATGTGTCCACGCCACTTCGAAGTACCGAGAACGGAATCGTTGATCAAGTCTTGATTTCCACCGGTAATGACGACCTTAAGTTCGTCAAGGTTCGTATGCGTACCACCAAGATTCCCCAAATTGGAGACAAGTTCGCCTCTCGTCACGGACAGAAGGGTACTATTGGCATTACCTACCGCCAAGAAGATATGCCTTTCACTCGTGAAGGTGTTGTTCCCGATTTGATCATCAATCCTCACGCTATTCCGTCCCGTATGACCATTGCCCATTTGATCGAGTGTCAACTGAGTAAGGTCTCGGCTCTCCGTGGCTTCGAGGGTGATGCCACACCCTTCACCGATGTCACTGTCGACTCAGTCTCCCGTCTACTGCGTGAGCATGGATACCAATCTCGTGGCTTCGAGGTCATGTTCAACGGCCACACTGGCCGTAAGATGGTTGCCCAGGTTTTCCTTGGACCGACATACTACCAACGTCTTCGCCACATGGTGGACGACAAGATTCACGCTCGTGCACGTGGTCCTACTCAGATCTTGACTCGCCAGCCCGTCGAGGGTCGTGCCCGTGATGGTGGTCTCCGTTTCGGAGAGATGGAGCGTGATTGTATGATCGCTCACGGTGCTAGTGCTTTCTTGAAGGAACGTCTCTTTGACGTTTCTGATCCCTTCCGTGTTCACATCTGTGATGACTGCGGTCTCATGACCCCAGTTGCGTGAGTTTTCCCCCTCTTTCCCTTCTATCTCATCTCACTAATACCTTTCTAGGAAACTGAAGAAGGGTCTGTTCGAGTGCCGTCTCTGCAACAACAAGCATCGCATCTCGCAAGTCCACATCCCCTACGCCGCGAAGCTGCTATTCCAAGAGCTGGCCTCTATGAACATTGCCGCTCGTATGTTCACTGACCGCTCCGGGGTATCTGTGCGTTGATCTCTGGTTTCCTGAAATCTTCTACATTGTATTTTAATGATCTCGCTGCAAAAATGCGCATCTGCTTGGCCTTGTTTCGCGGCGTCTGGGAGGGTTGGCCTTTGCATTAGAACTTCGGCCATACATAGTTAAATCACTTCCAAGTGCTGTTTCTTTCTCGTAACCAAGATTCTTACTAGCTCACGGAAACAAAAACAACACAAAATTGGGTTGTGCCGTCCAATGTTTCTAGGTCGGTTCAGCATCCGGATATCCCGATGCCCCCCAGTTCTGGAATATCCATCCCCACGATTGTTTAAATATACCTAGCCGCACTCCAACTTTAGAACCACATACTATTCACATTTCCACAAAATGTCTCTCGACAATCCTAGGACAGTGATCTACAAGGAGGTCAACGGCAGTCAAATCACTACGGACCTCTATCTTCCCACACCCTCTGCACATAAACATCCCGTTGGTGCGTTCTCTCGGCCCCGACTTTGGAACCTTGGAATATCTCAAGTATGAATCCATCGTGCTAACTAGAATAGTCATTGACATCCATGGCGGCGCGTTCATGCTTGGTCATTCGCGTATGGTTTCTCTGCCTCAAGTGAACGACTGCCTGGCCCGAGGCTGGATAGTCCTTGTTCCAAATCACCGTCTGTGTCCAGCTGTCAACATCCTCGAAGGTCCAATGCAGGATATTCGCGATCTTTTGACCTGGATTCAGGATGGTCACCTAGACCAAATCCTATCTGTTCATGGCTGCCACGCCGATCTGGACAATATTGCTGCATTCGGGACCTCATCAGGAGGACATTTGGCTCTCAGTCTGGTAAGTATACCCCTCGCGACGCTGTACACCAGAGATTAAGACACTAACGCTCACAGGGCTTTGATACCATCAAACCCGTCAAGGCCATCCTCTCCCTTTACGGTGCAGTGCACTTTACTGACCCAGCATGGAGAACCCCACTCCCCCACGTGGCCAAGAAGCTTCCCTCGGATCTGCCGGTGGAATTTCTGAACAAGATTTATGACGAATATCCAGTTCCGACTGATAGTTCCGTCTCGCTGGAAGGGCAGACAGAGGCTGGAACGGGCAAGGGGCCGGATTTCTCAAAGCCACGCGACGCTTTTGCTTTCACGCAGATTGCGTCGGGGACAGTGATCGATGCTATTTATCCCTCCACGGAGGACCCAGACATGAAGCTGATCGATCCGGTCTTGAATGTGAGCGGTGAGTTCCCACCTACGTATATTGTGCATGGGATGGCAGACACGATGGTTCCCATTGGGCTTAGTCGGGTTTTGTTGGAGAAGTTGAAAGACAATGGTGTGAAGTGTGGTATGACTGAGGTTCCGAATGAGGAACATACTTTCGCGGCCATGATGGAGGTTGGCTCGAAGACTTGGTGGCTGCAGAGAGAGGGGTTCGACTTCCTAGAACAAATCATCGGTAGAGGGCCTGGGGTTTAAAACAACCTTGCATGTTATCCTTGCATCCTCTAATATTTATTAGTGGCCTGTGATTGCAGTGAAATCTTTAAGCATACTGGGTGAATTTTCTTTGGACTGGAATGCCGATTGAACGTGAAGCATGCTATGCTATGACATGACTTATAGGAACAAGAGCTAAACACCGAGGTATATTGAACGAAAATCCCGGAAACTGTGAACAACTTTAGAAAACCACCCGTACAAACCCTGTCCGAAACTTCCAACCATATCTCAAACTTCAAGGGCTAAATTCATCCTTAATTGGAACACCCAGTGGTGACCCAGCAGCTCGGATCTCTTCCTCAGTCGGTTTGCGGGCCCAAACCCTTTTAGCATACTGCCACATATGAGCACGCCCCTCTTTGAGTTCCTTTCTGGCCTTAGCAACAAGCACCTGGACCTCATCGGTAGACCAAGGACTCGGCGTCCCCCACTTTGTCAGATAATACATAGCCCACCCCTCCATTCCATGCATCCACTGATGATAATGCAGGCGTCCGGCTTCCTTGAGCAAAGGATCCCGTGGCCAAGGACCCATTGGCCAGTTGTACTTTTTTTCGTGAATGTCGATGAATCCGGCCTTGACCATGCGACCGCGCATGGTCGCCACAGTATCAATTGGCTGATTGGCCTGTGTTGCGGCATTGATGATTGCCTCTGCAAACTGAACGGCATATGAATCTTCAGGCAAGCTGCCATCCGTGCAGATGATATGAGGATCAACTTCCAATTGTTCAATCCAGCCACCTGGTTTGAGGTTTCTAGACGGGTTAGTGGGATGATATACCGTGTTTGATGAACTAACCTGTAGCATTGGTCGAAGACGCCATCCCATTCTTTGGGCTTGAACGCGCCCACCATCTGCCGGAGATGGATAAGGTCAAATGAGGTTTTCCAGGTCCATTCTCTAAGGACGTCGTCTACTTCCATTATGCAGTTTGGAGGCAGCCAGTCGATTGGCGGGGGGAAGAGATCTACTCCTCGGACGGTAGCTGACTTGTCAGTAATTGTTGCAGATAGCACGGGGGTCAACTTACTCTCTGGAAACATGTCTGCTACATCACTATTGCTCGTTAGTACAGATTCGCATTTTAAAACAGTGTTAAGAACTCACACAGCCCAGCTGCCTCGGCCTGTACCGATGTCGAGGATTTCCTAATTCGGTCAGTGGCGCTCTTCTCTTGTGGCGAACGTGAGATACCTTTGGCTCTCGCACAGGAGCGTGGAAGAGTGGATTCTCTTCATTTGAGTCGAGCACCACGCAGAGCAGGTGGCTATCGGAATGAGCTTGAGCTGTCGATATAGAGATCCAGTAACATACCTTGCTAGTAGACTCTCAAACTGTTGCTCGTCGCAGGGACACCTATTTTTATATCAGAGTCCAGACTCGGGAGTATAGGTTGATTGATGTACCAATATTCACCTTCTCTGACAGTTTGATAGCTAACGCAGGGCTCCAGGGTTAGCCCAATGCGGTATCAACACAGAGCCACCTCATACCGTCTTCCATTTTCAAAAACTCCTCGATAAATTGAAGAGGCTAGCGAGGTTGTACCACTGCGGTCGTAGAGTAAGCTCAATACCCCCCATGAAACCAACGAGACTTACGAGGAAACATCGGAGTCGGCACCGAACAGATCATAGTAATCAGGATCCTAGAATGTTTTAACATGGCTCATATTGTGTCTTTGTGCTAGCGCTACCACTACCTACCACAGAAATCGAGATATCGCTCATGGTGTCCAATTCAAGAAACCCACAAGTTTCGAAAGGAGAAAGGAGAAAAACAAGACTCCAATACGAAGTAGTACAGAATAGCTGGAGAGTTCACATTTTACCCCTCCGTACTTTGTGCGCTGACTTGGCGCATATCAGCCCCGGTCTTCCCGCTCTGGCCAATTAACTCCTGGATTCCCTTCGGAGTTCTTTTCCTTCGACTCTAAAGAGGGTCGTTGTTGATCAAGGGGAGTTAAATGGTGTCCAAGTCCATGGCATGTCAAAATGTCACTGAATCCTTCAATCCCGACAATTGCTGACCCGGCAGTTGACGGCACAAAGTGGCTGCATGAGTACCCCAGCTGCGATCGCTGATTGATCGAGCGCGTGCATCTCATCCCGTGTCCCTCGGCGAATTTTCCAAGCCATTCACCTTGTACACCGGTGACGTCCGATGTCTGAGTGGGATTTCAATGTGGTCCTCTTGATCCATACGCACTCTACGCAAGGTGCGGCACGCACGGTCTCGGGGTGAGCTTGGGCTTCACACCGCCAGTCCGATCGCAATGAACCAGTGCTTCCAACTCACCTCACGCAGAGGGTAGAAATCTGAGTTTGGAACGGAACAGTCTAGGTGTGAGGGTAATATATGCAATCTGGCAATGATCCTGGTGACAACGCATAACCCCCTCCACAATTCCGCAATTGTGCATGAGGCTGACAAGTCTTCAGGACTTCCCTGTCCCATTGTCCATTCCCTAACCCTTCCCTGTGCAGTAGCGAGGTCTTGGTGGAGATAGAGACATCGACAAAACAGGAAAAGAGGTTGAACTCTCTCCTCAATTCGTCCGAGCACCAGCGTCAAATGGCCGGTGATGATTGGCTGCAGCCGGGAGGGCAGCACATCACTGCGCGACACTGCATAGAACCAACCAACGACTTCAATTACCCGCCCACCAGGGCTGGTCGTCCATTCTGCTACTGCTGATCGAATCGTTCTGCTTAAAAGAATGCCATAGCCTCCCGAGGCGCATTTCTTTCTTCTTTTTTTTTTTCTTCAGCGAGTGTTTGTTGTGTGAGATCTGCCCGATTCGAGTTATCCTGAGCACTGGTTGCCTGGATCTTTTTTTTTTCTTTCTCTTCTATACTATTCTAATTTTTTCACCTTTACCTCTCAAACGAGCTGTGCTCTTTGAGTTGAAATCTGCCTTGCTTCGGATCTCGAATTTTTTACACCCTTATTAACAGTTCTCCTTGTCGCCGGTCGACTTGATCAACTGTTTAAACAGATCTTTTCACAACAAACCAAATTTAATCTAATCTCGCTCGATTATTTTTCTTCATTGTCGTGGACAGGTTCCCTTCAAAGATCAAAAGAGTCTATACACCAATTACACAACCGAACTCAGGCAGTTTCCGGTTGCTCAATCCATACGATACTCTTTACGCATCTTATCTACGACAACTTCTTTACCAATTTTTTTTATACTTGATTCATCATGTCCGCCGTTCAGCTCAAGTTCTCCCTTCGCACTTCGTCCAATGTCAAGACCGTCCACTTGGTCGGCTCCTGGGACAACTACCAGCGCCAGATCCCCCTCTCCGCTGAGGACAAGCCCGGTGCCTGGCTCGGCAAGTTCCGCTTCCAGACCTCCATGCTGCAGCTCGGACAGCGCTACTGGTACTACTACATCATGGATGGCTACCACGTGTCCCACGACCCCGCTGTCGAGTACACCGTCGAGCCCACCACCGGCCGCAAGCTCAACATCCTCGATGTTCCCGGTGGCAAGACCCGCTCCGCCCCCAAGCCTTCCCGCAACATCGCTACCGGCCGCGCCCTGTCTCCTTCGCGTATCCAGCACCCCAAGCCAACCAAGAACTACGCTTCCCGTCAACTCCGCGAGGCTGACTTCGCCCCCACTGTCGATGACTTGACCCGCCGCTTCGCCGGCTCTCGTCTGTCCGATGAGTACTCTTACTCCAACAGCCCTCCCAGCTCTGCCGGTTCTTCGCTGTCTTCTCGCTCTTCGGGTTCCACTTCGCCCTCTTCGCTCTCTTCCATGAGCGACCCCCCCGTTCACTGCCGCTGTGAGCGCTACGGCATCACCCGCAAGGGTGACCGTGTCAAGCTCGACTGTGGTGGTTCCCGCTGCGGCTACCTCACCGAGTCCTCCGAGGACAGCTGCTCCGAGTCCGAGTACGAGAGCGACGAGGAGTACTGCCGTGCTCGCAACGCTGTCCGCCGCCAGGGCATCGTTGTCCGTCGCTAAATGAGGAAATCGAGGGTCAGGTCTTGGATCTGGACTTCACTTAGTACGCTGACCTTGGTCATTGCGTTTTGATTTCTTGAAAAACAAACAGAAAATCCTTATAAAAAAAAGCTCTGAGCCGCGGGTGAACCGGTTTCGCGCCGCGGTTGGGCGGGGTTGATATCAGGGGAATGGAAGGTGGAAAGAAGATGGCATTAGAGAGGTTTCCGATGCCGACAATATCCGCCCTGGACACCGTCCAGCTCTGTGGATGCTGACAAGCTCATCTTGAGGAAATCCTGATCTGAGTGACTTTCTCAAGCCAAATGAGTCAAAAGTCTGCTCTGAGTTACCATTTAGGTCACTCGGCCCAGCAGACACCCGACGCGACATCTCGTCTGCCAAAGAAAGTTGATGTCATGGTTCTCGCGCCACACGATTTGGCTAGGTCTTACTCTGAGATGTCATGAATTATGAGATATGACCTGCACTATTTCTGCGTCCAACCCGTAGATCCGTAGAAAATGCTACCACTGCGAGCTCGACTGGGGTTCATGAACATACCATACTTCAACAGCAATGGCTGTTGCGAGGCTATGAATCCATTGAGGCATTCGTATTTTGTGCCAGTGTGCTCCCCGCTACTCCGTAGGCATCACCATCAAGCCCTGATTTGTCGAACTGATCTCGACGCTCACAGGAGTATTCAGAATGTATAAGCCGGCGTGTGCTCTATGAAGTAGAAATGGGGATTGATTTGCCCGTCTGTTTCAAAGATCCGCTGTCGTTGCACGATCTGCCGATGAACCGAGAATCGAGATCCTGTTTATGCACTGGTTTGTGTTGGTGAAAGACCACTGTAGCGCATCAGGTCTCGTCAAAGAAGCTTTGCTAGCCATCTGTTAGTCAGTGTGAAGACAAGTCGTATCTGGGAGGTAGCATGTCCAAAAAAAGAATTTTCTCTTCCATCCGGTGCGAATGGATCGTTGCACGATGTTTGCTCCTTTCCTCTTGGCAGGATTTGGACAAATACGATTACCGCAGGCGAGGAGCCGATGATGGAAGGATCTTTTAGAAAATAATGTCTCCGCGATGGCTGCATTTCATGCTTGGCGCTTTTCTGGCCATAGACCATGATGATCAATCAAGATGAGCACGGGTTATGAAGCTTGAAGTTGATACCGATCAGCCTTACGGACCAAATTAAGAGGATTACCGGTATATTCTTCTCAAATCGCTGTCAGAACGTTGTAGTATTGTGAGTGGAATCTCATCATAGTACCAATGCAGTGAATTCAGTGCAGAGTAAATTTTGAAGTAGACAGCATATTTAAGGTTTGCCAAGACTTTGAGCCGCTGCCAACTCGGACCCACCCTTTTGTACTCCCAGCGATCTTTCTTCCTCTCTCTTCCTCACTTCTTCTTCTTCTCTGCATCCCCAACCCCACAAGTGATTCATGCGTCCTTCACAATACTATCACATATCCAGCTTCTTTTGAGATCTGCTGCCATCGACTTCTCTGCCCATCATGTCTGCCTTCGCGCGAAGCAACTGCTCGACTCTGGCCACCAAGAAGGCCGCCATTTCCACGCTTCAAGGCCCCGCGAGCTCTGATACCTTCCACCAAAGCACGCCAAATACAGAAATTGGAGATTTGTCTGCCTCTACGATACCCCAAAATGCTGAAACCGAGACTCTGGATCTACCTGGTACCGTCGAGAATCTGAGACTTGACATCCCCAGCACCGTTCCATACCAGGACAACCCAAATACCACAGTCAATCTACAAGCAAGTGCCTCCGGTCAACATGGCTCCAAATGTTCCTCGGATGAAGGAAACTTCTGTTCGTCGCCAACCAACTCCAACGAATCCTCTCCAGCAACTTCTCCCGAGCCCTCGACAAAGACCTGGCTCCAGAATCTCTACACAGAGCGTGACGACCGTTTGTCCGGCAGTGATCCCTCCGGTCAACAAAAATCAAACGAAGAGCTGGAGGACATGTCAACCATCTCGGCAACTCGACAGGCTGGGACTGATGCCACCAGTCTACCTGGTACCGCCAATAACTCAAATCTTGACGATTGTGCGGGTCCCCTTCTATGCCAGGGTGAAGCAATCACTCTTGCCAAGTCCCAGACTACAGCCTCTAGTCAGAGACAGTCTAACTCTTGTTCGGATGGAAGAGATATGTTTCTCTCGCTACCCAACTCTATCAGCTCTTCTCCGACAATGTTGCCCGCAAACTCACGCAGAGAATCCACCAAAAACCATCAAATTGACTTCCCCCCCTACTGTGTGTCTCGAGCGGAATCCGATACCTCGTCTAAGATGTCCGAGAATTCCGAAGGTCTCGAATCTTTTGAACCTCCTGCTCCGTCAACTATTACCCGTTGGGACAAGTCTTGCCGTCTGAATAATGTTTCGGTGGTACAGATTGAGGATCCCAGGAAGGAACTTACGGAGCCAACAAATTTTGATATTTGCTTGGACCCTTTCTCCGATGATTCCCGACCTGTCTCACGAGATAGCTCAATCCAAGTTTACAACGACCTCTCATTCGAAGACAAATGGAACATAATATTTGACGTGGAGAACGGGTGGGACTTTATCGGCATCGGCTCTCAACTCCATGCAGCTTACGTCTCTCCTGTTCGAAACGGTCGTCGATTTCGGACTAGCTGTGACAGTCATCTTGACCCTGGACGGTGGTGTGTTGATCCAGATGGATTTATGAATGAGGCCCGTCGTGCTGGTGGACCATACCTTTGCCCCTGGCCTCATGAGCGCACCCGCAAGCCAATGCCCGATCACGCATTCTACACCGTGTTCGAATCTTTCCAATTCATACAACTGGTTGTTTTTATCATGGCCAAATACAATATTAGGCCGACATCAATGAAGTTTCTGCAACACCACTGGGCAGCCAGCGAGTTCTTCCCTACCACTCCTTGTCTTGTGTTTGAAGCATCCCGCAGTACTGTGGATGATTCATGGGTGGAAGCCTGTCGTGAGATTTGGAAATGGGCCTATGATCATTGCGATGTTTAGAAAGACCACTATGGGTTTAGCGTGGAAATATTTGATCCAGAGCTTCGTCACTATCCGTGTTATGTCCCCTGTCTCCCGGAAGACCGCGATTTCGATTTGCCAGCAGAATTCTTCCGTGAATTCAAAGAAGCCATAGATAGACGCGATGTCATCAAGTGGCGACTTTTGCCTCTGCAGCATTCTGCTCATGAGAAAAGCGCCATGACTTTCTACATGATGGTCAAATACAGGAGTGATCGTGATTGGCGCATTCCACGCGAGCAGATGGTGGCAGTTCTGGACAAATGGAATCTTCCCGGGATAGCCATTCACATCACGAAAGCTCAGGAGTGGGGAACAGATGCTGGCCTTTTTACAAGTCCGCTGGATAAAACACACCCCGCTCTGGAAAATGTTCTTGCTCAGTGTCAGGGCGCTGGCTAGTCACGTGAGCCCGGCACTGCCATTTGTCATTCCTGCTAGCTACCTAGGTAGGTAGTTTTAGAGAATCCAACGGGTCTGGTCTGGTTTTATGGCTTGATGACTCAACACTCAGGCTGCGCTGGTGCCTCAGCCTCTTCAGGCGCGATGAAATAATTTATTCTTGAAGCCCTTGCATGTTGAAATCCGAAAAAACCACTCCATATTATCCTGGAAAGAAACAGAGAAATAAGTTGATACTGTGTTGTATAGCATTGTAATTCCCCTACAGAAATGACCATGTAGCCACCTGGTCAGGTATCTGCTCTAGCTCATTGTTTCCCCCAAGAGAAATGGATGCAGGAACATTCTCTCAATTGCGGCGAACTACCGTTTCAGCCGAATCTCGGTAGCTCCGGTGATTGCTTTGATGTCCTGATACACGTACTCAATGGGAGTCACGAACGTAAACAGCGGGTCTGTTTTGTCATCCCCATCCCCAGCCCGTATCAATCCTATCAATTTTCGCTTATTCTTGTTCCCGTTGGTAAAAACAAGCGAGCCTGAATCTCCAATCCGAGCAAAGGTCCCCCCAGGTTTCACTCCCGTTATGACATGGTCCAATGCAGAGCGCACTTGCTCCTGGATTTTTTCCACCAATGTCGTCTGTATCATCGATAGTGACAGCCGAGTGCAAGATACCAGTTCGGAACCCGGATCTTTGGCCCCAAAAGCAGACCTCTTGTCTGCCCAAGTTCGTCAGAGGGGGGCCCTCGCTGGACGACTGATCGAAAGTGGGTACCTCATCGCGGGGGATCTAGAAATTGAGAAGTCAGTCATCGTCGCCACAGTATGGAGGGGTCATGTTGCTCATGGTCCAATGTAGCCGAAGCTCATATTGGATGGCGGAGGTTCAATCTAGACTGTGTCCAAGAGTGTCCAAACATGAGGAAAGAAGAAGGGAAGGGTATATCAATGAAAAAACTCACCAAAATGTCTGGAATTCGGGTTTCCGGAACGTCAATCAAGGCCCAATCGATAGTGTACTTCAGCGGGACATGTTTCAAGTCACGGAATCGATCTTTCGGCACTTCATCAGGATGCAGGTGAACTGTCCTCTCTCCAGATGCCGCCCAGACGCATCCAAAGGGTAGTCCAGGCTCTATCATGGCTCGCTCGAGAACCTTGTTGTCGCTGATCAGACCCATGCCCTTTTCGTAGACGTTGCGCCTCAGAAGAGTGGGCATGCTGAGCCCTTCGTCGGCCCATGTGACCAATTTATCGAACTCACGATGTCTAAGAGCAACCATTTGTTCGGCGAAGGATTCGTTTGCTTGTCGAACGGTATTTGAGGCGGGGTGGTCGACTGTCAGCATTTTCCTGTTGGGATCTCCGGGCTTAATTCCTTTTGAAATCCATTCTTCGATCATGGCGTCTGGAGATTTCCCAGCACGGGGGTGAATATCTTTGTCCTTCCAATACTCCAGAACATGCTCGTACTGCTTCCGAACTGGGGGGATGACCACATGAAAACAGGTCATCGCCACGGTCTTCCACTCGGTAGACCCTTTGAGCTTAATCTGGAAAACCCCGCCCATAGTGCCGCAAACTTCGGTATTGCCTGTGAAAGCCATGCTCTGACCCATTAAAGCTCGACGGGACCACAAGAGCGGATCGAGTAATCCTGTGGAGCCAGGTCCAGCGCGGATCACAGCGCCCTTAAGAAAAAGGATCTTGACTGACGAAAGTCGAAGGGACTTCAAAAGGCCCTCAAGGCCCCGCCGAGCCTTTGCTATTTCTTTCGATGGCTTCTCATCCATGTTGACCATCATTACGATAGTCGGCGACAGTTCTTCGCCATAAAGGCAACATGTGATCATCGCTCTTTTTGAGAACGGGACGTTCTTCAGGATCTCGCCGAGTATTTTGGGCCAGTGGATCGCTAGCCGGTTGCCCGATTCTACGGGGAGGACTCTAGGTGGCATAGTTGACTCTTCGATGAACCGTTAGCATTAAGAAAAGGGTCCGCGTCTAGGAAGAGGCCTCCAAGCCGCTTCAGATGGAGGTATCAAACTCTGGAGATAGCCATAAAACTTACTCGATTCGAAGGGTGATTGTGGTGGTGTTGATGGTCAAGCAGTCAGGATGAAAGGTTGAAGTAAAAGTGAAATAGATTGAGTGGGAGGAAGGGAGACAGAAGAGTTCTAAGTTGTTGTAGTTGTTTTTAACGTCCTGAGAGGGCAGGAGCGAAGGTTTAACATGATACAAGGCAAGCTCGTCGAGGTGGTCATGAAGACCATCTCTTTTTCTGATCTTATATCTAAGTTGATCACCAACACAGTGGTAGTATTCAAATTCTTCCCAGAATGAAAGCGTGGGATTGAAGATACAATGGGATCTTGTGGCCTCTCCGTCGAAATTTCGGGCTACGATTTGTAGACCAGGTCATTTGGGATGACTGCAGGTGGTCCAATGCCAGGACAGAAGACCTTTCTCTGTCTGGTGAATCTGCCTGTGCGGCCGGTGCTCCGAGTCGATCGTGAAAAATATTATCGTAGATAAAAGGAAACCGGAAGGCTCGCAGTCAATCATCTGTGTAGGAGGCCTATCTTAGATAGATGCAGGGCACGTTTTCATTGTTGTTGTTGTAGTTATTTATGTGCGGCGGGTACAGAGGCTATGCCTCTGTCCCTGCGACCTCCCTTGGGATGTTGAGATGTTGGGACGGGTAAAGCAATGGTCTTATGTACATATCACCCGGCAATGAATGCAAGTCTTGCCGAAGCACTAGCTAAAGCCGTCTTTTTCTTCCCGTCTTCTACATATGGGATGGAGGAATTGGTGCTGTGTTTGACCGTAGGGCCAAGGGGACATCGTGACTTCGATTAAACCAGAGTTCGTACGGCTGAGTCTTCAAGATGCCACCATCCACGAGTGGCTTCAGTGCGCCGAAAGGCACCCTAGGTAGCAAAATCGCGAGAATGAGAGTGTGTCAACAAAAGAAAGCTGAGGGCAAGGGAGAGAGTGAGGGGGACCAAGAATGGTGGCCCGATGTAGGTTACATATTGCTCCGGTTTGTGATGACTCGGAGTGGTCCGAAGGTTAGAAGTACCAAGGGTTCGATGACCGTTGGAGAGACAATGTTCTACAAAGCTACGGTCGCCCATTACACGCCACATTATACTAGCTTAAGGGACAATACCAACAAAAATCCCATGTGAAGCTAGGGCCATCGTAAGCTACGTGTCTGTGTAGGCGAGTGGGTGACTCTGGAACAAACTTACGAATTGATATCCAACCTTCGAATTGATGTGTAACTATGTATAACCGAGTTGTTTCGGTCAAGGGATCTCAGCCTTGGAACGGACTGCCTATTCGCGGTGTGGACGATTGACACCTGCAGATCCTGGCAGCAACAAATGTCAGCCATTAGTCATCGGCCAACTCACCCGTGACCTGTGGGCGGCCCCGGTTCATCTCTCAAGTGCTCTAGCCCTTTTTTTTATCACAAAGGCCAGACGCTGATTCGGCCATCCATTTTCTGAAAAGGGCATCGAAAACGGCGCACGCACTTTGAAAAAGCCTCGTTGATCGATACCCTCAGCTTCGGTACTACGACACGAACCAACCTCGCCCCGACTTGCGACCAAGAAAATGGCACACGGAGCGGAGGACTGCGCGACGGTTCTAGAACAGTTCGTTCACGATGTGGCCAACCTTCCAGCTGAGATAAATCATTTGATGGAGGAAATACAGGCCAAGGACAAGGTCATGCAGGAGTGTCGCGCGACCATCAACTCCCGCGACAGCAGCATTCAAAAGTTCATCAAATTGAACGGCAGCCTGACGCCAAACCCCAAGGAAGAACCATATGGAAAGACCATTTTACAGAATATGGACAAATCGCATGAATTACAGAACGAAAAGATTCAATTGAGCGAGAAAGCCTGCGTGCTCCTGGATCGACAAATCAAGCGCCTTGACGTGCGCATTCGCGATCTGGTCAACGAAGGCCTCCTCACCAATGACCCACCTCTGCCTTCATTATTCGACTCCAAAAACAAATACCGCAACCCGCCAAAGGTCTTCTTTCCCGATTCAACCCCCTCCGATTCTCCCGCCTACTCAACACCTATGAACGCGAACTCTGGAAGCGCGAACCCCATCCTGGCCGCAGCGCAACGTCTTAATCAATCCACAACACCACGCCCACCTGGATCCGCTGCACAGCTTTCCCAGTCCACAGCGCGAAGCTCTGCCCCCGCCACACCCGCCGCAGCTGTCGTTCACCTCCAACAACGACAACGCGAATCGTCGGCGGGAGCAGTAGACTCCAAACGCCGTCGCTTGAACCCGGTCCTCAGTACTCTCCCGGCTGCTTCATCAAATTTGCGCCAGTCTTCTCTTGGCCCTGGAACACCCAAGCCTGGGACACCTTCTGGAAGCCGTGCGGGGAGTGCCGGGCCCCGTACCAGCATGGGTATCAAGAAAGCACTCACCAAGAAGATCGCACCGCATCAGCAGGTCAAGAAACTCAAAACCGCGCATGGAAAGCCGCTCAAGCGCTCTTCCAGTAGTGGACGGATCAAGGCATCGAAGAAATCGCCCAACGGCGAGGGAGATGAAGACGATGACTCCATGCTCAGTAGTGCTGATACTTCGGACTCAGACAAGAGTGACGGTGCGGCGGACGACGATGTTGATGACGACGAGGAAGATGAGGGAAATGAGGACTCCAAGGTATATTGTACTTGTCGCACTGTCAGCCATGGGGACATGGTGGCCTGTGACAATGATGAGTGTCCTTATGAGTGGTTCCACTGGAAGTGTGTTGGGCTGACTCGAGAACCGGTGGGGACCTGGTATTGCGATGAGTGCCGACGCACTCTTGGAAAATAGTTATGATTACGAGTATACCCGGGGCGTTTATGGAAGGCGTTTTACTGATGGGAAACCTCCACAACATTTTGACATCTTTACCTAATTTGAATTTGAATAGAACAAATTTTGAATTCATCTATTTCTAGACAAAACCAGCTCCATTCTTCGGCAACAGGAAGCAAAGGAAGTTCAAGTTTCCTTCCCAAGATCCTGCATATGTCCAAGCCGCAAACCAAGCCAATGATAGCAAGGGCCTAAGCAAACAAAAATAAACGCCATCGCTATGCACACATGTTTTCCTTTTTTTGTTTCCATGCAAACGTGTTGGCACACAGGAACATTCAGTGCGCCGAAATCAAAAATCGTAGACGACTCACTAAAAGCCGAGTCCGTTGCTCAGCCATGGGTCGAAATATTCGCAGGTTTCGGGACTGACGGCGCCGCCAGGTGAGCACAACCGGAAGACGGGACATTGACCACAGGGTGCTTCAGTCATGCCGTTCTTCACAAGATGTTGGTTTGCAACGGAAAGGTCGTCGCCATCAACAGGCGGCTTGCGAGCTTGTTTTTCTTTGATCTTTTCGGGGCTGTTGAGGGATCTGTAGACTTCTCCATTACCAAGTGAGACAAGCTTATTGTCGTAGCAGAGCATTTCAAGGAGTTGGACAACGCTCTGTTCGTCCAAACGGACGGGTGTGATACCGCTCTCGTTGACGGCGCTGGTGATTGCTTCAACGGTAGGGTAACCCTTGTAGCCATGGGGGTAGGGTATGTAGGTAGGGTTTCCATCTCTGACGTCTGCCTTGCCAGAGGCAGTCTTGATGCGCTTGTTCTTGCGGTCCGAGGCGGGAACCTCATACCAACTTTTTCGGCTGACGGTGAATTCGATGAATCCAGCGACAGTGCTGATGAAGTTCGCATCAAGCACACCATCAGTGAACCAGGCTCCTCCGGTGACTTCCTCGCTGGGAGCCAGGCCAGCCAACATGTACATCTTCCGGCTGGGGAATTTAACATTGTGCAGAGATTTGATGTAGTTTTTGCCCTCAAGGGATTTGAGGCAGCGATCCAGGATAGACTTGTGCAGGTTCGTACGAGTTCCGATGTGGCGCACCCAAATTCCAGTTCGTGCCGTGGAGTGGATGACATTGTAGACCATGGCCTCGTCGGGCGTGAGGTTGCGGAGTCTGGAGAGGACGAGGGGTTAGTTGAATAGTCCTTTTGGCCGAGGGGTTGCCTGTGGTGCCTACTTCTCAGCATCCTCGCGGTCAATGAGTCGCCATGTTAGTTTTCCATCCTTCTGGAGAAGCCGGAACAGATTTTGATCGACCAGGCTCTGGGCGCACTCAAGCAGCAGTGCGAGATCATTCCCGGGGATGATTTTGAGATTGAGGAAGTCGTTTTGGTAGAAAAGGTGGTCAGGATCGAACTCGCTCACGCATGTATCGTAGAGCTTGGAGGCGAGTTCGGCCACTTTGGGCCCCGCGGCGGAGGGCATTGTTGGAGATGCGACGGAGAGATCAGCAGGCTAAGATGGGGTTCATTCGAAGGGGTTCGTGGTTTTTCATGTTCGAGGGAAGACGGTAGAGCCAAGCAGTAAGTTAGAGAAGCATGGTGCGTCACAGTCGGCTAATTTGAGTCACGAATGAATCACAAACGATGTTTTTTGGCGACTTTTTCTCAGCGGGGAGTGACTTGGCCCTAAACGAGTTTAGCGCCGCGGAGCTTGTCAGCGTTTTTGCCTCAGGTGTCATTAAATGCCTGAGGCTCAAAATATTATGCCTTAGGCCACTTTGGAGAACAACGGAAATTTCGAGAAGCTCCGGCCGACTGAGCTCATAACCGCAGATTGCTCAATTCCTTGTGGTCTGACTCTGATCTACATACCACCTTTTTTTTAAGCATTTGAGCATTATATCACACTATGGCTGACGCTTTGAAGGCAGAGGGCAACAAGGCCTTCTCTGCTAAGGATTACCCTACTGCTATGTACGCGCTACCCCACCTTTGACATTGACTCCAGAGCAGAACTGATAGAAACCAGCGAGAAATTCTCCGAGGCTCTTGCCATCGAGCCCCAAAACCACATTCTTTTCTCCAACCGCTCCGCTGTCTACTCCGCGCAACACGAATACCAAAAAGCCCTTGAGGATGCCGAGAAGGCCATCGAGATCAAGCCCGACTGGTCCAAGGGCCATGCCCGTAAGGGAGCCGCCCAACGTGGCTTGGGAGACCTTTGTACGTGATGTCAACTTTGAAGTGAGAATTTGTATTCAGACCGAATGCTAACCAAATGCAGTGGCTGCTTTCGACGCCTACGAGGAGGCTCTGAAGATCGAGCCTGGTAACGCGCAGGCCAAGTCCGGCCTGGAGGCCACTCAGCGCGCCATCAATGCGGAGGCTACCGCTGACGGTGTCACTGGTGATCCCACAGGAGGTCTTGGAGGCATGTTCAACGACCCAGCCCTGTTCCAAAAGCTCGCCAACAACCCCAAGACCGCTTCCCTCCTCGGTGATGCGGAGTTCATGGCCAAGTTGCAGAAGATCCAGCAGAACCCTAACAGTGTTGGTGAGGAGATCCGTGACCCTCGTTTCCTGCAGGTCATGAGTGTGCTTCTCGGTATTGATATGAACTTCGGCGGCGAGGGCGCTGAGCCCCCAGTTCCCGAATCTAAGCCCAGCGCTTCGCAGCCCAAGAAGGCGCCTACCCCGGAGCCCGAGCCCCAGGACGAAGAGGCCATCGCCAAGAAGCAGGCCCAGGAGGCGGGTGACGCCGAGAAGAAGATCGGTAACGATTTCTACAAGAAGAAGCAGCTTGACGAGGCCATTGAGCACTACTCCAAGGCTTGGGAACTCAACAAGGACATCACCTACTTGAACAACATCGGTGCTGCTAAGTTCGAGAAGGGTGATTACCAGGGCACTATTGAGACCTGTCAAAAGGCCATTGAGGAGGGCCGCGACCTTCGCGCTGACTTCAAGCTTATGGCTAAGGCCTACACTCGTATCGGAACCGCTTACGAGAAGCTCAACGATCTTACCCAGGCCATTGAATTCTACAACAAGTCACTTATGGAGCACCGTACCCCCGACGCCCTGACCAAGCTCCGCAACGCTGAGAAGACCAAGAGCACCACCGAGAAGAATGCCTACATGGATCCCGCCGAGGCCGAGAAGGCTCGTGAACTTGGCCAGCAGAAGTTCCAGGAGGGTGACTGGCCCGCCGCCGTCGACGCTTTCACCGAGATGACCAAGCGCGCCCCCACCGACCCCCGCGGTTACTCCAACCGTGCCGCCGCTCTCATCAAGCTGATGGCATTCCCCGGTGCCGTGCAGGATTGTGACGAGGCCATCAAGCTCGACTCCAAGTTCATCCGTGCGTACATGCGCAAGGGTACTGCCCTCATCGCAATGAAGGAGTACAACCGTGCTCTGGATACTTTCACTGAAGCTGCCGATCATGACGATGGCAAGCACGCCCGTGAGATCGAGCAGCAGCAGCAGAAGTGTCTGGATGCGCAGTTCAGTGCTCGCGCCGGTGAGACCGAGGAGCAGACCATGGCTCGTATTCAGAACGATCCCGAGATCATGTCTGTCCTCCAGGACCCCGTTATGCAGAGCATTCTCCAGCAGGCCAAGAGCGATCCCGCCGCCTTGCAGGAGCACATGAAGAACTCGCAGGTGCGGATGAAGATCCAGAAGCTGATGGCTGCTGGTGTCATCCGCATGGGGAGGTAATTGAATCTGATGATTCGAGGATTTGATGTCCGGATACGACTTGACACGAGATATCTTTGCCGACATATATAGTTTTTGTCTATGCTAAAATTCTATTCTGCTTAGCCTTTTCACCTTTTTTCAGGATATGTTGAGTACAACTATTTCCGGTAAACTGCGTATTGGTTCACATTGCAATTGACTTCAGGAAGCATCAAACAGCAAGCATATATTAGGGTTACGAGTACTCCGTAGAGGTTCCAAGGTTACGACCCCGACCTTCGGCCGGTATTTCCCCAAAGGAACATCCCAGCCACCTCGGGAATTTGCACACCCTCGACCCACCACTCTCAGTGGAGATGGAAAAACTGAGGTGAAAAAAAGCAAAAGGTAAAAAGAGAGAAAAAAAAAGAAGAAGAACAAGAAGCCGTGGATATCACCAAAGGTCCCTGCTAATTGCCCCTATCTACGGAGTACAGAGTAGCCCCAATTGCATCTTTTTCTAAAGTTAGTCCAAGTGTACGAGTAACACCAGCTGCAGTGGAATTTAACCTCTTCAGCCCGGTCAATACTCTGGATGTGATAGATCCCAGCGCACTGAGCCACAGCAGCGCGTCGCAAAGTTTACCTCGGGTTTTACAGAGTCCCCTGTGGATTTTTCTCCCCTTAGCCCTTAGACGATCCGCCGGATTGGGTTTAGATAGGCGGGTTCAAGTCGATAGTGCGCGATTGACAGGGTTATTGAATTCGATATGGCTGCATGCCACGTGTACAAGAGCATACATATGTGATGTGATTTGAGTACGAAGATACAGAGTACGGCTATGCACTACGAGTATTGGTATGCCCAGATGCTATCTCGCTGCCTAGAATGCCTAGCCCAGAAACCGGGATATCTTCTCTGTAGGGCTGGATGGAGTAAAGCGCCCTTGGTCTAGTGAAGCTGCCCAGTCAACGAACGTAAAATACAAACATTCTCCACCGTTCCAGCGCCAATGAAGGAATAGTGGAATCGTGTATCCGCCGAGGCTGTGGCGGTGCTCGCAATCTAACAATTTGTGCCATTGGCATGGCAATTAGAAGGCTGGGAGTGAGATCTAGCTATGAGAACATGTTGTTGAGCTGCTACTCTAAGATTGAGTACGTTGCGAGGCAATTCAGTGCAGTCGGCCAATTCAGCCAGTTCAGCAGTGAAACGGGATCGTCCAACGTGTACGTCACTGATCTCCGATCGACTTTCGGAGCTTCACGATCTCCCCTTTTTGTGCGTAATTTATATCTGATATGACCATTCCTGTTTTGTGCGGAGAACTCCGTGAGATATACGAGTACATAGTGTAGCACAGCCAGGTATTTGTAGTAAATTAATTGTCAGCGTCATACCAGCCACACTTTTCCCCTTGACGCAAGCGGCTGGGAGCTGCCTGATCGGTCCACATTTCTCCTCTTTCTCTCTTTTGTACCTGTGGGATCCTTTGTACTGTACTTCTGACCCCTCTCCAATACCTTCGACTTGTACTCCGTACTCCGTAAGCTTTTCCCTCACCATCCCGCGTATACGGAGTAAGCGCCTTTCCCCTCCCCCTCACCCTGCTTGACCACCCGATCCTCCCTCGGTCCGGAATTACAACACACAATCGGCGACATGGCGTCCGCCGACGCCGAGAAGACAGAACACAAGATGGAGGGTACCATCGAGACAGCCCAGGAGCTGCACGAGGACCCGAATTCCCATGTCAACCCAGATACAGTCGAGCAGAAGGTCGTCGACGATGCCCAAGAAGCCGGTGTCGCTGCATACCAATTCGATCCCAACGCTTCACCAGAGGATAAGGCCAACGCCGCCAAGGGGGTTCGTATCCCCAACGCCCGCGCAAGCGCTTGCTGACCCGTTGGATTTAGCGACTGCCGCCTGATTTCCACCATCCGCGCAAGCCCCAGGGCATTGCCGTAATTACAGATAAAGTGAGAAGACTTCCACTTCGCAACTGCGACCGCGACTCGGAAACTGACTATCGCAGAACGATGGAAAAGCAGATTATGATCTTCCCCCACCCCAATCGGCAACCGCCATCATGGCCGACGAAGCGACAAAAGCCGATGAGGGGAAGCCAATTGACGATGACCTTCGATGGGCGCGCGATCGAACGGGTTGGGCGCCGAAGTTTGTCACTGAGAAGCTGGAGGGCCTCGATGACGAGGGCACGTTGCTGGACCACCAGACCTTCCTGGAAGGGAGAATCCCCGACAAGTTCTTTGGTGACTGGTACCACAACGCGGCCATCATTGTGTTCGCATGTCTTTCCTCATGGCTGATTGCTGTTGTGGGCGGTGGTATCGGTTGGGTTCTGATGATCATGGCAGCCTGCAGCACATACTACCGCACATCCATTCGACGTGTGCGCCGTAATTTCCGTGACGATATTAGTCGCGAAATGTCCAAGGCGCGCCTTGAGACTGATACCGAGAGCTTGGAGTGGATCAATAGCTTCCTGGTCAAGTTCTGGCCTATCTATGCCCCGGTTCTCTGTGATACCATCATCAACTCTGTCGACCAGGTTCTCAGCACATCCACTCCAGCATTCCTGGATAGCTTGCGCTTGAAGACCTTCGTCCTTGGTAGCAAGCCCCCTCGTCTGGAGCATGTTAAGACATATCCCAAGACCGAGTCCGACACCGTGATCATGGACTGGAAATTCAGCTTTACTCCCAACGACACGATGGATTTGACTGCCCGCCAGATGAAAGATAAGATTAACCCCAAGGTAGTGCTCGAGGTTCGCGTCGGAAAGGGCGTGCTCAGCAAAGGCCTGGACGTTATTGTCGAGGACATGGCTTGCTCGGGCCTCATGCGCGTTAAGGTTAAGCTCCAGATTCCGTTCCCTCACATCGAGCGTGTGGACGTTTGCTTCTTGGATAAGCCCGAGCTCGACTATGTATGCAAGCCTCTTGGTGGTGACCACCTTGGATTCGATATCAACTTCATTCCAGGTCTGGAGAGCTTCATCAAGGATCAGATTCACGCCAACTTACAGCCCATGATGTACGACCCGAACGTCTTCCCCATCGAGATTGCCAAGATGCTTGCAGGAAACCCCGTTGACCAAGCTATTGGTGTTGTTGCTATCACTCTGCACGGTGCCCACCAGCTCAAGAACCCGGACAAGTTCTCTGGTACTCCTGACCCATATGCTGTTGTCTCTCTGAACAACCGCAATGAGCTCGGCCGCACCAAAATCATGCACGATACGGACAGCCCCCGTTGGAACGAAACCATCTATGTTATCATCACGTCTTTCTCCGATGCCTTGTCAATCGCCGCGTACGACTGGAATGAATTCCGCAAGGACAAGGAAATGGGTACTGCTAGTTTCGCACTGGACAAGCTTGAACAGGAGCCTTCTCATGAGGGCATTTACCTGGAAGTGCAGGCCAGTGGCCGCCATCGTGGTGCCATTCAGGCTGATATTCGCTTCTTCCCCGTCCTGGAGGGACGTAAGAACGAGGCCGGTGAGGCCGAGCCTGCGCCCGAACTCAACACCGGTATTGCCCAATTCACCATCGAGCAGGCCAAGGACCTCGACGGAAGTAGAAGTCTGGTTGGCAAGCTCAACCCTTACGGTGTTCTGCTCCTCAACGGAAAGGAGATCCACATCACAAACAAGTTGAAGCGTACCAACAACCCTATCTTCCAGAACGCCTCCAAGGAATTCCTCGTTACTGACCGCAAGAACGCCAAATTGGGTCTCATCATCAAGGACGACCGCGACATCATGCAGGATCCTATCGTCGGCCGCTACCAGATTAAGATGAACGACATGATTAAGATGATGGAGCGTGGCCAGCAATGGTTCCACCTTCACGGTGCTAAGGATGGTCGTGCCAAAATGACCCTGAACTGGAAGCCTGTCGCTCTGGGTGGTGTTGGTAGCGCCAGCTACATCGACCCCATTGGTGTCATGCGCTTCCACTTCAAGCGCGCAACCGACCTGCGCAATCTCGAGGCCATGGGCAAGTCTGACCCCTACGCTCGTGTACTGCTTTCTGGTATGACTCGTGGCCGAACTGTGACCTTCCGTAACAACCTCAACCCCGAATGGGATGAAGTCGTCTACGTGCCAATCCGCAGCGCCCGTGAGAAGCTCACTGTTGAGGTGATGGACGAAGAAAGCATCAACAAGGACCGAACCCTTGGCTGGTGTGATTTGAATGCATCGGACTTCGTTCGTGAGAACGAGAACGGCGAGTATGAGATCGACGATGAGAAGCAGGCCATTACCAGCCACTTGAGTATCAGCGGTGGTGCTAAGAAAGGAACACTTCACTACGACGTTGCCTTCTTCCCGTCTGTGCCTGTTGTCAACCCCGAGGATGAGGCCGAGGAAGAGGAGGAGGAGGTTCCCGGTACCCCTGGTCCGGATGCCGTTGACTTCCGCAAGAGCATGGAATCTCGGCCCAAGACGTTGCACACAAAGTCTGCGAGTGTTGACTCCAAGGCCTCCAGGACATCCAAGGCTCAATCCAATGGCACTACTCCCAACGGTACTAATGGCAATGGTGAGCCGACTACCAATGGCCGCACCAGTCTGGAGACAAACGGATCTCGTCCAATGACTGGCCCCCTGTCTGAGACCGCGTCTGTTCGATCGATCAAGTCGATTCCCCGCACTTTCGTCAGCGCGGACGATCTCGAGAAATATGGTACGTGTCACTCCCTAATTTTATCGCTACAAACTAACTCCTGTAGAATCCGGCTTCATTGTTTTCAAGTTCCATGAGGGCCAGCTGGCACACGCCCACGTGCAGCTGGAGGTCTTGATGGATGACTACATGTTCCCGTCATATGTCTCATCCAAGATTCACACCACAACCGCGAAGTTCACTGACGTTGGTGAGGCATTCGTTCGTGAGCTCGAGTTCTCCAAGATTACCCTACGTCTCGTGAAGAAGGACGACCCCAAGGACTCCAGCGAGGAGCATACCGTTGCCAAGCTGACCGGTGATACTCTGCCGACTCTCATGCGCATGCTATACACTCCCACCGAGCTTGTCCTGCGTTCCACCGATGGTGAAGTCAGCAAGGTCACCGTCAGCGCTCGTTACATTCCCACCCAGATGAAGCTCGACCCCATGGAAAGCATCAACAACATGGGTACCCTTCGCGTCGATGTTCTCGACGCCGCTGAGCTCCCCGCTGCTGACCGCAACGGCTTCTCCGACCCGTACTGTAAATTCCGCCTGGGCGATGAAACCGTTCACAAGACCAAGGTCCAGAAGAAGACCCTTCATCCTGCCTGGAACGAGTTCTTCGAAGCTCCCATCAAATCGCGCATTGGCGCCAACTTCCACGTCGATGTGTGGGATTGGGACTTTGGTGACTCGGCCGACTGGCTCGGTTCTACCCCTATCGACCTTGAAGAGCTCGAGCCTTTCGTTGGAAAGGAAGTCACACTGCCCCTGGATGGCAAGTCGGGTGTCATCCGCCTGAAGCTCCTCTTCAAACCTAGCTACGTGATTCGCTCCCGCCAAGGCTCATCTACGTTCTCCGGCACCTTCGCTGTCCCCGGCAAGATTGTCGGCGCCCCCGTCAAGGGTGTTGGCTTCGTTGGTGGCAATGTTGTCCGCGGTGCATCCTTCGTCAAGCACGGCCTCATGTCCCGGTTCGGAAAGGACAAGGGTGAGGATACCCCTTCAATTGTCGAAGAGGACAAAGACCGTCTTGCCCCAGGCTCTTCGATCACCGAACCCTCTACCCCGGACACCGCGCAGAGGGAGCACTCTCGCAACCGCAGCACCGCCTCCCAGTACGGTGACCGACTCAGCGTTATCGGATCCGCGTCTGGAGAGAAGGGCGTTGCTAACATCACTCTGGTCTCCGCCGCCAACTTCCCTACCAACGCCAACCTGCGCATCACTGTCCGCGTCGTCGGCCCTAAGGGCGCGAAGGAAGTGCACAAATCGAAGGCCCACAAGAACTCCTCTGGCACAGTCAACTACGACGATGCATTCCGAGTCCCCAACACCACCGCCGACGCTCAGTACCAGATTCGCGTCGTGGACCACGCCACTTTCGGATCTGACGATGTCCTCGGTGACGCCCTGTTCTTCGTTGATGACCAGGGTTCAGTCGCCGGTCAGGACAAGGTCGTGACTGTCGGCCAGGGTGTTGTCACCATTCGCTCCAGCTTTGCTCCCTCGGAATCTAGCTTGCGACCCACGACTTCTGGGTCGACGGCTGCCGAAGGCGATGGTGCCGAGAGTCCCGATTCGAGAAAGATGCCTCGCCGCAGTTTCTTGAGCAAGCGGAGTGTCAGTGGGGCTTGATCCTATCCACGGGTGGCTCCGGTGACCCCGATCTGCCCTGGCAACAAGTCAGGGTCTATGAAAATATGAATTGTTAGTGTTTTGTGACGATATCCTTTTTTCTTGATTCCTTTTCTACTTTTTTTTTTTTTTTGGTTTAATTCAATTGTCTATATTTGTGATCTGAAGTACGGAGTAAATTTAGCACGGAGCTCAAAATAGGCGAATCAATAGTTACGCCACTGGCCTCAATTCACCGATGTCTCACCTTGGAATCTGAAAGGGGTCAACGCGAGGCTACTCGGATATCGTGAAGTGCATTCCTATCCAGCTCCCAGGTTCTAGCTATACGAAGTTCTACACTTTTTCCTCCCCAAAATACCACGGAAGTCCAAGGCAAACTCTGTTGCCTGCACAGCCCAGTCAAGCCAATGTGATCTGCGTCCCGCGAAGCTTGGGCCGCTTCGATATGCAGGATGAGGGGTTTCATTATCGTGATGTATTACGAGTAATTCGAAATCCCTTCTGGAAAAGAGCGGGTATTTTTAGAAATTACAGAACCGTGGGTTAACATTAAGGGATTGAGTCCCGGTGGAGTAATAATTTCTACCGTTCCACTTTTGGGGGGGGGGGAATAGTTTCAGTCCTGAAGTCGTTGAAGAGACAGGTCTATAGAGTCCAGGTGTTAAAATCATAAACTACTAAGTATTGCGACTTCAGGATTACTTCGTATTTCTACTCTGTGGGAAGTATATCGTGGTACGGAGTCCAAGTCAGGTGAACTTATAGTCGTACATGCAATGAAGTGCGCTGGGGTATTTTAAACCATGAAGTGCAAGTTGGATATCGCATCCTCGCACATACCACAGCATGGCTGACATTCCGCAGTTGACGAATCACTCCCGAACGTGGTCGGCCCGTGACGGCAATCAATATTCGATCTCATCATTACTTGAAACCAGTGAATACTCGTAGCGATTAAATAAAGTATCAAAATAAAATATAAATATAAATAATAATAAAAAAAAACAACTGAAACCCTACCGAATCCCGAGACTCGGACAGCAAGAGGATAAATCGGAGCTTAGCAGTAGGCCACTTTGGAGGTGGGGCAGTGTGTAGCAAATACAAATCGGACTAAGTTCCTTGGACGGTGAGTGGGCTAAGCAAAAAAAGGGGCTTGACGGTCTGGATTGCATCTTAACGCTCAACGGTTAGGAACTGTGTCCTCCGTCCTCCACTTCCGCATGCGGTTATTTGGTGTTGGGAATGTTGATTCCACGAGTAGACCAGTACAAGATAGTAGACTTCTACCGTTGGTTAAAATTACAATCTGAGCATGTCTAGGTAACTCGTACCTGGTACTCCAAAGTCCGGGAGTACGTCTTTTTCTGTCAATCAGGTGTCAATGTTGACGACACACAGCTGTAAGGGCGTTTGCCACCAAACCAAAATAGAGGAGCTCGAGCTCTAAGCTGCAGTGTGTATGGAGTAAGCGTAATATGATAGAAAAGGATCGTACCTAGTACTTCGTATGTCTTATGTCTTATGTACCGAATACCTCAAGCGGCGACAAAATAATATAACACGGGGACTCTTCCCCCCCACTTTGGAGATCGGCCCTCTCTCCCTTTTTCCTTGTTTCTGTGCACTTAAGATCCCTCCTTCCCCCTCTTTTCCTGCGATATCTCTTTTTTCTCCAGAAATCTTGGTACGTGTTTCTTCAATCCTTCAATCGGACTTTTCTAACACCGTGTCAGATATCATAATTCATAATGGCCTCCAAGGCACTTCCTGTCCACCTCCGAGCTCCTGCCGATGAGAGCTTCGGTGGAAAGCACCATGGCAAGTCTCAATCACACATGGTAAGCGGTGAATCCTGATATGCTCCTGCCGTTGCCGTACCTGCCATGAACCTGCCATGACGGTAGCTTTGGCTTCCCCTGATATTTTCGGTCCTACCATCCTACCATCCCACCTGTGCTCATTGCGCTCATTATCCTGCACTCTGTCCTTCTCATTCTCTTTTATATTTCCATTATGTCTACCTTAAAACCCAGTTTTGGCCCTGGACTGACCCGATTTACTTCCAACCAGGCATTCGAAAATGCTTCCACTAGCGTCGCCGCCTCCCAGATGCGCAATGCGCTCAACGCCCTCGGTGACAGTGTCACCGACCCCAGCGAGAAGAAGCGTTTCGAGGCCGAGATGGACAACTTCTTCGCCCTGTTCCGCCGTTTCCTGAACGACAAGGCCAAGGGCAACGCCGTCAACTGGGATCGCATTGCCCCTCCCCAGCCCTCCCAGGTCGTTGGCTACGACGAGCTTGGTGCGGAAGCCTCCGTTGAGTTCCTGAACAAGCTGGCTGTGGTCAAGCTCAACGGTGGTCTCGGTACCTCCATGGGTTGTGTTGGCCCCAAGTCCGTCATTGAGGTCCGTGAGGGCATGTCCTTCCTCGATCTCTCGGTCCGTCAGATTGAGCACCTCAACCGCACATTCGATGTCAACGTGCCTTTCGTCCTCATGAACTCCTTCAACACCGACCAGGACACCCAGTCCATCATTAAGAAGTACGAGGGCCACAACGTCGATATCATCACCTTCAACCAGTCCCGCTACCCCCGTATCATTAAGGACTCTCTCCTCCCCGCCCCCAAGAGCTTCGACTCTCCCCTCCAGGACTGGTACCCTCCCGGTCACGGTGACGTCTTCGAGTCCCTTTACAACTCTGGCACTCTCGACAAGCTGATCGAGCGTGGCATCGAGTACATTTTCCTCTCCAACGCTGACAACCTCGGCGCTGTGGTCGACCTCCGCATCCTGCAGCACATGGCCGACACCAAGTCTGAGTACATCATGGAGTTGACCGATAAGACCAAGGCTGATGTCAAGGGTGGTACCATCATTGACTCCGACGGCAAGGTCCGCCTGCTTGAGATTGCCCAGGTCCCCAAGGAGCACGTCAACGAGTTCAAGTCCATCAAGAAGTTCAAGTACTTCAACACCAACAACATCTGGCTGAACGTCCAGGCCATCAAGCGTGTTGTGGAGGAGAACGAGCTCGAGATGGAGATTATCCCCAACGAGAAGTCCATTCCCGCCGATAAGAAGGGTGAGGCCGACCAGGCCATCTACCAGCTGGAGACCGCTGTCGGTGCCGCTATCCGTCACTTCAAGAACGCCCACGGTGTCAACGTGCCCCGTCGTCGCTTCTTGCCCGTCAAGACCTGCTCTGATCTTATGGTCGTCAAGTCCGACCTGTACCGCCTCGAGCACGGCCAGCTGGTCATGGACCCCAACCGTTTCGGCGGTGTCCCCGTTATCAAGCTGGGCTCTGACTTCAAGAAGGTCTCCGACTTCCAGAAGCGCATTGCCAGCATTCCCCGCATTGTCGAGCTGGACCACTTGACCGTCACCGGCCCTGTGAACCTGGGCCGCAACGTGACTCTGAAGGGTACCGTTATCATTGTTGCTTCCGAGGGTAGCACCATTGATATCCCCCCTGGATCAGTTCTTGAGAACTGTGTTGTGCAGGGTAGCCTGAGAATTCTGGAGCACTAGATGTTTTCGTCTGCTGTTTAGAGTCCTGTTGTGTCCGGAGGTGCATTCGCTATGGGTTCCATGGGGAGTATGCAAAAGAAGTACTTGTATTACATTACAAATAATCCAGCGTCTTTTTTTCTTTCTTTATCTGGTCATGGGCCTTTTTGATTTCCCGAGTACTGTTACCCCTCAGACCAATGAAGAATGCACTTTTTTTGAGTGGTTGACACAACTATATAATCTTCTTTTTCTTTGGCGAAGTTTTTAATCAACCACGGTAAACAAAGGCAAAATCACCGCAGTATCAAAGGAAATCCAAGCATTAGATCTCGACTTAGATTAACCCAACATGTGTCTGCACTCCAGGGCTGTCAGATTTCCCCCTACAATAGCTCAGGCAAATCCCCACCACAACTGATAGGCGGGCCATAGTTCCCCATGATCTCAACACACGTCATCTGTGGGCAAATCAAGCAGTATAGAAACGAAAAGCCTCAAGTTTTCTCAAATCAGGTTTCAACATGCATTGATCTGTACAGTGTTTCAATTTGTTCTGTATATCTCATCGAGTACATATCGTGTTACAACTGTATATTTCTACTTTTGACTTCATTTACTCTATACATACATCGATATACTGTCATGAGCGACCAATACCGCCAAATCGTACCAGGCTCCTCTCCGATCTCCGACGACCAAGAAAACGAAGAGCTAGAGCACAGCCCCCCACCCGAGAAAGGGACCTGGAAGAAGAGAGTTTCAACTGCCTGTTTAGCCTGTAAGAAATCGAAAAGAAAGGTCAGTCACTCCTCCCCGTCGACTTCCAAACATTCTAACCCCCAACCAGTGCAGCGGGACATCACCCTGCGCAAACTGCCAAACTTTCAAACGAGTCTGCATCTTCGACGAATCCCTAGACCAGCGTCGCCGTGTCGCAGCCAAGCGGACCGCAGACGAGCTCTCTTACCACCGCGACCTCCTAGCAGATCTCTTCAAGCTCATTCGTGAAGCAAACGAATCACACGCCCTGCACCTCCTGACCATCATCCGGCACAATGCCCCCGCCGACGAAATCAGAGCTTACATCAATGACACTCTGGACTCCCTTAGCCGCGAGGATCACATTCCAAAGAAAGAGCAGACAGTCGCTAAGCTCGAGGATATGCGCCATCTTATCAATGTGGAAGGCTCGACGCCCGTGTTCAGAAGGAAGGTTATGGATATCCATTACCTGTGTGATGATGCGCCTTGTACAGTTCCCGCGGAGCCCTGGACGAATGTGACTGCAGATGGGGATTTGGTATCACATCTGGTGTCGTTATATTTTGCTTGGAATTGGCCGTTTAGTGCGTTCCTTGACAAGGAGGTGTTTTTGAGACACATGAGGCGCGCTGAACTTGGGAGTGAGTTTTGTAGTCCGTTTTTGGTCAATGCTGTGTTGAGCAATGCTTGTGTAAGTTTTTATATCTGTGGGTTATGTGAGCTGGACTGATTGTTTGTAGTATTTCTCTGAGTTTTCAGAGGCCTATGTTGTTCCTGGTGATATCTCTTCCAAGGGAAGTGACTTCTTGGCTGAGGCGGAGAGGTTGAAGGAGGAGGGCCCTCCGCAGCCTAGTTTGGCTGGATTGCAGGGCACTCTGCTCTTATATGAGAGGTGGGTTGCAGCTTTGAATTCCAGGACTTGTGTAGGACTGACAAATGGAGATATGCAATGTCACGGGAAGATGACCTGGGCTATATCATGCTCCATCAGGCCATTCGGATGGGAGAATCCTTGGGCTTGGTCGGCAGTACAGGTCCTCGAATGGCGTCTGGCGAGTTGTCGCAAGACATGGAGATATCATGCAAACGAACAGCGTGGGGTCTTTTCAACGTCGACACGTAAGTGACACGAAGAAATTGGTCAGTGCAAGAGATTGATGGCCATAGAATCGTTCATACAGGCTTCCTCCGCCCCAGTCTAATTGACCATGTCAACATGGCTCGCATAACTTGCAGTCCAGTCGAAGACCAGTCACTATGGTGCCCATATCCCACGCATCGCGAGACCCGTCCATCGTTCCTCGCCTCGTACTTCGACGAAGCATCCACCTTGTCAACCATTGCCCGCGATATCTCACGCAGCATGTTCGCAGATTACCGAGTCAGTACAGCCTTGGGTCCAATCCACCGCCAGAGCCGCGAGGCTCTCTACGACCGTCTCCGTCGCTGGCACGATCTACTGCCGGAGGATTTCGACGTGCGTTACAGACCTGCTCCACACATCATCTTACTCAAGTAATTTCCCTACTCCCCCATTTGAAAGTAGAAGTCGAATCTCACACTCACAGAATGCGGTACAATACCCTCATCATCAACCTCTTCAGCTGCATCTCCGCGGACCCCTCCTTCGAGCCCAATACCCCCGAGAGCCCATCCCGACACACCCCGGACCTGAAATACAACGCATGGGAAGTCACAACCAGCGCAGCGCGAGGAATCGCCTCGTTGACCCGTCTTCACAGACGGGAGTTTGGGATTAGTCGCGCACACCAATTCGCGATGTACGCGATCAACCTCGCGCTCTTCACGATGCTAGAGCAAGAGAACTTTGACGTGTTGGATGAAGATTTCCTCACGCTCGCGAGTGCATTCTCCGTTGTGGCGAGTCGGTCGGCGCTCGGAAGGAATCTGTTCCATATTTTCCGACAGTCGGTGCGTGGGAAGGCGCAGGGGTACCGGATCCGCGGGTCTGAGATTCCCGATGAATTGAAGGATCTCTTCGATGAGGAGTCGGCTAGCAAGGGCTGTCATCGATTTGATGACTATGCCGAAGGATTGGAGAAGTTAAACCAGAAGGATAAGTATCGTGGCATTGGCGGCGGATTACAGGATTATCCTGGACTTGGACTCTCCGATATGTTGGATCGATATGAGAGTCTGAGTCTTGGAAAAGACGATGTTCTTGCTGAGCGGTATCTAGTGGGTTGTTGAAGTATTATATTGTGGAACATGATCTCATTCCCGGCAGCCTGCCTTGAGTGGCGAGGCCAGTGTATGGATCAATGATATCACCCATTTAGATCTGCAGTACTTTTTTTCCCGAGGGACGGGGAGATGACAACTCTTGACTCGCAGAGAAAAAGGGAGAAGAGTTGCGCAGTCGTCGCCGCCTCACATCTGACGTCAAACCGAGTGTCTTGGCAACTTCTCAGAGAGTTCGAAGTCATTTCTCTTTCGCTGCATTTTTTTCTGCCGAGGGTCCTTGTGCGACTTATTCGCCTCATTCTCACCTTCTTCTCTCCTACATTCATGTCGACTTTTAAATCATGGACCCTTCACAGCCACCTGAAAAAACCCTTGGACCTAGGCTGAATCTGCCCGACAATTTTGGATCGCTGTTACAGAATCCGTATCCGACACCACACTCGTTCTCACCATCGGCCTCCGCATCTGCACTGTCGCAGAACTATCAATCGAATGTTTCGTCCTCCGTTCCTGGTTCAGCCCCCGGTACAGTTGCGCCTAAAGTAGCCATCCCCCGGTTACCCCCCACCGATGTATCGCATGGGCGCCGTCGCTCAGCGCGCGCATGTGAGCCCTGCCGCCAGCGCAAAATAAAATGCGACGGACTGCGGCCGTCATGTTCCCAATGTATTTATCACCACCAGCAATGTGCCTACGAGGATGTGAAAAGAGTACGCGACCAGAAGCGATTGGGGTCCTTGGCCAAGCGCGTGGAGGCGTATGAGTCTCTACTTCGAGATCTAGAGGGTGAGGTGGACCTTGAAACGGCCCGAAAGATTAGGAGAATCATGAAGGTATGTTCGGAAATATCAGACTCAGTCTCACCCGAGCCTCGGATCGAATGATTTGAGTTCTGTGTTCAGACTTTTGACGATCCCTGTCCGTACAGAACCCTGGGAAACCACTCCCGAAGAACGATGACGGGTCCGATTCGGATTCCTCGATGGGCTCTCTCGAGGCTATTGATCAGGTAGACGAGGACCTGAACCGAAGCGAGGGGACGCGCGCCGCCGGCTTCTTCGGGAAGAACTCGGAAATCCAGTGGATGCGCAAGCTGGATGTTGGCACGAGTATGCAAAACCCCGACAGCGCTGCATCCTTCTATTTTGGCAGTAATCAAGATGCACCATTCGCGCAGCAGCCACAGCTCGGAAGGGTCAACTCCACTTCGATGATGGACTATCATCTTGATAATCTAGACATTCCGCTGATCGAGCCGTGTAATCCGCTTGCCGTGCCGTCGCGTAAACTTGCGGATCGCTATATTCACGCCTTTTTGACCTACGTTCATCCGACATTTGGCGCTATTCGTCTGACAACCTTCATTTCGCAGTACCAGATGTTTTTTGAAAACGCATCATCGCCACCCGTGAAATGGCTGGCAATTTTGAACATGATCTTTGCGATTGGCTGTCGCTACACTCGGCTTGTAGATGGTCCCGACTCGAGCGATGATGATCTTATTTTCTTGACTCGCGCGCGCCACCTTGGCCTACACAGCAAGGTTCTTTTCGAGCACACCGATCTCCAGCAGATTCAGCTGGAGCTGCTAGTCGCTATATACCTCCTCTGTCTGGGACAGGTTAACAGGTTGGTCAAAGTCTCTTCGCTGACACTTCAATGATAAGCTAATATTTTGGGAAACAGAGCCTCCAAATTTTCCAACATGGCTCTCCGCTCTGCTCTATCCTTGGGCATTAACCTCCGACTGACAGATAACCGAACACAAGACGCAGCCAAGGAGGCCCGTGGTCGCCTTTGGTGGTCTATTTACTCAATAGAACACCTTATAACTTCCATGACTGGCCGCGCCTCTTGTGTAGGTGAAGGCGTTTGCTCTGTGCCACCTCCGCTCCCTTGCGAGGAAGATAACTTCAGCCAGCCGGGAGTCCAACACCTCTTCCAGGATCCCAACTTACGGGATTCCCAACTGACTTCCACCCTATTTGAATCTTCCACCCAATTCAACTCACAGGCCTGGATATCCACTTGTGCTCCCTGTCCATCCCTTTTCTTCAACTTCCTCGTCGACTTGAATCTCATCACCCACGCTCTGATGAACAAAGTATACTCAATCGAGGGACTCCGTAAAGGCCCCTCTCAAATCGAGTACCACGTATCAAAGTTCGGCACCAGAATGGACCGCTGGCTAGACAAGATCCCCCCATTCTACCAATTCACCTCACCCGAAGCCGGCCCCTGGCACCTCAATCACTCCAAGCTCCACGACCTATCCGCAACTTTCGTGCGCGAAAGCGTCTGTCTAGCCATGTCCTACTACTCTGCCCGAATTGCCCTTTGCAGACCATGCCTAACACACATCCACACCCAATCCTCCCAGCCGCGCTCCCCCGAAACAAGCGGAACGCCCCGCGCCCAGTTCCGTGCCGACACGGCAACACAATGTCTCCAGGCCTCAAGCGCCATGATCTCCATCCTACCCGAAACACCCAACATGTCCTGGCTCGCACGCACAGCGCCATGGTGGGGTGTTCTTCACTTCCTCATGCAGGCGACGACTGCCCTCCTCCTGTGTCTTTCTTACTGCTCATACACGCGGACGAAGAATTCTCGTAGTCCAGATCCAACCCCTGGCTCGCCTGCACTGTTAGCTAACTACCCACCTCTTCAAGAGACGGATTTAAGTACGGCCATTGCCTCGGCGAAGAAGGCAATGCATTGGCTTCATGTGACTGCCTCTGTGGACCCGGCGGCGAGGAGGGCGTTCATGCTCTGCGAGGGAATTGTGAAAAGAATTGCGCCAGGTCTGGATATTGACTTGCGGGATTGGCCGGATGGAAACGGCTTTGCTGAAGCTATTCGGGCCAGTCGAAGTTCCAGTGGCAATGGTAATGACTATGGGAATGGGAATGGGAATGGGAAGGGGTATGGCTATGAGGGAAATGGAAGTGGGATTGGTAGAGAGAGTGGGATGGAAGCTTTTGAGGAGTTGATCGACTTCGAGGGAGGTGTTTTCTAGTTACCTTCTAGCCCAAATATTCCCCCTTTACATGAAGACATGACTTGATGACAGCGAGAAAGTGAAGATAATCATGGAAACAAGTAAAATATACATGATTGAAAGACTGAGATTAGAGACTATGTACTAGATCGATGACATTAATATGTAAACACCATTGAAACCCACTGGCTAAGTGAATAGAAAAGAAAATGCCAAATATGCCGTACATGCAACGCCAATCCCCATAGAACGACCACAAGACTTGAGACGAGACTTCGTAGACAACAAACGCATGTAAACGGCAAAAACAACATGAGTATCGATCTATACTGAACGGTTATAGGTAATGACCACAAGCCATATAAATGGAGGTCCGAACGCAGTACCCAGCTTAAGTAGGTTGTGGCTGCATTTTGATTTGGAATGTATGTTGGTGCTCGTGCTGGGGCGCTGGGGGTGGAGGTGCCTGCGTCCTTTGAGGGATTGGAGCCCTGCGTTGTGCCGGCATCCCATGGGGTGACTCGGACTGCATTGGGCGGTGCATTTGCTGCTGCATCGGCGATTGAACATATGGTTGGTGAGGAAGGGGACGTGCTTGGTGCACGGGAGATTGATGGTGCATTTGCATGTGTGGCATGGACAGCTGTTGTCCTGCCTGTTTGGGAAGAGCTGGGTTGTGCGGCATGTGCCCTGGCTGAGGTGATATGTGCTGCTGCTGCTGATGCATGTGCGAAATCTGCGGCTGGCCAAGGTGTTGACTTGACTGTTGCTGCATAGGTTGACTGTGTATAGGTTTATTTGGTTGCTGCTGAGCTTGGAAAACGTGGTGATGCTGGTGCTGCGGTAGAGGTTGACCAGGCATTCCCGGTACAGACATGGTTTGACCTTGGTGCATATGAGGCGGCGTTGGGCATGGCCGTTTGCGTGTTTCGTCATCCACAGCAGAGGCTGTGCGCTTCAATCCCGTAGTCATATCTATGCCACCAGCCGATTGGGGATTGACCTCTCCCTGTACCTGATCGCCGTTGGCAGCGGCGGCGGCAGCCGCAGCAGCAGCCGCAGCAGCCACATCTGCCTTACGAGGTCTGCCCCGGGGTCGACCAGTGGGTGGCTTTGGCTTTGCTGAAGACGGCTTCCTTGGTTTTGGCGGTGGCAGGGGTTGCCCTGTTGCAGCTGCCCAGGCAATTTGATCTGCCTTGCGGGGACGTCCACGTTTGCGCTTCAGGGGAGTCCCGTCAGGCCCTAAGATGGGAGTTACCTTGGATGACGAGGGTGGCAGAAGACCCGTCGGGGTCATGTTCGCCGTGAATGAAGCTTGTCCCGGTACGAGCATCCCTGGAATGGGTTCGCCATTTGCAGCAGCATGAGCAGCCTGAGCAGCCAACCTTGCAGCAACTTCCTCTTTACGTGGTCGACCACGACGACGCTTCGGAGTTGGTGTTGCCTGGTCACCCCCAGTCGGTGTCACACCAGGCATGAGTGCTTGTCCATTAGTTTGGGTTGGAGTTACCGTAGGGACGCCCATGGGACCATTGATATGGTTCTGTGTGTGAGCTTGAGCTTGGTGGTCAACAAGGGATTGCCCATGAGCTTGGTTTTGGGGCTGAGGCTGAGGCTGAACAGCCTTCTTGGGTTTGCTCTTCTTCTTTGGTACCGAGCTTGGCTCTTCAGTTTTCAATATCGGGCTCTGTGTAGCTTTCGGCATCGCTGAAGCAGCTGGCTGAGATGATGGAACCCCCGAGTGTGCTGGCGGTTGATAATGCTGGAACTGAGTTTGACGCGGAGAAGATTGAAATTGGGGTTGCGGTTGGGCGAATTGAGCCTGGTGTTGGGTATATTGATGCTGAGGCTGAGGTTGATGCTGCTGGTATTGAGATGGATGGAATGGAGGCTGAGCGTGCTGAGAGAATGGTGATTGCTGTTGATACGGATTTTGCGCCTGAGTTTGTTGCTGTAATTTCTGCAGTCTTTGCTGATCCAACTGCTGCTTCTGTTGCTGCTCCAGTCGCTGCTGCTCCAATCTTTGCTGACCCAACTTCTGTTGCTCGATCTTTTGCTGTTCTAGACGGTCTTGCCTTTCCTGCTGCTGTTGTTGGTCCTCTAGCTTCTGCTGTTCCAAGGCTTTCTGTTGCTGCTGTTGCTGTTCAACTCGCTGTTTCTCGATCCGCTGTTGCTCCGCTCGCTGCTGCTCAGCCCGTTGTTGTTCAACACGCTGCTGTTCAATGCGTTGTTGCTCCAATCGCTGCTGTTGAATTTGCTTTTGCTGCTCCAGAATTTGGTGCTGCTCAAGTCGTTGTTGATACTGTTGGTGCTGAATCTGCTGCTGCAACTGCTGCTGTGTCTGTTGTGTCTGCTGGGGCGATTGGGGTTGTGAAGAGGGCTGCGCCTGTCGCTGCTGGTTCATAGCAAACACAGGGCTCGCCATGGAGGGACTTGCCGAGGAATGATGATCTCTTTGATGCATATTAGCATGAGGTAGTCTGTTCATGGTCTGCTGCGGCGAAGGGGCGTTCATAGGATGAATGCCACCGGGAGCTCCCATTCCTGGCTGGGGACGCAGGTGGGCCATTGAGGTGAAACCGCGCTGCAAGTTTTGCAAACCCATAGGGTCGGGGTTGCGCGCCATGAGGTCAGGCGAGTTTTGCGCTCCAAATTGGCCGGAAAATTGAGCGAAGCTGGTCCCGGTTGGATATCCACCCAATGAGCCGGAGGTTGGCGTCATCTTGCGCAAATCTGGGGACTGCGATGCCGTGTAATTTTGCTGTGGCTGCTGACGAAAGTTCGGTTTGTTATTGGGGAATGGACTGTGCTGGGGAAGCGCAGACCCCGCGCCCAACAGTGGCGACTGAGCATGTTGTCGTTGAGGCTGAGCACCCAAAGGGTGTTGGGGTTGAGCACCTTGATGCTGCTGTTGAGGCGCCTGTCCATTAAACGGATGACCTCCGTAGTTCATCATATTGGCTTCCAAGAGGCGCGCACACTTGCCGTAAGCGGTAGATTAGAGCAATCCCTTCAAACGCGAGGCATGCAAGGGCGCACTAGTCAAAACCGTTGCCAGCTAGTGTGGGGATGAGAATGTGAAATAATGAGGGGGACTATCGCAAGACCTATCGCGCCGCCAGCGCCGCTGACAATCCTATACGGGAGAATCGCCACTCGAGTCGCGCCCGAAGCCGCGCGTGTTTTGTTGTTCTAATCAGGCCTGAGGCCACAAGGCAACTAGGCAAGATAGTAAGGCAGCAAGGCAGCAAGGCAACCAGATACGGTACGAATCGGGTTTAGCGGCTACGGAGACCGAGTAGTGCCAGTCAGCGCAGTTCGAAAGTGAGTCGACGGTCGCGCACTGAAAGAGAATTCAGGGGGAGGGAGCAACTGACAAGAGCCAGAGGGGGCCAGCAAAAGCGAACCAAATCTATTTGCTGAGGCCCGTTGGAGATGGCAGGGCCCAGCAAAAGTAGATTGGAGACGAAGTGGATGACACTGGGCTGGAATCCTCGATGGCGAGGGAAAAAATATTAAAAAAAATAAAAAAATAAAATAATAAAATAAAAATCGAAATGAATTCTCCACATCACGTGATCCGGGGGAAAACCTACTCTCCCCAGCAGAGGTCAACTGAAACGGCTTAGAGTAATTACCTCTGTATGTCCACTGTTCGATGCTGGGATGGTTCATTGCTGTCCTAACTCATCATCACCAACACATTTCCAGGCACCATGGTCCTCATCAACTGCTTATATTCCGCAATCCCGGTCAAACTATACAACCCACTGGTACAAACAAATGCGTGTGACCCCCGAGACTAATCAAATCACGCTGTCTTGCCATTATCCTTGTCCTCCCGAAGATCTGCCAAACAGGGTGCGAAAAAGAGTTTGCCTGAAACTGCCCCTTTCAAAGTGCCGATACTCACGACGATCCACAATATCACCACTGAAAGGGAGAGGATCTGCAATCAAATTTACTCAAATTAGCCAAGCTTCACGTTCTGGAATCGGGTATCATACAGTTCCGAGAATATTGAAAAATTCCGATGGAAGTTCCTTTCCAATCTGACACGTCGCAGTTGCAAACCCTCCCAGTGGGAAAGTGAATCCCCACCACCCAATGTTAAAGGGAAATGTTTTGCTACATGCGATCGATGCAATCGCAAAGAAAAGCCAGACAAGTCCAAATGACCACAAAGCGAATCCAATAAGGAACCCCGTGGTGTACAAGCTCGCCTCAGAGCCCTGTGCAAGGGTTTGGGTCCTCGGGAAAATATCTCGTGCGCATTCTCCCAGTTTGGTCGCTCTGGCAAGGGTATCAGTCTTGTTTGTACTCTTCTCAGCCTGGAATTTCCGACTCACCCTAAACTGCCCTGGCCCAATGGCCCCAGTGGAAGGAAAACGCTAACTATGACAGCCTTGGGTGGTAGCTTATGCAGTGCGAGTCGCGCCAAGTAGATCACCATGACCATCAACCCAAGGGGCAGCCCAATACCCCAAAGAACATAGCTGGTAATCACGGTCCACAGAGCGTAGTCGGGATTTGGAAGGATCTCGGCTACGGCTGCACCCGTAGAGGCGGCAACGTTGCAGCTGACGATTGGGAGGAGCCATACAGCTGTCATGGAAGATAGCTGTGTTTCCTCGCCATGCGCCATTCTGGCGGAGTTAGCAAAAGCCTTGGGGTTGGAAAGGTATTCTAAAAAGTACTCACAACATGAACGGCAACAAAAGAGCCACTGACACCGATATCACGGCATCCAAGATCCATAGTCCCAGTGCGAGATAGCTAGCCCCCTGACCCCATGCTGGCACGCACACTGCACATATCATATTGATGATTGTTGCAAGCCCCATGGGAAATGTGCCCATGAACATTGATTGGACTGGGTGTTTTATCATCGCTAAGAATACCTCCGGATATAAGATATGACGGAGGATGGTAATGAAACAGCCAGCAATGAAGAGGAGCACATTAAGCACAAATATCACGATGGAGATCCAATACAGCCATGCACCATTGTAGGGCAGACTGTGTAACAGCATAGACACAATCCCCGTGCCCATGGTGACGGAGAACCATCTGGGATATAAGTTAGTTCTGTGCCAAGTTGGATTAATGGGGAACTTACGACGGCGTGAAATTGCGAACGACTCTTCTCCAGCCTTTCTCATGCTTTGTCGGTTGTTCCAATTTCGGGAGATCAGGCTGTGCAGCGGCAGTGTCCGGATTTGGTGTTGTGTTGACCATGATATTGGATCCGTCCTGCCCACAAGTTCCTCCCATAATTACCACTCATATATTTTAGACATTCACCCTGCTTCTATGTTCATTGGATATACATCGTGAGTGATAGTCTGGTACCTACCAGTTGGGCAATGTCTGCAGAACTTTCCGGGACCCACTAGAGAGTGGGCAAAAAAAAAGTTTCAGTTCGACGGCTTGGAATCTCTTAGCAAAAATTGGAAACGAATCTGGTGAAATTCTTCCTGGAGTTCATATTCATTGAAAGCTAACAGTGTACAGACGAATGCTAACTTTACAAGTAGATCAACAAACAACATGCATGAAACTCTAAACTTGAATCAAGACTACTAGCGTATGTCATTCTCGACCTCCAGAACTTTAGAACTTAAGTATATCTGGTATTTCAAAAGCATTCAAAAGGTGTATTTGAAAAGAACAGTGCAAAGCGACGGAATGAAAATGTATTTATGGTTGGCTACTCAAAAGGTGAAGATGCTGAGCCGACTGAATCATGGTGTGCCAAGCCTTTCTCGAGTGCAGCCCTCGGGACCCCATCATGCAAGAATATCTAGACCAACAACAGCACAAGGATTGTTTGGAATGAGATTTGTGAATTCAATTTGTAATCTGCCAATCGTACATATGAAATAGTATGTGGAAAGACAATACATTAGTAACATACTTAAAGATGACATATTTGGGGCTTATATGGCGTGCGATGGCTCTAACCCCTCAGTGATATCTTTTCGCATATTTATCTCGAAAAAGCCAATTGATGAAAGACTTGAAGTCTTGGAGTAGATTCATCAGCAGAAACTTCCAAAATCTGTCGCAGATATGGTTGGGCAAGCGTTGACCTCCGTTGCTATCATTGGTGGTGGCCCTGGAGGATTAGGGACTGCCATTGCCCTTTGCCAGCTACCATTCCTCCGGGTGACTCTTTACGAGAAAACCCCAGAACCAAGAGAGGCTGGTGCTGGTATTAGTCTGAGCACAAATGCATGGAAAGTTCTGGATCTGCTAGGGGCGAGTGATGGAGTGAAAGGAGGCTCAAAGTCAAACACACACCAGAGGTGAGCGCCACGATTGAGTTATTTGATCCACCTGGAAGCTGTGCCTGACATTGGATACGAAATCCATAAGAAATGCATACACAGGGAAAGTTCTCAGTATTATCAAGCATCCAGAAAATTCCGATGCGCAATCTCGCGGAGCAATTCGCGCTCGCCGGACCCGGCTACAGTCAGCGCTTTTGGCCAAGGTACCCGAGGGTATCATTCAGTATAGCAAAAAGCTTCTTTTTATGGAAGATTTGACGATTAATGGTACTCGGTTGGTGTTTGAGGATCAAACCGAGGCAATCGCAGACATTGTAGTCGGGGCAGACGGGCTCCATTCCGTATGTCAACATGCCATTCTACTTATCCATTTGACTACCCACTAATTCGCGAAAGATTATTCGAAAGACATTATTCGCAGACCATGAGCTTCATTTCACTGGTAATAGTGCCTTTCGCGTCCTGGTTTCTAAATCAAGCCTGGCCCATATTCCAGAAATCACATCGACAACGTCGTGGTGGTGGGGCAAAGATGGCCATGTGTATCTCTCAGATGTGGACGAAGAGGGAGATACTGATGATCCACTGTTTGAGATTACTGTGAGATCTTATTGCGAGCCCCATAGCCCAGGCAAAACTGTGTTTTGGGGTATTCCAGCCACGAATGAAAAAGTGGGATCTCGTGTCAAGGTGGAAAATTCCCTCAATGGAACTAAGAGAAGCTTGCTAACTTCTTGAATAGGAATACGACCAGAGATTGAGAGATGCCGTTAGTGCAGTTCCGGAAGGTGAATGGAAAGAATTCGCCACATTTGCAGGTCCGCGCTTAGAGAGGCTTACGGGCTGGAAGAAGGTTGCACTTATTGGAGATGCCAGTCATCCTCTATCGGGTATGTTCAGGTTTTGAAATGAGCATTCGAGGCTATAATTTGCTAAACAAACACATAGGTGCATTTGGTTCTGGCGCAACCTTTGCCATGGAAGATGGCTGGATTCTTGCCCGAGCACTTGAGCTGACGCAGAATGCTGTATATCCGGTAGAAGAAGCCCTCGAGATATTCGACCATATTCGGTCCCCTTACTACTCTAAGATGTGAGTCATCCTATTTTTGAAGTAGCTAGGCAACAAAAGGATGCCCAGGTGGCGGGTGGCTAATGCAAACTCCCTGGTAATATAGGTATCGTCACTTGGATGAATCGAAAACTAAGATGCAGCAATCTCAAACTGAGAGCAAGACTTTTGATGACTTTTTGCAAGCCAAAGTTGACACCTTCCTCTACGGGGGCAAAGATTTCATTTATAAAAACGATATCGAGGAGGTTTGGAGAAAACATCTATCCAGCAACCCAAATTTGACACGCAACGAGGTATAGCTAAGTAAGTGCCCTGGTGATCTTGAAAAATATCACAAATTTGACTTGAGGCCCTCGACGGTAGACTTAAAGAATTCATTTTATTCTGCAGGTAAAATTTTGTATCCAAATATGCCTTTCCTTTCTAAAGTTATAGCTTTTCAAGGTTATAATCTCGGTTCCTACTAAGTGTTACCGCGGTCAGATAAGGTGGTGACCTAGTTGATTCAATAGAAGGCTCTTCGTGGTAATAAATTCAACAATATTTGCTGTGCGGGGTCACTATAGAATTTGCTATCTCATCAACGAGAAGAGTTCTAGGCCAAAGCACGTCCAGGCGCTCTATAGCTAATCAGCGCCAGCTATGGCATCAACGGGGAAATAGCCCAGGTTGGTCGATGGTACATTGGGGGGTTGGTATGTCGTGATAGGCCAAGATTAGTGTTGAGGGGACGTTCTTCAAATCGCATAAAAGCCTATTCGTAGGTAACATTTGAAGACGAAGCGGAAAAGCTGAGAAATTCAAAATCACGGTCGAGTTTCAGAATGGGGAAATCTCCACCAAAACAACCTCTTCCTGAGACCACTGTGATCAAGTCAACCACGGAAGATGAAATCGAAGACCCCAAGCCGCCCAAGCGGTCGTTTCGGTCTTTCATTTGGGATACAGATACACACCTCAAATCTCCAGAAGAAAAACATCTTCTCCTCAAACTCGATGCGGCACTTCTGAGCATTGGATGCTTGGGATTTTTTATGAAGTACTTGGACCAGGGGAATCTTTCCAATGCATATGTCTCTGGCTTACAAGAAGCCCTTTCGATGTACAGCAACGAGTACACCTATGCACAAACCGTGTACACAGTTGCCTACGCCGCCATGCAGATCCCCAGCACACTCATCGTTCAGCGCATCCGGCCTAGTATGTGGCTGGCGGGAATGGAGGTTGGTTGGGCAATTTTCACTTTTGCGCAAGCTGGTATGAACAATGTGGGTGAGCTGTATGCATTCCGCTTTCTGGTTGGATTCTTCGAAAGTTCCTTCTTTCCTGTTTTGCTATATGTTCTTGGAAGTTGGTATACGAAGACAGAGTTGGCAAAACGAGTTGCCCTATTCCATATGACTGCGCCGCTTGGTTCGGCCTTTGGAGGTTATCTACAAGCGGCCGTGTATAAGAATATGAATGGGGCTCATGGTCTTGCTGGATGGCGGTGGTTATATCTCATTTGTGGGGTGGGTTTTGCTTCCCGGCGACAAGATATTGATCTGACGTGATGCAGTGCATGACGCTTCCAGTGGGAATTGCGACTTTCTTCCTGCTTCCCGATACGCCACACACCACGCGCGTATGGTTTCTGTCTAAGAAAGAGCGGGAACTTGCAAAAGAACGGGTTTTGAAAGCTGGCAAGGCCGCACCTGTGAAAATTACGTTAGGAACATTTAAGAAGATTCTTGGATCGTGGAAATGGTATGCCTTTGTGCTGGGATACGTGGTAAGCATTCTCATGTTGAGGACTTGCACACGTCAACTAACCGGTCAACTCGTGAGAATAGCTCTATGGATCATCATGCGGCGCTAGTAGCTACTTTGGGATTTGGCTTAAATCCGAAGGCTTTTCCGTGGTTGACAGAAACCTTATTCCCACTGGCACGTCACTGATCTCTGCGGCCTGTGTTGTGTTATGGGGATTCCTCTCGGACTATACAGGCAGCAGATTTGCTTGGGTACTAATCCCTCTGGTATGCCCTTAACATTCCTTTTGATATTAAGGAGTCCATACTGATCAACCATGCGGTAGATTCTCGGGCTCTTGCCAAATGGAATTCTAGCATTTTGGCCCGCCAGCGTGCAGTTCAAGGAATTCGCCTTCCTCACAGCAAATGTTCAGCTCATGACAGCCGTTTTGTAAGTTGTTTTCAAACACTTCATATTTGGGAAGTGATGCTGACCCGTTGACTTAGTTACACCTGGGCCAATGAAGTATGCTCTGGAGACAATGAGGAGCGAGCTGTCGTTGTTAGCAGTATGAATGGATTTCAATACGCCGTAGCAGCATGGTTGCCGATCCTCATCTTCCCACAGACTATGGCCCCGACATTTCGTAAGTCAAACTACTCAAACGTTGTTTTCAGTTACATTGTTTTTGGCACAATCCTGACAGGAAATTCTTACAGGATACGGATTCCCTACGACATTTGGCTTGGTGATTGCTGCAATTATCAGTGTCATAGGAATCCAGGCTCTAGTTATACGTGACAGGAAAACGAAAAGACAACCCGACATTGAAAGTGAAGATTTGTCTACAAACCAGGAAAATTGACACTGACAACGACTTGATTTAAAGGAGCTATGGAAATCTTTTCAATTCTAACTAAAAAGTCTCCATGCAAGACTATGTTTCGACTCTAGCTACGTTCCCAGGAGCAGCAGGCATGACTGCACCTTCAGGCGGCTGGTTCTTTGCCTTGAACTCATCGGACATTTGTTCAAAAGTTACCCATTCCACGCCTTCGTGACTGTTAATGTATTCAATGATTCTGTGTGCTATTGGTTAGTTCACCATATGACTTTCAATTTTCAACCAGTGGAATATTGGGCATACCTTTCGTGCATGAGTAGGACGTGCGGTCGACCGGAAACATCAGGATGAATTGTCATCGGAAACACAAACTCATCATATTCTCGATAGAAGTAATCAAAGTGGTCCTATATTCATGTAGGTCAGCGAAAATTGGCCATTAAGGGGTGGTTTCACTCGCTAACAGACCTTCCAGATGTCTTCAACATCCCTAGGATTGACCCATCCATGGCTGTTGGCCGAGTTCTTGATGAACATCATTGGGGGAAGATCATCAATATACCAACTCCCCGGGATCTCGACCAGACCGGTTGTTTTCCCCCTCACCAACGGCTTCATCCACGTTTCCGCCTTTTGCTCATAGTTGATTTTTGTCCACGTATCTCCTGTTCGTAACCAATACATCTGACAATCTTCATGTGACATGGAGTGATCATACTCAATGCCATATTTTAGCAAAAGATCAACCATTTCCGCACTGGCTTCCCACCAAGGCGCCACAATGCCCCTCGGTGGCTTCCCACAGAAGTCCGTCAACATGTTGTAGGTTTTATCGAGAATATCACGCTGCTGTTCGGTGGATAGACTGGAAGGATTCTCGTGCGAATAGCCATGAAGGCCGATCTCATGTCCTGCATCTCGAACCATGGCACATTCTTCTGGAAATGTATCCAGGGAATGGCCAGGAATGAACCATGTTGCTTTGATATTATACTTCTCGAACAACTTCAAGACACGAGGGGTTCCAATGTGGCCGGCCCACAGACCTAGTAGCGATGAATATCGTGAGCACACAGTTTTAATTTCGTTACAGACATAATCGTACCTCGACTGATATCGCTAACACTGTCTTCGCCTCCATATGACCCGAGCCAACCGGCAACGGCATCAATATCGACACCATAGCCGACGAGAACACGCTTTTTGCCCATAGTGCTGGTTGTCAAATCGAGCGGAGAGACCGGGAAGACGTGGCGGGTAAGTTCAGAGCTGGAGAGGAAAACCAATTACTCCCCATCATTATCAGACACAAGGTGTCTTTATAAAGAGGCTTTCTCGTCTTTCCGCACAGTGCTCGTCATGTCATACCCCCATCGCTGAACGGGAAATTCAAAGATGGGGGTACTTCTCCCCCAAGCTCCACTAGCCTTTTGCTTCAAATTTCACATCCGAGGAGAGGGACCCTATCCCATTCATGATTGTTATCTTCTTCTGCTTCTTGAAAATGTTAGCCTTGACCCCCCATCTCCTTCCACCAGACGTTCCGAAAATTCGTTACATTCGAGTTGCGGGCGGAACCGAGATTGGAGAAAGAGAATTGAAGATTGACCAGAAGCGACCGAGGCCGATTTACCAAACCGACTGACTGAATGTCAATTTCGATCGGCCAAAATTTTGAGCCAACATCTTTTGTACATTTACAGTCAGGAGTCCATTCAGCGCTCGCGTCTCAATGTTCACCAAGGAAGAAGGTTGGTGGATCAAACATCACCCAGAAGAAGATTGACTAAAAAACACCCAGTTGCAAAGCACAAAACCCAAGATAGTTGCTGGGTAATACTGTATGGAAAGGTTTATGATGTGCGAAACCCCAATGCTGTCACATATTATTGGGCTGGCTAACTGTTAGAAGGTGACTGGCTTCTTGCAAGAGCATCCCGGGGGCGCCCAGGCGATTCTACGATGTGCTGGAAGGGACGCCACTGAGGAATTCGATCTGATTCATCCTGCTGAAACACTGAAGGATATTGAGTCAGCATATCTAGGGACGTCCGAGCCACAAGAGACTGAACACCTACCCCCGAACCTCAATCCAGAAGCCAAGATAAACCTCAGCGAACTGCTAAACTTGGATGAGATCGAAGATGCAGCAACAAAAGTGATGAGCAAGAAGGCATGGGCATACTATTATTCTGCCTCGGACGACAAGATATCGAAGCTTCTTAACACACAAGCCTACCGGTCAATTCTGCTCCGACCACGTATATTTGTGGACTGTCGAAATTGTGATCTTGACATGACAATCCTTGGTCACAAAGTTGGACTGCCCCTGTTTGTCAGCCCGACCGCTATGGCACGGCTGGGGCATTCCACAGGGGAGGCTGGAATTGCTCAAGGATGTCGCTCATTCAATGCGCTCCAGATTATCGCAAACAACTCCTCTGTCTCCCCTGAAGATGTTGTTTCCGGTGCAGCACCCACACAGGTGTTCGGATGGCAGTTATATGTACAGCTCAACAGAAAGTCTAGTGAGGACATGTTAGCGCGAGTCAATCGTCTTGATCAAATCAAGTTCATTGTCTTGACTCTGGATGCACCAGTCTCCGGGAAAAGAGAAGACGACGAGCGAGTAAACATTCAGGCTACCTCGTCGGGAAGCATTAGCACCCAGCTATTTGCTGGGACAGACCCGTCTCTCACTTGGTCAGATACTTTGAAGTGGCTATCGAGACATACCCAGAAGCCCGTGATCCTCAAGGGAATACAAACACACGAGGACGCACTTCTGGCAACTCAGTATGCCCCCTTTATCAAAGCGATCGTCCTCTCAAATCACGGAGGAAGATCGATCGATACAGCACCACCGGCTGTGCACACCCTCCTAGAGATCCACAAGTATTGTCCCAGTGTTTTCGATCAAGTCGAAGTATGGGTCGACGGTGGTGTTCGCCGGGGCACAGATGTCATCAAGGCGCTCTGTCTTGGAGCCAAATGTGTTGGAATAGGAAGACCGGCTCTGTGGGGTCTAGCTGCAGGTGGCGCAGAAGGCGTTGAGCGAGCATTGCAAAGTGAGTGAGTCTTGAAACATTAATAGCTTAGTACTAATCCTCATCTTGCAATAATTAGTCTTTTCCGACGAAATGAAAACGTGTATGCGCCTGCTTGGCGCACGAACCGTGGAAGAGCTTGGCCCTCATCATGTACGAATACCCATATGTCCCGGCTATGCCAATCTTACTGACGTTTATGCCAGATTAATGCAAGCATAGTGCAGCAGCAGATATATAGAGCCGGGACTCCTGGTGTGACAGAAGTTGCGAATTTGAAGGGAAAGCTTTGAAAATGCAGAAACTCCGGCCTTGTCGAACTCCTGAGTCGCCCAGAGATATTTAGATAGAAACTCATTGGCATGATGTACTCCGAGATGTGGGCGATTCTGTTGGAGATGTCGAGAGAAGGGAACGAGCGACGAGTCTGGCAGATTCGAAGATAGAAACGAAGGAGAGAAGGTGAAGAGGAGAATACCTCAGAATGAGAAGGATGCTCAAGTGCACGCTTACGGGTCTGACGACCTAAGGCATCAACACAACAATGTGCAGTCCAAAGCCTTGGATCCCAATATAATAGCACACAAAAACTTCACTCTCACCCTCTGGTATTTCAAAAATTCTGCCCAATCCTATTAAATTGAGTAAATCATCCTCTGAATCTCATTTGGGGATTTTTATCATGTACTTATGCCTACCCCTGAACTCGCATGTTGCCGTGGAGACATGTTGAAGACAAAGTTAAGATACAGAGCTAGGACCTTAAGTGATGGATGTGCGGAAAATGTGTGGCTTTCTCCCATTTGAGCTAACGGCAAGATACATTTGTGACCACATTCCAAAGTTCTTCACATCCCGGGATTCCTGGGCAAATTACACTTGAAGATACTGTATCATCTAGTACAACCAAAGGTAAAACAAAGAGAAACGATACTACCAAGGCCCAATATCTCCAGGGCCTGTCTGTACACTACACTAAAGCGCATCATGTCCATGTGTCTCGAATGGTAAACCCAGACAGAAAACTCCGACGGCAACCCACAATGCAGCGCTAGCATAAATTGGCGCACTTGTGAAGCCAGTCTGAGATGAAATGAGACTAGCGATCAGTCCTCCCAGCCGAAGAAGCGCAGCCGCTGTACCAGAGCCCGTGCCGCGATGTGGCGCTGGGAATGATTCGGGAGTAAAGGCATACATGATGGCATATTCTGGCATTGTTAGTTTTGCGAGTGCTAAATGTAACACAAGGTCATACCAAAGTTTGCCAGTAGGCTAGTGATGCACGAAAAGGCCAAGTCGGCAGATGAGCTATTGACACCAACATATGCAAACAGAAAGACCGCGGTGACCACTGCCGAAGTTCCCATCATCCAACGCCGGCCTAGGCGAGTGTTGACACCTACCGCAGCCGACAACGGACCCACAATTCCGACAGCAGATGTTATGCAGTAATTGCGATATGTCAGGTAGAGGGAAGAGCTTTCTGTGAACTTGGTCGCCAAATATGAAGGCAAGAAGGCGAAGAACAAGGGGTAAGCAATACCTAGAAGTATTCAAGTTAGTTTTTGATTGGAGTTCCTGGAGATATCCATGGATAACTCACCAACTGTCAGCCAGATCAACCAAATAATGAGCGTCTGCCTCCCTAATCTTCGAGTCGCAAACAACGCGCGATAATGTTCACCGCGAAAGGCCTGCATGTTTTCCTTCACTATCTCCTTGGTAGACATTCGCGTGACTCCAGCCTCACCTTCGATTTCATTGCCCAGTCGAGCATCTATATCACGAAGCATTCCAATGGTAAGGGGTTCGGGCTTTCCGTTCTGACGGGCAACATGATTGACGGCATCGACTGCATCTTGATCTCTTCCTTGGGAGAGCAGGTATCTGGGTGTCTCAGGAAGCTTGAATACAAAGATGCGAACGAAAGTGAACATTAGCGCAAGACCTCCTAGGGTGATCAAAGTATATCTCCTGAAGTTGAGTGTTAGCGCAGAAAACAGAATTCTGCTCCAGCGAGCCATGAGCTCCTACCATCCCATATTCTGACTGCGTGAGCACGTATCCGGGGTGGCATCGGTCGGGCAGCTGAAGTTGGCCAAGAAGACCCATGCTATCAGTGAAACGATAAGTTGACTCAAGTTCCACCATGCTGAAAGAGCAGTAAGAAGATATTGATGACTGTAGTTGTCAGAAAGATTTCGATGTTGAGTTGTCTTAAATAGCTTACCTGCCCGGAACGAACTCCAAAAATATCATGGAGTCAACAGGGACATTTCCACCTGCAGCGGTGCCAATCACAGCCCAAAGTGCGCTGAACGCCACGAAATTCATTGAGCCAGCAGCAGCACATAGAAACACCCCGGCGATTAGCAGAGTGCAGTTGAATGCTGGCTTGCGCCCGACAAGGTCGCTAGACAAACCCCAGAACGAGGCACCCAGGATCAAGCCCACATAGTACGCAACGGAGCTGTAGCTGACTTGCACTATGCCCGAAAACTCTTGCTTTATAGGAGGCTGGACACTTCCAATACCCTGAGATGCAAACTGCTGGTGGTTTAGTTGCGGTATGTTTGACAGGAAGATTATTGCACATACATTGTCGACTATCCATCCGAAGCCAGTCACAACAAAAAGCTTCCATTGAAACCTGATAAATTGAGCATCGAATTCATGCAGTAGGAGTCAGGTAGCACATACCATCCCATCCCAATATCTTCCATACACTTCCCGACAAGCTCAGATTTCATACGATATGCTCTGGTCGTCGAAGATCCGTAGAATGTATCGACTTCAAGATCATCAATCGTCGCTAACTTTCCGGCATCTTCATCAAGCGCAGGACTCCCTGGTGTCGCGGCATCTTTCTTGTTGTCTTGGATCTCGTCCATATCGAAATCGCTCGGTTGGTAAGATAATTGCGATTCTCATTGCAGACAGGCTGGTTCAAATGGGTGTCGAATTTAGGGCTACGAGCAGCTGGCCAGCGTACTTCCGTTATCCCAACACAAAATACAAAGCTATGATTTCTGTCAAAAGTGGGAGGATAGATGATATGCCATCCCACTTTTGGTATGCCATTGACTATGACCTCACCTCCATCTTGGCTAGGGTCCAGATCAAGTCGAGAAAACAACAGGCGAGTCAATTCTAATGTCGTTTTCTTGCAATGTCTCTTGAGATAAATCATGAATTTGGTTGCCTTCGACGTGTATTATGCGAATATGATCTCTACTTGTAAAGGTGTTGAGGAGCTGTATCCTATTTTAATCATTTTAAGAGCAGGGCAGCCAATTGCAAGGAAATATTCTGAGTTTGATTGTGATCAACTAGATCTACGCACTAGCAGCAGCGACGGTAGGCAAAGTAGGCAGAAGCTCTGGTTTCGGAGACTTCATTTCCTGTTTGTAACTCTCGGCGCGGCCATAACTCTCCTTGTAAGAAGCCGTCACCATGTCCTGCACCGTGATCGGGCCATACTTGGGCGACTCCCCCTCCTCACGGCAATTAGGTAGACACTCGCAGATATAATCAGGGTTTCCGCTGAAGAAGAAGGGGATCGAATATCTTTCGCGGCCTGACTTGTTGATCACACGATGGGTATTCGATTTGTACTTGTCATTTGCCATGCGCATGAAGAGATTGCCTAAGTTCACAACGTAGGCACCCGGAACTGGCTTGACCTGTGTTTTGTTATGTTAACCATATTTCTCAAATGAATCTACACGAGGAAAGCACTTACATCAAGCCATTGGCCCGTGGGCGCGTCCAAGACTTGAAGCCCGTCCACCTCATCCTGCAGCAGGAGAGTGATGCATCCAAAATCGGTATGAGCTCCGATCCCACGGTTGAGCTTCTCGTCTGTATCTTCTGGTTGAGCCGGGTAATGCAGGTATCTCATTGTAGCGACGGCCCCATCCGTGAGAGGGTCGAAAAAGGTCGACTCGACCCCCAATGTCTGAGCCAGAACACCCAAAACATCTTTGGCCAACTCGAAAACTGCATGGTAGTATTCCATTGTTGTTTCCTGGAATTCATCCTTGTCCGAGACGGTTTGTGGCCACTGATTGGGGCCGCTGTTCAACTTCTTTTTCAGATAGTATGGATGATCTTTGGGGATCTCTTCGCCAATGTACAGGCCTTCCTTTAACTCAGGGCCGGTGCCCACTTCTAACATTTGCGACCGTAGAAGTTCATAGCCTCTGTTGAAGGTGTTGCGATCTTTCTGGTTAGTCAAGGTTATACATCATGGAATCGCATCTTACTTTTATCGATCTGCAATTTCTCTTCCAACGGCAGATCAAAAAAGCGCCTTGAGCACTCCATCACACGCCGCTGCAAGTCCGCCGCCACGCGATGGCCGGTGATCTGGAAAAAGCCGTTGTAATGACAACATTTGCGAATCTCCTCAATCAATTGGGACTTTGCGTCGCTATCACCAGCGTAAAATGAAGAAAAGTCCAAGATTGGAGGAGCCGAAGGAGCAGACATTGTGTGTGTCTAGTTGGTGGATGATACTGAGTGTTCGGGGTAGCTCTGTGAATCGACAGGAGGACTTGGGGAGGGATTGAATCTCCAGATTGCTCGAATATATTGCCTCTAGGTAAAGCAAGATTAACCCAACAAATTTTCAATTTCGCAAAGAACCCCGAGCTGCTTCGGAGATTTCAAGCGCTTCACAATGCTGCCGAGCCCATGAGGCCTCTGGGGCCGGAGACAGGGCGGATCCAAAAGTGGGGGTAAACGTTTGATCCCGCTCTGATAAGATCGTGCGGGGAATATCAAAAGAGTCAGTGTATCGGCAGATAGGAGGCTTGGCCATATCTTCCAGCTCTGGAGGCATGCTGCTGTGTTGCAGGCGAGGTATGCAAGGGGGGTTGAAATCTGGGGAGTCTTGCCAGATTTTAAAAGGAACACGACAACTGTTGGCAACCTAGGAATCGTCGCTCCTACCATGGCTGGATCCGAAGTACACCGGGGCGAAGTGCCTGATTTTGAAGTAAACATGGGTGAGAGCGCGTACCGCGACGCCGGGGCAGAGAAGTCATATGTCAGAAAAATCGATTTTATTGTGCTCCCCCTGCTCTGTCTGGTAGGTCAAACCCCCAGATTCAAAGATATCGGTGCTTCAAACTCGCTGACCTTCTGGCCGCTTCTTGTAGATGTATTTTTTTGATTGTATGGACAGAGTGGGTGATCGTCTTACTGTTACCGAGAAGTCGGTAAATGCTGACGATAATAGAGTAACCTAGCAAATGCTAAAACAGATGGACTAGACGAAGATTTGAACCTCAAGGGAAATGACTACTCTCTTTTAATCCTTCTCTTCTACATTCCCTTTGGCTTATTTGATTTGCCATGGAATCTTTTGATAAAACGGTTCTCAGGCCGACTGATGCTGTCGTTCAGTAAGGATTTCCTAACTTCATTCACGTGTCGATCTAACATGCCTTCAAACAGTGTCCATTGTTTGGGGAGTTCTAGCTCTTTGTCAATGCGCCGCCAAGAACTTCGGATCTTTATTGGCGATCAGAATTATCCTGGGAGTTTTTGAGGCCGGGTTCTTCGCAGGGGCAACCTTTTACCTCACTTTGTTTTATACGCGTGGAGAAATGGGCTTTCGATTGGCTATCATGCAGTCTTTTGCCGTGTTGGCGTCCGCTTTTAGCGGGTTGATATCGTTTGGAGTATTTCAAATCAATGACCCGGCAGTCAAAGGATGGCAATGGCTATTCATTATTGAGGGATCGATGACTTTGATAACTGGTGTTGTCGGTTTCTTCTTGTTACCCGACAGCGTACCAAAAGCTTGGTTCTTGGATGAAAGGGAAAAAGCGGCAGCTACCGCACGTCTTCTTCGTGACACTTCGTCGGAAGTCGATACTGGATTTGACCTGAAGGCATGCTTCGAGACTTGGAACGATTGGAAATTCCCGGTGTGGTGCTTGATCACGTTCACATATCCTGTTGCATATGCTACCGCGATGAATTTCTTTCCACTTGTGAGTGAAGTCTTCTGTTCATGGACTACCACTAACAATTTCAGATCGTGCAGCGATTGGGCTATTCGGTTGTTAAGACCAACCTTTGGACTGTCGCCCCTAACCTTGTTGGAGCGATATTTCTTCTCTGCGTGGCTAAATCATCTGATTATTTTCGTGAGAGAACTTTCCACATTGTGTTCTCCTTGACTGTTTCATTGATCGGAATGATCGTATTGGCCAGTATCAATGTCGAGGGACATAAAGGTATTGCCTATTTTGCCTGCTTCCTTATGGCGGCAGGATCATACATCCCATCTTGTTTAGTGCATGCGTGGCACAATAACAATAATGTCCACGAGAACTCACGAGCAGCAAATACGGGGTTCTTCGTGGGACTTGGAAACCTAGCAGGTGTCCTGAGCGCTGGAACATTCCGCACTCAATATGCTCCAAAGTGAGAACTCCCAACAGAGATACGTCGCGTAGAATACTTTGCTGACTGAAAAGATATCTTCCAACCCTCATTGCAACATGCTGTTGCAATGCAGTCTGCATTGTTCTTGTCTCGGGGCTGGGCAGCTGGATGCGCATGGAGAATCATCGTCGGGACCGAAAACAAGGTCTAGCACTCGGTGAGAGTCAGATTGATACCAGTCGTTTCAAAGATGGCGAGAAGAGCCCCGAGTGGAGATACTTTCCATGAATTCCACAAGTTATTCCTGCTCTATATTGGCCTACTGCTACATAATTCAAAGAGAAACGACCATATTGCCCAGGTGCTACTCAGTCGAGTTTAGTGGATATAAAGAAGGGTAAAAATATTGAATTGAGACTACCAGGTTAAGATTCTCGTAAAGAACACCTAGGTAATTTGAATAAATGAAATAGCTGAATTGAATTCTTCCACGTTGCCTTTTTCTCCAGTCATATCTCAGCTGGCCGCAGCCAGAAATCAAGTCGGAGCAAATGTCTCAAGATCTCATAAAGTAACTCTCTTGTGCCGTTCTCTCACAGGGGCAAAGGCCATGATCACTGGAGAAGAGATGAAGATCGCAATATCAATGGGGGGGAATTGGCAGTCTCTTCACTCCACGAAGCATTAGGTTTGCTTTGATTCCAGCATCAGTGAGCAGCCACTCTCGAACCCATTCCGGCAAGCTTTCCTCGCATGGTGACTCGGGGATAAAGGTCCGCACTTGTTCAAGGAACTCCCCAATTGATGTAGTGATTTGTTTCATTTCAGCGCGAGACTTCTTGGTCTGGAGAATTGCAGCTGTAAGGTATTGGCGGGGTCTCTCGAAGGTTTCAAAACGACAGGGTTGGTGGAACGTGTCGTACAGATCCCAGCTTACTACACTCTGCAGGCGCTTGCAGGTATCAGCAGGTCGTTCGCCCAGATGCTCAGCTCGGGTTGGGTTCCAGAGCATGCAGATCTGGTTGTTAGGTAGTGGGAGGTGAAATAGTTCAACGAGTTGGTCGGTAAACAGTGCAGCTTCCCACTCGGATTCGATGATGCTTGCAAACCAAGACTCGCAGTGCGTGTGGAGATTTTGGGTGTAGTATTCTTTCAGATGACGACCGAATAGTGGCATGTTCTCCTTTTTCCAGTCACCGGGGCGGCAAACAAGATAGAAGAGAATGACCATGTCCTTCACACGGCCATGCTGGATGTGGGAGGTCATCTCCTCAACGATCGGGTTGACGGGGGGTTTCTTCGAGCAAATCAAATTGGAAGCTGTCATGTTTGGCTTTGGGACTTCCGGCATGATTTCAATTGAGGTAGCAGCGGATTCGACTGGGACGTCGTCCGGATGGACTTCGTTCACGAGAGGCGAGCTCTTGAATGGAATTGTGGATGATCGCAACATTGTCAGCGAGAGAATATGGCTGGAGTATCGCGAAATCATCTAATACGCGGTCAATACGCGGTCAATGGTTTGTCATTACCCACGGATGCCCAGGTCAACCGGTGGGAGGTCGCCGCTGCTTAATGTGGAAGGTGATATCACTCGTACCTTGGAAGATAACCTCGGGAAGTATGCCGGGGCGATATGCCCGAAAAAGTTTGTAAGATAAGCAGACGCAGAAGACTGATAGAGTAAGTGAAATTGAGAGTGTGCGAGAAAGTAAGAAAAGGAAGGAGAGAAGGAAGAGAAATAGAGGGAGATATATAGGTTTGGAGTTGGGGCTAGGGCTACCCTCACCTCAATAGAACAACAGTCAATAAAGCAATTGTCAATAGAACAATCACATATTCAAGTGCAACAATCATCAATAGAACAATCAAGGAGCTACCTCAATGCAGACATGAGATAATTTCAACCAATGAGGAGGCCTACATGGGACAAGTGCAAACTGTCGTATGGGCTCGACAATAGAAGATACCTGTACACGTAGACTTGGTCCAGGGCCTTTGAGATACTTGTGGCAAGAGTTTCTCCAAATGTAAGCGCGTAATCAGGCCCCAGGGGAGTGAGAGCCATGGCCGTGCCTCTCCATATCCAAACTGGTGAGCTGTGCTGAGCTCTTTCCAAGGGTTTTGAGTGCGTGTTCCAAGGTTCAGTTCAAGCGTTTGACTTGGGATATCTGGACGCTGCAACCTGTGGACGTTCCAAGGTTGCTATCCATGATTTAGCTGGAAAGTCAAATCTTCATGATGCCCTGCCCGGATGTCCAGTTGAGATTCTGACGCCCACTTTCTGAAGTTGCCATTGAGGTCAGCTACATATCTTTCACGAAATGTCCTGTCAAAACTCGGACCAGAGCTTTGGCATACTTGGGTAAATGCTCTTGGGGCCATTCTATCTAACATCTCTCAGGTTGTGTTAAACCAAGTCCACTACCACAGGGACCTCAGGCTCCAGGGACAGATAAGTAGCACCTGCTCAAGTGGGCATGAAGCTTCAAATGTTCGCGATCGTGTGCCCAAGTAGAGACATCTTACCTCTTTTCCTTTATGTGCATCAATAACTCTTTACTTAAGTAGTTTGTATCTAGCCCTATTTAACTTTAGAAACAGAGTTTCAAGATTTTGTGCTATGTACTCAAGTACTTAAGTAGGGCTTCGGGAGTTCAACTTTTAGGTTGCTGCTCAAGTGACTGTTGATCTATAGATGTTGTCACTGAAAAGAAAAGCCACACCTGCAGCCGGTCTAAATATATCTTTAGATGTGTGCTCCATCCATTCAGACTCGAGAACAATCGTGGGTTGTTTCAATGGATTGAACATTATATATGCGAATACCGTGGTGGTGGCTTCAGATACCCTCTGTATAAACTTAGAAGGTGCTACTTAAGTATGTAGTCCGGATTTTTCAACGATGTGGATTCCACCGATCACCTAAGTATTGGCTTGATATACCTCTAGAGCTGCAAATTAACAACAACTTGTAACTACAGGGCTACCAGATATCTACCATTATAGTTGACAACATAGATCGGAAGTGGTTGGAGTCGATTGGCGAATTCAGGAGTCCTCTCATGAACCGTGAGCCCTTGGTGGCGTCCGTGGGTGTTTTCTCAAGGGATCCGTAAGCACAGACTTCGCACTTCGGGATTGACCTTGAACAGAGCTTTCAACTATACAATGCGAAGAGGAAGGGTACAGAAGTATCTATTATCAATATCTAATGTGAGACATGATGGCATGGTCCATGGGTATAGTAGGTGAGACCTCAGGAGACATTGTGCTTCTAAGTTGTCTTCAGGGCTGAGAGGCGTAGTCTAGTTACACCGAGCGAAATTAAAGGCGCTAAAGGATGAAGTGACATCCCCTGAGGGCATTCTGGACTCGTGGGTCTGATCTCAATGTTGTCTATCCACATTTCGGCAATTGTTCGACCGTCTCAAATGATTCCGGAGAATTTTTCGTACTATACCAGGGTCGAGACTGATTTTAATGTTTGTTGAATACGATGGCACATTTGGTTTGAATGAAGATCCCATCAAGAAATTATGCCGATTTTATGGTGTTATTAACTTTAGAAGAACAACCAAGACTCTCCGTGAAGGAAGTTCGGGGGGTCCGGGAACAAGATCTAGCAATCTCGAGGAAGTACTTAAGTAGCCCGTACGGACTAAAGAGTATTCTGTGTACTGAAGTATGCTTTCTAATTCCAGAGGCTAAACACAAGTGGGATACACACACTCTTTGTGGTAAATTGTATACAACACACACTCAGGTTTAAACAAAGACATCGCCGATCCTTCAACGGTCCCCCTGCTTAGGAGTGGGCCTTGTCACCCGAGATTAAATTGCCAAGTCAAAAATGCTGACAGAAATTTGACATTTCAGTTCTGAATTTTGAGTGCAATTTCCCCCCATTTATGGTTCAGTATCCAGTATGGACATGTTGATGAACCAAACGCAATAACCCAACTTTTAAGTCATCCCCTATCACCGATATCCAGAGTCGAGTGCACGAAACTCGCATCCCACTCCCAGCTCTAGACCAAGATCGCGGTCAGTTGATGTGGAGCCTCGGCACAAGGAGGTTTTACTAGATTGGTCTGGCTGGGCCGTCTTTGGCCACGATTAGGCTTTAAGTGGAAGTGAGTGCGCGGCGATCGACATCCGAGTGTGGTGCTTGGTTCACCATGAGAGGAGGATTTGGCCGTTCAGCCTTCCATTGGCGCGGAGGATCAGGTACAATGAACCAGGGTATGTACGAGTGCACTGAGCCTTAACTAAAGGACGAGCTGAAACGAACGTGTTCTTATTAGCGGAGTGGAGTCCTTTCAGGAGATCTAGCGTATGAAATAGTTGCCATAGCCTGGATGGGCGGACAACAGGTAAGGCAAGACGCTATTGAACCATGTGTTCGGAGTATTTAAGGGATGAAGATAGGCTGGTTAGGCTGGTATAGGGCGCTGGTGAGGTTCAAAGGATACCAGAATCGAAACCATAATATTCGATATGGAGTACTCTGGCCAAAAGAAGAGTGAAAGTAAGACTATGGAGTACGAAGTAGTACTCGGTACTCATAGGGAGTGTACTCGTATGCAAAGTGTCTGGAGATGCCCCTGAACCAGCCAGCCAACTCCCTCGCTTGGGTCCCATCTCTCCTTCATCTTAATCTCCCAACGCTAAACCCCTTCTAGTCGGTGCACGTCCAATTTCTCCAGACCTGCATCTTCTTATTATTTCACCTCCCTACTTTCTATCGTTACATTGTTCTGGAGTACTGCAGGTACGTGTTTCGTGTGTTTTTATTTTATTTTCATTGTATATTTTTTTTGAGGCTCTTTTGGGGGATTGTTACCAACGCTTTCTTGTTAGACACAACTCCTATCTGGCGCCTCATGAATACCGACTTCCGTCTTCTTTGAATTCCTGAGTTTCTATTCCACCTGGCGTGGTTAGAATGACCGCCTCACCGCCAGCGTCACCGACGGGCGCGACCCCGCGGCCCATCAGTGCTGTCATGCGCACTCCACGCAGTACCAGTCGCCTCAGCATGAGCAGCAGACAAGGGAGTCGTGCATCAGACGAGGTTGGCAAGACTGCAGTCAAAGTTGGTATGTGTCCCCCGCCACCCAGACCGCAACTAAATGCAGTTCACTGACTTTGCGCAGCTGTCCGTGTACGACCACCATTGAAACCCACCGACCCCGGCTACGATTTAGTTCCCCAGCGATTCCAGCGTTCGATGGTCCAATCGGTCGATTCCAATAATCTGTCTGTTGATGTGCCTAATGCCCAGAAGTGGTTTACCTTTGACCGCATTTTCCCCGAAACGACTGAGCAGGAGGGCATCTGGGAATATGTGAGCGATAGTTTGACCTCGTTTCTTCAAGGATATAATGTCTCGATCATGGCATATGGCCAGTCTGGTGCTGGAAAGTCCTTTACCATGGGTACCTCGGGCCCCAATGAGCAGATTGCGCAAAATATGGGTGAGTTTGAAATCCCCTTGTTTACCCAGCAAGGACTGACCGCGGTGTTTATTTAGGTATTATTCCCCGGGCCGCACAGGTCTTGTTCGATAAATTAGACGGTCCCCCTAAACACAACAGAAATAGCTCGACTGCCACCGGCTTGCGAACACCCCAGCGATACTCTATGAGCTCGGCTGCAAGCTTTGGAAAATCGCACCAAGAGAAAGAGAAGACCTGGCAGCTGAAAGCGACCTATGTCGAGGTGCGCTCGTGACCCCCGCTGCCGGTATACCAAAAGATTGTATCTGACGATGAATACAGATTTACAACGAGCATCTGAGAGACCTACTGCTCCCGGATTCAACCCCCGCGAGTGACCGGAGCAACGTGACAATCCGAGAAGATACCAAGGGTCGCATCATCTTGACCGGCCTGCACCAAGTCGAGATTAATTCTTTCGACGACCTGATCGGCGTCTTGAACTTTGGATCCGCCATCCGACAGACAGATTCCACCGCAATCAACGCCAAATCGTCTCGGTCGCACGCCGTCTTTAGTTTAAACTTGGTCCAACGCAAGACCACGGGGGCTCCAGCAACTCCTACACCGAAGGAGAAGCGCATGTCTATGCCCGCTGATTCCTTCAACTCCGGCGACTCAATTACTGTGGATAGCAAGCTGCATTTTGTTGATTTAGCGGGAAGCGAACGGCTGAAGAACACCGGAGCGTCTGGTGAACGTGCTAGAGAGGGAATTTCCATCAACGCTGGTCTAGCAGCCCTTGGAAAAGTCATCTCGCAACTTTCAAAGCACCAGGGTTCCCACGTTTCTTACCGTGATTCTAAACTCACCCGACTCCTCCAGGATTCCCTTGGTGGGAACGCCTATACCTACATGATTGCTTGCGTGACTCCGGCAGAGTTCCACCTTAGTGAGACTCTGAACACCCTCGAATATGCTCAGCGTGCTAGGAAAATCCAAAGCAAGCCGCGGATTCAACAAACCAGCGACGATGGTGACAAGCAAGCTTTGATTGACCGGTTGAAGACGGAGGTGGCTTTCTTGCGTCAACAAATTCGCAGCAGTGAAGCAACGGAACGAAGGGAAGGTGCATACAATGATCGCAGCGAGCGCAAGCACGAGCGTGAAAAGCATCTTCAGAATCAGCTGCTGGATGTTCAGGAGAGCTACAACTCTCTTAGCCAGCGTCATGCTAAGCTTATCTCAACCATGGCCACTGACTCGGAATCGCACCCCAACGGCGAGGTTGACGAAGCTACATCGGAGATTGGTAAGAGCTCCGTAGAGAGGATGCAGCGTTCTAAGTCTTTCGCCGAGTCTGTGGAGCAGATGGTATTGGAGTATGAAAAGACTATCCAGAGTCTAGAAGCATCACTTTCCGACACTCGCTCGTCCTTATCAGCCACCGAGAGCGATCTGCTTGAGCGGGAGACCAAGTGTGCTTACATTGAGACTGTGAGGGAGCAGCTCCAGTCCCGCGTCCAAAAGCTACTTGATAGAGAAGCTAGCACGGAGAGTTATCTTCATGAGCTTGAGTCCAGGCTCGACGGACACTCTGGCGGCGAAGAAAAACATGCTGCGATTGTTGCTGAGCTTCGCAAGGAGCTCAGCCGTGCCCGCGACAGCGAGGCTAGCTGCGAGGAGTACATTTCCACCCTCGAAGAACGCCTTGCTGAGGGCGACCAGGACATGGAGTTGATGCAACGTGAAGTGATGAGATTGGAACACGTGATTGAACGTCAGCGAGGCCTTGGCCAACTAGACACTCTGCTCAGCCAGTTAGATCAGCATGGCGGGTCGGATGTTAACGGGAACCATTCCCAGTACCAACAGACCAGAGGCGTGCAGTCTGGTCATAAGCACACACCTTCCCTAGATGTTCTCAATGAGGCAGCAGAGACAGCTATCCCGGAGTCTGATGAGGATCTCGTTGGGCCTATTATGGAGGTTGAAGGCGAGTCTTCTGTACATTCAGACTCAGACACTGATGTGGACGGTGAAGACCTGAAGGTTTTGGAATCCGCGACAAACAGGCTAGAAGCTCGCCGCTCTGAGGCTGTCTACGAGGATCCCATCTCAAGCCCTGCGCAGTCCAAATTCGTTGCCGACAAGCTGGAGACAGTCACCCAGGAGCTCTTTGATCTGCGCTTACAGCATGAGAACACTGTGGGAGACTTTGAGATCCTCGAGTCCAAGTATGAGCAGGCCCTCAAAGCCCTCGCCGAGCTTCGCCAGGACAAGATTGACGAAGCCCGCCACCCAGCACCCCTTCAAACCGAACTTTCGCCACGCCCTGTGTCTTTTTTAGACAATGGAGGCACTCCGATTTCCAAGTCTGGAGCACAACATTCATTCTCGCAATCACTCTCCTCGGAATTATCCTCGGCCGGGGAACCATCTACCTTGCGCGAATCCTCTGAGGACGGTTCCAAGATAGTTTCCTCCGCCCCTTCCACCCCGCAGGTGCTTTCCGCCGGCCATGTGGACCCTGAGGAGTCAGAGAACATGCGCAAGATGCTTGCCGAGCATCAAGAGAGCGCCGAACTCATGACTGAAAAGTACAATGAGTTGCAGGCCGAGCACGAGGAGATTCTTGTTCTGGTAGAGAGGCTGAAGGCTGAAGCTCAACGTGCCAAGTCAAGCTCCCCGCCCTCTACTCCCGGATTCAAGATGATTCGTCGCGTGACTAGCCAGAATCTGCTATCTGGCGTGGACCGCGCCACTCGTGCCCTAACCGGTCTGAGACTCATTGCTACCGAAGAATTTGCCGAGAAGCCAGATGCCATGCACAATTTCGATTACCACTTGGATCAAACCATGCACGAGTTGCAAAGTCGTATGGAGCGCCTCCAATCCCTCGAGTCTGAGAACCAAGGTGTGAAGAAAGAAATGGAGATGAAAGCTACTATTATCTCTGGTCTGACTAGGGAGCGATCTAGTTTGACCGGTGCCTCGCCTGTGGACATGGCGCTGGTTTCCCAGCTGCGCGATCAGGTCGTTTCCCAAGAGGTGCAGATTAACCAGCTTCATCAAGCTCACGAGGACCGCCAGAAGGAGCTGATGGCTGAGATTGAGACTTTGAAGGGTCTTTTGAAGTCGCAGGAGAGCGCTACTCGGGCGATGGATGCTGGTGCCGAGGAACAGGACAAGAAAATCGGTCATCTGCAGGGTGAGCTCATCGAATGGCAAGACAAGCACCAGAGCGCTTTGGTGTCCCTGCAGTCCTCAGAGACGCAGCTTACAAGTACTCTCGCTGAACTGGAAAGTGCTCTGGCTTCCGTCGAGACGATGCGATCTGAGCGTGCGGCTGCCGGCGGTGAGTCTTCCGATAGGGAGGCTGCTGCACGGGAGCTCGAAGGTGGCCGTGCTGAGCAGCAGGATCTTGTGGAAAGCTTGAAGAAGGACATCGAAGGCCACAAAGCTACCATTGCTACCCAGCTTACAACTATTGCCGGTCTAGAAAAGTCTCACTCTGATGCCCAGGGTGAACTAGCTGCTCAGACTACCACCGAAGAAGCAACCAATGCTGGTGCCGTTGACTTGGGTCTCACTTCGAGGGTTTCCGAACTTGAACAGGAGATTTCCACCCACAAGTTGACTCTTGGCTCTCGTCAAGATGAGTTGGATACCCTCCAGGAATCTCACAAGCGTGAACTAGCTGAGCTAGAGGAACGCACCAAGGCTGCAGCCCAGGCTGATCACGATGCGCGCGTTGCTGAGAAGGACGCTGAGCATGAGCAATCCATGGCTACTTTGCAGAAGGACATCGCGGAATCTCGTGATGAATTAGTCAAGCTGCTGCAGGCTGTATCCGCCATTCTGAACTCCGAGGTCTCCGCTGAGACCTTGACAGATCAGATCCAGGATGTGTTGGCCCAGAAGCAGAACTTCTCGGACAAATATTCCGAGCTTCTGGACACCAATGAAGATCTTCGCAAGCGACTTGAAGCCAATGGCGAATCCGACAGCCGTTTGGAAGAGCTGACTAAGAAGAATACTGTCCAAGACGCCAAGGTTAATGAGCTGGCTCTCCTGGTGGCTACACTAGAGGATACTCTGCGCCAAAAGGACGAGCAGGTCAAGAAGAAGGAAGCCCTGGTCGAGGAGATCACGATTGAGAAACAAAAGAGCGTGCGTCTCGTCGAGGAATTGGAAGAACAAATCACCAGCAGCTTCGACCAGCACCACAACCGACTATCTGTCATCCAGCAAGAGCGTGATCAAGCCCTGGAAGACGCCAAAGCTAAGATCGTCATCTACGAAGGCGACATTGAAACCTATCAAGTACGGATCGAGCAGCTGGAGCTCCAGATCAAGAACACCGGCACAGGCACATCTGATGGCTCCCACGACCGCAGTAGCTCCCTCACATCCAACCTCCGCAAGAGCTCGTCAGCCGCTTCCCTCCCATCGCCCCCGCCAGCGATCCCACTCCCACCCCTCCCAACCATTGCTTCCCAATCCAACGGCTCATCTAGCGTATCCCCACCTAGCTCCCGCCACGCCAGCAAAGAGATTGTCAATGCCCAAATAGCCGAGGACCAAGAAGCTCGCATCCGAACAATCGAAAAACATCTTTATGCCGAAAAGCAGCTCACCGCTACCTTGGAAGAAGCGCTTGGCGACCTCGAGGCGCAAAGCAGCAAAGTCAAGAGTGACTGCGAAGCATGGAAAAAGAAAGCCTGGGGCTTTGAAGATGAGCTCAACTCTCTCCGGAAGGAGCGCAGCTCTGCTCGTCTTTCTCTCCAAGCCGTTGAAGAAGAGCGCAACGCTCGTCGCGAGGCTGAAGCTGCTCGTGCTCAACTGGAAGAACGCATGCTTGCCCTTAATAAGAAGAAGAAGAAGAGTACTCTGAACTGCTTCTAAACTTGTCCTTTGGCTCATGAAAAGCGATTTCTTCGTTTTTCTTCTTCCCTGTTCTTCTCCTGTTTAACGTTTTTTGTCCTTTTTTTTTTTCTTTTCTCTGACACTTTTTTTCCTTACCCTGTTCCATACCCTTTTGCCCATTTCCCTGTATTATGAGCTTTCACGTCTACCCCTGTCAATTTTCGAACATCAACGTCAATATCTTGTGCTATAGTCCCCTCACAATTGTCTCTACTTTATCCCCACATATTTTCTTCTCATTCTACTCATGATAATCTCATGTCTTGGATATTTGTTTCTCGATATGAATCTTGTACAATCCGTCGCTTGTCTAGATTGATTTACGTTACGCTGGGTGGAAAATTGGTGTTGTTTTAGCTTGTTTGTTGAAATTCATATGGAGGTCCTTGTATTGCGACTACACTTTGTAACTGTGAATATGCTCTCTAGTACGAAGTACCTGCCGGCTAAATGTAATTGTCATCATAGCTTCCACGTCGACCAGTTGACCTCTTCCCAGAACAGCCATGCCTATAAACTAGGAACCCTTCAACCCTCCAGCTCCATGGTTGTCACTTCAAACACAGTAAAACCCGCAGTAGAAGTCACCGGCAGAAAATTATTTCAGTCGTCGGTGAATTTCAGGGCTTGAAAGGAAGGTACAAGGATCAGCCTTGTTTTTATGCTATTGCTTAAGTACCCCTTAATGAGTCTTTGACATAGCAATACTATAACCTCAGAGCTTATATGATATCTCTCCCGTTAATGAGCTAAATCTAATGCATTGATTACAAAATAGCTAGACAGGTCCTAATCTCAAAAATGCTAAAGAATGTCCGCATCACATGACGCGTATACCCCACGTGTCTTCATAGCTAAGCTACGTAGTTCCATCAACACCCCAAACACTCAACATGAGCCTCCAGCGCTCCAATGTGACCATAATCCACCCGGACCTGGGTATTGGTGGCGCAGAGCGGCTGATCATTGACGTCGCTCTAGCCCTACAGAACCGAGGCCACCGCGTAACGATCTACACTTCCCACCGCGATAAGACACACTGTTTCGACGAAGCACGCGATGGCACGCTGGACGTCCGCGTGCGCGGAAACACAATATTCCCCGCCCATGTCTGCGGCCGCCTACACATCCTTATGGCAGCACTGCGCCAGCTCCACCTGACAGTTTCATTGCTTAGCGAGCTCGGTTCATCGACAGACAAAGCGGACGACCGAGACGAGATCTTCATCGTGGACCAGTTATCGGCCTGCGTGCCATTCTTAAAATCCTTCGGCCGCCCGCGCGAATCCCGACGCCAGCGCATCTTATTCTACTGCCATTTCCCGGACCAATTGCTTGCGCGCCGAGATGAGGGCGGCTCCCTTCTTCGTTTGGCAAAAATGCTTTACCGGTTTCCGTTTGACTGGTTCGAAGGATGGGCGATGAGTGCGTCAGATCGCGTAGTTGCTAATTCGAAATTCTCACGTGGGGTCGTGCGTGGTGTCTTCGGCTCGGATCGATTGGGTGACGTCGAGGTGGTTTATCCATGTGTTGATATGGATGGTGCTGCATTACCCCCGACAACAAATGGTGATCCTTTGTGGGGCGAAAAAAAGATTCTGCTAAGCATAAATCGTTTTGAGCGCAAAAAGGATATGGCGCTGGCCATTCGCGCTTATCAGGGACTTGGAGCGGACAAGAGGAAGGGCACACGATTGGTGATTGCTGGTAAGTCAAGTTGCTCATCGTTACTCGGTCTCTCTGACATGGTTGAACAGGCGGTTACGACAATCGTGTACCAGAAAATGTTCAATATCACCAGGAGTTGGACAAGCTCGCCAATGGTCTCGGATTGAAAACTGCAACCGCCAAGACAGTCGTCTCTGCACTTTCAATCCCTGATTCCATCGACGTTCTTTTCCTTCTATCGGTGCCTACCGCATTCAAAGATACTTTGCTTGCGCAATCCAAGCTACTTCTCTACACCCCAATCAATGAGCATTTCGGCATTGTACCAGTTGAGGCGATGCGAGTTGGTCTACCGGTTTTAGCATCAAATACGGGAGGCCCATTGGAAACAATTGTCGAAGGCGAAACGGGCTGGCTCCGGGACGCCCATGCCGACGCTGAGTGGACTGCGGTGATGGACAAGGTCCTTTACGGACTGAGCGTGAAGGATGTTGAGCGAATGGCTGCTGCGGGTAAAGAGAGAGCGCAGCAAGAATTCTCACTTACTGCAATGGGGGACAGACTTGAAGAAGAGATCTCTATCATGCTCAAAGCTGAGAGAAGACCGTTCAATGGTTGGCAACAAGTGTTTGCTATGTTAGCCCTGGTTGGAGCTCTTCTTGTAGCAATGGCTGCAATCCTGTTTCGAGCGATGTAATCAATATAATACCTAAATACCTAGGTGGTCTAGGGTCAGTACAAGCTTGAATTCCTATTTAATAATTTCACATGTACTTGAGTTCTTTCGATTCACAATCAGTTCGACCATTTACGAAGACAAACACAACAAACATGATCACATGACCGCGTGTTTTGTACGCGGTGACGTCGCGTCTCTATCAGTCTTTCCCCATTGTTGCCCTAGTCGCCCTAGTGGCATTGGGATCCAAAATGCCCGATATCATAGATCTGATATCCTCAGATCCTCCAATTCCGCCTCAGCCTGCTCCAAAAGTAACCAAGCCAGCTGCTCGATCTCCGTGGCCAACCCACCCCACTCCGGTCTCCTCTGACCCGTTTGACACATCGCTGTTCGATTATGAGTTCGATAAACCCGCTAAAAAGAGAAGATTAAGCGATCAAGGACTTGTTGCAGAGCAACAAGCTGGCGCGTCAAAAAGCACAACGGCCTCCAAAGCCCCAACCACTACGACAGAGGCCTGGTTTTCAATTTCCGACGATGACTTCGATCTGCCCCCTGCAAACGGGGATGTGGGAAACAAACCGGTTCAGTCGCGCATTGAAGAGTCTGATCCAATTGTATTTACTTCTCCCGCGCCGGGGCCTTTGCCCAAACTGAGCGCTTTACGCAAACCGAATAATTCCAATTTGGATGTCTTGGCGCTCGACGACGATGACGACGATTTCATGGACCTGGAAAAGCCACCACACTCGAGCTTGCGAGGACGTAGCCATATTGAGGAATTCAGTGATCCTTTCGCTCTGCCGGACTTTGTTGATCTAGCGACGAAACCGCCGCCAAAAACGGCATCTTCGAACCCAATCTTTTCGGAAACCACGGCACGCCTACTGGCTCGTCTCCAAGAAGAGGAAAAGGGTCCCGCTCGCCACAATTCCTCTAAGGCAGGATCTAGCAGTCAAAACCCAAAGCTTTCTAGCATTCAGACTATAGCCGCAGAGTTCCTCTCAGGCGATGATCTAGATGAGCCCTCAGCCCCTCGGAAAGCAGCCAAAAAGACAAGCAAGGTTGATGCTGCAACTAAGGAAGCAAAGGCCAAAGCCCGGGAGGAGACAAAGTTACAAAAAGAGCGGGAACGCCAGCTCGAAAAAGATCGAAAGCTGAAGCTCAAGGAAGATAAGGCGAAAGAGAAACAACGGGCTGCTGATATAGCGAGCGTGAACAAACTCAAGATTAACAAAAAGGACTCCACTCCGGAGATGATTGTCGACATTGCGACATCCCTGGAAGACAGTAGCGTGGGCACCCAATCCGTCGAGTTCATGAAACGCCTTGGTGTCCAGCACACGTTCTTCGAGAGTCAAATCCCAAACGTTGTCAAATGGCGTCGGAAAATGAACGCTACTTTCAACCAAACGCTCCGCCACTGGGAGCCCTGTCCCTTTTTCATCCAAACTGAAAATCACGTTTTGTGCCTCGTGCCAGCGCAGGAGTTTATCAACATGGTAACCCCACCACCTGATGGCGAACAACGGCAGACTCTCGAAGCCCACGTACTGAAACTCAAATCCGCCTATTCAAACTGCAAGCCTATCTACCTTATTGAGGGTCTGACGGCTCTTATGCGCAAAAACACCAATGCCCGCAACAGAGCATTTCAAGCCGAAGTTCTACGCCAAATGGCTGAGTCTGTACCAGAGGCAGAAGCCACCCGGAAGGCCAAAAAGCCCAAGAAAAAGGCCGATGGACCGATCATCGATGACGAGACTGTTGAGGACGCATTGCTTCAATTGCAGGTTGCCCATGCCTGCCTCATTCATCACACAACCACGCCATCTGATTCCGCCGAATGGATCAAGAATTTCACAGAGCATATCTCAACCGTGCCGTACCGGCGCGAAAGACAGGAAGCTCATAATGCTGCATTTTGTATGGATACAGGCCAGGTTAAGACTGGCGCTGATAACAATGATACCTTTATCAAGATGCTTCAGGAGGTAAATCGTATTACGGCACCCATGGCATATGGAATTGCAGGGGAGTATTCCTGTGTCACGAGCTTGGCGCGTGGCATGCGGATGCATGGCGTTACAACGTTGGAAGATATCAAGGTATGTCCTGTTTATCGAGGCATTGCACCCTCTGCGGTTAAACCCCCATCTGAGATTTTGCTAACGATCATAGAAATCCGCAAACAAGAACGGTGCCTTGACTAACGCACGCATTGGCCCTGCTGCTAGCAGACGACTGTACAAAGTTTTCACGGGCCAAGACCCGACTTCCACGGACATTTAGGTTTTATTTTGTCCAATGGACTTTTGCCTAAGTACCTTTTGGTTTTGATATTTCAGCTTGCGGATGGCAGACACCTGCAAGATCCGGTATTTTGCAGCACCGGACTGAGGAAGGTCTTTTGGGTCCATTCATTGGATGCTGAACTTCATGTTTCCATGAACCGCTCTCACATTTTGGAAATGCTTCCTTGGAACGACCATTGGAACTTGGTTCATGCGGGTGATTATGTTGTATTAAACTATTCTGTCAGACAACATCACGCCGCGAATAGGAATTCTCCGCTATATGCATAAGACCCAAAACCATCTATGAGAGCCGAAAACGCCAAATATGGAAGCAGATGATCTAACCGAAAACAAAAAGAGATAGAGAAAATGTAAATGACCCAATGACCCAGCACGTGAAGATTCGTTCAAACAACAATTCCTCTCTTTTTCCACCCCACCCAAGCAGCCAGCCAAGCGGCAACGGCAATCCAAACGCTGATGGTACAGCCGACAGCCCAGAAACCATAGCATCGCCAGCCATGACATTGTCCATCCTCTCCATCCCCTAGATCCATGGCATTTTGATAGGCAGCTGAGTAAACGATACCCCAGAACGCAGCCCCGGGGGCAGGCATCATGGCCACAATACCCCAGTTCGTAGCAAAATTCTCTACACCCCAGACGACAGAAATAATGATGGGTATGAGGGAGAAGGCACTGCCGTATCCTAAGCCGATAAGAGCAGTCGTAAGGTTAAAGATGGCCGGGTGTGCGAGTGGGAGTGGGGATGCCAGGATCAAATAGCCCAAGGAGAGAAGAATGGCCGATGGAAGGAGGAAAATCATTCGAGATAGAGTCAGACCAGAGGTGGCCGGGTCTTGATGTCGGTGGCGCGCGCCCTCTGGAAGTGGAGGGAAGAGGTGGGTAGTTGGCGGTGCAAATATGTCCGAGAGAGAGCCTGTGATGAGACGAGCGATTGTCGAGGTCAAGGCTACGATAGATACGTGGGTTGAGGCAGACCCGGCAGGTGGTGTGCCTCCAGAGTAAGACATAGGTGTTAGAGTTGGGATGATTGTGCCGAGCTTTGAAAGGTTAGTTCGTTGCCAATTTGGGTAAGACGGGCGAAGTTGGTACCACTTACATTGTTGATATATGATTCACCGGGGCCAGTGACTAGGAAGAAACCAGCAGCCAGCCACCACATAGTATGGTCCTTCAGGTAAATCCTGGTCTCATAGTTGAGAAGCCAATTCTTCTTTCGGCGCTCTTCCTCTTCGTGCTCGCGCTCCAGCCTTTTCTGTTCACGCTCTTCGTCGGAAAGGGTCGCGCTCTCCTGATCAAAAGCCTCGGAAAACGTCCCATATTCGGCTACTGAGCGACTGCCATCTCGAGGGCGGAAGAAATCACTCTCTTCCAATAGACCACTGCGTTCCAACTCTTCAACGGTCTCGTCAATATAGTCATCGTCATCTTCAACAATGCGCAAGGCAAATGTCCCGATAACACCAATGACCAGCAGCAGAATGGCCAAGAACACAAAGTACCTGAAAACATCAAGATCTCCATGACTTCCATCTGGGAGAACTTCATAGAACAGATAGGTTCCGATTTGGCTTTGCCACATACCACTCAGTCCAAATGCAGCAATGGGGACAGCCAGCATAATACCCTTGTGCTTGCCTCTGCCGAAGTTCTTCGCACATGTAGCCAGAGCAGCAAGGTACATGCAGCAGGTTCCCATCCCAATGCATATGAATGCCACAACCATGAACCCAAATGGCCATCCAGATCCACCTGCCTCAACAGGCGGACCACTCTGGTACGTCAACGCCGCAAGTAGATATCCCACACAGAAGAGCGTCCCAGAGAACAAAGACAACGGCGACGGACTATACCGGTCACACAAGTAACCGAAGAGTGGGGCGTTGATGTAAAGAGCGACTTCTGCAGCGATCGAAACTATGTTCACCTGGAGCTGTGAATATTGCAGACGCGTGAGCAGCAGGTGGCCATATAATGAGAAGGCCGTAATACTGCCAGCGCCCAAGCTGTAAAAGACACGGTCAGTCCCGAGAGCGAGGGAATTGTAGCAGTTCCACATACCAGGTTATAACACCCCATCCAAAACTCACCACACGTACGACCTCCTTGTGTATCTTCGCTCGGTCCCGTTCGACGAGTTCGCCGACAACCTCGTTCAACAGCCCGTCATCGCTCCTTGACCCGGAATTGCGCGAATGTCGAGATCTAGGTCCGTGTGCAGATACTGGACTTCGGTCATCTTGCTCTGTGTCTGTATCTTGAAGCAGTGGGCGATTTGCGTCGAAGTCCCGTTTGTCGATGGAGTTCTTAGTCATGGCGCTTTCTCCGCACGGGTGGAGAGGAACGCGGTGTCGGTGTAGGAGGGATCGTGTTCTATCGGGGGGCGGTTGAGAAGATTTATGCTGTACAAAGTGGCGCTGTTAATCCAACTTTAAAAGGTACCAGTTGAGCACGTTTATTGAGCTCCGGCTCGTGTGATTTGAGCTTAAGATGGCGGGGAGTCGGAGTCAGCTGGGTGGGTCACTTGGTGTGTTGTTTCGTCGGGTTCGTGCTACGTCATTGGTATTTGACTGCCTTTCATACCGAAATGTATATGCAGTTTCAGGATCCAGAGCCGATAGCTGTAGTAGGACTAAGCCGACGGTGAGGAGTGAGGAGTTCGGGGGAAGCGGAGATAGTTGGAGTCACACGTGACTTGCCAGTTGGCAGTGTTCTACATGGACAGCAAGTATGCAGGTGCCGCTACGGAGTACCTTTTTATCAACTTGACTCTCTCAGAATGCACCAAAATCAATGGATGCAAAAGGGCAGAAGTCTCCAATGTGGGCAGAATTCATAAAAAGGTAGTTGCACCTGTATACTGCCGTAGTTCTATGTATAGTCCATAGCTTACGAAGAAGAGCACTCTCGGGTTACTGCTCCCAACGTCAAACTCGAGAAGAAAAAGGTATTGAGAATTTGATATAGAGGCGAAATAAAATAATCATTTACAACGTCCTGGACAGCCCTATGCAGAATGCAAATCGAGAAACACAAGGCTTTGGAGACATTGGGGGGTATTATCAATATCAATAAAACAACCGAGAAATGAAATCATACACCGAGAACAACCCTGAGCTCCTTGCAAAACATGAAAAGGGTGAATAACACGAGAAAAACACAAATTGAGAATGCCGGATTCTAAGTGCATCCGAGCATTGGTCGTAGGGCAAGCGGGGGAGGGGGGGCGTTATTTCGTGGTGTCGATCAGGCGAGATCAGGCACGGGTGCATAAATGGCGAACACAGGAGTCTATCCGAACGCCACGTATCGGCAGTGGGCCGGAGTCGAACTGAAAATTAGAAACTGACTGCGCCCGCATCACTTTCCATCATGGTCTCATCCCAGTATTGGTCGGAGGGGTCATCGCGCGCAGCGGGCTGTGAGCCCAGCGCAATGGCTTCGCCTTCGCCTCGTTCGATGAACTCGTCTTGAGTGACTTCTTTCATGATCCGTTGGAAATACATGCGCAGTGTGCGAAGTCCGCGCAGGTACCCACGATCGATGTCGTAGGGGTTGTGAGGCGGACAGGGAGTGTCGGGTGGAAGGGCGTCCTCGCCTGTGACGCAGTTGGCGAAATCAACAATCTTGAGCTGCACGTCAAATTTGTTGGAGCCGTCGTCAGAAAGTGTGCGCTTCAATGGTGCGCGGTCGTTAGGAGGACGAGGTGGGCCTTGTTGCGGAGAGGCTTGTTGGTCTCCGTCATAGAGAATCAGGAGGCTGCTGGCATAGAGGCGGTAACTATCCAGTTGTCGGATCATGTGTTCTAACAGAGCGAGCTTCTCCAAAATGATGGGGATCCTTTTGGCCACGCTGGTATAGCTAACTCCATCATATAGGAAACGAGTAAGCGCGTCTTGGAACTCGCGACCGGACTTCAGATCTCGCCCAAAGTACTTGTCCTCGAAGATATACTCTTGCTTCTTAACATTCCAGGCTTGCATGCCACAGAGCCTCACGCCTAACTGCTGGGAAGTGGTAGACTGGCATTTTCGACGCTGCGATTTTTTCTTCTTCTCGTTCGCCTCAATGCCGTATTGTCGGGTACCCATCTTCAAATCCAGCACGCATGGTTTATTCATACCAGCGGTCAAGTCCTCAAGAAGAAGGAAGAATTGCACTCTTTCGTCCATCCGGAGCTGGGCTTCTTTGGGGTTGCTTGGTAGAATCGTGTTAAGAGGCTCCTGCGGCTGGAAGCGGGATGGATCCCGACCGTTGGAAGCAAAAGCTTCGGTCAGATATTGACCAGCAGTCGAGTGGCTTTCCGAAGTTTGTGAACCGGACCGCTTACCGAGGGGAGAGGGATTGGAGGGCATAGAAGCATCGGCTTCCATAGAGAAGATTTCATCTTCTTTGTCACCACTATATTCCTCATCGTCGAAGAACATCAGCTCTCCATTGTTGCGAGAATCCATACTACCGCGTCTTTGCAGGCCACTCCCGGAGTGTCTTCTTCTTGGGTGGGCCGCTCTCGAAAGGGAGCTTGACCGGTTCTCATCGTCTTCAAGTCTGATCTGCTCGAGGCGGTTCTGATTGGCATCGAGGGCAGTAGAAGCGGACGAGGAAAGAGCTGGACCTTCACCGGACGGTTGCTTGATATCAATCGCTTCTGTTTTCAGAGCTTCGATTGGCCCTGGGACTGGTCGCCGAGTACTTGTCTGATCTTCTGACAAGTTGGCTCGACGGCGGCAGGCGGCAGGCACGTCAGAATTGGCTCTTGGTAGATGAGCATGTCCTCGGGCATGCCTGCGGTGACGATGAATGGCAGGAGGGCTGAAAACCTCACGCAGAACCTGTTCTTGAAGCTTACGATTGACAGTGGTCGCACCCCAGATTTTGGCCCGCTTGCTCAGTGCCGACGGATCGGACTCGGCAGACATTCCCTCGAGGCCGTCGACAGACCGTGCACGGTTTACCGAAGCATCGGCTGTTCTTGGTCGTTGTGGTCTAGAGAACAGATCGGCAGGAATGATGTGACGATTGTTTTCAAGGATGACCTTTGGAATGACACCCGTGGCCTGCGAGTGGCTGACAATTCGCTGAGGCTCCGCTGCCTCCTGTAGCTGGGAACTAAGTACGGAGGTTCCATTTCCATTTGAGTTGGTCACATCTTGAATTTTGCTATCGGCGGTATCGGTTTGATCCTTCGGTCGCTTGGGTGTCTTTGAGAATGTGACATTCAACACACCGATATACCTGCATCAAGAGGTCAGCGGAGAACTTATTGGCAGCAATTCGTTCCAAGCGGGTAAATATTGAACATACTTTGGGAGGAACACTAGCATTTCAGGATGTCTTCTTTCGATTCGCTCATAGAATTCATTTTCGCGGTTGTTGAGTTGCTTGCATACAGCTCGCCTGGAGAATCGGAAGACTGTGGTGTGCCCACCAACCTGGTGTCGGTAGGGCTTCAATTCCACAGCACCAAGAGGACCCGGGGGCTTAGGATGAGACAGAATCCGGGATCTTTGAGTTGGTGTCGCCGTCGGGGTTTTGGAGTCATCAAATAGACCGTCCTCGCTCAGATCGTGACTTTCGTATCCAGGCTCAGATTCATGTGCTGAATCCCAACTGATTTCAGAGATAGTACTCAAGGGCTTTTCGGGCACGCTCTCCCGGGGAGAATGGATATCTCCGTATAGGATCTTATTTTCATTCTTAGATCGCAGGGATATATCCACATGGCTGATTTCTTTTTCGGGAGAATGAGAATTACGCTCTTGGGGTACTAACATCAGCTCTTGGCCTTTTTCAGGAACCGTCAACTGAACCGGCTGTACATCACGGGGGCCCTCAGGATATTGCTGTACGCCATCGACCCCGTCTGGTACTGTGCGCTCATGGGGGAAGTAAACTGCAGAAGAAATCTGCTCGTTTTCTTCTTCCTCGACACCAAATCGCTGGGATCCACGACGCTCATCCTGCTCGAATGAGTTGACAGGGGAGAATGAGACACGAGACTCCTTTTGAAAATAGTCCCGATTCCGCTCCGAGTACTGCGTTGGGATGCTCTGTGAGAACGAGGAGCCATGACGCCCTCCGGGTGTTAGATGGAAATTTCGGATTTCTTCCAGGAGGCTGCGAGGCAACGCTGGAGGTGGGCGCTTGTGGGGTTCATCATGTGGCCGATTTTGAGAGACATCGGGTGGGGGAGGGTCGAGAGATGGGCCATCCCCGAGGGAAGGGAGGGATATGCTGTTACGAAGCAAAGCGTCCTCCTCCGGCCACGTCCGGGGCTCTTGTTCCAAATCCATGACGTTATTTTGCGATTCCACCGCCTCATCTTGTGCCCGATCTCGATCCCGATCCTCTCGGCGCTTGCGATCTGGTGAGGTTGTGTTCTCTTTGAACAGACCCAGGTAGTGGCTGGATTTACGGCTGCGCACGTTAGAAGCCGGTTCCGCGTTGGTCAAGTTGGCTTCAATAGAGCTGTCCACTCGACCACGGCGCCCTCTACTTGGGCTTCGTTCGAGGAGGTTATGGGAGGCTTCTTTGCGAGGACTGTAAGATGCAGAAGCGAACTCTGGACTGACCTGAGGGCCTTGGCCGGACAGCGCACCTAATGAGTGCGGGGTAGAAGAGACATCATCTACTGCAGGAGGGAAGAGACTTCGTTCAGGTAAAGTGTCTTGCAAGTGGTGAGTTTTCGTACCTGGTCCATCCAATGGCACCTTATACCGCTGAGATCTGCCCAAAGGAGCCTGCACGCTCGCCTCTGCCTGTGGTTTCTTGAAGTGATCAGTCGGCGAGGTCGACGCGCGCAAGAGGGACAGGCGGGGGGCATCGGAAGAGAAGAGGGTGGAGGAGCGTAGTGGAGAATTTCTGTGGACGTCAACTTCCATGTGGGAAGGGTCGACGTTGAAGTGGTGGGGAGAGACCTTGGGGAATGCACATGGAGACACGGGAGCATCATCGAGGCTGGGAATCAAGTTGACCTGACGCTCATTGTCCAAGGTCCTCTCCGGGGGTAATTGTGGGGTGTTTGCGCCGCTGTCTGAGGGGAGGTAATGGGTTGCGAAAATACTGTCGCGCTCCGACAGCTGGGGCCGATGGACGATATCCGGGCTAGCGGTGTTCTCCGGTGGCGCGGTTACCGTCCTTTTGAGGGCGAATCTGGGCTGTGACCAAGAATGAGCCGATGGCGATTCCGCCCTTGACGGTGATGAGACCTGGGAGGGTTGGGACATCTGGGCCTGCCGCGAGTGGTGACGTGGGCTGGCCCCAGGGATGGCTGAGCAATCATGTTGGGTAGGTGCCGCAGGTGTCACCACGCGATTAGGCAAGATCTCTTCGGGAACGGACGGCGAATTTGACATGAGGTGGACATTGGTCAAGCACAACTTCGGAAAAGTAGGGAAGCGGAGACCGGGGGGGTGTGTGGTTGGGCTCGTTGAAGGATTGGGCTTAACGGGACTGCGGCAAGATAGGCGAAAGTTAGAAGAATTGACCTTGTTTTTATTGTTTTTTTAATTTCCTTCGAGGGGGGTGGTTCGCGCACGTTGTAAGAAGGTAAGATGTGACTGGAGAAATCTAAGCCCGCATAATCGGTCGGAAAGCCGGTACAACAAAAGACTAACAGACTAAGAGACTAAGAAGAAAGAAGGAGAATGGAAGAGCCTAAATGGGAGTTAGGGAGATCGTCACCGCCCTTGAGTGGACCCGATCTTCTTTTTGAGCTAACAGTTCGAGAAGAAAACAAGTGTTGTAGATGAAGTCATTAGAATGGAAACTGGAAAAAGTTGAAAAATCACTTGTTTATCTCTTTATATCTTTCATACTCACAACTACTGTGCAACCTTCAAATGTTCACAGTACGTGCATGTCATCTGCATCACATAGGTTATTTGTCTTCTATGGAGTACTACTAAGTACTTAAGTACATCTCGTAGGATCCCCGGTACTCTGTATGAGGACACATATCATCAATGTGAAAATCCATACGATCATCCTTTTGGTTGACCGCTATTTTCCTGTCCCGAAAATATTGATTCAGGAATGTCAATGGCACTTGGAGCTCGAGATCTACCCAATCATCGGGCTCAATGCGTATCGTGCGTCCATGCTGGCCCTTTATAGGCAGTCAATTGGTGTCCTCAAAGACGTACTCCGTACGACCTCACCTCTCCCGTACTTCGGAACCAGCCCTGGAGATCTATATGGCCGGTATGATTTTGGTCTTGGATTCTACATCGCAGCCGTCCGGACCTGGGCTTGTGAGTACAGCTCTACGGAGTAGGGGGTATACTAAATATTTTCCAAGGTCAATATCACAGGCATAAGAATGCATGATTGCTCTCTACATCTTTCAAGGTTCTAGAACCAGGATCAGCTCTAATGGCCTGCATCGGTACTCCATGCTGCCGGCTGAGTTGGCAGGGAGCTAAGGTTCTCTGATTTTCAAGGCGGCCTTAGGTACCCCCACAGGTCTCTACATAAACATCCATGAATGAGGAGCAATCAGGATACTCTATTTACTCCGTACGTTCAGTTGATGTCATTCTCCCCATGATTCAAATCGAGGCTAAAAATGCCTAAATCCATGATGATGTTTTAGGGCGTGTCTTAGATTAACAATCCCCACTTAGTTATGCCAATGGCTTACGAGGCGAAGGTCAGAACTTAAAGAGTTCCGAGTCCGACTTCAGGACAACTGAGATTGAGATACACATCATTATTTTCTCAACATTGTATAACAAAGTACAGCGTGTTGAGGATGGAGCACTCCATCCTCTGTACTCCGTACTCGTACACTGGATAAGCGTGCGGATGCCTTAAGGTTGTTGCCTTGTCACAGCACGACTCTGCGAATGCCCCGTGAAGGAGGGCTCAACGATAGGGATCAAGCCTATACAAGCCCTGGAGGCGAAGCCATCCCCGGCGCTTCGCTAGAGTGGAGAAGTGTGATTGTGATGGGAAAGGTGTGACGTCCGGGAGGCGCCGAGCGGGCCCTCCCCCAACCAGAACTCCCGACGATGTGAACGGTTTGAAGCAAATGCATTAGGGCCAAGGGCAAGCCCAAGGCCAACCAGGGCTATCCTGTCCTCAGCGAACCAGATGCGAGGAACAATAACACCAATTATCCCAAGCCACTCAGATCATCACATCCCCGCAGAGCTTTTGAGGTCTTGTACGCCCCGTCGCGCCGTTCTCACTCCACTCTTAGCTTGGATGTGCCTCAGTGCACACTCGAGGCCATGGTAGCGAATGCACTTATACACCCGGTCGCCCAGCGGCCAAGCTCTGTTTTGTTTCTTCGGTTTCCCCTTTTGCAGCTCCGGTTGCTCCTCGAAATCATTTATGCAGTGGAATGATTATTTGACGGTCGCACGCTGAGATAGGCTTGTTCTTTACCTTTCGACTTCACATAACCGATAATCTTCGCCGAAATGAGTCGTTTGAATCTAGACACCTCAGTCGGGGGTAATCAAAACCGCTATTCGTTCATGGAAACGCCGCTCGAGATGAGCCCACCCTCCCACCTACCAGGCCGACCCTCACCTCCAGACTCGCGAGCACCGGAGGAACCGACACAGCAAAAGAACACATGGTCGCCGACATTAAATGAGAAGACGCAGCAATTCCAACATCAGGGGATACTGCCAGACTATGGAAACTGCCCACCTGCCGAACAGCATCCGGCGAACTATGCACCCTTGGCAAATGTGCCTGCACACCATGAGAATACTCCAGTGTCTTCCTACGGGACCGCAGCGGTGCCCCCGCATGAGGCTCCAATTATTACTCAATATGCGACCGCACATGGAAATCAAGATTACACCAGACACATTGCTTCGCAGTCATATACCAGCCACTCCTATCAGAGCCTACCTTACCACACGGTCTCTCCGTCATACCCTAGCCAGTCACATACAAACATACCAGGGCAGCAAGAAACAACACCATATCAAGTATATCCCGACATCTCTGAGCACCAGCGCAACACTCCAGTATCCGCGCAGCCATATGCATACTCGCACGCGCAGCCTTACACAACCATACTCGAACAAGAACCGCGCAATACCCAACTATCGCCCCAGTCATACACATACACCGAACCACCTGTGTCGCCGCCCAATTCCCCAGGGCCCCTTCCACTAAAAGTGCGTCCAGATGTACCCCGCAGCAACACAATGGACATCGTACCAGATGCCAACCCCCTCCAATCACCCAAAATGACATACTTCCCCCCACCAACAAGAGCAGCAACAGCCCCAGAAGATCTCAGCGCCTTCCACAACCCGGGGCAAACAGTCCATCCAAACCAAGAAGTAACCGGCGGGGGCTGGAGCAACGGACTCTGCGAACTCTCGAACCTGGGTATCTGTTGCCTAGGCCTCATATGTCCGTGCATACTCTACGGACGAACACAACACCGCCTCTCACTGAAATCTCGAAAAGAAGACCCCACAAACATGCTCGGTTATGAGACTTGCAACGGGTCCTGCACAGGGATGGGTCTTCTATGCGGGTGTCAATGTACGTATTTTGCACACCTACCACTGTACTCCGTATGATGCTAACATCCACAGGGCTCATGGCAACGATCCAACACACGCGAATGAGAAAGGCATACGGGATTCAAGGCAGTGTTGCCTCTGATTGTGTTCGTGCCACTTGCTGTACCTGCTGTACGTTGATTCAGGATGAGAAGGAGATTCAAAAACGGGAGGAGCTGCGAGCTCGCGCAGCGAGAGAGCGAGGGGCAACTCTCCTTTCGCCCTATACTACCCCTGGACCAATGTCATATGGCCGAACAGAGTAATTAGTGTCTTCCTTGTACTATATAATAGTGGAATGTGTGCACGGATTACGGAGTATCTACTGCCGAGCTGTCAATTATGATTTACCGTTGTTCATCATCTGATGTGTCCTTGGCGAGTTGGTCATGATCGTCCAGATCAATGCAGGAGCGAGAACGAAAGCGATTGGGTCTCAGGGATAGGGGTGAGTCTAATTTGGCTTGGGAAAATTTTCACGGGAGTTCAGTGGGGAGTTGATGCATCATATCGTTAGCATCATTGGAATCGGGCCGAGCGATCGATTCGAATAAAGTTTTTGTTATTCATCATTTTGTTTTCTTCTATAATTATTTGTACTTCTTCAGGGAGACCCTTAGAACAATGTAATTTCTATCCGCAGTACTCCGTATGTTGGTCTAGGACGGCCATCTCAAGTACCACCGAGGAGAAGTCCTGGAGCTCGACTTCGATGCGCCAAGAGCTGAACTGCCAGCTCAAATGTCAATTTTGGAAGGAAAGTACCCGGAACGACAATGCTTGCTCCTTCCATTTCTCCCAATCGCCAAACCAGGAAGGAACATGTAAACAAACCGCCTGGGCAGTTGGTCTTGGGCCATGACGTCACAGCTGCTTTCCCTCAAATGGCTGTTTTTTCCTACCTAGGTAGCAACTTAAGTACATGACCTCGATCAATTGTATCATCTCTAGGATTTCCTGAAGTCCCTTACAATAGATGATTGTTCCATCGCTCCCTGCCTTCCTGTGTTTCCTTCTCAAATACATCCCTTTTACCCCACCCATCTCGCCTGTAGACATGCTATGGTTTACTAAAAATCGGTTCGCTGGCTTGAACTCACATCCATAGATATAAAATCTTTAGAATTATCTATGATGATGAGCCTGAATCGTTGGTGGAGAAGCTGTTTACCGTGTAGAAGGCCCTCCAGTCACCTTGGCAAGCGTCGTACGGAGTATATATTGGAGGAAACTCGTAGCAAAACTCCGGGAGTATCCAAGCAATTGGACTGTCTCTCCCGGACTGGTTCCAGGGTTTGGAACACATTCAAGGGGGATAATATGTGAAGTCTACAGATTAGCTTCCACCTCCCAAGTCAAGTCAAGTGCATGCTAAGTCTCGGTGGAAAAAATTGAGCACAGTTGCGAATAACAAAAGCAATCCCACAGATCAGCGCGTCGCCCCGGGGCCCATTCCAAGGTTGATACTCCGTCGAGAACATGCGATTCCCGGCTCATACTCCCTGACTCTGAGACTTTAGGGCATACTATGGCTCCTGCATGAGTAACTAAGTGTCAGGAGTATTATGCATGATGCTCTTTAGGCCTGCTTCAAGCTTGCCTAACTTTACCTATAGACCTACTTAGTTAGAACTGTATGTGATTACTCATGCAGTGCAATTTTACTTAAGTATTTTTCTCTCTCTATGTAGTACCTCTCTTCTGCCTCTTCCCACCTGGCACCTCCAATAATAGTATCAATCAATACGTTTTGCTTCTTCCACTACGGCCAAGGCTCAAGAGCAACCCAGAAGACTCGAAAATAGGGCTGGACATATAGTCATATTCAATAGTCCGTTCTCTGGGCAGTAACCTGGCACGGATTTCTCGATAGAAATTAATACCGGCCAATACTTTAGTATAATCTCATTCTAAAGTTGGATTGGACACATGGGCTAGTTTCTGACCATAGAAAGTCTACAGATTTCCAAGGTTGGTCTTACTTTTTTTGTTGTTCAATATTAAATCTTGCACTAGGAGTAAACAAGGTCCGAAGTCGTGGCAGATGACGAAGTAGTCCCGAGCTCAGGGGTTTGAAGTTTGGTTACGATGCTGGCAGAAGTTTTCCGAATTGTTAGAATATCCATGAATGCTTCATCCATTTGGCTTATTAGCCCAGAGGACGGAATACTCCGTACGAAAATATGCGATGGCAAGGATACTGAAAATCTTGTCATTTTGACAAACGCGCTTTTTGGTCAGCACAAATAAGTATGTGGAGGGGACCACTGACATAATAAATTGGACAAGTTCTTCCAAGGCTGATCGTGAGTAGTATTACGAGGTATCATATACTCCGTATAGAGTAGCTAGCACGGAGTAAATCTAGTTAGAATTTCATGTCGGCGACTTCTAAAGTTAAGATAAATCACAAAGAACTGCAAGAAATGCACACGAGATCGCAAGATCGAACAAATCAGAATGCTGGGATTCAGTCCCCTCGACCTGATCAGTCTTGTCGTACCGATCCACTCAGTAGGCAGAATTTTGCCTCATCGAGTACTACCAAATCCCCGCGGAAAGAGATGTCAAACTAGTCTTTCAAATGCAAGGCCATGTAACCTAAGAGGGGGTGCATGGGCCGTAAAAATATTTGGTCCCACGATAGACGATGCACCAAGCGACAAGTCGGGTAGTTTCCTAATCGCTGGGACGGAGGTGGAAAAAGTTCCCAATGCTTGAGTGCCACTTTTTCTGCCTGATGGGGAATAGCTCATGTCTCTGTGAAGATGTGGGGGTTGACTAGCGGGGGATCACGGACACCGATCGGCCGCTATCATGCAAGGATGGGATAAATCTATTATTCAATGCGTTCATGTGTACCGAGTAGAAACCCAGCAACCGGGCTGCGTGAGAGATCCCTGGAGATTTCTAAAGTTAAACTTAATTATGTAGTGGCCAAATATTTTGAGACCTGTCTGTTGCCTTCTTCTGGTCTTATTTCGCCTCTTGTTTCTGTTGTGTATATATTGTCTTCGACACTTTGCACTGATATCAGTGCTTCCGTTCATTTCAGAGTCCTTGTTATTGAGACAAATTTACAACTACATAATGGCGGATTCAGTGGCTCAAGACGCTCATGGGTATGACCATGACAATTTGCGCCATGTGGTTATCACATCGACGTGTTTTGCTTTTATACTGTCTACTACAGCAGTCGGTTTCAGAATCATTTCCCGGGCAATCAATGGAAAGGGCCTCTTCTTGGATGATTGGCTCATTATCCTGGCGCTGGTAAGTATTCTACTCCGGAGAGACGTCCATCCATGAAACGAATTGAGGTTGATCCCAGGGTTAGTTATTTGAGTACGGCATATCGATAGCCGGGGTGGTTTGTATGTTCTGATCAATCTTAGCCAAGTGATGATGCACTAACAATTGACAGTACTGTACAATGGGCTAGGAACCCACATCGTGGAGGTCCCTCCTGAGAAGCTTGTTACATATCTGAAGGTATGGGATCATCATGCTATCATACTATTGAAGTACCGTGTACAACTTACTGACAAATGTGAAGACACTATTCACAGGCGCGATTCTATATACCGGCTGTATCTTGTTCATCAAACTATCCATCCTTGCTCTCTACAGGAGACTCTTTCCCACCAAGAGCATGAAGGCAGCTGTCAACATTACATCCCTTATCGTGATTCTATGGGCCGCCTGTGGTATTCTTGCTGGATGCTTTACTTGTATACCAACCGAGAAAGCATGGTACCCAATGCTAGAAGGCGGCTGCATGAATCTCTCCAAGTTTTACTACGGTCTTCAGATCCCGAACATTGCGACTGACGCAATCATTTTGGTTATGCCTATGCCCATCGTTTGGAAGCTCCCTATCTCCAAGGCTCAAAAGACGGGTCTTTCTGCCATCTTCGTTCTCGGAGTGTTGTAAGTCATTGCTGCCCCCAAGAGAAAGAGTAAGATATTGACCATAAAAGGACCCTTGCCTTTGATATTGTCCGACTGGTTGTCTTGATTGATCTCTCTAAAAGGGCGGACGACATCACTTGTAAGTTGCGAGTCCTACCTGGCCAAAAGACTGAAAACTGACACAAAACAGATGACCAAGTCCCATCGAGCGTGTGGACATGTATTGAGCCCGCTGTTGGAATTGTGGCGGCCTGTCTTGCCAATATGCGTCCTTTGTTTAATTTCATGCACGTTAGAGTATGGTCCAAAATTACAACTCGCTATGCCACCAACTCGAAAAATTCCAGTGCTTCGCAGATCAACGAAAAGGGAAATTGGAAGCACTCGACACCAAGCCCTGAGCCCCAACACAACCACAGCGCTCCCTCGAGTCCTATTAGCGACAACTCCCACTCATCTTCCCTGGGCCAGTCGCCGGCCCATAATCAATCGGCCGTCTAACCAGCATAGGATACCCATCAACAGAAAAGCTCTGTTGTTTTTTTTTTTTTTTTTTTTTTTTTTTATTTTTCTCTCATTTGACATTACCAGAGGATAATTCTTTCATCTCTCCTATTCTGGGCTCTCGTTTCTTTGATACGCTTTTGTGACAGCATATCTGTGCGATGTCGTCTTTATACCTTCATTATACCTTCTTTGTCCTTGTTCACAAGGAACTTCTCAAACAACAAACTCTTTCCATTATTATTGAGCATCCTTTTTTAATCTACTAGAATCTGATAATCTTCCTTTGACGTATAGAGCATATCCCAGTACCAGGATTTGGTTAGACTATAACCACTTTTGATTTCCGAGGCAGGATAGAAATCAAACAAAATCATTGTGGTCCTCGGTACCTGGACTTGGTGGTATCTCAAAGAGCAAAAAAGGTGATTGTGTTCCCTTGTTCGAACGTTTTGAAGACAGTGGATGAATTGTCTCAGCCATTCTTCTGAATATGTTGGTAAGCTATACCTTTTCTAAAGTTTCTCAACTTTAGAACCATCGCAGCACATAAGAAAACAACTACGAAGGTAAGCAACTAACCATTGTAGAGCCATTCATCTACTCCAGGGATCCGCCCATTATGTCTAAACGCAATGGTGTAGTTTTCAGTTGGCAAGATGCCTTCCAGAGGGAGTGTCTTTTACTCTACAAACGACTGATCAACGATGCAAAGCTTCTAGCTGGTGATGGCAGTCACAAAACCAATATGATGAGCTACACAAGTCTTTTAGATACAAAGGCGCAGATCGAGAAAGTGAGAAAAGCTGGACTCATCATGGTGCATCGAGAACCGAACAGCCCTCTCGTGGTTCAACATCGTGAATACTGGTGCTTGCCTGTACAGGCAACAGATGCAGATCAGACTGTGTTTGAGTATGATTGCGATGACATGGAAAGCACCTTAGGTGACGTGACAGACCAAATTCGCAGCCGGGAGGTTGAGGGTCATCTACTGACAGGATCCTTGAAGACCATGGCTGCAGAGGTCAGGGCTGGGTTTCATCTCTGGTGTGTTGACAGCGCGATGGTAGAGAAACAGCTCCCGATTGCGAAAAAAGGATATCAAATTATAGACAAGCAACTCTAGAATCCTTCTTTTTTAAGCAGATAGAAGAAATCTAAACAATGAAGAGAGAACAAAAGAAGTACGGAGTACATTTTTTTGTGATTCGTTAATGATCAGGTGAGAGCGTAGATCGTCTAATTGGATCCTTGGGCGATCAACTACCCCTTTGATGGTGCCAAGATAGTTAAATCGCACCCCCGCGCGCCCTGCTAAAACACATGACACAGATAAAACAGTTCAAGACTTTCCAGAGGGGCTTCTCATTTAACCTTCTTGTGATCGAGATAAGAAGACTGTTCGACATAAAATGCGCGGCCTCGATGAAAATACTGACGTCCTTGTCCGTACCGGTCAAAAGGCCCAAGAGCAAGTCCGAAATGCGTGGGATGGGTTTGTAAACTTTGCGGCAAGGGACAACGTCTTGGAGGTTGCTTTGGGTTTGATGTAAGATGTGCCCATTTTTGAGATTCCAAGGTTGATATTTGACAGCAGACACTCATCTCGGACAGTATAGCGAATGCTTTCACGAAAGTAGTCACATCTTTTGTGTCTGACATGGTCTTACCGATCGTTTCACTCCTCCCGTTTCTGAATAGAAACATGGACCAGAAATTTGCGGTACTTTCAAAGGGACCGAACTTCAGTAGTGAGGGATACAACACACTGCATCAAGCGCGAGAGGATGGAGCGTTGGTTTTGGCGTATGGGTAGGTGCATCGATAAGAGTCCTCTATCTAACAGCGGTCTCGTTCTAACACGAAAACAGGGCGTTCATCGAGACACTTGTGAATTTCTTTGGCGTGAGCCTCACTCTTTACGCAGCTGGACATCTGTACATGTTTTTCTTCCACACCAAGATTATTAAACCAACGGTCCGATGTCCATATTGCAAGCAGTTTATCAGCGAGATGGTGAGTGGTTAGATCGATCATTATGCTTGTATGGGCTAACAAACTGCCTCAAGGCCTTGCGCTGCCGCCATTGTTCGACATGGCAGGATGGAAGGGAGGACGAACCCAAGAGTAACCGAAGCCCCCATGAAGGATTGCCCGATGATGGGCCAAGCTTGGTCGAGGCAAGTTCTTAGGAACCTGGGTGTTTGCATGGCTGGAATTTTCACCGTGGTCTGTTCGGGATTTGGTGTCAGTGAACTAGATCAGGCCCAATACGCTATTTGAGGCCCTTGGGCTTCTTAGGAGTGGGTGGAATCAAGCTGCGAACATGCAGTTCGCGGAAATGAACAGAGAGGGGTGTTACTGTGTATGGTATTATTTTAGCAGAGAGACTGAATCAGGTATACAGGAATGTTGATGATACATGCTTGGGTGAATGAACGTGGGACATGGCGCTCTATGACTCTAAATAGTCCACCATCCAAACTCAAGTGGATCCTGGATCTCAGCATTTGGGCTATTTACCACATCCTGCCGGCTGCGACGAAGTTTGGGAGGTTCGGCTATCTGCTCAAACTCTGAAGGGGGAAGCCATGCTTGTTCCCATCCTTCGGGGGATGCCAGCGTGGCATCAAAAGTGGCCAGAGTGACTAAACGGAAATCGAGTGGCTCAGCACCGGCACCAGGATCTGACGGCAGGCGCATAAAGAAACGGACACTGTCTGGGATCTCCTCTGGCACGTGGCTTATCACTATCAGTGCTTGATCACTTGTGATACCTTTGAATGTGGGGCTGGCGTTTTCGACTTTGCGTCTTCTGTTGAGAGCAAGTTCGGCATTTTCGCCATGAGAAAGGAATGCCATGCACATGTTGCGCTGTGAAGCAGACAGTCCGGAGAGTGCTTCGTCGAGGATAACAATATCTGGTTTGCTGATCAGAGCCCTCAAGAAGAGCACGATACGTTGTTGCGCGATGTTGAGCTGACCAAACGTGATTTGATCCGCATACTGGACGAAGAAATCCATCGGGAGTAATCCCTCCGAGTGGAAGCTTCTGTTTGGAACGGGGAAGTGCTGTGTTGAGACTATTGGCCTTTCTTTTGGATCGTAATTCGGATCTAGCTCGTGCCTCCAGAATTTCAAGAAAGCATCGATCTGATTATCGAGCTGGGTGTTCAATTTTGGTTTAGCCAAAAATGTTTCAGCAAAGGCAGATTCAAGTGCTGAGCGGATGGTTATGTTGCGGGGGAAGAGGGCGTGAATTTCTGGAGATGAGTGACCCATTCGAGACTGGAGTTCAAAAATTGAGATCCCGGGTGTACCAGCCTCAGGAAGCCTGGAACGACCGAACAGTTTGACGGGTTGGGCATAGGTCTGTGGGTGATCCGATGTAATCATTGATAGCAATGTGGTCTTACCCGACCCGTTGGCTCCAAGAATAGCCCAGTGTTGCCCTCGGCGCACTCGCCAGTGCAATCCCTCTTTCTGTTCGCCATTCAATATTGACTTCCAGCCACCTAGGACAGTCTTGTCTCCATATTGAACGCGGACACCGGCCATGTCAATGAGAACTTCGCCTTCCAGTGACCTCCTCTTGACTGGCCCGATCAACTTCTCCCTCATATTGAGCAAGTCTCGTAGCATCTCCTTATCCAAGGTGCCGGCTTCCACGTGATCCCAGGCTTTGCTGACAGAATTAGGCAGTTTTCGCCGTGGACGTTTTGCGGATTGCAATACAGGACTCCAGTCCGCTAGTTCTTCACGGACATCATATTTTTCGCCTTGCAGGAGAACGCTGTAATTATTACCCAGAATCATGGTATGGGTGATCCAATCTGGCACTTGATCCTGAGGACGAAGAGCCAGAACAAAACGCGGTGAGCATTTCTTCGCCAGCCGATACAAAAGCTTGGAAATACTCTTTACTGTAGCCGGGTCCAGTCCGACTGTTAAGCTATTAGAACCATGGTGCTCATGATAGGGAAAAGACAACTTACTGAACGGCTCATCAAGGAGCAGAAGCTCCGGCTTTCTCGACAACGCCTTGGCGATCCGTGCTCGGCGCATTTGGCCATTACTCAAATTTTGCATGGGCATGTCGAGCAAATGTCCTAGGTGAAGGTCGGCGATAACCTCGCCGAATAACTTTTCATCATGTACAACTCCTTTTTCTTCTCCCTCTGCAGGGTTCAAAGAGGTCTGACCGCGCAGGAATCGCTGCAGCGTCCAGTCCGTCTCTTCCCGATAGCTCTCATATCGCGCACTAAGGTATGCACCACGGGTTCCACTAGCAGACCCGGAGTCTTGCCCATTGAATCCAACATATTGAATTGCATCTGACACGGTGCGCAACTGTGGATCCTTGGGGGAAATCTTGTCTGTGAGGTATGGGTATGAACGCGCATCGGGCGGATCGCTGATGTGTTGGCCGCGGAGGATATCAAGGAGATCCGTTTGATTCTTATTCCCGATTATAGCCCAGTGATGAGACCGGGGACGTAGTGCTGTTGGGAGCGAGAAGTTCAATTGCGGGAACATGGGTGGATTGAGTACATCTTTCGTATCGGGATGTTGTTTGTAGAATGTTGCATCCTCGATTTGGATGAGGGGCACAGATGAGTGGAGGCGAATCGAGCGAAACACTGCGGGCCTGAGTGCCCTGGGCCGCAATATTGATCGAAGCAACATTGTCGCTTGCTGCGGGTGTTTTGAGAAGATTGGAGATTTGGGGTCAGGGTGATACCGACCACGTGACTGGGTCCAATATTCGGGGGTCTTCTGTGTGGATGTGGATGTCGTTCGACAAGGAATATCCAAGTTGGCTTACACGATGTTCGGTACACTTATTCTTTCCTACTACTTAAGTAGATGCAATGTACATTGAGAGCTACAGCTTTCTACTAGCTTGTGCTTAACATTGCAGTGTCGATCAGCGTTCGATTCTGAATAATATTGATAGCTGGAATGTGAAAGTAAAAGGTCGCAATCTAGCCTAGGGGCTGCTTCAAATTTACTCCATAGTTAAGTACACAAGCCTGTACTTAAGTCTCTTGTGGGGTCAACACTTCGACACCTGCACTCCGTACAGAGTACTTAAGTACCTAGGTACTTAAGTAGATCGATGGTCACCTGGTCACCTGGGCAAGAGTGGACGTCGATAACGATAACAGGACCATCACGTGATCCATCCGAAATCCCCACCGGCAATGGCATTTTCGGAATTCTTTTCGGATATGCGATCCAACGCGATCACACGTCTGATCACTGCCATTTCTTTATTGTATGAGGTAGATGCTAGTATATATAGGCAGACTGGTAGCTTGGGACTAGACTATGAATCGTCTTTGTTTCGTTCAACTTTAGAATGTCTCCGTACAGAAAGCAACCCGTATCCGTCAATGGTCATAGATGAGCCGATGGCCGATGCGGGTATGGGCACCCGACGGTGTTCCTCGGGACCCGATCACCCATCGTCATATATAACCTTGGGACCGCGGATAACAACCTTTCAAGGTTAGACATCAACTGTTCTTGCTAGTTAATTATTGGAACATTCGCATATCCCTCCATTTCGTACGGCAAGCACGACCAACTTTCCTGCTCACCAAGAGAATCCAAACAACAAGCTACTAAACCTAGGATAAAAGCATCATGACGGCTAGCAGATATTCCCCGGTTTTGGAGACCAGTCGCATCTTCTCCGACCTCTGCGAGCAATCAGAGCGCTTCAGTCTACCAGCCGATGTGCTTGCCAACAAAGACCGTGTCTCATTCTCTACTAGCCACAATGAGATCTACTTCCCCATTCCATTCAAGGAAACGGAGACTCTGGCTGCGCTGAAGGGTATTGAAGGCTCTGTGGCAGCTTCAATTGCGGATTTGCGCTTCGGTGCTGGCGCCGAGCCTCGCGGCGTGCAAGTTAGTTTGGAGGCTGCTACTGCGTTTGGTTGCCAAGCATACATGGCTAAGGTTGATGGCCTGTCGAAACTAGACCCCAACGTCAAGTCAAAGTTGAAGAGTATGTTACTTTGAAAATATTGACAGTGGGCGTGGTTGTGCTGACGCCTTCAGACACCGACTTGCTGGCTGCCCAGTCAAACGGTTACCGACGTATGTCGGCCAATCTGTACAAGACCAAGACCCCCGGGGGGTTCTTCCACATCCATGGATCGTTAGAGGCTACAACCACCTTGAACATGATCGGGCTAGAGGGCCAGCGACCAGACCTCACAGACTACGAGGAGATCATCAAAGTGATCGAGGAGAAGACTCAGCAATATACAGTCGCAGAGCTGGAAGAGATGAACAAAGCGCGACGCCAGGCTGGTGTCACTGCCTACAAATACGACGACTTCATCAAGACCCCTCACGTACGTCACTCTACATTTGGAGCCCAGGAAAACTAATCTGACAGTTTCAGGGTAAACTGAACGTTGAAGAGCCAGCTTGGAAAGTCACCAAATTGCCCGGCGCTTTGCCACCAACGCCATTCCCAGACAGCCACACCGGCAACAAGAAGATTCTCCAGGGCGTCAAGGTTCTCGAGATGTGCCGCATCATTGCGGGACCGACTGTCACTCGTATCCTGGCCGAGTATGGTGCGGATGTCTTGAAGATCACGAGCCCCAGTCTTTCAGATGTCCCTTTCTTCCAGGTTGACGGAAACATGGGAAAGCACGCCGCCGACCTCGACCTCAAGAGTGAGGCTGGACGAAAAGAGTTTGAGAAGCTCTTGGATGATGTTGATGTTATCGTCGATGGTTACCGACCCGGTGCACTGGATCGACTCGGCTACGGAGCCGAAGCCATGGCCGCCCTTGCCCAGAAGCGCGGGAAGGGTATCGTGTATGTGAATGAGAACTGTTTCGGATACGATGGCGAGTGGGCTGGTCGTGCTGGATGGCAACAGATCGCCGACTGCGTAAGTCTAGGACCAGAAATCACCGCCCAATCAAACAACACTAATTCATACTTCAGGTTACGGGAATTGCATGGGCCCAAGGCCAGTTCATGGGCCACTCCACCCCTGTTGTTCCCCCTTTCCCTATCTCCGACTACGGAACTGGCTGTATGGGTGCCATTGCGGCGCTGACAGGTCTCTACCACCGTGCTAAGACAGGTGGCTCTTACCATGGCAAAGCTTCCTTGATGCATTACGATCTCCTGCTCTTCGCTATGGGTCAGTACCCAACCGATGTGCAAGAGGAGCTTCGCAAAGCGCAATCAGCAGATTTCTTCAAGCTGCGCCACTGTGACAGTGTTGATCGCATCTCATCCACTGTTCTCAGGAGCATGCAACAACGGTTCCCCCACTTGTTTAAAGCTGCGGGCGAGGAGTCAGAAGGTCGTAAGCCGCTGACAGAGCTTTGGTCTTCACGCGCGTATGGATCCGATATTGAGATTGTGACGCCTGTTGCTGTGATCTCAGGCGTAGATAACCAATTCGTGCGTGCCAGCCGCCCAAATGGGTCTGATCGGGCTACTTGGGATGATTTCAACATTCTGGAAGAGGATGCGAAGAAGTGCTAATTCCTGAGAGTTACGTTGTTTATGGGTCTACGAAGGAGAACGTTGTTTTGTACATATATTTCAATTGGAACAATCTGCCATATATTCGTACAGAGCATATGTAGAGGAGCTTTGTGATATTCGCCTTGATAAACCAACGACACACCGCCTAAAGCATCGCAGTGCAGAAAGAGGCGGTGTACCCGCTATCTCTGCCAGGCGGGGAGGCTGTGACCAATCGCAGTTGGGGCCTCGATAGCATCGCAACATCTGAAGATTAAGAGAAAAAAAAATACGACAATCCAACCCAACAATCATGTCGCACATCACAGAGCACCCATCCCGGGCGAAGCGAAGAAAGCTCGACGAGCCGCAGCCAGAGCAACCGGCGACGATCACATCAAACATCAAGAACCCATCTCAACTGCGCGAGCTGTTAGCTGTCCAGCAAAATGCTCCGCTCGCGAAGCAAGGTGAGAGTTACAATGTCCCCCTCGAAGCATGCGGTAAACTGACTGAGCTACGAAGGAATTAATAAATTTAAGGAATTCCTATTGTCCATACCACACGCCGAGAACGAAGCCGCCAAGACCGAGAAACTGCGTGTCCTCAAGAATTACTGCGACAAGCAAATCTCTAACTCCGGAAAGGAGGACGAGACCTCGGTCTGTTTTCCTGACTTGATCGCCTCCTGGGCCTTTGCGGATGGAAACAACAACGAGCCCCTCCTAACCGCTGTACCTGCCATCCTCGCGCTTTTCTTCAAGACAATCTCCTCGGAATTGGAATTTCGGGAATTCGGAATTGCACTTTGCAAACATCTGCTACAGAAAGATCAACTGAGACTTTTCAATCGTGGTCTTACAGCAACTAAGTCTAAGGAACATCTTATCTCACCATGTTTGCGGTTGCTTACAGAAATGGTGACCTTCGACGGAGGAGCTGTGGCACGACAATTGTATCTGCGACGTTACATTACCTTCAAGCGGTTGGAGGTCTTCTTGACCCCCAATAAGGCCCAGGAAGGCTCGGAGGGCGATCGCAGCAAGTCTACTCTTCGACTCAACGCCCAGCGCTACCTACTTGCGAACCTGAGAGTCCAGCACGCATCTGAAAAAGGTGACATCATCGAGCAGCATAAAATCACCCGATCTTTCCTCGAATACATTCGGAAGGATTCCCGGGAGAATGTGCTGGAAATCATCAAAGCTATTGAGAGAGATGTGGTGCAAGATGCCAATCTCTCCCGCAAGTCAAAGAGCAAGTTCTTTAACAGACACAATTTGGAGCGTCTGGTGACACTCTACGGCTATGACCGTGAGTCAGATGAGCCCAACCCTGACGGTATTGTGGTTGCCAACGAGATTCACCGGGTGATGATGAATGTCTGCAATACTGCCGGACTTGGTGTTTTGTTGCCCGAGACCGGCTGGTACCCGGTTGGAACCGATCCAGAGACGTTGCCCGTTGACGATGATTCATGCATTGAGTTGGGCCTGGACTCCCCCATCTATGTTGACAAATACAGGGAGAATGTCCCAGTGAGAAACGGGTCTCTTTCTTTCCTCATTCAGTGTTTGCGGCCGGACCAGGATAGCCTCCAGATTGAATTGCTGGTGACAATTTTCAAGGCTGCGCCAGAGTTGATTGCCGATTTCTTTTCGCGGAAGACCATGTTCATCTCAGATCCCAAAGCCACGCCCTCATGGATGGCTGAGTCGGCTTTCCTTTTCTCCACTGTTCAATTACCTGTCCCTGCCAATTGCGGCTGGAAGGACAAGCAACCAATCCTGCCCCCGCCAGTCTCTATCGCCATCGAGAACATTCTCCCTCGTCCTCTGAGCCAGAAGATTATGACTCGTTGCCTCAACCAAAACACAGAAATCATTACATTGTTTGCTGTCCGAATTCTGACCGTCGCATTCGCGAAACTTCGCGCCACTCTCAAGGTTTTCCAGGCCGACCACGGCCAAGGTCAACTGTTCTGGAACCAAGCCACGGCAAAACTTCTGGCTGAATTCTCCCGCCGATGCCCCGCTGTGAAGGATGTAGTTGTTCTCTTCCGCAGAACAGACAAGGATGATTTGACTCAACAAGAGGCCGTTGCAGAGCTTTTGACATGTTACTATGAAGTCATGCCCGACATCGCTCTCGAGGAGAACTTTGATGTTTCGTTGGTTCTAGTCGACGTGCTTAAGCGTTTGGAGGCCTCTGATGTCAATGCAGATGATTCCGAGTTGCTTCTGGGCCAACTCCAAAGCATTCTCCAGATTGCTCAGCAATCAGCCTCTTTGCGCTGGTGGCAGAAGCCGGCAAACATGCAGTATTCACCATTCACCTCAATCTTGAAAGTTCTCATGGACACGTCAGACAAAGATTCCTCGCGGCGAATCTCTACTCTGCTAAAAACAGTGCTTGTCGAGAACTCCATTTTACGGAGCTCTCCCCTTGCATTCGTCTCCATTTTATCCAGCCTTGAGAACTCCGAGCCAAGCGCTTTGCACCAACAGCTAGTTTTCTTTGATAATTGTGTCTCGCGTGTTGCTAAGAAGCCTGTTCATTACCTGGATCTCCTTCAGTCATTGTCCACGGACTCTGAGACTGTCAGTGCACTTGTGGCGGTTGTCGTGGAACAGTGGCCGTTCGTGGTGAAAGCCGGAGATGCCTCCACTGCAACCGCTGTTGGATCATGGATTGCCAGTCTGTTCGCAAACCTGAAACAGGCAGGGGAAAGTGCTAAGGCGCTTAAAGCTGCTCGTGATGCATTAGTCGAAGCAACCGAGACCAAGAATATCAAGTCCCTCCTCAAAAAGTCTCTCAAGGGGGATGAAGTTGACATTGAAGATAAAATGGACATCGACTCTGGATCAAGCCTGCCCACACAGACCAAAAAGGCCCCAATCATTGATCTTGATGAGATATTCGGATTCCTGCCCACAGAGGGCACTACCCACAATGCCCTCCACAAGTGGGAACGCGAAGACATCGAAGAGGCGATTGATCAGGACCATCTTGCCGAACTGATGCTGTGCATCTGTTCAGAACACGAAGAGGTTCGCAGACAGGCCTTTGCCGGCCTCATTCGCTTCATGGCCAAGCTCAAGGAGTCCAAGTATGAGGAATGGCGCACGGTCTTCACCCTGTGCGGAGAGCTTCTTGAAACCGTCAACAACATTGGCTTGGAGAAGCCTGTTCCCTGGATTGTTGGTGAATGTGCCGCAAATTGCCTGGCCGTTCTCACAAACCCCCTTCACAAGGTCTATGGCAAGGTCAACAAGTTCCTTCAAAAGGCACCTGTGTGGGAAGTTGAAAAGATTCCCACATATTGGGTTGACAAGATACTCCTCCATGAGCCTGAGCTCGATGACGGTTACTTTGACGAGATTGACTGGCTCCTTAATTTGTTTGTCAAGGCTCTTCGTACTGAGGCTGTAAGTTTCCTTTGTTCACTTCGCCGCCACATATACTGATAATTTATAGGATATGGAAGTTTACCGACGTGCAAACGTCTTTGAGCGGCTGCTTTCTCTCTACCAATCCCCAACCCTTGGACCGGCAGCTCGCCGCAAGATTTTGCACATCGTGTACCGCGGTGCCCAGGTTGGTGGAAGTACCACTTTGATCACTCGCTCAGGTATCATTAGCTGGATCCAGATTCAGGCCGCTGAGGCTGGAGAAAAGGAGCATGCTCAGCTTGCAGCGTTGGCTCATGCTTTATATGACAAGTGTGATAGGCAGCGGGTTGATGCTTGGAGTAACGGGACATTGGGTGGTGTTATCGATGAAATTCAAATGTAGAGAACTGCGTGCTTTTTGTACAATAATCAATTGGTTGCATGTCAATGGATTTCTTCAGTACGGTATCTATTCCTCACCTGCCGGTACTAATAACCTCCCCCATGATCAACTATGAATCCTGCCGCCGCCGCCGCCGCCGCCTTCCAAATGCCAAATGATGTATGTCTGTCCTCCAAGTCAGTACGCCGCCTTATTCTGCTCTCATATCACCGGTTGCTTCTGAGCCCGCCCGGTTATTCTTTTCATCTCAAAAGTTGGCTCTCTACTGGGCTCACTCCACTGTTTTTCTCTTTCTTCTCTAACATTCACTGCCTCGTTCTGCAAAGGTATGCTCCATCACCACGTCTCTCGTCATCTTTCATGATGCTTCCCGCTTTGTCGCTCTCGAAGACTAACGCATCCTAGCAATCACTATGAGCCTTCCGAGAATGATTTTCCATAACAGTGAAGTGGGGGAGGAGCCTGATCACCTTGATCGTCTCATCAGGCTCATATACTCCTCCCACATGCCAACATTCACCAAAGCCGAGCTCGAACGCGTCGGAATTACGACCGGATCTTTTGATATCTGGAATGCCGCCTCTATGAGTGATAGCAGAAAATGCCTTTTCACACCATTTGATGAGGAAGAACTCAGAAGGTGGACGATACCGGCAGACATGGCCCAATGGGAAAGCATGAGAGAGCGATTGGATCTGAAAGAGGTGGACGCCAACTCCGAACTTGCTCTGAGCCCTAGCCCTAGCGAGATACGCAAGGGAATCAAAGACATTATGGCCTATCTCAACACCAACTATATGTTCCGGTCCATTGGCTCAACCAAACTCTGTTCCGCGCTCGGATGGACTGTTATCGAGTGAGTCGGAGATCACACAGTATCTTACCACCATCACGGCTAACCACTTTTACATAGCCCTCGGTCAGTCGACTGTCGAAACAAGGACTTTCTTTTCTCCGGACATGGAACCAAGGTAGGAACAATCTTCCCATCGTGGCAGGTCTGGTCAATCCAAGGGTGGCGCGAGAAAAATCCCGCAGGCGCCGGCTTTCACATCGGCCCATCTATCCGCATGATCATCAGCACTGAAGCCATTGGTCCCTGCGACCGCATTCTTCTCAACGAGATTGGGGCCATAGCTGAGTGCATTGCCTTCCGCCGACGCCAGCAAGTCTTCCCACCATACCCCATCATCCCGGTATGATCCTTTCCTCCGTTCATCCCAACATATACTGATTTGAGCTTATAGATTCTCTTGCTATCCCTCTTTGGGCGACGCAATGGGCGCATCATCCAAGCTCGCTATGACGTGCATTCTGGGAAGACAGAGCTGCTCATTTCTCCGCTCCTTTCCTTCTGGAGGAAGGAAGACCCTTCCTTCGAGATTTTCCTGCGGTTCATGGCAAGCTGCCCACCTGAGTCGTGTTCTCTTGACGAGCAACTTTCTCGGATGTCAATTTCAGGTCCCCCTGCTGGCCCAGATCCAGAAATGTTCCGAGGGAACTAGTTTCACGCGGGGTCATTCAACATCATCACGGAAGATGGGAGAAAAGCAGATATTTATCCGCAGGCGCAGATGTCCCTTATCTTTTATTTTTTATCATTAAACGCAGATTAGGGTTGCAATACTGACATCTGGTTTTATGATCTTCCTTTGATGAACGGACAATCGCATACGGAATACGGAGTAGATCGTGCTTGAAAGAACTCCATCAATTTTCGTCCTCATTCTGCTTTATCTAGTGATGAGAGTCCTACTCATCAGGCCCATTCGTGTCTTCTCTTTTCCTTTTCCATTATAGTTCCCTGTCTGTGTCATCAAAGTTCCAAATCAGGCCCGGAGAAATCCGGCATGCCGAAGCCCAATTGGCTCTAGCGTTGAAATCCCAGACGAATAAATTCGGCCCCTGGCAATTGCGGTTTCTCTTTTTCCTTTTCTCTCCATCTACAGTTTACACACTACGGTGTGTAAATCCATTGGGGCTCCACATTGTGGCTTGCTGAAGGTTATTCGAATGGCTTCGGCCTTCGTGGGTTTCTTTCCGTTCCCGGCCCTGGAGAGTAAAGGCGCTGCTCTTCCCTAGGCATTCTCTACGCAGAGGTTTCTCCGCGAAACTTCAAGGGTGTTACATGGGGAGAGGGCGTCACATATCGAATCACAGCCAATCTCGTCATGATTCAGAAGACACTACACTCGGTGTCAGGGGGAAGTCTAGTTTGAGCACTGCATCCCTTTCATAGCCAGTCTACCAAAATAAATCTGTCACTTGGTCTTTAAATCAACCTTGACGCCTTCAAAGTCTTTCCGAGGTAAGATAATCAACCTGGGTGAGCTGATTATCTCGTCTTCGGTCGTGTGTAGCTTGGAAGCAATCCAGCAGCATCATCCCAAGGGGAGCATTGATAAAGATTTAATCGCATTAACTTCTAAAGTTGGCATGGAAGTACGTAGTCCAATCCAAGCGTGCTAGTGCCCGTTTGTACACACTTCTACCATCTCAAGCTTTCACTTCAGTTCCGCTCTCATCACTGTCGAATTTGGCACCCGCAACATGCACATCAGGACTCTCATGACGGATGGCCTCTTCAAGATATTCTGCTTTGAGCTCACCGTGCTTGTCGTAGCGGTAGGGCTCTTTGATAGAAATACTGACGGCATCGAAGACATTTGTCGACTTCTTGAAGATGGCGTCCATTTCCTCCAACGAGCGGTATCGCGTTTCGGGAAAGAAAAAGTATACAAAAGGGAAGATACACGCGTTTCTGCGACTGTTAGTCCATGTTTTTATCTCCATTGATGGGAAGAAATCTCACATAACAGCGAAGATGACGTAGGTCTTATACCCAATGTTGGCAAATGCAACTGGTGTGATCATTACAACCATGAAGTTGAAGATCCAATTGGCACTAGCAAGAAATCTGTCAGATGATCTTCCTTGAACTTGATACAACAGACGACTGACCTGGTAGCTAATGCATTGGTTGGGGCACGGATTCGCAACGGCACAATTTCTGCAGGGTAGAGCCATGTCATTCCTAGCCAGCCGATGGCGAAGAATGTGTTGAAGACGAAAAGAAATATCGCCTGTCCTATACCAGCCCTCTTGTCGTTGAGTTCCGTCAAGCGATAATTAGTTCCCGCAAGCACGGCCATGGATACAGCCATTCCAGCGGCCTGTATGACATCTGGGTTAGCGAGCGCATCACGCCAGGGTGGCTTCTGAATTGACATACTCCAAAAAGCATCAGTGGACGTCGACCAACTTTCTCAATGATGAAAATAGGGATGAATGCAGCCATCAAGTACTCTGTCCCATTGCAAGCAGCTAGTAGCTTCGGGAGATTGCCTTGGCCGAGTCCAATCTCTGCATACAGTGAAGGTGCCTGGCGCGTCGGGTCAGTATTTTCTCAGAACACCTGCAGTCAAGAACAGATATCTTACATAGTAGGTAATCAAATTGATTCCGGATATCTGCTGGAACATCTGGTTGATGTAGGCCAAAGCCACCCGATGGAACTCTCGGTATTCACTCATCTTGAACAAACTTCGATATGAGCCTTTGTTCATCTCCTTCACGGTCTCCTTGATTGATTGCAGCTCATTCACGATGGTAGGGTCGCCTCGGGGTTTCTCATTCAGGTATTCAAGAATTTCCAATGCATCATCATCTCGACCTGCCATCACAAGCCATCGTGGTGACTCCGGTAGATGCAAAATTGAACAAAAGATGATCACAGCGAACACGATCTGAAATGCTATCGGGAATCGCCAAGCTACTTCCTTTTCTCCAATAAAAGACATTCCTAAATCGATAATCAGCGAATTAGATCTTCGACTTCCTAAAAATTGAAAGGCTCGGTGTGACCCACCGTAGTTGACCCAATAACTCAGAGTAATTCCAGCTGTGATCAGCATTCCCTCAATCATGACCATCTTTCCGCGATCGTGAGCCTTTGAGGACTCCGATTGCCAAGTCGGTACTGTGCTTGTATTCATGCCGTTTCCGACACCTGTAATTATTCGGCCCACGATCAGATGTGGCAGGCTGTATGAAGTGCATTGTAACAAAGCGCCGATAGTCATAGTTACACATCCGCAGAAGATGGTTCTTCGTCGGCCCAAGGGGTTACCGATGAAGATTGTCAATATGGCACCAAAAAAGCAGCCCAGATTGTACGAGGCGACTGCAATTCCTTGATTCAAACTGCGCTGCGATTGAAGCGCATCGTCGTGTTCGATGAGTGGGTCCTTAGGGTCGATATCTGGGAAATATTTGATGAAAGATGGCAAGTCTAACAGCCCTCCGGTTACACCTTGGTCATATCCAAAAAGTCTTGGAGAAATGGTCAGTTCTGGGCCGGCAGCAATGGCCACCAAGTGGTAGAAGCAACGTACAGGAAGTCAAGACTGCCAAGGGAGCTTATAGCCAGGTTGAGAGATCTGCCTCTCAGCCCGAAGAACTTTGGAATCCCAAACATAATGGGCAGCACAGAGGGTGCGGGTCTAACAGGTGGAAATGGGAATGAAGACAATCAAACGATTATATACAAAAGGGCCGTTTGCTTCCTATTCCCTCGGATGCACCAATGCGGTAACCCGAAGGGTTGGATACATAAGAGGCATTGCAATTGCCAAGATACGGGGAAACATGGAGAGTCGCGGGGAGGGGTGGTTCCACGGTCGTAAATGTTGGGGGCGGCTCGTGGAGGCAGACGTTTACTGGTTCGAGGGTCTGGTTTGAACTTTTCTAACAGAGTAACTAATCCTCTGTAAGCCAAGTCCGAAACACTTGGCATACTGTGTAGGAGCTCGGCGGTGGTATAGTACTCCTTGGCAGTGGTATGGCGACCTTGGAATACTTGGCAGCTTACTCTGAAAGGAGCGTGCCAGCAACCTGGTGACAACCACTGTGGGCGACAAGTAAAATGTATTATATGACTGTTGTGATACTGAAGTTCCAGCTTTTGGCTGCAAATTACCTTTCAATTCATTAATTCACATACTCGTAATAGAGCAAAGGAAGCGATATCCGCCAAGATCTGGAATCTGGCATTTCGCCCAATAGGATGCACCGCCTCGGAGTGGGTCATTATCGACCAATGCACTTCCACCGTCGCCGCCCTCATGTCTCCCTCCGCGATCCGTCTGCGATGACATGCGCCAATTGCGCCTCCTGGGGCCGTGCTGGTTATTGGGATCTTGAACTTGGTCTTATCGAAAGACACTAACTTCGAATCTTGAATCACGACCCTTTGCCCACTAACTCATGTTCATGATCCTTCTAACTCTGAGGTCACCAAACTGAAACCAACAGCAGCTCTAGAGATGCCTTCGCGGGTAACCTCAGTCAGAACCCGTGGACTTCTGGAATATTTCTATCAGGCACTGAGGAAATGAATTCTACCTTCAGGGGGCAACTATCTTGCAAAGTTTGCGGCGAATGATAGACAGGCCCGGAGGCCCATCATAGCCTGCTGTCTGTAACATCCAGGTTGCACCAAGACTCTCACCAAAATTGCCGTTCATTGCTGCAATGGAAATGTTCTCGGAGATCTGAAGGGTCCGGAGCTCTAGAGGGTTCAGAGCATGTATACTTAGGTAGATCTTCTTTCCAGTTTTGCATTCTCCAAACAAGCCATTGAAATCGCTGGCTTGGGAGTCTCTCCCGAGGTCTAGAGCTGAAATTACAAAGAAGGTATTAGAGCTCGATACCTACATCACCTGGACAGGTGACATGTCCAGGCTAAGCCTTGAGATGCCGGTCCACAGGTGTGGATGCCCAGGTGGATTGGCGAACTCTACAATGCTCTCCGGGGCTCTTAGGTATTGATGGTGTTTTTCTGGCGTCCCCTGAAGTCCAAGCTTGGAATCCCTGCGATCTGACACCTGAAGTCATAGGCCAATGTTTCTACGGTCCAAAAATTCACCTGGCACTTATAAAGTGAAGCAAATGCTCAGTTTCCAAAATCATAGATAGTTTCACATCATCCTTCCAGTTGCATTGCCTACCCAGATCCATGGATTTATATTCCCAACTTTAGAACTACTTGAGCAACGTTTTCTACTTAACCCTTCTAAAGTTGGAGATAAAGTTGAAACCTTCCAAGGTTACAATGTTTGATCTTTAATTTCCAATAATATTTCATACCTCCTTCCAAGGTTTGCAGTGTATATCCTCAAGTCTACAGCACCAAGTCCGGTAGATGAAGTTCCATCTAGTTAAATTGAGGGCAAATTGCCTCTTCGTTTCAGCAGTTTTCAAAATCCGAACTATTTTTGTCTGCATGAATGTATGCGACTACGCATACAAGAAAGCACCCTGGCAAAAACTGTCCACAGACTTCTGTCAACCGAATGCTAACCATCGAAAATCTGGTGCCAACGCTGAAGGTCAACGCCAAGTGTAAAATCGGGTAGGTGGCAGACTGGCAGTACCCGATGGCTGCAATTAAAGTTGTATATGCTAAATAGCTTGCATCGGTGATGGGATTAAGCTGGAGAGTTAGAGACCGGTCCTCGACGAGAGAATGTAGATCCATTGGAATACTGGGATGGTCGATATATAGGGGTACTATTGGGAGCATGGAGGGGCAGTAGGAACAATGCTTGTCTTTTCAAAAACACAAATTTCTTTTTTTTTCCTTTCTACTTTCTAAAATTTTTCTGCGATATGAACATGCGTAATTAGAGCAGTCTGAAAAAGGCCTAAGTATTCTAATTCTTAACGCAATCTATATACTCTGCACTTGCCTGTAGGTCAAAGGACAGGAGAATTGTACAGTAAAGCGAAGTGCGTGGGTTCCCGCCGGTCACCGCCATCGCCACAAGGTGGCTTGTGTGCTTCTCCTCACCCCAGGCCAAATTCCACGCCCAACCTGTTTTTCCTCCTCATCACCCGCCTATCACCCTACCTGATCTTTTTATGAACAAAGATTCACTCGCTTTGTGACCGATGACCGCATCATAACCCGTGAACCAAGACCGCACACAATTCTAGCCGCCATGGCGCGACGGTACGAGATCGATGAGCTCTTATGGCTCCGCGGCTCGCCCCTTATCGCAAAGCCATCTGGTCTACCTCCGATTGAAGAATGGATGTATGTAGGCTCGGCAATTTTCGATCTCAATATTGTCCCGCATCACGAACAAGACTGACCGCACGCACACAGGCCCCTACCTGACCCAACAACTACGCAACGCAAACAAACCCCCCGTGATCCCAACAACCCGACCGAGCCTGGCTCAGCAAGGAGATCCAGTATACTGGAAGCAAAGCACATCAGCCGAGGATCCAACTCTGGTATGAGTCTCCCCCTTCTGCCAACCATCAGTATCCCGGGTGTTGCATTTTGGAGGCATCAGCTAACAGCCGTCGGTTCTGTCTGCAGAAGATATTGTGCTCGGACCGCCTAAGGTGGCATTTGCCTCGTCTCGCATCGGCGGTAAAGGCTCTCTCGATTTGACCGACCGGCCAGTGCGAACTACCGACTCGGAGGACCCTAAGAATGACCGATTCCATTTCCGAGATAGGTTCTTCAAGGACCGTGATGGGATAGACAAAGATACGGAGCGCCGCGATGGTAAATCAGCGCCACTCAATGGTCGGCGTGTTGAGAAAGAAGACTGGAATGCCGGGCGCCCGCGTCGCACATTTGGACCCGAGGACCAGGAACGCAAGCCTAGACGCAATGGGGAATTCGATCGATGGGATAGCAAAGAAGGGCCCCGCGACCCGACCGCCGAACGAGGAGCTCTACCCAAAGACGGCCGATTCCCCACCCGGAAGGAGGGACAACCCCCAAGATCGAAGTACGAAGGAAGCTGGTTCCGCGACGAGCATAATCAGGACGGCATCGAAGCTGACGATGATAAACCGCCTCTCCGCAACCGTGAATGGCGCCAGAACCAAACCCGACACGGCACTGAGCGTGAGTGGAACAGGGGTGCCAAATTTGAGCAAGAGCCTGAATGGCTGGATGGCAATGAACGTGACGAGCCACGACGTGCACACACACAGGAAGACTTTGAACGTTGGAAAGAGCGCATGAAGGCTGGATCTGGAGCCGCACAGCCTTCGGCAGGCGTGGAAGAGAAGACAGAAACACCCGCTGAAGCACCTAAGCCTGAGAGTCGACGGACCGATGGTGAAATCTTCAGCAATTCCGGAGCCCAGTTTATGGCAGACAACTCCATGGAAAGATTCTTCGGTTTACTGGGTGACTCAAAACCTCAACCACAGATGCCCGAGGCTAGCACTTCTAATCCCGTCGATTATATTCCGAAGCAAGATCCTTTCCCCTTGCCCGGGAAGCCAGGAAAGTCCTCTCGCTTTGCAGGCTTGTTCAGCCCTATGCCAGAGAGCCCTGCTCGAGAGCCAGAGCCTCTTCCTTATTTCAATGCTCAGCCCCCGCCTCAATTGCATCCCCAGCACCAACAGCCCCAAGCCCAACAATCCCAACCCCCAGCCCCGCCATTACCAGAGGGTCTTTCTTTCCCCACTCACAGCGCCGACCAAGAAGGCTTCCAGCGCATTCTGCAGATGCTTGGTGGGCAAAGGTCCCAGAATGGCACCCCAAACGAGGGAGGTTTACCCCCAAAGCAACATCTGCCTATGATGCATGCAGAGCAGCAGGGTGCTGGTTTATCGTCTCCCCCAAGAGAGTCTCCTCACCGGCCTAATTACATGGGTCTAGGCCCTGAGAGCCCCATGACACAACACGCCGGCAAGGATCAGTCATTAGAAAGAGCACACCTCCTTCGTTTGATGCAGCAGGTCCGGGTTGGCCCATCGCCTGCCGGTAACCCGCAATCTCCTGGCGGTGGCATTGCCCCTCCTCCTGGGTTAATGCCAGAAGGCATGCCCCGCCCACCTCCAGGGCTGTCGGGCCAGAAAGCGCCGCCTTTCCTTGACGACCCAGCAATCGCAAACATGCAGCGACCAGATAATCATCAACTCCGTCGCGGACCTGGAAACGGCCCACCTATGGGATACTTTGATGAAGCTCCTTTCCCTCCAGGCAATCAAGGCCCTATGACCCCAGGTGGTCCCATGACGCCCGGAGGCTCTCGACCGCAGGGCCCGAACCAACCTCCTATGCCTCTCCAACGACCCCCAGGTCTCGAGCATCTTCCTCCCCCTGGATGGACCGGCCAGCCGGTTGCCCAGCAGGGTAACGCACAGAGCCCAATGGGCCCCCCTCCAGGTATTCCTACTCCCGGCCGTGGCATGAACCCCAACTTCCCACCCGGCATGCTCCCCATGCCAGGCAATCCGCCTCCCATAAACGAGCGCCAAGCATTCCCTCGCGGTCCACCCCCTGGTATGATGCCTCCCCCAGGCTACATGAATGGCCCCCCACCAGGGTTCCCACCTATGCCTCCCAACCCCGAGGCTATGATGGGTCTCGGCCCCGGTGCCCAGGGTCCCGGACCCTTTGGGCCAGGTAACCCCGGCCCAGGTGGCCCACCTCCCTCATCCAGACACCTACTTGAGATGTTCGGTCAATCCAACGGCGATCCCCGTGGGGGGATGGTTGGCCCCGGCCCATTCAGATAAACGAATATACTCTGAAGACATACTCTGAAGGCAACACTGATGAACTCGACATTGCGCCAATTTGCCAATGACCATTTATGATTATTTACGCAATTTCTGGTGGAGGTTGATGTACAGAAGCTGATCTTCTTTGATCAATCCACCCAGCCCACCCAAGCCCCGCTTTTTGAGAGATTGGAATATGCCTTTTGATTTTTCCTCTTTGCATGTTTTCACTTCCAATGTATTTGCTGCCCTTAAGCATGCCCGTGTCCGGTAACTTCATCCTGCGTTCGAGCCTTTGCTGCGTTCGTCATGGCCTTATGCTAGGATTTTGTATCATTCACTGGGATATCTTTTTCTTTCTTTCTGGCGTCCAATCTCTCAAGGGGCGCTGCTTTTGGTTGTGGCTTTGGTCCTGGATCGATTGGGTATATCCGTCTGGATCCACCTACGATGAGACTATGTAATCAGGCATGGATTGTGCTTGTATCTATAGCTTTCCCATGGAGCGCTGGCTTCAGCTGCAGACTGAGCCCGTATTTTACCATAGCTAGCTTTGACTCTCAATCTATCCATACTTGATATGAATCATGGTTGTTTGTAGCTTCGACTAATTCCCGATAGTATCGTCCCTATTTCAAGGTTCCAACGTTTGCGATCAGCCCTGGAGTGCAGTTCATCTCCTATGCCACTTCAACCTCTAGCTTAGGATACGTAGATCTTTACTTCACAAAGCATGGGTACTCAGGGCAAGAACTATGTACAAAGATATTTGATGGGATGATCCGGGGAGGTTAGGTGACCTTGCCCAAGTAGATAGACCCTCTTCTCTCTTCCCTCCTCTCTTCTTCCTTTTTCCCTCCAATCCCTTCTTTTCTGTTCCACCGTCAATGAATACGATTCTGCAGGTCTTTTGCTTCTTACCATCGGACGGATTGCCCGGTCTTCCGTCAACATTCTACCGACGTCAGCAACACCACTCAGCTTCATGGAAACATCGGTTAGTTTGCTATCCTCTCCTGTTTCCGCAAAGAGGGATGAACCTCTTCCTATCTTACAATCATAATCCCTGACATTCTTTTGATGGAGAACATCCATATATCTAGAATTTGATAATGATGTTTTCGTAAATGAGAAAAAGGAGACCCCCTACGCCTCCCAAATGCCTTCATATTTATTTCTGTTTGCTTGTTTTTTCTTCTGTCTGATTGGAGTTCTTTGTCAGTGTGTTCCCGCTCCACGGGTATTCACTTTCAGTGCTTGATAGAATGTCCAAATAACCCTTATTTTTCTCTTTGTGCTAGATGAGTGACTCTGCTTTATATTCTGCCATTCATCTTCACTTGTCACCGAAAGTGACCTGTATTCGGTCATGTATTTACTAGTCGCAAATAAATCCATCAACATCTTACATTATTGATCGATATATAGCTCTCAACACAGCCTACCTATGAATTTTCCCTTTATTAAAATCCAATTTAGGCACCAGTGTATTTAAATCTCTGCTTGATAGACACTTTATAGCCCCCGTCCTCTAGATATCATTTTTCATTGAGCTTCAACCTCATAAGATTGAAAACTTATATCCTGCACCTCTATTCCGAATCAGTAATAGATTAGAGGCTCTGACAATTAAAATAGATCTCATCGTGCAATCCATAGTTTGAGCAAAGAAAAAGTTGAGGAAAAGTGCTCAAGTGGTGAAGAACCCTGCTTCTCCCTCAAGATAACCTTGGAATCATGTATGGGCTTTTTGAATGCTTGCTGAAGTGAATTCTCTCAACCCTGTTTGTAATTGCATACTTAAGTTCTCTCCAGCTATTGGACCAGAGCCTTCTTGTCCTGGTAACATAAATTGCGTCTAATGTGCTTCAATATCGTGCTTCGCTACCTAAGTGTCCCCGCCTATGGGTATTAAGTAGCTTGCCAAGGTTTGAACCTACTGAAAATATTGCTTGATGATGGGCAACCTTCATGGTTTGGATCGGCCCTGTCCTCTTTGTCTCCGGAGCCTTTGCCCTTCTTTGTTAGATTTCAAAGCCAACAACTTATCAATATTGCCCCTTCTTCTAGTCTGTCTCCAAGCTTTTCTTGTTGAGTCTCTATAACCCTGGAATATTCAAATGCCTAAATTTAGGTCCTGGAACGGGGGACTAACTAAGGCGTGGGGAATCCAATCACAAAAGCGTCTCTCTACCAGTCTCTGGTATTGCGAGGGCTAGTGCTGTTCAAAGCGAGCATTCTTCTATGCTCAAGTGGTTCTGACAGGCTATTGGAAAATGCATTGGAGTCATGGCTCAAGATCTACTCAAGTATATATATCAACCTTGAGATTCGTTCTAAAGTTTAATTTTTTTTTCAGGTAACATCATATACTTAGTATTATGCCAGAAAAATTAGATCAAATCATTCTACAATGATACTCTTTGTATACTTAAGTACAAGGCAGGGCAAAATCCGTGGACGTACTTTGGTACTTAAGTAAGTACCGTACGACTGCGAACGAAAGGTCTTTGAAGTTCTAAAGTTCCGCCACAGCTCTCTCAATTTATCTCAAACCTTGCCACACCTCCGGTATTATGGTGCACGAAGCTCCCGGACTACCTGTGTCCATACTTAAGTGGGTAAGCATGCCCAGGTGCTAGATAAAAGAACCCACGCCTGACCTAACATCAGCTTCTTGTTATTTTCAACCCGGCTGCGTATACTTTATACTCCATATGTAGTCAGATACTGCACATGAAAATGTACTTATAGGGGCCTACAGGCAACAAGGGAAGCAGACGGAACGGATGGATTCACTAGCTCAAGAGAGAGAGGAACTGTAGAAAGAAGGGGACAGGGAAACGGGGAGATAATCTACACAACACAATATTCCTGAGCCCAAATTAATGCATGCTAGCTCTAGGGTTGAGATTATTTTTTTTCCCTGAAATTGTTTAAAGATTAAATGTCATATCGCTAGCAGATCGAATGTCGTTCGTTCTAAAGATGGAAATATGCCTGCTCGCACGTGACATACCGTGCCCCAACATTGAATGTATCTGGATTGTATAGATCGAACGAACACGAATCTTTCCTGAACTCATGTACAGAACTGATGCGATTTGGTTTGCTCAAGTGCTCAAGTGATAGGCCATTTCAATTCCATAAATGTAACTCTTTATACAGTGAGGTCTCTATCGTTAAATTGGCACTTTGGCCAACATACAGTCGTAGATGACAGCGTTGTGCTAAGTGGTATTCTATCAAATTCTTTCACACAGCGGATCTCAGGGGGCAACGAGAAACGTTTGATTTCCCAAAGGAGTGGAATAGAATCTAGTTTAGATCGATTAGTCGGCGACAGGTCTCGGCGTCGACTAATCGATCTAAACAATAAAGAAGCATCTCATCTTGTCCGGCTCCTCGTTCTGTCGCCACCCCGCCAAACACACAGACACACCATTTCGAGCCAATCGCACGAAAAAAGTCTCTAGTGTATCATTTGATCAATCCTTGAGCTTCTAATCATTGAATTCATCAGACCCATCCGGTATGTGTGCATTTTCCATCCAGTTTCTGCTCCGTTGAAGTCAGCTTCGAGCGGCTACTTACAGCCTCGGCGTACAGCGAGCGACCGAACCCAAATATCTTGCTACCGTTTCTTAAGATACCGACTACAGTCAGAGTGGATATTCGAACAGGAAAACCCTCTGTTTGACCCCAAGGGTCGTCGTCGGCACAGAGCAACCGTGAGATTCTATTCTAGCAACTTTCTTCCAGAGCGACCGGAGGACCCAACCAAGGGACATCACCGGTTTCATCCATTCTCAGACAAGTTCATCGGGTTTCACCTTATTCTTTTGCTGTTTGGCTTGTATCGTGTGCTAACAAGGAGGGTTGACAGCCAGCAATCCCAGCAGACACTCGGTGCATTCTGCTGGTCTACAAAAAGTGTACCTCTCTTATCAACAGTGGAGGACGGCCATCAGGTTTGTTAGCCCTTTTATTCTATGTTTTGGGTTTCGAATCCCATTCGGTGGTTTGTGGGACTAAGAATCTGGATACAGACAGCCTCCCAGCAGACAAGCAGACACTCGGTACACTTTTACAAGCCTTCCAACGGTTAATTGCCGGCTTTCCTACTACCTCAAAGTACCAGACACATACTTTTACACCTCAGTATGTGATTGTGATTCCCGGGTTGCCGATGATCCAATTGCATGCTAACAATCTCAATTCATAGGTAGTGACCGTGGCCAGTGTGCTCGCGACATCTACTATTTCAATACACAAATTGTGCAACTCAATTGCCCAAATCAAGCTTTATTAACCACCGAATACAAGCGGTTGACGCCATTCCTAAAAAAGTTTGGATTGACGATACAGTCGAACAAAATGGGCAATCAACTGAATAAAGTGGAGGGTGGTCAGCAGTCTGATAATGTGAGTACCTTCCGCCGTGTTCCAACACACTTTCAGCTCTTGAGAATTTCTCTCGTGTGCTTTCCTACCCATCCTGGCTTCTTCACGTCTGACCTCTTTTCCTCTCTTCTTTCAGGACGCGCGCCTATCATCTGATCACTTTTCAGACTCCTACATTCAGTTCCCCGACTTCCAAACCGCAGACCAGCTATCATTCTCTCAACCTCACCCTGAGTCTCGTGCACAGCGGTCTTCAGAGATTGACCCAAGTGCAACACTCTCTGACCGACGCCAACTGAGCACAAGTCAGGCACCATTTCCACTGTCACTTCCCTTCCGCCACGCCGAGAGAGCCATCCCCAACAGGTCCACAAATCGACCAACCGATTCTCGTCTTTTGCAAGATTCGAACGATCTCTCTACGTCGTCAGCCCATAGCTACGTTACCCAGAGCTACACTGAATCTACTAATTCAGCAAGATACATCGAGCTATTTGCGACAGAGCTATCCACTCGTCTCGAAAGGGTTTTGTTGTTTCAGGGCCGTTCAGGCGAGAGATTCACAGACAACACTTCCGAAGAGTCTCCTTACACTCCTAGCGCTGTGCAGTCTTCACACGAGCCGTCCACTGGCGATAACTGGGGCTTCTGGTATTCTCCTTACGCCGCATCTTATTATCGAGAGCTTGGCACCGACGAAGCATTGTCATCCCGACCTGCGACTCCTCGTGTTGTGCACTATCCACACGAGCCTCTTATTGACCAGAACCTGGGTCTCTCTCAATTTTCTGACCCCATACTCTCTTCTCAACAGCTTGGGACAGACGAAGCATTAGCATCCCGACCTACTACTCCCCGCACTGCACGCTCTTCACACCAGTCTCTCACAAACGAGGACTGTGACTTCTGGTATCATTGTGACGCCGAATCATCTTCCTACGAGCCTCTTATCAACGCAAACTGGGGCGTCTCGTATCCCTCTTACGGCGAGTCCTCCTCTCAACAGCTTGGGACGGACGAAGTATCGGCATCCGGACCTACTACCCCTAGCGCTGTGCACTTTTCTCACGAGCCTGTCGTCGAAACAGAGCCTGTCGTTGAAGCAGAGCCTGCCGTCGAAGAAGAACCTGTCGTTGAATCAGAGCCTGTCGTTGAAGCAGAGCCTGCCTTCGACGAAGAGCCTGCCGTCGACGAAGAGCCTGCCGTCGAAACAGAACCTGTCGTTGAGGCAGAGCCTGCCGTCGAAGCAGAGCCTGTCGTCGAAGAGCCCCTCATCAACGAGAGCCAAGGCCTCCGTTATTCTCCCTTCGCCGGGTCCTCTTCTCAACAGCTTGGGAGCGACGAAGCATTGACATCCCGATCTACCACTCCACGCATTGCGCACTATCAATACGACGGTCCCACCGACGAGAGCTTCAGTGCTTGTCATTCTAGCGGCCTACCCTATCCTGAACAGCTTGGGACGGACGAAGCATCGACATCCCGACCTACCACACCTTCCACTGTACACTCTTCACGCGAGCTTCTCACTGACGGGGAAGATACCTCCCGCGAGACATTTCTACAAGAAGCCATAGAAGCGCTTCGGCTCGCCTACCCCGAGTCTCCAGATCTTGCTCCGAGCCCATACTGGGACGAAGAGAGCTCTACACACGAAAGCAATCAGAGTAACTCGCCTGATCTCGATATGCGTCGCTCAAGTCGCCTGCAGAATCTGGCAGATGCCGCAATCAATCGCGGGGATCGGGAGGGGTTGGAGAGCAATGAAGCCTCCACCCTGTCCGCGACAACCATGGCCGACGACGGCATGGAAGATGGCGAGCGGGAGGGTGAAGAGCCCGAGGGCTCTCCCTCCAACGAAACCTCGACCCGAGGTAAGACTAAATCCTGACATGCCCTCCCATCCAATCCCCACGTTACTAATACATTGACATCTAGAGGACACACTCGAGGTCGATCCCGAGTGGGGCATCACGCCCCCTACCAACATCCCCCGGGGGTGGGACTTCGCCATCTACGAAGACCCCGCCGGGGCCGCCCCCCTCGGCCAGCACGCCCCTCAGAGGGAGGGGGTGTCCTCCCAAGAGGAGGACAAGGAGAACTTGCCCCTCGGGGCTGGGGAGGAAGAGGAGGAAGAGGAGGGGGGGGACGTTGACTGGGGCGAGGTGGAGCAGCTGCCTCGGGACGCCTTCGGGCGCCCGATCGCCCGGGATGGTCGTCCCATCCCGGAGCGGGCTCCCTTCGGGGGGTGGCAAGGCGCCCACCTCCGCCCCCGACGCTAGTTGGGGTGAGGAGGAGGGAGAGAGTGGGGGGGGGGGGGGGGGGGGGGGGGGGGGGGGGGGGGGGGGGGGGGGGGGGTTACGGAATAGGCTGAATGGTATCTCGGACACGTACAAGTAACGGAGTTAGATCTGGCTTGGCCCCGAAAGTATATCTGAAAGGATCTGTTAGGATTCTTATTCCGGTCGAACTCATAGGGCAGACAGAACGGATGTATGAATGCCTAACTCGAACCATACATTTTAGCGTGGCTACGAGTGGCTAGCGTGTCTGAATTTTTAGTATAATCATTTGAGGAGATTCGTAATCCGGGAGTACTGGCGAGTGGAAAGAAAAAGACCAAAGTACCAGGACCTAATACCGCCCGGGTCCGTCGGTGTATCCGAAACGAGAACAAAGAACAAAGAATGAGTTGCGGAGTAGAGAATACTGCGATAAGGGACCAGAGAATATGTGACTTTTTCCCGAGAAGTGACAGAACTAGTCAAAACGGGTCTGCATGCCCTGGATGATCTTAAATTGATTGCTCTGTTCACTGCCGACTAGTGAGGAATCCTCCGTGTTGAGAAGTAGCAGGTATACATGGAATGTACGCCCACAGAGTATACGAGTAGATCATTTACGTTAAAGATTTGAGCTCCGGCTGACATCATTGTGTAAGGCAGATCAAAGTAGCCGACCCGAGCAAACCGAGTGCATCGTGCAGGACAGGGGAAAGCGATCAAGCTGTCAAGCTGGAGTTTCCAATTGATCGGACTTTTTTGCAGCCAATCAAGTCTAATGGAAATGCATAGCTCTAAAGAGGGAACCCCTTCAAGGGTTCGCCCTGTCAGCCGAGAGATAAGTGGAGGTGAGAGCTGTACGAGTATACATTGCCCAAATTGTATTCGTACAATGTACTCGCATGTACAGAGTAAAATCCAAGGTGCATCTGACAGAAACGGGCGATCAAACTACAAAACTAATGCCGCCATCGGCACTGATCATCCCGTACTTTGTGTAGATCTGGCGGGCTTTAGGGTGCCCCTTGGGAACACAAATCGCAAATCCCGGGGCCCACGGCGGGAACCAAAAGCGAGAAAAGGCTAACAGATATTCGCATATAAAAATGGAGGAAGGGGGGGGGGGGAAACCACCAATCCAATACTATTGGATGGCAAACTCTTCCCTGATCTCCATCCCAATTATGAATGTGTGCATCCGTGAAGCTCGTACGGAGTACTCCGTACTCCTTACTCCATACCCAGGTGTGCACGACTAAAAGTACTCGTATGTACATTGCCGGTTCCATCAACCAATGTACTGGAAATTGGCTATCTTTGTACGAACCCTGAACTCTGGATGATTTTTCCTTTACCCCCGTCCTACCCGGTCGAAATCGAGATTCCTTTTCCCAAGATCCCACAATCCCACAAGAGCTGCACCTAGTGTTACCTTTCCAAACACGGAATAGTAGAGTGGCTTAGACCAGTGACCACCTTTGGAACATTTCCGCCATCAACTGCAAATGCTGACGGGTATCACCCAGGTGCTAAGGACAAGGGTATATAGATATATGTATACTACCTACTGCGGGTGAGCGCGCAAGCCCAAGCTGAAAAGTGGAGGCAACGGGCTATAGGGGTGAGCAGGGAGCCAAGACGGTTTCAGTTTAGTGAGTCCAACCCTTGGAATATCTTGTACGGAATACACCTGTTAGACCTGGGCAATATGTCCGATTGGCATGAAAAATAAATCAGTGGCAAAGTTCCAATCATATGGAAATCCGGGAGACATAACAGATTTACGAGTAGAAGCAAAGAAACCTGAATTGGATGCTCAAGCATCCTGGGCCCCGCCTAGTAACTTTAGACAGGATTCCTAGGCTCCGGTAAGATGCCCCTGTTAAAACCTGTAACTTTTGGGATTATTCGTTGCATCTTCCCACTTTTGATCTTTTTTTTTTTACTTCTTTTCTTTTTCTCTCTTTTATATCTCTTTTTTCTCTTCTCCACCTTTTCCAACAGGGTGCCCAGCTCCCGGATATATTGGGATCTGGACTAGCATCAGCAATATCCGTACTGTCACATACTTTAGGTTAGTCGTGCAACAGGCATTCGAGTGTTTGTCAAACGCCCCATCGGCTCTAGTATTCCGTCACCTGCAGCTAGAGTTGTGTGGTCACTTCAACTGGCCCAAGAATATTCAACTGGCTCCAAAATAGTTCCTTTTTTTTTCTCTCTGGCTTGTGTCCCGCTTTCGAATGCACTTAAAGCAGCTATTGTACCGCAACAGATCCCTGCGATATGATTCTCTCCCTTCTTTCCCCGTGAAATCCAGATAACCTATTGACCAATGCCACTGAGAGGTTACCCAACACATAACGGCGCGATTGAGTGGCAGGACTCTACCACCAACTATTCACCGCAATAACATAAGGCTCATTCACGGCTGTACACAACTTTTCCGAGAAAACAGATCAAGTGGTGAGCGTCGGGTTGACTGCAAAGTAACCAATTCGACGATCCGACCATTCGACATGAAAGTGAGCCATCATCACAACCCCAAGCACTTTCCGGCCTTGGCTCCAGGCCCGCCGCGTATGTTTGCACCGCAGACGTCGACAGCGGTCACCAAGCCAAAGAAGAACTCTACAGCTTGTCTGGCATGCAAGGCAGCCAAGAGGAAGGTGAGTTGGTACATTTACTGAGGCTGTTTTGGCTTCTCTCTTGCTTTCCGTTGATCCCTCTATCTCTCTTCCTACTCTTGAATCGCTTCAATATCGACACAGTATCATCGAAAGGTACATGAACTAACATTCAATTTTCTCGACAGTGCTCTGGACCCGATGCACCTTGTAAGGCGTGCCGAGCGGCCAACACCGAGTGCTACTTTGATCCCAGCCGAGACCTCAGACGCAAAGTAGCCGTGAAACGGACGATTCAAGAACTTACAAATCACAAGGAGCTACTAGCATCCTTAATAAAAACCCTCAAAAGGGCCGACGAACCTGAGCTTGAGAATATTCTGAATTTGATTCGAAAGGAGGCTCCGCTGGAAGATATCGCAGAGGTAGTTGGAGGTCCCGCAACGACATTCGCCGATCCACAGGAGCTATCGACGGCTAGTAAATTGGCCATATCAGAGTATGGAGACCAGCCTGTTGAGATCTCAGGATCTGCCTCCCAGCCAAGACGGACCTCAGACGCAAGCAACGTGGCAAGCTCTCCAGAGGATACTCAGTTCATGAAGGCACCTCAACTGCCAGTGGTCAGCCCCTATGAACGAATATCACTAGAAAGCCTTTGTGACATACCTTTGTTCGAGGTACCAGCAAGTCCATGGACATGTGTCACAGATAGCGACTATCTGGTTTCCCACTTGGTCTCGCTCTACTTCACATGGGATCATTCTGGCTCGCAGTTCCTTGACCAACGTGTTTTCCTCGCACATATGAGGCATGCGGATCTAGACTCGAGCTTCTGTACACCGCTTCTGGTAAACAGCCTTTTGGCGATAGCCAGCGTATGTATCCCTGAATTTCTTATCTCGTGACCCGTCGCTGACTCTCACAGACACACTCTGATAAACTCGACGTGTTGTCAAGTCCAGATGATGCTTATTCAAGGGGTCAACCCTTCTTCGATGAGGCGCAAAGATTGTGGGAAGCCGAGGCCGAGGCCGAAGCCAGCCTATCTCCCACAAATCTGTGCAATGTTCAGGCCCTTCTAATGATGTGTTGTTTGTATGTTGTCTCCGGGTTTGCTGAACCAAAATTTGATGTCCAGGAGACTGATTGTTCTATAGTTTAAAACTTCAAGGTCGAGCCAGTAAAAGCTGGCTGGTACTTGGACAAGCTGTGTTGTTGGCCCAAGGTATGGGTCTCTTTGATTCACCCATGCCGACACAAGCTACGACAACGTCGGAGATGGAGCGCGTTCGCATAATGACTGCTTGGGGAATCTTCAACTTACGCTCGTAAGAAACTACTCGCCAAATTTACAGACACGGTCGCTAATTGTGCGAACAGACAACTTTCGGTTGAACTGAAAATTACGGCTCCCTTAGCATGTCCTAAATCAGACAATATGCTCTGTGGCAACGACGATTTTGACTGGATACCGTATCCTCGATCTTATAGAACGACCTACGACACAAAATCAGCTCGTCTCCCGGATATTCGACAAGGCATGGTTGATATCTCGAAAATATTGAGTGATGCCCAGGGACTTTTATGCCAAGGAAATCGCGGCGCCAGCCCCGAGGACTTGTGGAGAGAGGTGCAAGCCTATTTTAATCGCCTGGACACTTGGCTCCAACGCTGGCCTAGCGTATCGGAAATGGAAGTCGATCCGGTCCCTCAATTTTTCATTGTTAGGTACGTCCGAAATCCCCCTCGATCAATGGCTTCAATACCTGCCGTATGACAACTGCTGATTTAAATAAGAATCAAATGTCTCGAGGCTATTATCTCCCTCTTTGAGATAGTGAATGGCCCTGCTGAGCCACGGTTAACTCAAGAGGTCCAGTATTATCAAACCAGGTCTGCCTATGAAATGGCAGAATGTCTTCGGGCCCACCGTCGTGCTTACAGTCTCAAACACATACCCAGCCAGATGGGCAGTGCTGTCCAAATAGGCCTTCGGGTCCTGGCCCGTCATTCAGACGACAGCGATGAATCACGGCAGGCTTTTGCTGAGCTCTGTCGCTTTGGGATGTCTCTCAGCTATAAGCACAAAGAGACTGCCAAAGTGATGAAGGATATCAGAGTAAAAGGTTTGCAGCATAACCTTCGACTGCCTCATGAGATTGTTGAGATCCCTGAGGGCAAGGGTTACGGTTATGAGTCATGACCCATGACGCCTGGATCAGGCATTATCCGACATGTGAATTGTGCATTTCATTTCAAATCGAAAAAAAAAAAAAAAAAAACAAAAAAAAAAAAAAAAAAAAAAAAAAAAAAAAATTTTAAAAAAAAATTATAATAAAAAAAAAAAAAAAAAAAAAAAAAAAAAAAATTAAAAAAAAAAAAAATAAAAAAAAAAAAAAAAAAAAAAAAAAAAAAAAAAAAAAACACAAACAGGTCGGCTGTATTATTTCAAGCTTAGCTCACAGAATGGTCTTGGATGGTGTGTACTACGGAATTGGTTTATTGGGTGTTCTCGGCGTTCGTTTGAGATGGAACTTTGGGATCAAACGATGTTACATAATGTTGAAAGTGCTTGCTAAAAATATAAGACTGTTATGAGTCGAGTCGTAGTGTTACATTCATCTTTACCCCTGGGGGCGCCTCGACAATGCCAATTGCCGGGGGTAGTAGTCTACATTATCGACGAGGTTGAACCTCGCGTGTATGATGATGATCTAGGTAAGGCTTGTCCGAGACTGATTGATTGAGAGTCGACCATTTCATCTATAGATGAGAACCTGACTCCTTCCAAATTTGATCTCAACCAAGCTAGAGCTAGAACAACTGCTCTGGCTAGAAGATCATATTTTAGAAAGGAACTAACAAGCTTATTTGAGCTTCTTCTAAAGTTGAAGTCCATAGCCCCTTTTGAGATACAGATTGGCCCCAACGCTACAGGACTAAAATAAACCGAGTAGATAGTCAAGGCCTTTCAATTGCAAAGCCATTGAATGACAGATAAACTAATAAAAAAAACCTCCCCATGGAGAACAGTTGAGGATGAAAGAAGTGGGCAGCAATTGAGGCCATAGTTTGCGATGAGTCAGCACGATAAGCCCTGATAAGCACACCAAGCGAAAACCCTCAAAATTCGACTTCTTTGGCAAATCGCACACGCCGACGCTAGTTCCCCACCTCGTCCTTTCCGCGCCCTCTCTGCCGTTTCATCTCGGCAACTTGCTGCATTCTTCAATCTCTTCTCCTTTTCTCCCCACCGAAAATGTCCTACGAAGATCGCGCCAATGCGCGCCCCAACCTCGATGAGTCCGACGTTGAGGAGGAGACTATGGTCAACGACTACCGCGAGCAGGTCAACTACGACGATGGCATGAGCGATTTGGACCGAACTACATCCCAGGGTGGTGCTGCCCAGGATCTTCAGGCTCAGCTGGCCGCCGCCGCTACCCCGCTGGAATACCAGGCTACCCTCGAGACCAAATTCGCCAGCTACGACAACTACTGCAGTCTCTTCCACTACATCCTGAACTCCGATGGTCCCGTTGACCTCGAGGTCCCTTCGGTAGGTCTTTTCAATCTCGGAAACATGCCGTTGTTGAACATCCGTGAATGAAAACAAGAAAATACCTTGGCATTCATGGATACGGCAATGTCGATTTCATCACAAAACAAATATCAGTAACTAACCATATACTTCCTCATTATCAGTACTACTGGGCTTGGGAAGTCATTGATGAATTCATTTACCAATTCGAGTCTTTCTGCCGCTACCGCAACCGCATTGCTGGCACCGGATCCAACGAGGAGGAGGCCCAGCTGCTCCGCGAGAACCCGAACACATGGGGCTGCTACTCCGTCCTGAACGTTCTCTACTCCCTCATCCAGCGCTCTCAGATCAGCGAGCAATTGAGCGCCACTAAGCGCGGAGAGGACCCCCTGGCCGTTGCCGGCGAGTACGGCTCCCGCCCTCTCTACAAGATGCTCGGTTACTTCTCGATCATCGGACTGCTGCGCGTGCACTGTCTGCTCGGTGACTTCAGTCTCGCCCTGAAGATCCTCGACGATGTCGAGATGAACAAGAAGGCCATGTTCGCCCGTGTGATGGCCGCCCACTTCACCACCTACTACTACGTGGGTTTCTCCTACATGATGATGCGTCGCTACGGCGATGCCATCCGCATGTTCAGCCACATCCTCGTGTATGTGTCTCGCACAAAGAACTTCCAAAAGGGTGGTAACAACTACGATGCCATCGCCAAGAAGAACGACCAGATGTACGCCCTGATCGCCATCTGTGTTGCTCTCCACCCCACCCGTCTGGATGACACCATCCACTCCGCCGTTCGTGAGAAGTACGGTGAGCAGTTCTACCGCATGCAGAAGGGTGGCCCCGAGGCCCTCCCCGTCTTCGAGGAGCTCTTCCGCTCCTCCTGCCCCAAGTTCATCAACCCCACTCCCCCCGACTTCGAGAACCCCTCCTCCAACGTCGACCCCGTCGACCACCACACCGCCATCTTCATGGACGAGGTCAAGAACACCCTCTTCAACCCCACCATCCGCTCTTACCTCAAGCTCTACACCACCATGGACCTCAAGAAGCTCGCTGGTTTCCTCGAGGTCTCCCCCGAGCAGCTCCGCTCTTGGCTCCTCGTCAACAAGCAGCGTAGCCGCCAGATCCGCTGGGTCGAGGGTGGCCTGCTGGATGGTGAGCCTGCCATTGCCAACGATCTCGACTACGCTCTTGAGGACGACCTGATTCACGTCAGCGAGACCAAGGCTGGCCGCCGTCTGGTCGACTGGTACCTTCGCAACCTTGCCCGCGTCTACTAAAACGCGAGTTCTCATAAGTGTGCCGAGAGTTGAAAAGCATTAAGAGAAGGGGTGGAGAGAGAGAGACCTTCTGCTTACCAGAAGAGGAACGGACATGACTTGAGATGAATTTTCTTATTTCTCTGCCTACTTTGTTTTCATTTTCCATATTATACTCACTGCCCCCTCCCCCCTTTTCCCCTGTCCCGTTTTTCTTGTTTCCTTATTATTATTTTTTATCATTCGATTTGTTTCCGTCCCTGAACCTTGGATGCCTCGATGCTTCTGGGGTTGGTTTCAAAATCAGGTCGGATTGTCGATTTTTTTTGGTGGGCGTCCGCTGTTTCATGTGTTGCTCTAAGCTGCTGTCCCTGTTTCTTTTGAAAACAGTTGACTTTTTCAGCATGGTGATTATTTGTGTCAGGTAGAAGAAACAAAAAGCAGTTACTTGATGAAAGCAATAGATCAACGAGAAATACTCTACATATTTCAATTATTTCCAACGACAATTTGACTTGAATGCAGTGTAATGAGAAGCAAACAGTCATTGAACTTGATTGATACTATATCGGGTACGGTCAAGTCCAGCCTGATACTTGAATATCAATATTGGGATTCGTTTGTGAAATACTGTGAGCCCTATTCTCTATCTACACGTACAATTAAACCATCCCCAACTTGGATTATAACAGCAATAGCTCACCAGTCGCAGCACCGCCAGCCAACTGTGGCTGATACACCTGCTGCTGATTTTGAGTAACGACGTATTGCGTCTGAGGCGCACCACCACCACCAGAGCCATCCAGATCCAACGAAGCCATTTGCTGAGAGCCAATTCCACTGAAATAGGCGTCCGCCGCATGAGCAGCCTCATTCATATTCGTTGGTCCCGTGGATGATGCATTGGGTCCCGGACCGACAGGCAGATGCGGTGGGGGAGGGGCGTTGATTGGCGTGACGGGAACGCCTGTGGTTGTAATCGTAGCCAGACCACTGTTACTGGTTGATGCTGAGGCCATAGTGGCGGAGGGAGGGTTGTATTCCAGCATAGAGCCAGTGTCTGAGCTGCTTTCGGTGCGGGATTGCTGCAAAGCTGGGCTGGGTAACAGACGCCTGGGACGGGCAGCTCGGAAAACTTGGTGAATGGGCTTCAGATACACAGTAGCTAAAGTGCCGACGTTCAAACACAGTTCCTCCAGTGTGCGCGGGTCGAGTTTTTCGCTCTCGGCGGTGATTGGAGGCTTTTGGCCCATGACCACCTGTTTGGCAGTTGCTGGGTCTGTGGATAATAAACGCCAGTACATGTATCCACGATCGCGAAGATCGGGGTCGTCTGTTTCTTCAGTGCACCACTTCAATACTTGCGGTACAAGCTGTTGGCCCTTGGTGGGCCGTTGAATGAAAAGCTTGACGGTAGCTGTAAGTAAAGCCAATTGAACTTCCACTGTTTCGTCGTGGAAAGTAGCCAGGTAGTCCTGGAGCAGACCGTCCGAATTATCAATGCGATCAGCATATTGACCAATAATCCAAATCACGGCCGCCTTGGCCTCGGGTTCATCCAAATCGTCGATGTTGCGAATGACGTGACTGATAATGCTCTCATACTGATTGGGGTATTTGCGGAAAATGTTGCGAATGACGACTGTTGCTTCTTGGACGATGTATGGAATTTTGGCATCGACGAGCTCCAAGAGCGTGTTGATACACTGCTTCGCAGAGGATTCGATTTTGATGGCCAATTTTCCAATAGCGCGAACAGCCTTGCGAACGAAGTGAACATCGATCTCAGTGGCATATCTGTGTCAAGTCAATAAATGTTCGTGGGGTATACAAGTATACCTAAATGGCACGTATGGGACGCTTACTCTCGAAGTTCTGCCAGAACAACAGATATGTTTTCTTTCGTAGTCAGCATAAACATCAGTTCCAGCTTGGTAACTTTGACATAAATAGGGTCGTTGTAGTTGCAGAAGAACACGCGGATATCATTCCGCAGAACTTCTGGTCTCTTCTGAAGGATTAGAATTGCATTTCGCAGGGCCAGGTATTGAACCTCGGGAGGCTTGGAAAGGAGTGTGACGAGGGGTGGAGAGAGCTTCTTGCACAATGAGGTGATATGCTTTTCGCCTGCAATGTAGTTCATGAGATAGAGAATGACTCGGCAGGATGTAAGAACAACGGCGGAGTTTTGATGGGAGAGTCGCGGAGCAACTCGCTCTGCCAGCAGAAGCGCCTCGGCGGTATCTTGAGGCACATAGGACATTAATGCCTCCAGAATATAGGTTTGACCCCATCTGGCTAGAAGTTAGCAATGGATTAGCTACAGAGGAGCCACGGGGGAATCATACTCGGAGCAGTCTGGCAAAATCGAAACCAGCTTTGAAGCGCTGACATAGTCGATGGTCAGAGAGATCGATTCGCTTCGGCCCCAGATGTCAACCAGCGATGCCAGAACGCTTGATACAACAGTCGGGTTCTCGTCCTTCAACATGCGATTGAGTCGGTCGATCAAGTCCGAATTCTCAACCATCTTCTTATCGTGCTCGTACAGCTTCGCGACACAGAAGGCAGCCGTCTTACGGACATAAGGATCGTTGTCTTGCATGAGACGTGTAAGAGGCTGGGATGTCGCCTCGACGAACTCGCGCACATGCACATAGGAAATTGTCCTCAGTGCGAGTGCGCGCACCAATGGGTTATTGTCGCCCATATCCTGTGTATTGCGTCAGACTCATTCCATGATCATCTCGTGGACATGGGAACGTACATCAACCAGAATAGGCAATGCCTTCAAGGCCACCTCTGGCTTCATCCTCGAGTAGTTGACCAAAAACAAAAAGCACCTAGAACCGATCAGCCCTCATTACCCCCTACTTGACGCTTCATGCATTTTATTTGACGCACATCTTCTTGATCTCCAAGCTCGGCAGGTTCATGCATTCGATCACATCCGGGAAAAGCGCAACCATGTCGTTGTTGCTCATAGTCATGTTCGCGACAATCTTCTTGAGGGCGATCTTTTTGGCGGAATAGTTCTTGTCTTTCTTGCCGCCACTATTGAGCTCCTGCCGTAGCTCTGCAACCTTTCCCTGTGGATTCCGCGAGCGTGAGCCATGTAAACCAACAGGGGCAATACCGATAAACATGGGGGATAGTGGAGGGGTACAAGTCGAGGGGCCAAATCAAGTATACGATTCCAGGAATCAGAAACACAAGCTGCCAGAGCAGACATCATGAACGGGGGAAGGCAGAATGCGGGGAAAGGGGACCAAGGCCTGAGCTGGGCGATCATGCGACCCCAAGACACAGTGCTGAGAGCCAACGTACCCTAGCGAACAACTTCGCGTCTCCTCCGGAACTCATGGCTGCGGTATAGGCGATTAGCCACTGCGCTTAGATCGGCTTGGCAGAGGTTCGTATTGATCAATCGCACGCGATTTGAAGGGGAAGTTCGAAAGGTGAAAAGTCGTAAATAGGATCGAGAAGGCGTATTCGTAGGATTGGCCCTTGAAAAAGGTCCAGGGTCCAGTAGATTGAAAGGGTCCAGAGGGAAAAGGGTGAGAGACTGGCTTCACTGCACGTTCGGGATGCTCGGAGATAAATTAATTCATCGACTGGACATGACGGAAGCAAAAAACCAAAAAGAATCTCCCAAAGATTCCTGAGATTCCTGGGATTCCAATGGACAAGAATTGAGAAGCGAAAAGGAGAGAAGGCGGAGTGGACACTGCGGATGCGACACTCGGGCAACTTCTCCCCCGTTATACAACTCTCCATCTCCACAACATGTCGCAAGCACGTCTACCCCCACCACCTCCTCCGCAATGGGTTGTTGCATTGAACTCGCCCATGCCCCGCGCCTCAAAGGGTGCTTCCAGCATCCCTGATCCCCCAGGCTTCTCGAGCAATCGAGGCAAGGTGAGATTCCCCTCCAAGGCTCCAGGCCCAGCTCGATCGTCACTAACACCTATATCATTCAGCGTCAACAACAGCAAACCACCACTAAGAAGCCCGAGGAGACCGACACACTGAAGATGAAAAAGGCGTGGGAGGTCGCCATGGCCCCGTCGAAGCAGATTCCTATGAACGCCATTATGATGTACATGTCTGGCAACAGTCTTCAGATTTTCAGCATCATGATGGTCCTTATGTTGTTCAAGGGTCCCATTCAGGGTATAATCAACACAAATGCCGCGTTTGCCAAATACGAATCCCCCTCGACCCATTCGCGTCTTATCGGCGTGAAGATCGTATACATGTTGATGCAGCTGGTATTATTGGCACTGGGTATCTGGAAGGTGAATGCGATGGGTCTATTGCCGTGAGTTTGGTTTTTGTCCATGACATGGCTATTTGTCGCTAACATATTTGACCAGAACTACGAGATCGGATTGGCTAGCGTGGGAATCGGAACGGCAATCCTTGGAGCATGCCCAGTTTGCCTTCAGGTGATTTGATGCGACTTTACTATAATTTTTTGGAGTCATGCAATCAGAACAGTCGATTATGGCCGACAACGCTCGCTATGTACAGTTGACAAGCTCTGTCTATGTTCCATCTGCCCTCATAAACCCCAGTGGATATCAATAGAAACTCATAATTCGTCAAGGTCATCAGGTATCGCACTCATTATTCAGCTCTGGCTTTCTCTTTCAGACGTCGCTCCTCGCGCCAGGCGGGGCCTTTGCGGATAACGATGAGAAGCAGTGGTGTCGTGGCGAGCATCACGAGTGCAATGAATGTGAAGCACCAGCCCTTGCCCATAGCCGACAGCATGGGGTCTATCAGGGCCGTCGCTCCAGCTCCCAGCAAGCAACGCCCAAAGTTGTTTGCAGCAGTAGCCTTGGCCGCTTGGGTTGGGTATAGATCCACCAGTAGCGTACTGATGGTGTTGAACGCTCCTGTCAAGGTCAGTCCCATGATGAACAGTATGCACGTTGGCGCGGCAAGATGAACGCCATAGTTCAGGGACCATCCAAAGGCAAGGACACTGAGACTTCCCAAGGCGAGAAGAGGAAATGCGATCTGAAGACGAGCCTTCTCAATGGGATAATCCCGCAAGTCAGTGTGCCGATTCTTGGTCAGTGGGAAATTCAACTTCTTTGCAATCCGGCGGTAGTTATAGTCCAGGAATTTTCCATTGCCAATAGAAGCTATGGTGGCACCGAGACCAAACGGAATGTAGCAGAGACCGACCTGGAGATCGTTGAGACCGTAGAGATCATTGTAAATCGAGGGGATCGACGCGCTCACGTCATAGAATCCAGCAAACAGAATGGCGTTGCAGAAGAGAATCAGACTGGTATCTTTCTGGAAGACAATAGCTAGAGTTTCGAATGGATTAGGAAACTTGAGTTTCCGCTTGACTGCATCTGGCTGAGGAATGCCTCCCTCGCCATTCTTCTGAGACTTCAAGTAGCCAATCCAAGGTCTGTTCCACTGTTGTGGTGACAGTGAGCCGTCTCCCACGATGCCGCGCGCGGTTTCTGGGAAGAACACCAGAAATGGAACCAAGAAAGCACCAGCAAATATGGTCAAAAACCAGAAAATGGCTCTCCAACCCAAGTATTGAGCTAGTAGACCTCCAATAACCGGTCCTACAGAGGGACCTAGCAGAGAGCCCGCTGTGACGAAACCCATGTAGGAACCTCGTTGGGACGCACTGGCAACGTCAGAGACCACACCAGACGAGAGGGCGATGGTAGTGCTGCTCCCTGCACTTTGCAGGCATCGAAGGACAAACAGGGCGGCATAGTTATTCTGAAGCGCAAGACCTATGTTGGCCGCTATGTAGATCGCGAAGCATACGATGTATGCCGGTCGTCGGCCCGCCTTATCTGCAAAGTCTCCAATAAACATAGGCGACAAGCCTTGAAAGATCTGAAGTTCTCGTCAGTCAAGCTGTAGAGTCAACCAAGTACTTAAGTATATGCCGACTGACCATGTAGCTCGTCAAAGTCAAATTGATCAATGAGTTCGAGACGTGCAGATCTTTCGCCAGAGTATTTAGAGCGGGAAAGTAGATTTGAGAAGAGACGGGTGAGAAAAACCCAGCCCAAGACGCCATAAACACAATGAATCGGCGCTGGCCATCTGAGAAAACCGAGTAGTCCACATCGGCATCCCCACGTTCGGAGACTTCGTGGCGGATGTGGGAATCAGAGACTTCCTTTTCCTTCGCCATGGCAGAACTATGTGCAAGTCAGAGTCAGAGACATCAAAGTGGACGAAAGTAGTCAAAGGTCATAACTCCAACGAGCACTCGCTAATCTCCAAAACGGCAAGGGCCCATCTTGATAAGCGTGGCGGAGACTCTCGACGTGCCGAAATGCCGAACTGGAGAAGCTTCAATCTCGGAGTTTTATCCTTATGATGATTCGCCGGTTGAATGTCTACTTAAGTAGAAGTGATACGAGAGACTAGGGTTTTAGAATATACTTAAGTAGATAAATTTCAAAATTCAAAATTTGATATATGGACATTTCTGTCGTGGTAAAAAAAAGTATATCGGCTCCAAGGTGGTCCAACAACACTTCATAGACACGCAATCAGAAAATATTCCGGAAGTCACACAGTGACACTATTTAATTTACAAGCCAACTAGCGTGCCTGAACTGCCTCTTTGCATGCCTCCAGGAAGATTTGACAGAATTCCCAAACTTCCGCATATGTGTTGTACAACGGGGCAGGGGCAACTCGAATCACATCGGGTTTCCTCTCATCAATAACTACTCCATTCTCTTCCAAAGAGTATAAGATTCGATCCAGCAATCCCGGTTGGAGACGGATACTAAGCTGGGCACCTCGCTCGGCGGGGTTTGATGGTGTGATGATGGTGAAAGGCTTATCGGCTGCGCTTGCGTCAAGGGGATACTTCAACAAAAGATGTTCAAGATATCCAGTGATATTGACAGACTTTTGACGAATTTCCTTCATGCTTGCTCGATTAAAGATCTCAAGAGATGCAACAACGGCGGTGATATCGAGAACGGAGGGGTTGGATAGTTGGAATCCAGCAGCACCGGTTTGGGGCGTGAATTCTGCCTTTGTCAGCCTTGCCCACCACCTGGCAGAGGGGCAAAGGGAGCTAGAACTAGCACGACTTACTATTTTCCATATTGAAGCGTGTGGCGAGATCACTGCCCCACCAGCCTGAGAGACGAGGGCGGAACGTCACGTCGCTGTCGGACTGTTTCTCGTCGACACGACCGTGGCGTTCATGGACGAAGATACCGGCCATTCCACCGGGTCCGCTGTTGAGATACTTGTAGTTGCACCAGGCTGCGAAGTCGACGTTCCAGTCATGAAGACGCAGATCCACATTACCTGCTGCGTGGGCACAGTCCCAGCCGATCAAGATGTTTTTGGAGTGGGCGTGAGCTGTGATCCTTTCAATGTCAAAGTATTGTCCTGTGTAGAACTGAACAGCTGAAAGAAGTACGAGTGCAGTACTTGAGGCATTGTTGTCGATAACTTTGATGATTTGTTCTGTGCTGAGGGTCGGTTTGTCAAGATTCTCCGGCTCAATTAGCACCATACCCTCTTTTGGATCGAAGTTGTGATGGCGCAATTGAGATTCAACAGCATACTGGATGCACTTGTGTTAGCCAGGAGACTGCTTTAGAGCGTATATGTCAGTCTGGGTGTCTGGGCGTACATGGTCACTGGGAAAAGCCTTGCCCTCCAAGATGATCTTGAATTTCTCTTTAGTGGGCCGGTAGAAGCTTGCCATAAGCAGGTGTAAGTTGGCAGTTAGTGTGCCCATAACAGCCACTTCGCTCTGAGAGGCACCCACAACAGGCGCCATAAGCTTGGATCCTGCCGTGTCGACATCGACAAAGGGAGGGAGCAGTTCATCTTCATGAGAAACGAAGTGCCCAGTCACGCCTTTGGTGGCCCAGGCTCGTAAGTACCGCTCGATATATTTTTGCGTACTGCGAGGCTGAACTCCCAATGAGTTACCACAGAGGTAGATTGATTTTGGGTCAGATGTCTCATTATCTAGGAAGATAACCAAAGGTTCAATATCAGAATGGCGATCGAAATGCAAAGGAGATTCTCAAACGTACCGTCCTTTGCTGCCAGAGTTTTCCGCTTCAGATCTTTCTTGGATGGAATGATAAATTCATCTCGGAATGATCGGAGCGGGTCTTGAGCATCTAAAGCTTCGGCATATTCCTTCTTGTAGGCTCTGATATCATCTGTATAGGGAAGAGGCGGGCCACTTTGGATGTCCCTCACGTGCTGCCGGGAGCCCATGACTGGCTTCAACTATGACGAAAACGAGATTATATCGGAGCTGTCAGGCTGATATCAGAGCTGCAAGAACAAGATAGAGAGTTGATGCATCGGCACTGCACTTTCCCCCGCCATCCGCCGATCATTTCCCAACTAGGACATTTATTCTGCCCGATGCCTCCGACCTTAACTGACCAATAGGAAAGCAACCTGACTAACCCAGCGTGTAATCGGCAATGGATCGATTTGATATCTAAGCCAACCGAACTGACTCTTTCACATCTCTGTCCGACAATAGTAAATCATTATATCATGTCGCGCTCTTTGCTATCATCAACTGCCACCCGCTGGCTCGCTCAAAGTCAGACTTGCCGGCTCTTCTCAACTTCCCGCGCTTTACGTCTCTCCGCATTCCCCGATGGCGAACTCATTTCTCGACGCTCACGCCCGGTTGCAAGTGGCACACCTCTCCTGGGTTGTTTCTCCAATTCTATCTCCCCCTACACTCGTCAACGCTTTGCCAACTTTTCTTCAACTTCCATTCGCCCGGCGACCAAGGTCACGCAAAACCCCAGAACCGGAGACGATGGAGAGCCTCTTACGATTGGTATCTCACCACGAGCTATAGAGGTGAGTTTATACTCGGTTCTTTCTCAGCCCCATTGCCAGCGTTTCATGTCCGATTGAAGAGTACGACTTGTGTTTGGACGGGAAAGTGCCCGGGTCGCATTGGAAGACGTACCTCGGGTGTTCATGGGTCCGGTCTTCTCCCAGTGGTCAGCGTTGAGCAGTCCATGGCCGGAGTATGATCCTCTCGAACGCCCCTTCCAGTACATGCGACCACAGGGTGTGGAAAACAGGGCTTCCCGTCCGCTCAGCCGTACTTAAGCCACACGCCGGTGAGTTAGTAGTTGGGTGGGTGACCACCAGCGAATCCTCACTGTTGCATGTATTTTTGTGATTTTTTTCGCTTCCGTTCTTGTTTTTGTCTTTAAGACTCGTCGGTGCCAGGGTAATACATTCTTAACCAAAGCTAACTTGACACAGCGTCTCCGTGACATTACCGACCCAACCTCTTCTCCATCTGCGACTAAAGAAGAAAATCCCTACCACCATCTCCGCATCACGGTCACTAGTGGCGGATGCCATGGTTTCCAATATATGATGTCTCTAGAAGGTGCATCCAAAATTGATCCTGAGGAGGACACTATTTTCGAAGGAGAACCAGATGCCGGTGAGCCTGCAACAGCAGCCGGAGAGGCTAAGGTTGTCATGGATGAGCCTTCTCTCGAATTGCTCCATGGAAGTACTGTGGATTATACCACCGAGCTTATTGGAAGTCAATTCAAGATCGTCGACAACCCGCGTGCAACAAGTAATTGTGGCTGTGGAACGAGTTTCGATGTCAGCGATTGATTGAGAGTCTTTCCAGGGAGATGTATCAGAGGTTCGACTTCTCCTTTTCACTCTTTCATTACCTCGTGTACATCAAATTGCATTCTGCCACTGGGAAGATAGATAATTGCATGTTATACCCCTCTCTTATACTCAATGTTGTTTGTAAGTTTACAAGAAATCTAAACAAGGTCTGCCATGGAAGCTGGTTGATCGGATACCTTGTAGGGTACAGGCACGTAGGGACGGAGGGAGCTCGAGTCCCTGGTTGATGAACCGTCCCAGAGGTAGGCTGAAGGCACGGTTCTGTGGTTGCTTCAGGAACATTTGGATATCAATGACTATCAAAAATACGGCGAACGCTAAGATACAAACAATGTTATCATGACAGATATTATCGAGAGAAGAGGCAATGACCGGTAGCTAAGCTCCAGAGCCTTGGAAGAACCCCGACTCAATCCTCGTCCATTCTCGAAAGCCCTCCGCGGCTGCGGCGAATGCGTTCATCAAGACTGTCCTCTTGGACGCGCTTATTAACATCAGACATGAATCTGCCACGGTCAGAACGCTGGCGATCATCCGCCTCCTGCTGTTGCTGTTCCTTCGCAGATGTTTCCGTGATTCGCTGGCGCCGATCTGACTCCATGTCGGTGGCATTGGATTGCATTTCTGCAAGCTTGCGCTGGCGTTCCTCCTCCAATACCTTAGGATCCGGCTTGGGAGCCTGAGGTCGTGGAGCTGAGCCTGGACCCCTGCCAGAGTCACGGCGGTTGTTGAACTCGCGTCGGGGATAATCACGGCGACGATCTTCATCCACGGGACGTTCCTTGCGATCGCTGGATGGGCGCGGAGAGCGGGAAGATCGGCGAGGTGAGCGGGCACGTTCGCGTTCACGGTAACTATCACGGTCCCGGTCCCGTCTGCTGTCGCGGTCGTCATGTCGGCTTGAATGGGTATCTCTCTTATCATGGTCGCGGCGATCACGATCACGATCTCTATCATCACGACGGGATCTAGTATCGTCACTTCTCCGATCGCGGTCCCGGCCACTTCTGTGTCTAGAGGATCGTTCAGGCGAACCAGGTGAACGAGATCGATGGCGACGAGGTGATGACCTTCGGTGTCGGTCACGGCGGTCATCACCCGCATCGTCGTGATGTCGGCGCTTAGAGTCGTGAGTGCGATGGCGGCGTTCGCGATCCTTCCCACTGCGCTCCTCGCGTTTTTGCTCCCGTTCCTTGCGCTTGACAGCCTCTTGCACCATCGCATCATACGCAGCCTGTTCTCTCTTCTTCACCTCCAGCAGGGGATCGGCCATAACCTTCGACATGGTGTCGCGTTGGGATCCGATAGATGGGCCCGCGGGAGCTCCGCTGCCTACCACCTCCGAGCCTTTCTCGAGCTTCTTAGTGTCGGGGTCGTTCTTGAGCAAGACGCCGTCGATACGTCGCTTTCCGAGTAGATATCCTTCCATCTCTTCCGAGTAGTGGCCGTGCTCGCCTGTGGGAGCCTGGTACATCCAATCGACGCGAGCTTGCGATCTGGTTTTTCCGGAGGCTTCTTGGAGACGTTGGATCTCTTCCATTTGGCGTTCTTCCTCTCGTTCGCGTCGCAGCTGTTCAATCTGCTTGCGCTCCTCCAGGGCGCGCTGCTCGTTCTTCCATACCCGCTCCTGGTTTTTGAACAGGCCGGGATGCCATGACCTAGGTACAAAGTTAATATTTTGTTTGAGAGCCTCGGGGTGCACGAGGTGATAAAAGGGCGCAATACTTACTTCTTCAGGTTCAAATCTCCACCCATGATGTTTGAGGCTCAAGGTGAGTACGAAGTAGAGAAGAGTCAGTTGAGTTGCGATGTCCGAACCTTATCCGACTGGATCCACCTCGTTGGCCACCGACCACGTGATGTCAAAATAACAGATGCTACTGACACTATTTTCTATACAAAAACGGATTTACTCGGTCAATTGGGCAATAGTACCAAGCAATTAGTCTAAAGACATGAGCCACAAAATTATTGACTCAAACATCGAACATGAAACTCAAAGTAACAAAGGGGGTGTAACTCTAAATACAAGGTGAAGGTCGAACGAAAAACGCATCATATCATATCATCATCCACGCCGTGGAACTCCAGAAGTAAAGCCAGGTTACCAGAAACTACACCATCCAATCCAGTGCTGACAGATGTTCTCAACGTTGGTCGCCTGTGCGAGAAGCTTGTCAACTTGATCGCTGACACTCAGCTCGTCGTTGTGTCTGAAGTCTCGTCCAGTAAGCTTCTCCTTTACGCGTGCAAGAACCTGGAGAGCGCGGGCATTCTGTGCCTCCCGGGCCTCTTGTGGAACACCCTCGGGTGCATCAAGAATACCACCTTCAAGGATGGAGGGACGGCGGCGACGGGCAAAGTCGTTTGGTTGGGCACCGTGCTCGAAGTTGACGCCTTCGATGATGGATTGGCGGCGCTCTGTGGTGAGTGACACCCGGTCGGGGGACTCTTGTGCGCCCAGACGCCAGTTGATCAAGGGGTCGTGAATGAACTATGAGAGGGTCAGGTCAGTGATTATGGTCATGGGAACAGGGGTATACAGTGAAACTTACGGCTTCAAGGACAGCCATGAGAGAATCCTTGTTCTCGCGCAGAACACGCATAACAGCCTCGCAAGTGATGCGGTAGCTTCCCTCGATGTTGCTTACCTCCATGGCAAAGGTCAACATGCGAGTGAGACGGAACGGTACGCGCTCCGGATATTTCTCTCTGTGCATTGCGATTTCGAAACAATCACCGAAATCGATATGGACCACACGGCCATTGCCACGATCCAACAACAAGTTAGATGGATGACGGTCACCAAGACCGAGGATGTAGCCCACCATGGACATGACACCGAGGGAACGAGTGTAGTTGGTACGTCGTTCTAGCCAGGCCTCGGAGCTCTTACTCTTCAGCCAAAGAACCCGGTACAGATCTTTACCGGTAGTGTTGTCCATAGCGTAACCAAAGACCTCGACCTTCTGCATGAGGGCAAGACTGTCGTAATCAGGCGCCATTTGCAGCATGATCCGGTGCTCAATGTTGAGAAGAATGCGACGGCTCTCACGGTATTCCTTGATCAAGGCGTGCAGAGTATCACTGTTGGACACCCATCCCAGAAGACCGGAGCTCTGGGACAAGGGGATGGCAGGGAAGCGCTGAACTGACAGGTGTCGCTTGAAGCTTTCGCTATCGTTATCCAGCAAGGTATTGCACAGACCGAACAACTGCATGACTCTCTCATCTTGTCGGATATCTTCGTGGCCCTTGACAAGGTACATGTAAGAGCTTCCGTTGCTGCCCTTGAGCGTCATGCGACGAGGCCGTTTCTTGGTCTGCAACACGTGCAAGATTGGATCGAAGCTCATGATGCGGATGATGGGCTTTCCACTCTGGTATGTTCCTGGCACGGCAAGATCAAGATCCAAACAGTCTTTCAGTCGAGGAGACACATATTTGAGGTCGAGGGTAGATAGTTGTGGTAATTGACGGCTGATCTTCCTGAACACGGTGTAATACAAGTCCCAAGCTTGGTTCAGATCGCCAATCTCCTCAGACCCCCGATACATCATGCAATAATGCTTGGCCTCAGCCAAATCACGACCGAAGGCTTGCGCGAATGAGACTTCTCGAAGTGTTTCAGCTCCCTTGTCTAGCATGTCATGGAAAGGAGCAAGAGTTGAGAACATGCCCTCGACATTGTGGTCACCGAAATAGAGACGAGAGGCTTCTTCCAAGCCTTCATGCCAAAGTTCATGCCATAGAACAGCTACTCGAATCAGCTCATGACTGACGAGATCCGCCTGTTCGACAAGCTTGGCACTGTGTTGTCGCATGCTTTCCATGATGTTACTGGCAGACTGGGATCGTCTTGTCACATTGGATTTCATGGCCACTGTGAGTGGGTACACCAAGGCTTGGGGATGGGCCTTGCCGACCTCAGCCAACAATCTATGGACGGCTCCCCGGACCCGGATGTTGGGCTGGTTGATTCGAGCGATCAGCTGAGGGGTGACAGAAAGCCAAGTATCAATGTTGACGGCGGCGAATCCTTCCGTGACGACATTGTTAACTTCGTGGTCTCCACCATGCGTGAACCACAGTGTTAACAATCTCAGGGTATCTTGCAGGGAGGATGTCAAAGATAGGGCAATCGAACGAATGAAGCCCCGCATAGCAGGAATCACATGCTCTGTAACGATGTGAGCCGGCACCGGCGAAGGAGCACCCTCCCGGTTGCTGGCCTGGTTGGCGATAGTAGTAACGACTTCAAAGTTTGCAAGTGCCCAAGAGTGCCAGGCCTTGTATGAATCGCGATTGTACTGTGTTGCCGCAGAGTATGCATTGAGAACCTCACGAACATGTTCTGGCCTCCAATCACCCTTCTGTAGTGTTGTCTGCCACTCTCCTTGGCGGAGATAACTCTTCGAGAGTAATTTCCGGAATTTGCTAGCATCTCCAATCCGTTCACGTAGGCTGACAGCGTCTGGGTGGTTCTGGTCGGCGACACCGGCAACACCGTTGACTCCGTTGACTCCGTGGTGATCGGAGTTTGACACGACGAGTGTGTTGTATCTTGAGAAGTCATCGGTCAAGCCGGAAGTGAACTCCTTCAGCATTTCGAGCGATTCGTGTTGATGACCATTTGCCCAGTTGAATTTCAACCTAGCATATGTGACCTCGGGGGGTGCGACAGTTCGCAAACCACTAGCATCAGCCACCACCGTCTCTAGTGATGCAAGAGATCGTTCTGCCAGTCCCATACGATTGGATTTGCGACACAGATTGGCGAACTTGATCGACATATCGAGATTCTCACGCGGGGCAGTGACCAGAGCTCTGACCTTGAGCATGCGCTGCCACACTTCCACGTTTTGTTGACATCCAAGCAATCTTTGGTTCCAGGTTTTGCGCATGGCATCTTGCTTCTCGGGGTCACCAATGTTTTGCTTGTATGTGATGATCTCTTCAAGCTCAGCAAGCATCTGGACACGCACAACCACATTGTAGGCACGGTTGTATGATTCACCGAGGAGTGCAGAAAGCTCTGTGTCGAGACCGTTGCGCGCCTTTTCGATGTACATGTTGGCTTCTTCGAATTGATTACGGTGGATTGCCAAAATGGCACCAAAGAACGAGCGGTCGGGGGACTGCTCCTTCATGACACCGAGGTAAGAGTCCATCAGCTCCCACTGGCCTCGACCCCAGGCAGCTGCAGCTGCAAGAGGCGCGATTGCTCGGCGATGCTCCAATGAAGCCTGGTTCCACTTCTCTTGTGCAAGATCCGAGAGGACCTTCCACTCTCCAAGAGCGTGAAGACAACGCATCTTACCCATTGTGATACCAAAGGAATCGGGATCCGTTCTCTCACGTCTTTTGTACGCAGCAAGGGCCTCGTCCCATCGTTGGAGCTTCTCAAACCATGTTTCCTTCAGCTCCACATCGCGATATGCTTGCGCTTTGCGCAGAATACCGATAGCAGCGTCGGATTGTTGCAATTGGTTGTTAATGGTAATCAAGGCCTCGACAGCACCAGAGTTCTGATCTTGCTCAAATTCAAGTTCCTTGTAGTGCAGAGCTTTGGCGAAAGCGTGGCATTTCGCGGCGTACTTTCCAAGTGTGCGAATATCGATAGGAAGTGCCTTATCATCATGCTCCATGAATTCAGCCAGATTAAGGAGAATCTGTAAGATCTCCGGCGAGATATTAGGAGAAGTGAGGGCTTTCTCAATCGAGCGAACAAGTTCCTCTTGGTACTGGTCATACAACTCCGTCCAACATGACACGAATGCAGCATTGAACAGGTCCCTTGCTAGAGGTTGGTAGATTCCAGCCAGACTGGCACAGGCACGCAGAGCTGGAGAGGGAGACTCCTTCAGCAGTTCGATACTGAAGCGGCGAATCCATTCCTGCCAATCTTCCCGGGTAGACTTTTGCGAGGCATCCCAGGCATTCTTCAGATGTTGTTGGTTGACAACAATCTTTTTCTGTCCAATCTCCGCGAAATTAGTGTCGTCTGTGGGCAAAGCATAAGCTTCTTCCGGGTTGAGGTCTTGAGGGAGGGGGTCTCCCTTTTGAAGCTTTGTGACCAGAATTTGGTAGTTCACGTGAGTGAGTTGATGGGTCTTCATGACCTTGTTCAGAAGATTGATGTAGTGGGTGAAATCCTGGCCTAGTTGGAAGATAAGAGCACAAATGCAGTCCAATGCGGATTGGCGCAGGATGCGATCACCGCTGGCTACAACACGAGAAAGAGAATGGACCATGAGAGACGCAAAGTCAGAGACGTTGACTTGGCGCGACAACTTTGTCAAGCTCTCAATGGCAGACTTCCGGATGCTGTGGGGGTTTTGAGGGCGATCAAATAGACGCACAATCGAAGGGATAATGAGGTGCATGTACTCCTCTCCGCTTGTACCGAATATCAAAAGAGCATGGAGAATCTTCTCGGAAGGTTGGCGACGGGGGTTGGTGTCTTGATCGAGGGTACCGAGCATCAGGGGAATCAGGCCAGCGAGATACTTCCTGAATTCTCCCTCCAACGAGCGAGCAATGGCCTCGACTAGCGACAAGATAGTCCCCTGGATCTGATATGATGTATCCCAGAAGTCTCTGATCACTTCAATGATTTCTGGTAAGAATGCACGAATGTGCTGGCGCACAATGTTCACCAAGATAGCCATTTGGTTGAAATAAGATTCGAGGCGACTTGTCGGGGAGCTTCTGATAACCAAGATGAAGCCCGGAATGATCTGTCCAAGGAACGGAACACATTTGAGTCCCATAGTTTTGAAGATTGTAACAATTGCATCAATGACAGCAGAGTGATATTGTGCCAGCGAGTTTTCGCGCAGGATGTTCTGCATCAAAGTATGAATGACCACTGTGGGGTAGTACTCCTCATTAGATGGGGTCAGGCCTTGCATTATTAGCGCAACATCAGAAACTTTCTGGATTTCGTTGATGTGATGCACATCTGGTTCGATCTCGCTGATCTGTTGGTACTTGTAAGGGTCGAGAGCACCGAGGACACCGAGAAGCTTGATGGTCTCTTTTCGTAGGGAGCCTGTCATTTCCGTCTTGATGATGTTTATGAGCACGGCGAGGAGATGGGGGTATTCGAGATAAGGCTCAATGACATAGCCCGAATTGCTAGCCAATTGCCCCAATGTACGGAGTGCGGCTTCCCGCTTGGTGTGTGATGAGAGGTCTTGTAGCGAGTCTAGAATGATGGGCATTATCTGCGGTAGATATCGTCGCATTTCGTGTCCACCAACATTCGCAAGTTCACCGACTGCCTTCAAAGTAGTGGCGGCGACACCGGGGTTAATGTCTGTTGATTTCGGCAACAGCGCAGTGACCATGGGGTCTACATATGACCTGATCAATTTCGTAGCGTTGGAAACAAACAAACTGATGAGTTGGGCTGTTTCTTCCTTTTGGCGTGCCGTATTCGCAAACCCGAGTCCAGTGAGGAGATTCACCAGGAGTTTCCGGAGTGGAGGGAAGACATAAGCAGGGTTCACACTAGACAGTCGACCAATGATGCAGATTGCGGCTTCTTTAACATCGAAGATCTCGTCGTTGACGGCCAGGAACAGACATCGAATATTCTCTGGCCGTGCCAGGTGGCGATCGAATTTCCGGTCCAGCGACCACAAGACCGTACGTCGAATTTCCGGGTCGGGGTCTCCAACACCTACTGTCAGAAGTTTATCAATGACCTCGCTGACAACCTGGATAGAGTGACCGCTAGTCTGGTTGATGATCGGATCATGGACAAACAGTTGGCAACACGTGAGAGCTGAGGCTTTCCGAATTTCCGGATTGTCATTCTCGACATAATTGATGGCAACGTCCCTCACAAACTCGTTGAGAATGTGTCCTGAGAAGTCAAAGCTACCCAGAGTGTGGAGTGCCAGCGCAATATCGGAATCTGAGTGAAGCTCGTGAAGTGCGAAATCCTTTGCAAAGGATGGCATCGGGGGGAGGCGGTTTTCCGGGCAGCCGAGTGGACGGAATGGTGTGCCACAAAGAATGATACTCAGCATGTCAAGAAGCTTCTCTTGGATCATGGGTTTGATGGGCGGGATGTAATGGGCCATGTCGACTAGGGCTTGGGTCAATGACTTGCTGAGTCCACATGTAAAGATTTGATCGAGTAAAGCTTCCATGTACTTTGCGAGTGCCTGTCCGACAGCTAATGAGAGCATGCTGATGCACTCGAACATAGGTGCTTCATTGACACCTGCTCGATTCCTTGCTTTCATCGCGAGACCCTCTCTAATGTAGATGATGATGCCGTCGAGATATTGGCCAATTGCAGGACCAACTGCATTGGCGATCTTGCCAATGGCAATAAATGCGGAGTTTCTCTCCTTGTCTCGCTTCAGTTGAGCTTGGAGGTAGATCATGAAACGGTGAAGATAGATTTCGATGAAGTCGGTGGGAGAGTAGGAGGCGAGGATCGGGATGGTATGTACGACTTCAGTGCGAATCTTGGGGTCGCGGTGGTCCTTGAGGCGAAGGATGATTTCGCATGCATTGCGATAATGTTCCTTCATGAACATTGTGCCCTTCAGGATGAGTTCCTTGAGAATTAAAAGGGATCCGTGGATCCAATCGATATTGTGGGACTTCAAGCCCAGCAGGGCTTCGTCGTGTATGCGAGCGAACCATGACTGTCGAACTTGGGAGTCACGCGCCACAATGATCTCGAAGCACTCACCCACGGCCTCGGCAGCAGTCTCTCGGATAAGAACCTTCGGATCTCTGATAGCGACCCAGACGAGCTCGAAAACCTGTGGGACGAAACCGTAGAGTAGTGTCGGGGAACCCTTGGCAAGTTCACGGATCACGAGCACTGCCGCAAATCGCCGACTTTCCTGACGTTCCGATTGTAGCCACTCCAGAGCAGACTGAATCTCGCTTTCCACCAGCTCTGCGGTAAGAGCGCCGCCGGGCTTCGCGAGGCGGCCCAGCGATCGGGCCGCATACACCAGAACCACATTCTCATTACTGCGTAAGGCGGATCGAAGGTAGCTGGCGAATCTCGTTGTTTTCTGGGCAGCGTCGACACCGTCAAAGTCAATCAGTCGGTCGAGTGCTAATAGTCCACCGATTCTCTCGTTGGCATCGCTTCCGTTGACGACCAGTTGGGCGATGCGTTGGCTAACGGCATTGTAAAACTCGACGAACTTCTCGTTGGGCCAATCTGAGTAGGATAAACTGTCAGGTTAATTCGTTGTGGAATCTTCTCATGCCACCATACCTCTGGAGACCGAAAGGACGTTGTCATAGAGCTCGTAGGCAGCTCTGGCCCTGGCCTCCTCATTCTTCGACTTGAGCTCCACGAATAGTCGTTGCGTCACATCAGAAATTGCTCCAGCTTGGGCCATATTTGCGAACCACACCCCAGGGTGGACATTGGAGTACAATGTCTAGGCCATAAAACAAAGAGACGCGGTGCGCATGAAGTTGGCAGAGGGAGGGTCATGTGTGAGGGAGATGGTCGGGGAGTGCACGGGCCAAGCTGGAGTTCCCTCAGTCGGCCATCTACAGCCCCTCCATATATAATCATCTCTCATCTATAATCTCTTTTGTGTTTTACATTCTTTTCCTCTTGTCTCATTGTTTCTTAGTCCTGTCTAGTTGATGGTTGTGCTGAGCCTCTTTACTACCAGCATACGTCACTTGCGGGATCCCTTGTCGAGTTCGGGGTCACTTGAACATGTACGAAGTACACAAGGGCCAAGTAAATGGCACAAGGTGGTATCCCTGGGCCTATCTCGGATCTCTCCATAGTATCTTGATCATCCCTTGCATGTGCTACATCCAAAGTCTTAGCAATAACAAGATTTAACCTCATGGTTCTTCTCTCATGATAGTAGACATCCAAACAGGCTCGCAATGTATCCATTTGTATACCCATATCAGTGAGCAGAACGACTTGAGAATTATTTTGTTCATGATTCATCAACGGTAGAATCCCTTCGGCCCAAGATCGTCCACAGACGTGGCAGTTGGGTAGGAATTATGTTGTCCCCGATGTCTGAAGTCCAAGAAAGATGCTTAGCGTGCTCAGTGTTTTTGCAGCTGATAGCGAGACTTGAAATGATAAGAACCTCTCTGTCTGTAGTCTTTGGAGATTTCATAAATTGCGCTATATTGTATACGTTATAAAACAGACCGGGCAACACCAAGTGGCAGAAAGACCGGACCCCAAGCTACTGCTGACATCGCAGAGCACACCGCACTTCCAAGGTGGACCTGGAGTCTGACCACAACCCTCGGAGTGCTTCATCGCATACAGCCAGATCTGACATACCAAGAATATGCCAGACACCCCCGTGTGGGCCCAATCCGGATGGCACGAGTACCTATCAGCTCGAAATGCCGGGCTCCCTCGTCTCCCCGCTGTGACAAACATCAGCGAAGAGGTGGTGCGAATACTGGGTGGGAATCCAGGTGACATGCAACTGCAAGGAACCAACACATATCTTGTTGGAAGTGGCCAATCGCGGATTTTAATCGATACAGGCCAGGTTAGTGATATGTGGGGATTTCCATTTCCAACGGGAGACTGAATACAACAGGGATTCCCCATTTGGCTCACGACGTTGGTGGAGTTTCTTGAAAAACATCACTTGAGCATCTCCCTCGTGCTCTTGACGCACTGGCACATCGATCATACCGGTGGTCTCCCGGCACTACTCGCCCAATATCCACATCTCAAGAATGCCGTGTACAAAGCTCATCCGGACCGAGGCCAAACTTCGATTCGTGATGGGCAAATTTTCACAACCGAAGGAGCTACGCTGAGGGCATTATTCACTCCTGGGCATAGTCTCGACCATATGTGCTTTGTCCTAGAAGAGACCGAGACCATGTTTACTGGCGATAATGTTCTTGGACACGGCAACAGCGTGGTTGTGGAAAATCTAGGCCGATACATGACGAGTCTACAGCTGATGAAGAAAAGCAGCCACATTGAGGATATTCAAGTTGGATATCCAGGACATGGCGCTGTGATTGAAGACTTGCCTTCGAAGCTCGCAATATACATAAGGCACTGGGAGACACGGGAGAGGGTGGTCATGGCAGCTTTCACGAAGGCTCGGGGTAACACCAGATCATCGTTGACAACCAGCGAAATCATAACGCACCTCTATGGGCCATCAATGGAAGCAATGGCGAGGCCTTTCATAACGCAAGTTTTGTCCAAATTATCCGACGAGGGGAAAGTCAGCTTCATCCTAATGGGAGAGGAGAAGAAATGGTTTATAGTGTGATTTTAGACCGTGAAGAAGAGCAAGAGTCCTTTATTAGAGTAGTTTTGATAGTATAGAGTTGACATGGTAGAGTTAATGTCATTTGCTCGAGAATTCAACGATCAAACTCAAGACTGTTAGTCCACGATTGCATTTGGAACTGACACGGAGCCTAGAGTCAATCAACCGTATGCTGAGTGATTTGTTCCATTTTTTGCCGCAGAGAATCAGCAATTGATGAGATATAGTCTGCCGGTAAACCTGGACTATTCACGCCCCTGCTTCCGTCCTGGGCTTCTCTCCCGTTGTCGTATCGCCCAGTGAATTGTAGTATAACTCGGGCAACTTGGGAGAGTTCCTCCATTACTCGCACAGGAGCCTCACGCCCAAGTTGATAAGATTCATCGCCAAGGTTTTCCCAGGGGTTTGTCTGATCAGATACCACAGCCACGGGATGTCTTGCCAATGGAGCCATGATAATAACATGCATATCATTGACGCACATACAGAGTGCCGAGACTGACATGCACACCTCCACACGCTCGAAACAGGAACATTTCAAGATATCTGATAATCGACACAGTGCTCTTGTTATCATCTGTGTGGCTGTTGTGACCAAAGCCGGGTCTATGGGTGATGCTTGTCTCAATTGGTCTGCTGATATTTCTAGATCCACCAAGAGATCTAAAGCAACTATGAGACAGTCCGGCTCAATGTCACTATGCTTTGTGGTGTGCGGGTGTGTCTGCTGTGACTGTCCGATGCCGAGGGTGCTCCCTGGTTGTCTTGGGCTTGCTTGTGGTGTGGTATGAGAGCCCATGCTGCTCAGATTTGTGTCGACATCTTCCAGATTGGAATGAGAGTATAGTTTAACACTCTCATCTACAAACTGGGTTACCGCTTCGTTTGCGATAGGTCGGCCAACACGTCTGGCTGGGCTGTAGGAGCACACATAGCACAGCTTGTCACATCGAGTGCAAGAAGGCTTTACTTTTGTGCAACGAACTTTTGATGCAGAACATCTGTCACAGGAATCTTTGAGTTTTGGGGGCTTTGATGAGGTTGACAGAGTATTTTTAGAAATTCGCGACGATGTGATGTGATTATGATTCATCATGGTTTGAAACGACAAATTCTTGATAAGAACAGTGTCCTAAATATTGACGCTAGTCCGGACGGGAAATAAGCGCTAATACTAGTCTAGGCCACCTTTCAGAGGGCTTTTTCTCCAAAGAATCCACGCCAAGGCTTTTATAGACTTGAGGCTACCCTTGGCGAGGTCCCGTTTCACTTCAGTTTTGGAACACGTTCTTTGTCAAGAAATCGAGAAGAATCAAGCTGTGGGACCCTTAAACTGTCCCGGATTCCCTCAATGTCAATGTCTTACATGGCACATGAAGACCTTGATTGGCAGTCGCACTTCGCCCAATGTACAGCCAGCGGGGATATCCTGGACACAGAGGCTAGTGCTGTGCCTTTCACAGATTCGTATCTCAATCCTCTTGATTTCGACTATGATCTCGATGCTCACCTGTACCGGGACACCCTCACATCAGCCTCATTCTTTCCTGACGGCGCTACACCTACCACGGCCTCTGCCTTTCCATCCAACTATGAATCTCACACAATTGGCGGTTCCAGTGGTTCAATGCTGAACTGCCCTTCAATCAATTATCTTTCGGACCCTTTCCCCACTCAGCCGCCTCCTACTCCACCCTTCGCAGTCCCAGAATCAGGGCCCATGCTATGGCCAACCCCACCTCCAGCCGCAGCTACTTCCTGCTATGCACAGCAACGCCCTTCATGTATTATAACCGCAACCAAATCACTCCGCTCACTTCATGTCCCGAAAGCCAATTGCCAATCTCGCCAAAGTAGTGGCTGTCGTGACGATAATACTCCACATGGTGCTGGCCAGCCACGCATGTCTGGGTCAGTTCTGAAATGCAACAAAGACGCTGGGATGTCAGTCTGCCGCATGCTCCAGTGCACTTGCTCTCTTCGTCCACAGAATCAACTGATTCTCGCAATCATCTGCTCCAAGTTGATCGCGTGGTATCGTGCAATGATCCAGGCATGTTTTGTGGATTGCCATGGAGTCAATGGGGTACCAGAAGACATGTCAGAGAAAGTTATTCATCAGCCTGTTACAATTGGAGATCATTCAGTCGACGATCAGAGGTTGGGATTGACCATTCAGGCTCAGGTCACTCTACGTGAATTGCATCATATGCAGCGTCTGGTTGAGACCCTTTCGGCTCGGATGCAGGAGACAGCAAACCCAATTCCGAGCCCAGCCTCAGAATTTGAGGCTGGAACTCGGTTTCTGTCAGCTAGTATTCCCGCAGCTGCGCATGATCAATTGGTGGCTAACCTGCTGAGGGATGTTCATGCAGCTAAGGCTGATCTCCTTACTGCCTCTCAGCTGTAAGATATTGACATTGAGCCAAGGTTCTAGTATGTGCAACACGTAACATTGCTCCCGAGGTGAAATGGTGAAAGTGAAAGGAAGACTTTCCCAGAAAAGTTGGTTTCCCAGCATTGATCTGCGCGGAGTTTCATTTGAACCAAAATTGCAATTCAAACTTCTTGAAAAAGCTTCAGACTTAAAGAGCGAGGTATCGCAGGGGTATCAATAAACGAACGCAATAGGATAAAACAAAAGAAAAGAAGCAGCATCCAACAGATAATTCAGAGCCTGCGTATTCCCAAGCGACCGCTGCTCTTCCGAGCCGTGGATCGCCGAGCAACAGCCTTGCGTCGAGGCGCCTGTTCCGGCTGTCTATTGGGCTTGAGCCCCCGCCACCAGCGAGTTATCACCTCCGCTGCCCGCTCCACTTTGGCCTTATTTATAGCTGCACGCTGCTCTTCCTCCTTTCGTCGTTCCAAATAAGACCGCCACACCCGCTGGATTATAATGGCAGATTGATCACGCTCGGAGGAAGAGCAGTCTCCTGGGAGAAGAGCGCTTGAGCTCAAGGCGATGGGAGTGACTATAGGGTTTGCTGGCGCAAAAATGTTAGCCTTCATTTGCTATCTTCGGCTTCGGTGATGACGATGAACGTCGTGTGATAGACTTACAACATTTTGGCCTCTGCGTCAATTGTCTCTTGTGCTCGGTATTTCTCGCGAGCATCAAGTATGCACGGACAACTCCTATTGCCATGACAGCAGCATCACTGCTTTCCAAGATTTGTTGTATCTGTAAAGACGCCTTCGGCGCTTGGGGTTTGATAGCGGCTGCGTTCTGTGATTGTTTGGGGGTTATTGGAGAGCCATTTCTGGCCTTGTTCATCGCTGCTGGGTCTGATGACTCCTTGCGTGGTTGTCTAGGCTTCCTTGAGATGACTTGCGTGGGGGTGATGTTTTGCTGCGCTCCACGACTCATCCGATACCTTGGGATGCTGGTGGTCTTGTCCTTATTGCTTGCATAAACAGACATCCCTGGGGGAACATTCTCCTTCCCTCCACCTCTGCCAGGGATATCACGCGTCGAGGCTCTCGGCTGAGGAGGCCTCATGTTTTGCTGGAGAGGGGCTTTGGGGGCTGATGCTGGCAGCATCGGTTTCTGCTGTCTTTTGGTTTGCGCCGGAGGAGCTTTGTTCATCGTGTATACTGGCTTCTCTGCAGTGGCACGTTTTCGTGGGCTCATGGCACGAGGAGAGACGTCATCAGGGAATATGCACACCATTTCTCGTCTTCTGGGTACTCGGGGCCCGAGGGTGAGTGTTTCGTCGAAAATGCTAGACATGGTGCCGAGGACCTCGTGTCTCGAGTAGAAGTCTGACGTGGTCCACGAGTGTTCAAGTAAGATGTTCAAAACAACAGAATGATGGTATGTATTGTTCAATTGTCTTGGAATGTGGGAGAAGCGGTGAAGTTAAGCAAGGGATCGACTTCAGAGCGGGGGAATTGTGGAGGGGTCGTGATCTTTAATAACAGTCCAGTCCAGCTATACATCTGCACCCAACAAGTATATGCTGCATCAGATTGTCTTGTACAGTCGACTTGAGCGGTGTTGACTTGGTTGTCCAGGGCAACAGTCGTGTCAGCACAACAGAAACTAGACGTGTCACGTGACAGTTCCTGGATTTGTATTGTACTTTTCTTTTGCTTTCTCCCACGGATTTAGTTTAGTTGCAAGTTACCTTGTCTTGGCCTTGCAATGTTTCTAATAGCACTACATACTCCGTACATTGAGTGAAGTGGCGAATACCTAGGGTGGTTGGGTGACGCGTCATAAGGCTGGGAAACGAGTCCACTTGTACATCAGAAATATGGAGACTTACTACGGAGTACATCGTTTACTCGTACTTCATGCCAATCCTTCTGAAGTTGGGTCGCTTTAGCAGTTCTTCTAGTCACTGATACATCTGAAAACGCTTGATGTTAAAAGGGAAACATAATAAAATGACATTCTGACCTTGAAACCAGTTCTATATTCACGCGAGGGATATACACGTAAACCTACTGGACAATGTCAAGTTGAAAAGAAAGATGCATAATTCAACCCTGGAACATACCCATCCTTCATCAATTCATGCTGTTGTTCACGGCCATGAATTGTCTCCCACGACGTTGGAACAGCTTCCACGGTTCGAACTCCACCTGGGAACCTCATTCCAGAGGGTTGAATTCGACAGCAGTCGGGGTAGTATGTGATTTATCTGGTTTATCAGCATTATCATAACTCATAAGTACTTAGTAGATAGGGGCTGGGAGTCTCGCACCAAACAGAAGATCATGGTCAATGGTAACACGCCCGGCCATAATATCTTCTTCATAACGCTTCACCAGATTGTAGACGTCGGAAATCTGCTGCTGAGGCGAGTCCCGGGCTTCTGTCGCGGGGAAAGATACCACAAATGTCATATCGATCTGCTTGGGATGGAGGGTTACCTCATAATCCCCATCTAGAATGCGGTAACCGATTAATTGGATCAGTTCTAGGTCAGAATAGAGTCGTTCACCAGCAGAAACACGGACATTAACCCACCGAAGTAATAAGGTTGCGGCGTGGTCTTCGATTATGGGCATCCCGTTCTCGACGAATATAGTTTTCATGGAATCGAAGTCCATCTTGTTCGACCATAGTTCAACCATATTTTCGATTGGGCTTTGATACTTTCGAGGTTTGTTAGGTTGTTTGGATGCTGTTGCTTGGGTACTGTGGATTTCTGGTCTCTGCTAAGGTGCAAGAGCTCGGGGCTTTATATGTAAACGAAGCCATTGAGTCGAGTGAAGGTGTCTTTTATAATTAGTATGAACAATATACATTGTTTTTGGTTTCTTTTTTATCTTAAGAATTCGACTTAAAGAACCAGATTGACAAACGGAATTGTTCTTTCACTTAAAATAGAGCAATAATCCTTCAAAGTCTTTCTAAAGTTTTCATTTCATCTAGACATTGAAGCTAAAAACAGAACGAGGCAACCTCGAGTGCTCTCCCCCACCTGCCCGATATTCACCTTCTCCCATCTCTCACTTCCACCATATCATCCTTTGAGAGCTCATCAGAACTCACTTCACTACCTGGTCTTTCAATCTTCAGAATAAACACATCCCGCTTCAGTCCAACGCCTTACATTTGCCTCCACACCCCTCTCACCTGGCACCATGTGACTTGAACTGAGTTTGCAACCCACCACAGAAGTCCGGCCGCGAAGATGTCAACTGGAATTTGCGCTGCGAACGGCAAAGAAGAAGCACGATCTCGATATGAGCGATCGAACTCTTTCCAGTCTTATCAAGTCCCACAAGTACTTCGAGCAGGACCTGGAATCTTTCGGCGTCGTCGATGAAGAGAAACGGATTTTGTACGAGTCCATTCTCTACGGAACTCAGAGTGTAAGAAAATTCCGACCTAGTCATTCAATATTCAGACTAATCTCTGATCCTTAGATCAGCCACCAAGCCGTCGCCGTTGGAATCAAGGAACAGGCAGCTCGCAGCTCGCGTGCGCCACATTCTGTTGATGGAGAAGATCGCGACCAATCTTAGTGTTGGCCCCGACAAATGTGCACCAAAGCTACGGCACACACACGAATGACACCAAGTAGACCCGGTTGGAAATCGGTGGCTTCGAAGTGGTCTTTGCGATTTTTGCCTATGAGACTCTGTTAAGTTCTCTATTGATGACCCGGCCACTATCAACAAATTAAAGTCTTGAGACGGTGCGTTTACTGATCTATATCCCATATATAATAAGCAGTGCTAACGAGTAAACAGACCGCCACTTCTTCGGCTCAGTCCTTGAAGACCATCGCACGGCAGGCACATGCCCAACAAGTTATAATAGGATTTGCCAGGTTTATATTCAACTTTGCTGAGCGTTATTCTACCATGTCAGATGAGGGGATGCTGGGCCCATCAGCCGAACTGTCCAGCCTTCGTTCCTGATGTCTTGCACGCGAATTTCGAACTCATCGGAAACAGTGTTTTCCAACCGGGTCTACTTGGTGTCATTTGAAATGAGACAACGCCTTCTTCTACCACTTCGACTGCGAGTTTCTCGACATCATTGGAGTGATGGAGTTTGCTCAAGAGCATTTCATTGACAGGTTGTGGTACCCATGTGGCTTACAAGCTGTGGCCGACGCCGAGCATGGTCCGGTTCCTGGACATCAAGATCCTGCCGATTTTCCAGGCATGGCTCCGGGAAGCCGCTCCTCGTCAGCGCTCCGCCACTACTCCTGTGTTGAACAACGGCAAGGATATGAAGAGAAGCAAGATGAGTTTGGCCGCGCAACCCAATACCAGTGTCCAGAGTACATTCCTCAGAACAATCCTACAATACTCCTGTAGGAGCGCCACTGCCTGGCGAAAAGGGACAGAGAGGGAAGGAGAGAGGGAGAGAAAGAGGGAGGAAGAGAGAGGAAAGGAAGAGAGAGGGAAGGAAGAGAGAGGGAAGGAAGAGAGAGGGAAGGAAGAGAGAGGGAAGGAAGAGAGAGGGAAGGAAGAGAGGGAGAGAGAGGGAGGAAGGGAGAGGGAAGGCAAGAGAGAGAGGGGGGAAGAGAGAGAGAGAGAGAGAGAGAGAGAGAGAGAGAGAGAGAGAGAGAGAGAGAGAGAGAGAGAGAGAAGGGGAATGGCGGACGCAATTCAGAACTGCGTCTGCTACAAGAGGAGTACGAAACGGACGTCTCAGACTTCGTGGTCGACAAGTGCGAACGCGACTATCCAGTTATACGGAACGCTAATGTCATCGGAATGACCACGAAGTCTGAGCAGATACCGAGGTTTACTTGCAAGTATTGAGCCCCGGGTGGTGATTACCACGAGCTGCACCATTCCTTCATTTCGTGGATACTCACGTCCTCACTCCGACGCTATACTGGACTTTACTGGACCCCTCATGGTGCGCTCAGTACCCGGATACTCGATCGATCTTTCTTCTGTAAACTCACCAACCACGCTTCCGTTACCCACAACTCATCAGACTTACACACAATGGCGGAAGAACCAGTGAAGGCGGCGCGAGCGGCGCCTTTCCTGCAAGGCATTGTGCGATACGCCAGCGAGACGGCCGACCGACAACCCTCCTACCTGCAGCCCCGAGGAAGCTGCCCATGTCACTGAGGCCCCTGTCGCGGTGGCTTGCCTGCCGTCCGTCCAGCAACTGATTCTTATGAGTGATCAGGTACCGATGAAGGGCAACTCTTCTGCCCTTCAAACAAAAGAAAGGCCCTGTTTTTCAATGTGCTAGCCCATGGAACATGGGGTGGGCAAGCAAATGGTCTAGCAGTTACATCATGTTATGTGCTCTCCAGCTATCCAAATAGTCAAGCAACAACGTCGATTGATTTTCGAATTTATATCAAGTCCCATTAAAATATCAGAGAATATAAGGTCCACGGTCTCTATACTTTGTGTACTTTGCGTTCCAGACCTATTGATGCATACATGGATCCCACCCTATGCATTAAGAAGACTCGGTTGAAAAGGGATCATTGCAGCAGTATATCATTGGGCCTTCTTTCCTACTCTCATAACCTTTGTCTTTGATTGGGAACCTTGTTAAAGTGCCATCACACCAGGGCATCACAGCCACCTCTAAACAATGATGTCATATCCCCACTATAAAAGTGTCCTCTCACCTTTGGATTGTCCTCCACACTACCCCTTACACACTACATACATCTCCAGTACATCTGACCTATCGAAATCATAAGTAAATCTTCTACTTTACCACTTTCAAGTCATCATGCCTATCGACACCTCCAACCAAGACAAGGGCGTTACCGGAGCCGCCAAATTTGTCACATCCACACTCGGTAACACGGTCGGCGGAGTCACTCGCACACTGGGTGGAGTAACTGGTGCTGCTGGTCGAGGCGTTGGCAACACTATCACCAGCGCAACGGGCAGCACAGGTGAAGGAGTCGGGAATGCGCTGGGCAGCGCAAGTTCGGGAATTGAGAATGGAGCAAAGTCGGTAGCGAAGGGTGTTGAGGATGCCGGGAAATGGAAATGAAGTTAGGGTTGCGGGTTTTGTATATACTATTCTTTCTGATTCCACATAAGGACTTTTGGATGGATAGTGGAGCGATCGTTGCGGTATTAATGGTTGATATTCACTACATGCGAGCACAATAATTCCAGAACATTCCTGTCTCCATCACTTCTTGATAGATTGTTATACGTGCATTATGTGTGGGTTGTGAGTTTTGATTTTGGGCAAAGGAATCACGATGATGTAGTGACTATGTGACTACTTAAGTATTCACCCGGGCTATTTCTCTAAGACCGGTGTATCACGCTCTGTATATCCCTTCTCGGTCACCATCATGGATATTAGATAGCTGTACTGTAATAGACAAAGCTGAAGCAAATGTCAAGGGTATTGATCAGAAATGTAAAATGTTAAGCATCACTATCCCTCAACCTACATCTCTCCAAAGATCTTCTCCCACACCTTGGCAGATTGTACCAAGCTATCATGATCCGTACCCTCAACAGTCGTCGTCTCAAACTTAATCACGTCCTCCGCATCCCCATTCCCAGCTTGCTGCCAACAATTCTCGAAATATGTCTGTCCCTTCTTCCCACTCATACTATCGTCCACAGCAAAATATGCCTGAACCTTCAACGGTTTTCCTTCTCGGGCTCGCTCTTTCTCCCTCTTGACCAATTCTCTCACATAGACTTCATAGTTTTCGCACTTTCCCCACAGATCAGGCTTCTTGCGCAAGCATTGCATAGCCTCGCTATTCGCGCCAACCGTGTTCTCCTTGAACATGAATTGCATCATCGACGAATCTATTTCATTTTGCTGCACCATGCTCAGTCCGTAGTGCTCTTCAATGTAGTGACGGTTTTTATCCTTTTCCTCATTTCCGCCAGAGGAAAGCATGGCAGAGAACTTAGTCACCATCTGCCCGCTAGTTGCGGTAGCGGACCCATCCTGGGCCAGGAAAAGGCGTGGAATGTGATGCCAAAGTTTGAAGGCTGGGGCAGGGAGGAATTGGGCTGCTTTCAGAGATACCATGCCAGAATGAGCAGGGTCAACAAATGGAGCTATAAAGAGACATGTAAGTTCTCGCTCGGATCTGATAAGCCGGTCTGGAAGACCATGCTGGAGATGATAAACGACCAAATATTGTAGCCAACATACCTAAAAGTGTTACTCGTGGATTCTGAGGATCCAGAATATCCCTGCAGCTCCATAGTGTGTTCAACAGATAAAAGGTTCCAGCACTGTGCGACGCTAAAGCCACATGTTGGATGCCTAAATGGGCTAGAAGAAGGGGTACAATCTCAACCCAGACTGATATACGTTCGGTAAGTGGGACATCGGTAGTACCACCCATTCCAGGTCTTTGGGGCTCGTCAGCGCTTCTATAGTCATATAATAGAGGGATAGCATTTACCGATCGACAACCAGCATGCGCACGCCCTGTTTCTCAGCAATCGCGTGCAAGCAGACTCCAAGATACCGGGATGAAAACATACCCGGCATCATAAGAATAGTCGGGACGGTCTCGGAGTCAGAAGCTTCTTTGCCATACTCGGCAAAAGTGACGTCGAGTGGTCCATGTGTAGCAGTGGCTTCGATATTGAAGGAACGATGGAAGCGAGGATTCGAGATAAAAGATTGAGCGAAAGACTTTGGAGAGGTTGGATCAGATGTCATTGCGGTGGTTACAGCGAGAGACTCGCAGTGCTTATTTCTTTGAAGTCGAGGAGCAAAGGATAGAGGGGTGAATAGGCTTCTATCAAAATGCAAGTCTGGTCCCGCGGCTTACGGCTGACTACTCTGTATGGGTCCACACCAAGCTCACCTGGGCATAAGCATGCTAAAGCCAATAGACCCGAATCCGAGAAATTTGGGGGCCAAATAATTTCTGACAGTGGGATTGTGGCAACTTTCCGTTTCTCATTTCAGGGTATCTTGCCGAGCTAATCGACTGTGTAATTTCTTCCAGGCCAATGCAAATTGGCTAGAAATTAAGTGAGATCTCAAAGAGAGCCGATGGGAATCACAGACACTACTGGGAGACAGAGAGGAAGAGAGATGTCCAGAAACAGTAGATCGTTATTCTGCGCTCAGAAGGGTGAGCAGGGGGGAGTAAGAGAATCACGAAAAAGGCATAGCAAGAGGCAGACCCTGGGATCTTCGGCCTGGGATGTGCGAGACCGATGGTGGTCGCTGGCAATGGCTTGGCCGCAGTCAGTATGTAGAACATGAAGATGTCCCAGCTCATACGTGAAGGCTTCTTTTTGGGGCTTCAAGCTTCAGGCTGTTTCCCGATAGACTTGGGTTGGGAAATCTTGCCTTCGAGTTGCCTCATGGCCATCATGAGAGTTATGGATGGATGAGGCCAATCCGTTTGGGGTGAGGGCTGGCTCCCATCCTCGACAAATTAATTTTGCAAGGCTAGCAGACGCTATCCCACCCCTTAGTTCTAGGGGTAGTTAACAATTATAATCCCTCAAAATCACAAAAGAAGTCAGAGTACCAACTGTACCTCTACTTCGATGAGGAGAGATGGAGATAGATGGAGGGAGACGAACAAACAGCGAGCAAATGTATGAAAGATGTGAAGCAAGAGTTTGAGAAGATTGAGAGAGAGGAAGAGGGTAGGAGAGTGGGAGAGGGGCGGCGAGGAAGAAAAAGAAATGGAGGAGAGAGAGAATTTGCCCTATGCTATAGATGTCCAACCCCCAACAGGAAATGACAAGAGGAAGCTCACAAGTTCTATCAATGTTGTCTGATACGGGCCTCGTTGATTTGTCTCAATTCACATATCACGAGTTGTCATATCGAGGAATACACTTCGCTGTGGGTGCAGTCTGAGTGAGACACTTGCGTATTGTTGATGGTTGGGACGGTTTTCGGTGGACAGAACCCATAGTGTTTTGCCGTCTGTGAGGTTGCTTTCTTAACCTCTCGTCTCCCCAAATCGATCGTATTTCGTGTCTTCGCTTTCTGCCTCGTGGAGGAGGTCTATGAGATGTCACGGATGATTGCACGCGTGGCCCTTTGGCTGGAGGGGAGATATGGCCTGAAATGCTAGCACTTAATCTGCCTTGAAGCTGATGACTTACTCCGCCGCGTTTGACAGTCGATTGTCGCAACTTGTCATCTTATCGAGCCGAAAGCACCGTGGTAATGACAGAAAGAGCACGACCAGGCCTCAGACCACAGTCAAGCAGGGACCTACGCACGGCAGGCAGATTCCACCTTCAACATCCAAGCTCCACACAATACAAACATGGAAGGCCAACCCATCGGAGCGGAACTGGTCTCAATGAACGAAACAGTGTCTTCCGGCAGCGCCATCGCAGGTGGTACCAGAGACCATTTGAAAGGGCTAGCTCCCATACTGTCGAGGCACTCGACCTTCGAATCATCTGTGCTGAGTCTATAGCACAGACACCCTCAAACTAACATGCCTATGATGCGAAGCCAGGGAGACTTTCTCGAAAGTACTGTCGCTGGAACTTCTTACCAGACTTGGAAACGCCAACTGAATTCTTGGTGATGAAGCATGATTCAAGCAAACGTGAATTGAAAGCAACTTTCAAGCCATAAGTCCCCCGGAAATTTGATAAGACTCTGTTATGCTTCATACAGGCCGTCCGTGTTTGGACTATGGACCCCGGGTTACCAATTTAGGAAGGGAACATCAGCCACCGTACCAATGTTCCTATATATCCCGCAAAATCGAATCAAAGAGCTTCGTGGAAAAGAAGTGAGCACATTCCCAACATCAAAAGCATCATAGTCTTATCCTAGGATCCCATAGATGGGATATCTGGAATGCACTAATCGCTGCAAAGGCCTGATATCACATCATACAGCAGCACCTCATATGGAAACCCCATGAAGATCTGCCCCAGTCTACGAAACCCACATCCGATGCCCAATGAGATTTTCCAATACTGATCGCACGGCCGGTGGCCCCAACATCAATATAGTCGTACTCAACCCGACAAGGCAAGAACTGACGTAAAACACCGTTGGATAAACTATCAAACAATTGCCATTCCAAACAGAATACCCGAAATCTGACGCACAATTATCTCGGAAAGCACCGCACCGCTAGCGCTTGCAACAAAGTTCACGACCAAAGCCCAAGCGGCTACCATGGCAACTCACCACGCGCCAGACGTGATGTCACCGGAGCGAACAGTTCAGAAGCGTCTGAAACGAACAACGCAAGATAATCGTTAGAGGTACAAAATAGGAAGCTCAAATCCATGACCCTGCGTCATCTATACGGATATAGAACAGAGCGCATTAGGGAATATAAGTGCTCACTGACCGCTTAATAGTTTCTCGTATTAATTCCATATACTATTCGGCTTATTGGACGTCATATACGCCCAGGATTGACGGCAAGTTAGGCGATTACGTAGGCCGGGAATTAGAGGTCTCCAACGCAGCCGGAATAATCTCTTTTTGTTTGGTTTTGATCTTCGTCCCAGGGTAATTCTATGGTCGGGGTGATTGCGATAAACCCATTTCCCACCTCATTTGGGCGACTCGCGAAACGTGTTTCATGTACTCAACTGCCGCCCTATTGTGAATGATATCATTCTATATTTCATCCACCTATACCAGTACGAAACACGGCAACCTTGGAACCAACTGGCGAATATTGAAATATTCAGATCATGCGCTGAGTCGAATTTTACGGTATGGCGAAATTTGCGACCGCTATCAGATGGCCACAGTAGAGTTTGCCTCACGGGCTGATATGTTTTCCAAGGTTTGCCATTTCCCAGGAATAAACCTCCGGGCTCCGACACTTTTCCCAGAGCGGGAGTCTCTGTAGCCATATGTCGCTGGAGTGTATCATTATTGGTAAGCTGATCGTGCTAAGGACACCCGATGACCAGGTGCAATGGCCAACCAGATACAGTGCGATGAGGGGTCACGTCGATCACTTATCGAGTGCTTCCAGAAGATTTCCAACCTTGCAAGGTTTAGCGTCGGACAGGCATTGGTCAACGGTGCGAGGGGACTCTGTACAAGTCTGAGGAGCGCGCATCTGACGTGGGCTTGCAAGAATGTAACATTGAGAATAATACTCCGTAAGAGCCGCGTTGATTGCAAATGGCGTAGAACCCTGGAAGCACCTGGACATCACTAGTTACGAAGTGCTCCTGAAGTCTTTCGTGACCTTAGAATTGTTGCTATATTTATTCATGCTGACTGTTGACTGAAGGTGCGCCACACGCCGATCGGACAGGCAATCGTATTTTCGATCGATGTGCGATGCACGATGCACCATAAACTGGTTATGCCAGGCATCTGAATAAACAGTTGCAACTTCTAATTACACATCCCAGTTCAATCGGACCGGTCCGAGTCAAAAAGCCAAGACTGTAGCCCGTCGATCCCGAGCCAAATAACCAGCACTGCCACCGTTGCCCCCTAACTTCATCGCATATTCAGTACAACACCTTGGCAAAAACCAAAAGACAAATAGAACCCCAATAGCTCATATCAGTACTTGCCAAGACCCTATTCATGCACCCTGCTGGTCAGCATGATCGCCATGATCGCCCTTGGCAAGTCTTCCAGGCTAATCGCATAATCGCGCCGCGATACCTCGTAGAGATTCATTTTTGCGCAGAATGGTTTCACAAGGCTTGGCGCCGAGGATACTGCCCCTATCATGGAGCTGGGGGTTATCTTATTCAAAGTTCAATGCCAAGAGTCCAGGAGCTCCTAAAGTCTGTTACGAAAGGAGAAAAAACAAAACATGAAAACAATGTTCATTGAACCCCTTTGTGGATATTTCCCCTTCCCCGTATTGTCACCCCGGAAATACTGGAGTATCTTTGAGGGGGTGATACGCAAATTCTGGAGATCCGATGCCCAGACCTTGGCGGTTTGCATCACCACGCGCTCCCGCCAAGCATTCCTCCGGTGAGGCCCAGCAACTGGCTTTCCCCTTGTTCTCCTTGCTGGTGATCCAGCCGGGCAGATCATTGATCCGCCTGGCCTTCCGAGACCGATCAGACTGATCAGTCTCTGAAGAGCGCCCGGCTACTTCGTACTGTGTAAGGAGTACGGAGTACTCGTATACCCTGGCGGTAGGATCGGTCCTCTCTGGTCGTATCTTGGAGGTGTGACGTTCTCAAAGTTTGCTCATTGCTTTTTGTACTCCGTGCTGCCGCTGTCTTTGCTCTGAGGCACGGGGTGGACTTGGCATTCTTGGACCTTCGACGTGATCCTCGGCAGTGAACTCTTTCACGCTAGGCAAAGAACGTGGGTATCGGCCTGGAGTACTCCGCATCGTTGACTTCGAAGGGCCATGCGCCAATCGGCCATTGACATCGTTATCAATTGGTTGTGTATCGTTCTTTGTTTGCAAGTCTGCAAGGATTCTCCGAATTCCTTCACGTTAGTCACGTTCAACTCTAGAACGGTCACACTTCGAAATTCGACCCCAAATCCATTGGAAATACTAATGCTCGTACTTCCAAGTTCGTAGTCCCAAGCAATCAAAGTCAAACAAAGTACGGAATACTGGTATGGTCGACAATATATTCCAGAAGCTCAAGGTTAATGGGAGCCCGTGCGGGACAACCGCTGTCACCTATTGTTTTAGGTTAACTACATTTGGCCCAGTGCAGAAATGCAGGTGAAAATCCCTCATACATTCGAATTACTCGGAATTACTACTCGTACGGAATACTCTAAACCTTTGTAACTCGCAAGCCATTACCCATTTAACCCATAATTTACCCGTTGCGCTCGCATTGCATTGCATTGCAGCTATCCAATCCCTTGAAACGATCCTCGACTCCACCTCCCCGGTTGTGTTCCCGGTCAACAATCCTAGTTAGGATCATTGTGAGTTTGTTCATTCCATCCCGTGTGCCTCAATTATAGGAACTGTTGTACTCGTAGTACAATCAGGCGTTGTACAGCTCTATAGAACATCCCGCTCGTGCCATCCTGTGCCCGGAGTCCGATCTACACCTGCACAGGTCACACTTTATTGCACTAGACACCTGCATGCTGTCCATCTGTCCCTCCGGACGGAGTACATGGGGTAATTTCCCAAAGAACGGGTCCGATGGATTGCCAATTGGCAATTGAGTGCGTGCCACGATCGTTGAGCGGGGAATTTCCATCACATCGTGCCGCGAACATCACGCTACTCTCGTATCTTTTTCTCAATTATGGTCTTTTTGCCAACTTATACTCCGCAATGTTCGAGGATTCGGGGCCCGTCGTTCGAAGTGAGATCTTACTGTTGTTCTGGTCGACCAGGAGAAGTTCTCCGTCGGAGGAATCAGGAGGGGTCTTCTTGGCCCATTCCACAATCCCAACCGTCTGCCGAGAATTGGCGCTCATTGGCGTCCCCTCAACCCTTCGACTATTCTTGTCCTTCGTATGCTCAAGTGCGGAGACGAAAGAGTATCATGTAATGTGAGGGGATAGCCAAGCGCTTGATTTCATCTCAATTTTCCAGCCCCGGCTGCGATATCGCTGCCGTCAGCGCGGGAACTTTTGTTGCTGCATGCACACCTTGTACATTTGGGACATTCGGTTAACTATGCCTGTACTCCGTATGAAGTATTCCTTGTACATGAATGTTCCAGTTTGTTCGATTACTCCGTACCTTGCGCCCGGGTGCACAGTACGAGTAATAAGGGCAATTACAAAGGCCGATAGCGAATCGCTCCATGTCAGACCGCCGATATCCATGGATGTGATCGATTAGGACTGTCGCATGACAATACGTAAAGCTGAATCCTGAATTAAATTACCAAGCTCAAGTTGCAAATCCCGGGATGAGCTCAATGGCTTGAGAAACCAATCCTCCAAGGAGAATCCCCGCCGCTATAACGTTGCGTTGTTCAAGCTTCTTCCACGCCCCTCTTGTAAACTTAACTGATCTTTCCCACGTCAGGCTAACCAGCTTCAAGGCAAACTCCATGCGATCCACTGAGCTTGGATGTCAAAATTACAGGGACCATGCCTGCTCGCACAGATGGAGAGTGGGGGATCTCCTCGGATTCGCGAAGCTTGTCGAAATTTAAATGGTGGCTCAGAGCCCTACATTGTACTGCGTGGGAGGGGGTGTTGAGGGACTGCAGTCTGCATATCTCCGGACCACTGTGCACTGTGAGGCCCGTTGATCGTTGGAGGGAGTGGGGCCCGTTGATCGTGGGATTCTTGCTTTTTTTTTCACTTTTCTTTGCTTTTTTTTTAGATTATCTGGTGTCTGTGCTGAGCAACTGGTTTACATACGATGCGCGCATACAGTAGAAAATCCTCTCCAGTCAGCCGGCCTTCTAGGGCTGATCGCGGTCGCGGCTGACCGCTTCTCTTCGAGCATGAACGTGGGCGTCTGTCTTCGTAAGCTCCGATGCAGGCGGTCATTGGTCTCTGTCATCGGGTCTGTGGACATAGATCGGGGTGGGATTTTTTCTTATCTCCCGGTGATTAGCTACAATGGTGGAGATCTGAGGAAAACCGCGCTGCCTGGTGCGACAACTCAGTCTATTGTAGATCGAGTGTATGCCCAATATGATGATCGATTGTCGCTTCGCCTCTTGAATGACGAAACGAATAGGTCCCAATCTGGAGATCTTTGAGGCCGTGCTTGCGAGGGAGAGCTTGGCATCCCTGCCAAAGAATTCGACTGCCTCTCGGCTTGGCGCTGGAATGGGAATCGAGAGGATGTGATTTGCAATGAATGGTTGTGTATCTACGGAGTACGGAGTACAGAGCGCTGTGGCTATGTATACCAAGACTGATCTGCCGGGAAGGGACAGAGCCAAGAGTCTCTGTTGGAGGTTCGGATGGAGGTGGATACAACTCAAAGTACTCTGTACGGATGGCTCGTACTTCCTCGTACAGAGTACTGAATTTGTACTGTATATTATATTGTGAAGTACTCACAGTAAGTACGCGCATCGATCTATCGAACTCGACCCGAGAAGCTCCGATAGAATTGAGTCACGTTTCTGACTCGATGAGGCGGAGACTATGCACATGGAAGGAGGAAATGACTGATGACCTGTGGTGCATGTAACTCTACGTCAGCGCGAAAGTCTTCCGCATCAAGGGAAGCTGGAGAAAGCAATACCAAGCATTCAGGTATGACTCGAGAAGTCGGCAAACCCCGCCAAGACCCTATAAAGTATGACTGTTCATCAGCGAGTCGCGCACAGCGCGCGTTTACTTGGGGTTATCAATTCGATATTACGAGTTCCCGTCAAGTAAGACAGCCCTTACGGAGCAGTTTTAGGGCAACTTCGGCCAAGGGCTGACGGCTCGGCACCACTCAGGCACCCCCAATCGGCGAATGGTAATTCCCATACCGCCGAGCTACAGCATTAAGGGCGGCTGTAACCCTGCTCTGACCATACACATACGATCGACGATCACTGTACGAAATCAAGGGGAAATGATTGGCAATGTACAGAGTACATGGAGCAATGTAGTTACCCAACTTGCCGTCGAAACGGTGAAATATAATTAGTATCTTAGGACCCAAAGTACCAGAGGTGCCAATTTCGCCTAATCACGGATTCACCGCTGTGTTGGCCAAAGACAAGTGCATTGTGGAGTGAGTTCGCGGCAAGTATAGGTCAGGTTTGAATGGGGGAAATTCAACGTGAGGGTCGAAAACCGGGCCCTGATCAGGTTTAGTTTCAGCACAAAATCCCTCATAGTCCACCAAGCGCTCTGCAATAGTCATCAAACCGCGAATCCACTAATCTTGAATTTCTTATGGAATAGTCTGTACTTCGTATTCAGTCATTGTCAGTTCTTTATTCTACAATTATAGATCATTTCTATTATTGTATGTACAATAATCTGCTAAATAAGCAGTATAATGTACACTCCGTACATGCAATAAAGAGAAGCGAAACAAAGCGTGCAGCGTGGCCGTACTCCGTACCGCGCGCAGGAACAACTTTTTTTTTCTCTCTTAGTCAGGAGTATAAGGGGGTCCGCAGCTGCTTGAGTAATTTTGTGTGGTAAGCACCGGTAATCATCGGTAATCATAGGTCAGCCAAGGTGAGCCAAGGGGAGAAAAGGGTACATTGGGGGCTGTTCGGGGGTGGTATTGAGTAATATGGGGCCCGGGGGGAAGGTATTTTGGGGTATTTCTTAGTAACTGGGTAAATTTCCCAAACAGGGCAAGTGCGAAAGACCAAAGAGGTAACGAATGAAAAATTAAAAACGAAAAAAAAGACGAAAAAAGAAAAAAACGAAAAAACGAAAAAAAGAAAAGAAAATTTAAATGACGGCGCTAGGCCGAAAGCGACAGTGCCGGAGTGCCGTATCGTCACTCCCACTCTCTCTTCCTCTCTCGCTCCCCTCCATAACTAGCACCTCGACTTTGCTTTTCTATTATTTGATTCCTGCTTCCCCCCAATCTTTCTTTTGTCCCTTTGTTCTGCCTTTTCTTTCGTGAATAATCTCCACTCCATTCGCCTGACATTCCTGCCTCTACACTTCTCAAAGCACAGACCCTCGAATCCCCGGTATTCGATCTAGTTGACGCCCTCAACATTGCTCCATTCTTAGGACAATTATCGATCTTGGCGACTATCTGGGCGACTATCCTCTGCTTCGCCTCACACAACCTAGCCATGCGTTACATATCATGACAAGCGTCCTCGTTCGGGACATCTTGTTCAGCCCTCCAGATCGATCGACCTGAAACCGATTGATATCGAGAGAGCATCCGTTAAATGAAAGACCTCAATAAGTCTTTCAAGCACCATTGTACCGTCGCCTTCGACTCGAGACTACGCCACTTCGCCTCTTCTTTGATATCATACCCATCATCCTCCCGTCTCGCAATTTGAACTATGGCCCAGCCTCGTTACGGAGAAAGACCATTCTCTTTCCACAACCTTTTCAAGATGCTACTTTCACCAAACGCTTCGACGAAGGCGGCCCATGAGGAGGCTGACCTCGCCGAAGATATCGATGAACCCCCCGATCACCTCACCCACGCCACCCCGTCAAACTCCGATCAGATTCGCCTCGCACGGCCAACCGTGGACCGCAAAGAATCCCTGCTTACCCGCGCCCTGAAGACCAGCCCGGAGATGTCACCAACTGACCAGCATACTTCCTTCCATGACTCTTACATGTACCGATCCTACCCTTACAGTAACATCTCTGGTCTCTCGACTGCCGAGCTTACCAGCGATGGTGGACTCACAAGTCCTTCGCTATCCAACACCCCCAGCCCACCTCTTCCCCCTCAGATGATGAGCAAGGCTGCATTGATGGGAAAGAAAGATGTCACGCCAAAGGTCAAGGTTGTAGCAGCCGGTGAAAACACCGTCGAAGCCAACCTTGGCCGCAAGCGATGCATCAGCTTTGCGTGCGGTAGAAAGACTGATGATAATCCGCCTTTGTCTCCTGTCTCTCCCTCTGGATCTCAGACTCTTCCACCCAAGAGCCAGTCCTCGAAGGAAGACGCGGAGGAAACTCCTATCCAGCCTCTTCAGCGCAAGACCACTCTGACTTTCGTCTGTCCTGGACGTGAGCCTACTCCCCAAAGAGAGCGATCTCCAGTACGCAAGGCCTCTTTCCGGTCAAGATGCCGTGGATCCCCGGCACCTGCCCTGCGAAAACCCTCTCCTGAACCCAAGGTCACTCCCCAAAAGGTCTCTGAGGAGGTTGTTCCCTCGGCAGCTACTCCCAAGGGTATCCCTACCAGTGGCTTGGGAAAATTTGAGGAATCGGAGGCTACTCGGTTCCACGAATTTGCTAGCTCTATGGATGAAGATGACGAATGGGTGAACAAGGAAGCCGACTACACGGAAAAGATTACTTTGAACGACTGCATGAAGAAGGAAATGGCAATTCGACGCCTTGGAGAGCAAGCGGAAGAAGAGGCACTGGAGGAAGAAGACGATGATGTGGAAGACCTTGCGGATGACGACTCGACTGTGCATGATTTCTCTTCCGACGATGGCAACGAGTCTGACAATGAGGCTGGCTTTGCAGAGTCAGATGAGAGTGACGATGAAGGCTCAGACTATGAATTCTGGGCCCCGTCATTGGCCACTCCTGAACCAACAAGCCAACCCATTGAAAGTCGCCCCGCCATGGAACGTCGTGCCTCGAACACATCGTTTGACTCTATGGAGGATCATCCCAAGTGGCTCCCAGCCCCTGTGAACATTAGCTCCCGCCGCCCATCCAAGGTTTCGACAAGCATCAGGATCCGCCCTCGCACGCCCAACCTCCCTGACAGTACTGACTTTGTGTGTGGTACACTCGATGAGGATCGCCCTCTCGAGGCTGCCTACAAGTCCTGTCTGGAGCAAAGACGTCTCTCCAAGCAAATCCCCATCCCGCAGGACATCGACCCGAGTTTCCCCACCAGTGACCCCGAGGACGAGGAAGACGAAGAGCCATCCCAGGAAGAGCTCTCCGACATCCCCTCTGAGCCAAGCCGAGGAAGGGCAGAGGGCGACGCTCGCAAGCACTCCCCCCGCCACTCTCCCAAACGCCTGATGTCTCCACCCCCACGCCGAGCTGGACGTACCTCTCCCAAACGTCTGAAGTCCCCTCCCCCTCGTGTGCGCGCCAAGTCTCCCATTCCCTCCAAGTGGCAGTTTACCGAAGAGATGCCCACGGTCGAGTCTCCCGAGGGCCTGAACATCAGCCACCTGGTCCAGCGTCGACCCCTGGTTCGAACCAAGTCTCTCCCTCGTACACCTAATCCTTTCTTTACTGGTCTTGATAAAGATCATCGCTGGAAAAGTATTCCCGCATTGTCAGAATCGCCAGAGCGCGAGCACTCACGAACCCGTGAGCTACATACCCGAGGCCCTGTCGACATCGTCGAAGGGCTCGAAAAGAAGCGCCAGAAACGCAAAGAGAAGTTCTGGCGCCAACACTGCCGCAAAGCTGCCAAAGAGCAACTGGGCAAACGGCCTATTCCAGGCCATGGAGCTACACGGATGAAGGAGCTTGGCCTCGAAGTTGCTGAGAGGTGCAGAGCTTATGGCGTCGGTCAAGACGCCCAGCTCGTCCTATCTGTGTAGTCTCCCTACAGAGCTTGCTTTGGAAGCTGCCCCTCCCGTTTTTGGACTGTATATATCCATTTGATTTTTTTTTTCTTCCCTTCGCGATTTCTCCTGGCTTGGGGTTTATTTGTCTCGCCCTACTCGGTTAGCGATCCGAGTGCCTTTCGCTTTCTTACACATACTTTGCCTACTTCATGTTGTCCACATGAATGGGTTTTCACCCTTTTTCCTAATTCCTACACGGAGGTGGCTCTTTCTTTGCATTTTCTGTCGGAAGCTTGTCTATATTCTTTCTTTTCTCTTCTCTGAAGTCTTCGAGACTCGCTGAAGATCAATTCTTTCGTCGTGTTGCATGGTTGCGGTGCATATACCCCTGTCTGACTTTTCTGCATTGTGAAACAAGAGATCATCAGTTTGATGAGAGTGAATATGAAATATTTTAGATATACATTTTCTCGAGTAATTCTCAGTAAACGACTCTCGAGTCCTCTCGAGGGCGACGACAAGTGCATGGCCTACCGCTTAATGGCAAGACTACATGACCTCGGGAGATAGCTTGCCACAGCATCACGAAGTAGAATACGCCAATCACCAATCCCCTTGAACTGCATAATCTAGCTCCCATCATACGGTCCCAACAGCCCAAAATGCATATAGATCAGCCCAATTCAAGTCTATAATTCCCAATTCCTCAAAAGGTCCGTACTTCGTCTGCGCCGTGATTCCGTCTTCCTGCCTAAGGCACCCAAAACCCCGAAAACAACACCAAACCTGTCTTCTTTGCCTCTATCTCCCTCCACCTTCACCAACACACCCGTCTCTTCGATAGAACTCTCACAGATTCAAGCCTGTGATCTCCGCACGACCTTGACTTTTTTCCTCGATCCTTTTCTGACCACCCATTCACCATGTGGATTGTCAACTGGTGTAAGTCTCCCCCGATACCACACCGATCACTTGCCCGCAGCCGATCAACACAGCCCGACCAGAGGAGCCTCCATGTTCTCGGGTATCTGCCTACAGAACGTGTTGAATCATTATCTGCCCAGCTCGTCGCCGACCCATGCGCCTCGATGTCCTCGGCTACGGGCCTGTGATCCGGATCCCTCTTCACATGTACATCCTGCACTGTACTAACATGGCTCTGTACAGTCTACGACGTCCTTGCATCGCTCGGCCTCTTGACAAAAAGCGCCAAGCTTTTGTTCCTCGGACTCGATAATGCAGGAAAGACTACCCTGCTGCACATGTTGAAGGTAAGCCAAGAGTTGGCAGATGAGTGGAACAGACAGGGCCATCTTGTATGGGATGGGAGATGAAAAGGCTGGCCCTGATTCTGTGGAGCATGGAATACATTATTGGTCAAAGATCTGGATTGGGTAGTTTGCTAATAAGCGCATTGAACAGAACGACCGTGTCGCCGTTCTGCAACCCACAGCCCACCCTACCTCCGAGGAACTTGCTATTGGTAACAACCGTTTCACCACCTTCGATCTCGGTGGTCACCAACAGGGTATGTGAACCCCGCGACCTTGTGCGCCTGTGATATCTGTGAATGTCAGAAACTAACATTTCACCACTTCAGCCCGTCGTCTGTGGAAGGACTATTTCCCCGAAGTGTCTGGTATTGTGTTCCTGTGTGATTCTGTCGACCACGAGCGATTCAATGAGTCCAAGGCTGAATTGGACGCCCTTCTCGCCATGGAGGACCTCGCGAAGGTGCCTTTCCTGATTCTCGGTAACAAGATCGACCACCCCAATGCCGTCAGCGAGGATGAGCTCCGCCACCAGCTTGGTCTTTACCAGACCACTGGTAAGGGTAAGGTGCCTCTCGAGGGTATCCGACCCATCGAGGTCTTCATGTGCAGTGTTGTTATGCGACAGGGTGAGTTCAGGACCCCGCGATTGCGAGCTAGTCTAGAGCGATGGCTACTAGTGTCTAGTTTGGATGAAAGTGGCTAATTTATATTCTTCACAGGATACGGCGAGGGAATCAGATGGTTGTCCCAGTACGTCTAAATGCATTCCTGGAAACAGGAATCATAAACCGTACCGCCCACACCTCCAATACAGCATAATCTTTGCCGCATGTTCTCAAATGTTGATCGATTTCAACAAACTATATGTCAGGGCTTGTGGCTTTCCACCAACCCCTATGCCGAAAAAAAAAATCAATCTTGCTGCGCGTACATTGATTCAATGTTCTACTATAAAGAACACTCTCCCAACCTGTTTCACCTGGAGTACTTCGCTTTAATGTGCCAGTCGGCAAATGATGTACTCGATCACGCTTGCTAAACCCTTTGCTTTTGCCCCTTTTGCGCTTCTTTCTGTCCGCTAGCTAGCCGGTTCACTTCTGGATACTATAGTTCAAAGACGTGATATTCACATTCAAGCACAATGCCATTGTAGAATTGAGACATGCAAATCGAAGGAGAGTATAGTCTGCTCGAACACGAATCTGACTCGAAGGGTGGTATGATCCAGATTAGGCGCGAGGTCGGGATAATTGCCTTGTTGGGAGTAAAAGATCCATGCACGCATCTGCCTACATGATTCGGCAATGGTGGCTCGGTAACAATCTAGGCCTCCAAGGCCCGAAACTACTCAGATACACCGGGGAATTCCTAGGGTGTGACGGTCGATTGGGGATCCGGGATACGAGGTTCAGAGGGAAAGGTCACCGCTAGCCTAGACGGATAAAACCCGGGGCAAAGGGGAAAAGAGCAGATAGGGCGAATAAGATTCGATATGAAAACAAGAGCACACATGAGGTCAAGCACGACAAGAAGAGAGAAAAAGAAAATAATAGATAACCAGTTTCCCCCCTCGTAGGATGTCGAAAGGAAACGATCCCGATCCAGATGGTTAGTAACAGAAACAAAGAAGGTCGAAGAAAATAAAGCGTTTGAATTCCCGGAGGTACAGGTCGGATCGGCCAGGGAAAATGATGACTGAAGTTTTTTTATCGTGTGTCGCACTGGGCCCATTGTGGGAGGAGACTGAGACTGTGATATTATCGGGGGCTGCGGAGTTGAAGAATATCGGGCGGCGCGGATGGAGGGCTCCTTGGTCATCGTTTTCGTGGATCCGGGGGGGACTCGAGGGGGTTGTTGGGATGTCATGAGGGGCGCTGTTAATGAGATTTGTGAAGGCTTTATCTCCGCCCGAACCTGCTGCAATGGGGAAGCTCGTATTTGTTCTTTTATTTCTTTTTTTGCTTTCGCGGAGTGACGGGACCGCCGGCGTTCATGCCACCGTAAACGTACTTTTGCTTTTTCTCGGCTGGTTTCAGGATCTGCGAAGAGAAACAGTTTAGTGAACAGTTCGTAGCGAAATTTGAGAGAAGATGGTTGTGAAACTCACCTGGAAGGAGCAGAGCAGACTCTCGTCCACGCTCATCATGGCACCGGCATTATCGAATTCACCACAGTAGTTGGGCGCACTGAATAGTGTCACCAGCTGGCGCTTGGAGAAGAACTCGTATCCATCCTCCACAACTTGGTGTGCACGGCAGATCAGATCCATATCGTGTTTTTGAAGGAAACGTGAAACAACATCGGGGCCAAATGTGAATGAAACACCTCGGTCGTTCTCGCTCCAGCCGGTGATATCCTTATCGGGGTCGGACCACAGGAGATCGCACAGGAGACCGCAGTCGGGGATCTATTTCAGTCAGCGATGGCTCTCAGCCGTGAACCCAGCGTCACGATGCCACTATGAAATCCCCCCACTGCTAGCCGAACCATGTCTACCAGGGGCAGAGAAAAGCGATGGGAGAGACTTACATCAGTAGGGCGCATGACACGACGGATCTGCTCCATCGAGTTGAGATCGGGGCTCAGACCACCGTGCATGGTGAAAATCTTCTCGTCAATGATGGCAGCAATGGGAAGGCAGTTGAAACAGTCGGTGAAAGTCTTCCAGAGCTTGATGTTGTATCGGCGCTTGCACTCATCGTAGAAACCGTAGATACGGTTGATAGAAGCACACTCGTGGTTTCCACGAAGAATGAAGAAGTTCTCGGGGTACTTGATCTTGTAGGCAAGGAGGAGGCAAATAGTCTCAAGAGACTGCTTGCCACGGTCGACGTAATCACCAAGGAAGAGGTAGTTGGCCTCAGGGGGGAAACCGCCGTATTCGAAGAGACGCAGCAGGTCGTAGTATTGCCCATGAATATCACCGCAAATCTAAGGGGGAGAGTCGCGTCAGACCAACCAGACTTCTCTCGGCGGATCGTTCGGACACAAAAAAATGACTAACCTTGATGGGAGCTTCCAGCTCGAGAAGAATGGGCTGAGAGATGAAAATCTCGCGGGCCTTGGTGCAGAGGAAACGGATCTCTGATTCAAGCAGTTGAACCTGCTTGCCAGGGCGGCTACCCCTCACCTCCAAAAGCCGGTCAATGATTGAGTCGAGATCAACTTCATTGTCGGCCATGACGAAAGACCTCTAACGAAAGAGACGGAACGAAAGAAAGGAAAAATGGGTGTGAAGAAAAAGGGAGGCGAAGGAACGCGGGAAGAGAAACCTCCGGAGCGATCGGTCGAGAGCAGAAATTTGATGACGCGGCGACTATGTTCTGTTGTTGTCAGAAAACCAGGTTTGAAAAGTGCTTCAAATTGAAAAGAAGTCCAGTCTGCATTTCAAAGTTCCAGATGAGGCAAATCCGACAGGCGCGCTTGATGTCGCTTTCTGAATTTTCTTGCCCCCCTTGGCAGTGGCAGTGGCAGCGAGAGTAACAGACAGGGCGAAAAAAAGACAAGGCGAGTCTCGTCAAATCTGTCACGGGATGACCTACCAAACAGAGAATTCAAGATCAGGTTGATCTGAAGAAGGGCCCCAGCGGCCGCGTGAAAAGATCTGGCAAAGACGCCAGACGGTGTATGGCCAAGGGTGTGCCTATCCGAGTTGTATACCGAGCGCAGGAAAGGGAGAAGAAAACTTGCTCCTAGGGCGCCTGAGAAACCGAGCGAAGTCGTGGACTTGGGGGGGATTCGAGTGGGAAAGACGGAGGGGTCTCGAGGAAAAGTGGGAAAGGGAGGAAATCTTCAATCAAGGGTGAAAAAATTATTTTTCTCTTTAGCGATATTGAGATATGCGAAAGCGAATCCAAACAGTCTCGAAGAAACTGTGAGTTGGTAGAGAGAGGTGAGAGAGGAGAATCTTTTCTGAGGAAGAAGGCGGGAAGTTTCTGGTTGTTTGCGCGTGTTTGGTCTTCCCTATCAAGGGTTATATATAGATCAGCACTCTTATGTCCTGGACCCTTTCTACTCTTTTTACTTAAGTACTTGTGGTCTTGATTTTCATTGAATAATGCGCTGATCAAGTGTGATGGGTTTAGTTCTCTATACCTGCATGGAGGGGTTTGGCGTTCGAGGGTCGAGACTTCAACGCCTCAACGCCAGGTGAGGTCCAAGCACGAAGACGCTAATCTAGTTACTTGGTCTAGTCGGCGGTGAATGTCTTTGTATAACATTCCAATATCCCTATTGGATACGGCCAAGCTTTCATCTGTGGTCGAGGTTTCCTAGGGAATGCTTGGGACTATACAGACTACGACGGCGTATCATCCGAAAAGAAAAGATTGGCATATTCTCCATTGGGCTCGGGGCCCAGGTCTGCTTAAAGTGAAGATCATCGCAGCGCAGATCAGGGAGAAGATGAAACCACGGAGAGAAACAAGAGGGGAATTGAACACAAACAGTCCTCCAACGCCAACATGCCCGAAAAAACGAATCATACAATACACGCTGTAACCCGAAAAGGAAAAGAAAGGACGAAAGCAAAAAAAAAAGTCTCCCACGGTGCCGACCAAGTGTCAACGTATAAGAAGAGAAATGGCACGGTCATGGAACAGTGAAAATCAAAAGACGGTCGTAAATGGTTCATACATCCAACCCATGTCTCGTAAGTCATCCAACGCCGAAAAACAATGCATAAAAAGGTCAGTTGTCGGAAGACATCCTGAAATATGTTGTTCAAATGAGTCGCGGAGGACTTCATGACGGGGGATTCCCGTAAGAAAATAAAGGAAAACCTGATGCAGTGGTTCATCGCATCCACAGCAGGGAGACTCCGAGGGATTATGGGGGCGGAATTGTATAGAGTAGACGGAGTCCCCCGTGTGATGAGTTGTGGGTCGAGGATAGTCGAAAGTAATGTAGGGTCTTTTTTTTTTATCCGCTAAGCGCATGTCCGCTCAAAATGGCCTGGGTATTCGAGCGGGTGATAGGTGGGGTGGAGATGTGAGCGGAATGGTCCAAGCCTGCCCCCGAGCTGTGGGCGAAGTCTTTATGGGAGTTATCCCAGTCATTTTCTCCGAGAACGGTCAGCCAGTTATGGCCGACGTCCTGGCGGAGGACTTCTAACTGCTGGCGGCAAAACTCTTCATCCATGGTCCTGTCCTTGCCCTGGGAAGGCTGCACAAGAGTAGGACTTGAGGGGTTCATATGCTTTGGTGAACTTTTGATGTTTGAGGACCCGGCTTGATCCCCAGTGTCGAGCCTCCACGGCTGATCAACAGAGATATCGGTCGGGGGGTGGACGGGGGTTTGAATTTGTTGAACAGGAAGAGCCGGAATAGTTGCACTACCTGGGTTGCCTAATCCATCTGGACTGAACGGGTTGTCGACTGAGATGTCGACTATTCTGCGTCGTTGGGACTTCTTGCGACGATTGGTGCCCCCGTCGCTTTCTTTCTGCAATTCATTGGTTTGAAAAATCTCCTCTTCTTGGGGCTTCAGGGCCGCAAGATCGTGCGGTACTTTGTTGACGGTAGCGGCCTTTTGCACAAACGTCGATTCATCTGCTTGGCTGCAACGCACAATTGGTGCGGCTTGAGGCTCGGCAACCCGCTCAACAAGCTGCTTCCTCTCAGTGTAGCCAGGACCTCTACCGTCGATTATGATATCCTCGGAATAACCAGGCGTCCGACGGAAGAGATTCATAATCACAACTCGATATCCAGAGTGGGTGTTGACAAAAGGATTGCCAGACACCCAAATCTCCCGTATTTCAGGCAGATTAGTGAGTCGTGCAATCTCAGTCGGGTCTGTCAAATTATTGTCCCGAAGATCCAGTCTTTCCAAAGAGAGCAAACGTTCGACACCTGCGAGTGAACGCAGGCGGTTTCCACGGAGTGTGAGAACAGTAATGGCGGGCAAAGGGTTGCGGGTCAATGAGTGGAGAGATTCGATCATGCAATGCGATAAATTGAGTGCCCGCAGGGCCACCAAGGATGCCACACCGTCTGGAATCTCAGTCAAGAGGTTCGAGGAAAGATCAAGCGAGTTCAAACTGTTGGCTACCGGAGCCAGACTGGCAGCGGAGACGGACGTAAGTGAGTTTTCAGGAAGACCCAAGTGTCGCAGGAACCTCCATTTCGAAGGTGACAGAACATCCGCGACCAAGTTTGAAGAGCTTCCATTCCGGGAGAGATCACTGGACTCTGAGCTCGCAGATCCGGTACGTCTGATCTGACGAGACTGACCCCGACGGTGTCCATGCTTCGTGGCTGGGCGAGTTGGCGACGTACTTCCAGCTCTGGTGCGAATCTTGGCGCCTTCAGATCCTGTCCGAATCATCGAGTGGGCCTTGGGACTAGCACTGGATCCAAAAGCCGTGTCCATCACAGGAGATCCGGGCGCCGAGAGAGAATTGGCTTGGCTGGGGGTATGAACAGGTTGAGTGCTAGAACTGCCAGTCCATCCCAATGAAGGCGATTGTTGGGACTTGGCAGATCGGCGCCGTCGCTTGTCGATGTCGTCCAACACAATTCTCGTCAAAAGATCGGCAGGGTCCTCCAAGTGCGCCCGCTTGAGCGTCAAGGTGCGCAGCTGCTCAGACAATCGGTCCCAGCCGTAAAAAGAACGGTAATCTAAATCAATGATTTCTAAAGCGCTCAAATTCTTGAAAGAATGCAACGGCACCGCCGTGTCAAAAGGAAATTCTTCATATCCACTGATCAAAGGAGCTCGATGGTCCGGGGCAAGCCTGAGACACGGAATCTTGGTGAAGGCAGAGTACAAGTACTTCAGATCCATTTCCAAGGCAGCTTTGGCCCTGTCCGATTTGGATGGGGTATCCTTTGATCCAATGCGGAAAGATGACCAGAGGTCAGTCATACCAGACATAACACTACGAACACTGGAAACGGAATGGATTGAGGCACCATCGCCCCGGGATCGCTGGGGTTTATTAAGGAAGGAAACATAGGACTGTGAGACCTCTGTGTGGATGTTCTCCAGTCGAATGTTCATTGGGCCCACTGCGATGCTGAGTTCTTCGAAGCGGGAGAGGAGGTAAAATAGGTGGTGGGGGGTCAATGTCAGTTTGGCGGTTTTGGCATTCTGTGACATGAACTTCAGAGCCGCGGATGAGAAGGCTGCGGCCAGGGTGGATGAAGTAGACGCAAAGGAACTACTAGGAGTTAAAGGACCACTGGGAGATTGAGGGATCGCATTTTTGGTAGGCTGCCGCCGAAGCTGGAGCGCATTGGCGAGTGCTTTTTCGTGGGTTCGAACGTAACTAGCGACATTCTGGAAAAGTATCAACGTCAGTAAACAACCAAACCACTCCAACAAGTACAGACGCGCCACCACAAATAATCAACAATGACGGGGCGAAAGCACCAACCTTGATGAAAAGTTGTCCATCGCCAGTGTTTAATTTCTCCATGGTGCCAGCGGGGGACGTTTCCGGCGGTAGACGGTGAGAACTCTGAAGATGAATAACTCAACAGACACAACCAGGCGTAGTCGACATCTTGCTTGTGCTACCCGAGCAAGTTCCGAAAAGTGATCAATAGAGTAGGGGAGAAAAAGGAAGAAAAAGGTCGAGTCGAGGCTCTGGATGTGAGGGTTAGCAGTCCGCCAAAATTGATCAGTCTCATGTGGCGGGGAAGGATTCAGGGGGCAGAGATGTTAGAGGATCATACCTGAAAGGTGAAAGGGAGAAAAGTGAGTCAAACACTCGAACTTCTCTCACGTAAATGTCCCAAAATGAATGGCAAAGGGTGAAAAGAGAAGAGGGTGGCACGGGGTAACGACTAAATAATAATAATACGGCTTATCCAGATAACACAATACGGGATGTACGCCAAGTACAGCGTAATTACGACGTTTATATATCTAATTTTTTTTTATCAGCTGAGAAATTTCCCAGTCGTCTGATATGCTTCTTATTGGATTTAATTTCTCCTTTGCATACTTATGTTATGCTTTGCACACAATTGTCAGAAACCCCTTTTTGTCTATGTATTTCTGCGGTTTAGTACTGAAGTTCTCAAAATGCGACCTGTCAAAGTAATCTATACGCAACATGCTCGTACCGTATACCCGTCGCTAGTATAAGTAAAATGATTGCTAACGATGCACCTACTATGCCCGGGTGGGAGTGGGTGAGAGTGGCGAGCCTATGAGGGCGCCTAGGATTTTAGCTCGATATTTCTCCCGCGTCTATCAAAGATGTGCAGTTAGCGATGGCGCTCAAAAAGAAAAAAAAAAGGGCCAAAGCTCGGGATTTTAAACTATCAATGATCCTTGATGCCCTGATGCATGGATTGAACCGTTGATTGCACACAAAATTTTACGAGAATTGCACAGAGCATCAACATTCTGAGTCGATCTTGCGCAAGGAAACTCAGACCATGTACTATGGGTGGGTCCTGGTCCGAGGGGCTCTCTTTGATCGGCGGTAAAAAAAAAGAAAATTAACATCTTCCCATTCATGCATACTCAAACACCCCTCTGACTCGTACTTCCAACTGTTGAAACCCATAAAGTCCCATCTCTCGGTGGCGGCGTTGATCAATCTCCGACGCAGCCACACGCAGGCAACTTCAGCCCACGATGCAGACCGGGTGGGAATGCCGAGAGCTGGTTTAGTTGCCCCGTGCTCCCGTTGGCCCGCTTTTCGCTTTTTTTTTTGCTTTTTGGTATAATTTCTTATTCGGTGATTTTTGTTTATGCTGAAGTCTGGGAGTACGACTCACACGCCGTACCCTTACCGAATAATGCCGTTGGTCATCCGTAGGCGCTGAAGGGGGTGCAGGCGATCAAATCAGGGTTTGGGGAGAAGCGAGTGATTGCACGAGGCGCACGATTGGTGGGGCAGAACATGCATGGGAGGATATCTGCATACTCGCAGGATGCCTTCCTCCTCGAAATGGTAATAGTGGAGTGCAGTCATTCGGAAATTCAGCGAGAATGGGAAGAACGAAAGGACCTGGTTGGCGCTCTATCATGAACCCCTTTGAATAGGCCAATCAGATTGGACGGTGGAATTCGCACGCTATTTGGGGATCGTCCAAGTCAGCTCGCACTGACATCTGACATTCCTCGAAAATTGGGTAATATTTAGATGGAAATGGATATCCGATGACATCAAGAACATCAACGTCGACGATGAAGAGACCCCGTTATCGTAAATTGATATATAGATAGGCCGGTTCCACGGTTCGACTTGGATCACACCGCCTCATCAACGGGCAAAGAACCATGGTTCGGCGTCATCCCTTCATCTAAGTAATTACTCATACATTGTTACTTCTCCGTATTCCCATGTTTCAACTGTAGATGAATGCATCCAAACTCAATTTTATATGCACTTCTGGCATTCCGCTTCTAATCTATCCGATCCTGGGGTGTATCAGTAGCCATGGTACTCCAGGTTCCAAGATAGAGCATTCCAAGGGCTTTAAATGTGCCGGAAATCTTGGGTTCGGCGTTAGACCCCAGCCTCGCTGCATGCAATCCTGCACTTACGATGCGAGGAGGTTACTAAACATCCCTGCCGTTAGTGATGTGTGTCTATTAGAGTACATATCGGTGTCCCCCTTTATCCTGCCCGTTGTACCCTGTAGCCGCATACTGTGCACTTTAAGAGAGTTCACACAGCAGGGTTTTCAGCCGATCGGGGCTGAATACCCCTCCAAACCCCAGGAATGTTCAACACATGGTTAGAATCCCTTTTGACATAGCCAAGGGGGAGGGGAACCACATGATTAACGATCACCTTGATTTACTCGTACACTTCGTACCTCAAATATCTGCCCCTCATATTTACCACACACAAAACCTCATAACAAGAGTACATAAAAAAAAAGTTGGCAGCAATGACTCCGTACTGTCTCCATAGTTACTCGTAAATCCTCGGCCGCCCGGCGTCGGAGATCCGAGAACAGTGTTCCCCACCCTTGGACGATCCTTACAAACATGCAGCGCGATATGGCAGGTAAGCAAGCTTATTGGGTGAGACACGGCACGGTCATTTGCAGAAACAACTCCTTGCCAAGATCTGAATGTGGCTCGATGAGGATATTTCATTCTTTTTCTGGTGTATTTTCAATTTTTGGTCACGTCGGGGGGCACTAGGGGGTTAACTTCATAAGCGGGGGAAAGCTTTTTCTATCCAGCAACGCCACAAGAGACTGCAATAGGAGATCCATGATCTGCATATGGCTAAATGAGGAATCCTGATACGGGGATCATATTTCGTGATAACCACTCTGTCAAGGTGGTTAACTCCGGCAAGCGGGGCATTGGAGTGAAAAAGGGAAACCTTGACTTTCATCCCGCAATGAGATTCGACGCCTCGGCACGTTCAGGGATATTCCAAAGGCTAACAACCCGAAATGAATGGAGCGGCTACCGCGGTGATGAAACAACTTTATTCAAATATTTCTGATTCACGTATCGCCTCGCAAGTATCGCGTGTTCAAAGGAATGTTCAGAACCTGTTAATATAAGCGAAGGTGGTATTGCAAATGACCTTGAACACCGATGGCTTGCGCCATGTTTGCTTTTAGCATCTGCATTTAAGAGTTTAGCAGGTTGATCAACATGATCAGCGCTGAGGACGAACATGAGCGAATGGAAAAGGCGTCCGGATTATCCTCCACTAAATGAGCCTAATTAGGGTCTACTAATGTACACTCTTCTGCATCCTCTGTACCCCGCCAAAGAGCCGTCATATCAGATCAGGTGACCCAAATGACGCTCGCTTGGACATGATCTTACAAAGGTGGCTTAATCTCTGATCTGCTATTGAGTACGTTATACCCGATATCGCGAGTGCAAGGTCCACGATTTGTCCGGTGCTTGGTACGTAAATGCGGCTAAGATGATATTAATATCACTGTCAGCCCACTAGATGCTTTCCTGGGCGTCCATTCGGGTGCGAGAAAACAGACTCTGCCGGGACGCCTACCAATCAGGAGAGAACATGGATACCTTCATTCGCGCTGCCGACCACTTGAGCATGTAGCGGTGAGATAAATTGTGCTGACTCGAGTCCGAGATCAGAAAATGTCTTCGGGGTTTCCTTTTGAAACCGGAGTACGATCAGCCCGCTATTTACTCTTGGACAAACTTCTGTACCAAGGAATGTCAATTGCGCGGGGCGTGCGTGGAGGAGGGGTACATTCCAATTGCCTCCAATGTCGTCGTACAGCCAGTGAGACTGTTGTACTCAAATGCCGCAGCAGTCTGGGGTAACATCGTGTTTGGAAATTTTGGTTTTCCCTTATTTCCTTCGGCTCCTTGGTATATGCAACGCTAAGCTAGGATTCAAAGGGGGCATAGGTGTCAATGCTGATACTGGCTTTTAACAAAGAACGTGGCCGTGTATTTCTTGCGTTTTCGGCGAAGTGGGATGGGAGTAATTCAATGGTGTGATCGTGGCAAATACTATCAAACAGAAATTTATGTCTGATGATCCAACACAGAACATGTCAAACATGTACTAGTATACTTGCGCTCACAATTTCACGGCAAATCATAGATGCAAATTGTTAAATAGTAGTTATATGTGGATCAATCGGCTGTGAATCCCTCTAGAAGCCTGTAAATGAGTTTGTTGATGTATCTGTCCAAATATGGTGGTATGTTGCCAACTTTTATAGTCTATGTACTCAGTACTCTGTGCAAAGTAGTATAGTTCACAGTGGACCGAGGCATCGCTTTGATAACAAAGTGACCTTCTTATCTGGTGGGGTATCGGACAGTTACGCTAGCCTCTTCCGGAACTGCGCTAGCCGGATTCTGGAGATCATGGCCACGTGACCGTTTAACGTCATTCTGGCTTCCCCAACCGGATTCCAGGTACCGTCATTGAATGTACACTTAGCTTCAACTCCCAACTTATTGACCCAGAGCATGCGTTGAACATGACCGATGAGAAGAAGCCTCTCAAGGACCCCTATGATCCATCTACCATTCCAGACTTCGACTACGACTTTATCAAACCCGATGAACTTGACCGATTCGAGAGGGCGCTGAATGCCCCAGAAGCCTCTCCGCTGGTGGCGATCAATGACTGGCGACCAATCAATCAAAGAGTTCGAAAAAGCCGTGGCCGTCGAAAGAACCCCAAAAGAAGCAAGGATGAAACGAGAGAAGGAGTTCTATACACTGTGCTGAAATGGCCATTTCTGTTTACCGTTTTCGCATGGATCACAATGCTGGGCATTGGTTACTTGCTAATCCGCGTTTACATATTCCTCTATGAGCAATGGGTGACATGGAGAGGCAAAAGGGAACGGTTGCGTCGGGAACTTTCTGCCCAGAAAACCTACCCAGATTGGTTGGAAGCAGCAAAGGCGTTGGACGTTCATCTCGGGACTGAAAAGTGGAAGCAAACAGACGAATATGCCTATTACGACCATCTGACCATCAACAAAGTGGTGGCGCAGTTGAAGAAAGTCAGAAAGGACGCCGAATGGGAAATGGAAAATGGTCGGATCGCCTTGAACGAAGTGCCGGCAGCTGAGGAACTAAAGACGCTACTCGAAGCCTGTGTCAAGAACAACTTCGCCGGTGTGGAAAACCCTCGGATCTACAGTGAGACTTACTCAGGAACCAAGGAGCTTGTCCAGGAATACATCGAGGAGGTGCACGCGTGCATCCAAATCGTCCTGCAAAACCAGCAGATCGACAAAGAAGTCAAATATCAACTATTCAAGCACCTCGATACGAACTTCGGACGCACCGCGCTGTGTTTGTCGGGTGGTGCCACTTTTGCTTATTACCACTTCGGGGTTGTCAAGGCCCTGCTTGACAATGACGTTTTACCCGAAATCATAACCGGGACGTCAGGCGGAGCACTGGTGGCCGGATTGGTTGCGACTAGGACAGACGAGGAGCTGAAACAAATGCTCGTCCCTGCTCTGGCTCATCGGATTCGTGCATGCCACGAAGGACTCGCTACTTGGATTCACCGCTGGTGGCGGACCGGCGCCCGCTTCGACACTGTCGACTGGGCCCGGCAATGCGGATGGTTTTGCAGAGGCTCAACTACATTTCGGGAAGCTTACGAGCGGACCGGGCGCATCCTCAACGTCACCTGCGTCCCCTCAGATCCCCACTCGCCGACCATCCTAGCCAACTATCTGACATGCCCTGACTGCGTCATATGGAGTGCTGTGCTCGCTTCGGCGGCTGTTCCAGGAATATTGAATCCAGTCGTATTGATGACCAAGAAACGTGACGGCACCCTGGCACCTTACTCCTTTGGGCACAAATGGAAAGACGGTAGCCTGCGGACTGACATTCCCATCAAAGCGTTGAACTTACATTTCAACGTGAATTTCACGATAGTGTCTCAGGTAAGATTCAATTTCCCGTTCTGATAATTTGGCACTGACATAATTACAGGTAAACCCCCACATCAATCTTTTCTTCTTCAGCTCTCGGGGCACCGTAGGGCGACCAGTCACGCACCGCAAAGGACGTGGCTGGCGCGGCGGTTTCCTGGGCACTGCCATCGAACAATACATCAAACTTGATTTGAACAAATGGCTTCGAGTTCTTCGACACTTGGAGCTCCTCCCACGGCCGATGGGTCAAGACTGGAGTGAGATTTGGCTTCAAAAGTTCAGTGGCACTGTGACAATTTGGCCAAAAAGTATCCCGTCTGATTTCATCCACATTCTCTCCGACCCCAGCCCCGAAAGGCTTGCCCGTATGATTCATGTTGGTCAGCAAAGCGCATTCCCCAAAATTCAGTTCGTCAAAAATCGACTGAAGATTGAGAATGAAATCATGAAGGGACTACAAGAGTCTCGGACGGGCGGTCGTGCTCTTTCACCCATCCTCTCCCGTCGCCTCGAAAACCCAGTCGATGAACACTCTGACTCCTTGACTGAACGTCTGGATGACAACCTCCCCGAACGTGACGGTTCCAGCTACAGAAGTGAATCGCGCTTCGCTGACTTGTCAGACAGCATGTCACATTCAACAGCCTCATCACGTCCTCAGACCCCCAGTTCCCGTCGGGGAAGTGTGATTGAGGAAATGCGACGCCAGTCGGCTGTGTTTTTTGACGATACAGAAGATTACAGAGACGAAGACGCAGTGGTCATCTGAGAATAAAATACAAGCGGCTCGAGCGGTGTCAAAAAGTCCATGGCACGGACCGGGTAGTCCGGGGTCTGCTTTGGTGCACCTGCAGCCCTGTATACCGTCATTCCCACTCCCTCGGGTCCCCAATATGACAAGCGGCTCTTGACTCTCGTCACCCTTGTCGGGGACCTCCGAGTGACATATACCCTTTTTCATGTTTTTCTAGCGCCTTCCTTCCATTTGACCATCGCCCTTCATCAGCATAGCAAGGTGTCTTCTATTTTACTGTGCATTTAATCATTCTTGGCCTTGTCATTGTTAAACTTCGCTTTGCTTACGGTCATTTCTACTTTGCATTTCTTTGGTCTTTCCTTTCTTGGAGATACTTAAGTACGCTTTGTAACATACAGCATCAATATCTCTAATTCAATATTTCACATACAGATTCCGTCAGGGCATCGAGTGCAACCGCCCGAACGGCAACCGACTACCCAAGTCCTTGAGAAGAGATTGCTTTACACATACGGAAACATTCCAGTTTTGATCGTACATAGCGTTTTCCCATTGTCGGATGAGCCTTCCCGGTCTACTTAAGTAGTACTAAAATACATATTGTACACAAACAGCTGAGCAGGAACTCAATATCATTAGAAGTTAATTGGCATCAAACGACAAGCCAGTTTTCAGTAACAGTCTGTGCAGCCTTTCCATTGCCACTGAGTACATGGATGCACTGCAATGCGTAGGCAGCCTCGGGGGAGAAGTCCTCAACATAAGGTCTGGCCGGGGATGTTGAGGTCTCATCCCCATTGCTCATAACCACATCACCATCAGCGGCAGCGGCAGAATCTTTGAGGGACTTTTCCTGGGCTTCGAGCTGGATCTGCTTGCCTATTTCGAGGACCAGTTCGTATTTTTCGACGGCCAAGTGGGCTAGGCCGAGGGAGTGGTAGACACGAGCGAAGTTGAACTCCATCTCTTGTCTTTCGGGTAGAAGGCTTCCGGGTTTCTCTCGCACAAGACGGTATTCGTGCATGAAAGAAAGTCCCTGCATGATTAGATAGTGTCGATTTTCGGACTGTCGCTTGAGAGAGTGGTGGATGTAGGAGAGCGCGATGGAGAGGAGGACGGCTGGGTTTTGGTCGTCTAGGGCATATGCTCGGAAGAAGTAGTTCAGGGCCGGGTAGAAACTGTTTCCTGAGTACAGAATGTGGCCATAGAGCACCAGGAGGGCGATGTCTAATTCTCCTGCAGGAATCGGGTTCCCTTCTTCGTCCTTGGAAGAGAGTGTGGCGCGCTCTTTCCAGACAGACTCTCGCACGGGTGGATCGGGTTTTTGAGGCACCGTGAAGTCCATGGCCTTGATTTGCCGGAGCATGAATTTCATGTTGGGGGACGAATGGAAAAGAGATCGATGGGGATCACCGGACACGAGACTGAGCATCGAGAAGAGTCTGTAGGTGTCGGTGACAAACTGATATTCTTTGATGAACCAGCGGGCTTCATTAGCTAGGGTCTCCTCATCTGACGCTCGCAGGGCGCATGCTAAAATGATGTCAGCGCGGTATGCTTTCCCGGTTGAAAATGAACTCACAAAACCAGCAAACATGAATCATGCGTAACTTGGGCTTCGAGTGGAACCAGATACTTGCGATTGCTGCAGAGTCGAGGGTTTCGTAGGCCTCTTCTGGCTCTCCTTGTTCTGTAACGACCAATGAATACTGCATAAAGATGTCAAGCCATTCATCGAAAGGAATTCCGTGATAATCAGTGGGAATGTGGTCCGGTAAAGGCTCTTCTGAATCATCTGCCAAAGCAAAATTAGCTTTGTAGTCATCACCTCATAAGTACCACTTACCAACACTGTCCTGCAGACGGCCCGCCATCTCTTGCATCTCATCAATCATGTGTCTCTGCTCAGACTTGGTGCCTCTGGGCTTTGAGTATCCCATGAAGCGCATTGTTTGAGTAATGGGGTAGAATGCACGGTTGGCCCGGAAGTCTCGCAGGAGAGCATCAGCAATATCAAGCCAATCTTCAGTAGCGTCGACAGCGCATTCCTGCACCAAGGGATACAATTCCTGCAATTTCATGTACAAGAATTGAATATCCTCAGTCCGGCCACCTTCACCTGGCTGAGCTCGTCCAGCGCTCATGAGTGTTGCATCCGTTTGGGGCTTTGGTGCAATTGCTCTTGGCTTTTCGGTCTCAGCCATCTTGAACTCTATGGCAAGTTGCTCGAGCCTGGTATCCTTTCGTCTTCCTCCGCCCGGGCGAGTGCGGTTTTGCTGACGGCCGATCAAAACAGCCTCACCGGCATATTTCATTGCCTGTTCTGTCATTTGAAGTTTCTCGTATAGCTTGGCTAGCCGTACTCGCGACTCCAGGTGTTTAGAATCGTGATCAGCCACCATAAGATAACAGCTTTCGGCATCTTCGGCTTTGTCCAGGCGCTCACAGCAATCGCCCATTGCCATAAAGAAGCTGACGTCGGCATGTTCGGCAGTCTGCTGAATGGGAGAGTAATATCGCAGTGCCTCTTCGAGTAGGCCGGCTTGTTTTAAGGCATCCGCTACTTCTCGGAAAAGATCACCATAGTCAAAGATTCGAGCCTCTTCGCTGTCGTCCTCTGGGTTCAGCCATTCAAAATGGTGCTAGTTTTCATCCGTCAGTCCAGAATCTGATAAAATATGATCATTGCAATATGAGTTAAAATTACCTTTGCTTCTTGGTGGTATTTTTCGTCCATCTTCAAGCGAAAGATACCCATCTTGATTCGGAGCTCGAGAGGTAGACCAAGTCCATATGTATCCCGAGGCCATTGGTTAGGCATGAATCCGTCCGTTTTGATACGCCGAGGCGAGTCATCAGCATCCCATTCTCGATCATCATCCTCAAAGTCGTCCCACAATGTGTCGTCACCGCGCCCAAGCAACCAACGAGCCAGTAACTTCATATTGTACAGTCCCTCGTCTGGCTGTTTGAGGTAACCAAAAAGCTCGGCGTAGATGTTGATGTCAGACCAGGCAAACCCAGAGCTTTCAGGATCGATAGTAAGGTAATAATCGATACTGTTAGAATAGTGATCTACCGCTTTTTGGACCTCGCCAAGATCAATGTATGTTTCTGCGAGATGGCGTAGAGCTTTGGCGCTGTGCGGGCGATCCTTGAGCAACCTTTCGTACTCTGTCGCAGCTCGGCCATTGTGGCCTAGCTGGCGGTATACAGCCGCTCTTTGGAACCGAATAGCAATATCCATAGGATTCACCTCGATAATGCGGCTGTAACAGTACACAACATCATGCAAGGCGGATTCTCGGTTATCTTGGGCACGTTCCAGAATCAGCTTAGCAACCTTGATCCAAACACCAGGGTCTCTTGGCCTAGTGTGAGCTCCGTTGAAGAGAGCTGCCAAGGCTTTGTCATTTTCTCCCTGGGCAAGAAAGATCTCTGAGAGCAAGGAATGCGCTGCGTACATTTCCGGGTTGATCTGGATGGCCCGCATGACTAGTTCGATGGCGCGGTCATACTGTCCATCGATGAAGGCAGATGTAGCCTCGGAGTGGAGGATCTTGAATTCTGGACTGGGTTCAATGGGCTTGCGAGGTCCTCGCTTGACGCCCTTCTGTCCACGAGCACCATATCTTCCTGAGAAGCGGCCACCACCTCCTCGACGCCGCCGCCTGCTAGCGCCTGAATCACTGTCGTCATCGTCGTCTACTGGCCCGTCCTCCTCGCTAAACAATCTGTCAGTTGAAAGAACTTTTGCTTCGACGGTGGACGTACCTCTCGCTTTCGTCTGCAGAAGATAGGACAAATTCCTCATCTGATTGGGCTCCTCTGCCTGGCAGTGGAGGATACTGCACAGTAGGATATTCCTCGGCTTCGTATTGGTGATGAGGGGGGTAGTCCGCGCCAAACTGCTCCTCGGTGTCATATTCGGCTGGATATTGGTTGATGCTTTGTGGCTGCTGAGCCGGTTGATCACCGAACAAACGTGGATCAAGCACCGAGGCAAGCATGCTTCCCACATTGAAGGATTCCTGGGTTTGCCAAGGAGAATCCACTTCCTCCCCGGGATCAGGATACATGGAAGATTCTTCATAGTGATCCCCCTCGAGGCCATCATCCGGGTAGTTCGAGTCCATGATTCAGAATCTTTTGCTCGCGTATCACGAGCCCTAGCTTAGGTGAATGCGTTGTGACTGGTTGCAGCTGTATCTTCACACAATCATAGAAGATGTAGATCGTACACACAGCTTAGACTCATGTTTAGTGCACTTTCGCCTTTCCAGTGTAGCTCCAAGAGGTAGAGCTAGATTGAAGCAGTGTCAACGTTTCAGGGTTCGGCAGATATTCCTAGCATCCCCACTAGGCGGCAGATATTCCGATTCAGTAATTAAAGCAGAAAAGGGTGTGAGAAAATGAATCCAAGGAGATATTCCTGATTGTCAATGATCACTGATTCTCAGAAGAGTGCTGGGGAATGTTGAAGTTCGCGGAACCCGTGATCGGGGCCTGAAACAGAAAAGCCTCTCCCAGCTTTTTGCACTTCTCCCATTTCCCTACCTTTCTCTCTCTCTCTCTCTCTCTCTCTTACTACCCTCTCCCCATTCTTTCCTTTCCTTTGGAGATTCTTTGTGGCACATTTGTGTTTGACACACTATTGCTCCAAATCTCACCTTCCTTTCGTTCCAGGCCTTTAATTTTTTTCCCCGTCGAGGTGCAGCCCACTGGACTGGTCTGTGCCCCCGATCGTTGTCGCCTGAAAGTTCGAGATTTGGGTCTTTTTTGTTACTAGGGACCTTGGACCGGGACCCTAGGGGATTTTTGCTTCTTTTCGTTACGCAAACTCAGCAGGTGCTGCAGGTGTTTTGCAGTAATCGTTTCCTGTATTTACTACTCTCACCACGTTGAAACCATGGCCAGTCATATCATTGGGAATCGCAACAGCACTCCCGAGGCTTCCAATTCGACTCTTCGTCCACCCTCCTCATCTCGGAATCTCGGATCGCACCAGCTGCGGGCATCGGCAGACATGTCCGGATTTCCCTCGCCGCTGTCCGCCCGAAGCATCCGTCCCTCATCGGAGGTGTTTTTCAACCAACAATCTCAGGGCCAGAATGCGACGGAGGATGCTTTGGATCGTGCTGCCCAACAGTGGCTCGCCGACATTGATCAAAATGAGACCACATTGGAGGAAATGGCAGCTGCCACCCTTGACCAGGATTTCAAGGATGAATTAAGCGCCATCGAGCAATGGTTCCGCGTGCTGAGCGAAGCCGAGAGGACCGCTGCCCTATATGCATTGCTTCAGCAAACCACTCAGGTGCAGATTCGATTCTTCATCCAAGTTCTGCAGCAAATGTCTCAGGGTCACCCGATGTCCGGCTTACTCTCGCCTGCGAACTTTGGTGAAAAGGGCATGTCACAATTGTCAGATCGTTTTGTTGAGTCTCACTAACCTTGGTCCCTATAGATGCGATGTCTAGCCGTATGAGCGACGCCATGTCGAAGCTCAACATGGACCCCTCCCGGAACTCTCTTGGACGCCCCCCGCCATCCCCTGGCGCAAAGCGCAACTCTGGCCTCGACCCTTCGACGATCAATGCGATGTTCCCGGATGCTGCTGCGGCTATCGCTAAGAAGAAGGCCGAGTTCACCCAGCAAACTGGTAATGCACCTCCCTCAAACCGCAACAGCGCCGTCTTCGACCGTAACTCCTTTGTCGCTCCCACCATCTCGGCGCCGGACAACAACTCGGACAGCCTGGGCCAACCGCCCGCTTCCCCCTGGGCTCAGCGGGTCTCTGACACCCAGCCTCCCATTGCGCGCCCCAAGTCATCCTCCGGGCACCAGCCTATGGGCCAGTTCAGCCAGCCCTCAGGCATGCGTTCGCCCCTCCCGCAAACCGCCAATGTTCCTGCAAATGACATCGAACCCCCTTTGCTTTCGCCTTATAACGTTGGAAACCACAGCTGGGCTTCGATGACTAACACCCCGATGACTGCCACTTTCGGCCAACAGTCGCACCAAAATCCAAACAACCATGCTGACATGGTTGCTAATGCCACGGCAATGAAGCTGGCAGCTTTGTCGACGGTCAACAACCGTATTGCTTTGGATGATGCGCGCAAGTATCGCCGTTCTCGTTCCAATGACGCACAGGGCAGAGCTTCTCACGGCAACCCAAGCATCAACCAAGGATTGGCTAGTCCAGGCCTTGGTGGCCAACACTTGGTTGCCGGTCAGCTTCTCAACAACCAGCAGCTGGTCGCCCTGCAAGCCCACCAACAGGCGGCCATGGCCGGCAGACGGTCCCGCCCCAACTCCCCCGGCATTGCTATGCAGGGCGGTGGCTTGACCCCGATGGGATTCACCTCCCCTCAGAACAATGGGTTCTTGGCGGCCTATGATCCGAACAACCCCATCATGGGGAATGGCATGGGTTCGCTCAACATTGGCCAGTTTGTTGGTAGTGAAGGCTACCTATCGGATCACTCTGAGGTTGCACGGGGTCGCTCTCCTCGGGGTCGCCGAGGCAGCTCCAAGCCTCCTGAGGACCCTACTGACATCTCCCTTCTGAAGGACATCCCCAGCTGGCTGCGATCCCTCAGGCTGCACAAATACACAGACAACCTTAAAGATCTGCAGTGGACAGAGCTGGTTGACTTGGATGACAAAGCTCTTGAGGATCGCGGTGTCAATGCCCTTGGTGCACGTAATAAGATGTTGAAGGTACGTTTTTCCCTGGACTCCCTTTTGGTCCGATCTGAATTAACATGCTCTGCAGGTCTTTGAGCAGGTCAAGGAGGCCCGCGTCGACGGCAAATTTGAAAATCTTGTTTAAGTCATTTGAGTTCTTGAATTTCTTCAAGTCAGCGACTTCATATGAAACTAGTATTCTCTTGGCAATGCAGCATAATGGAAAACAAGGGACTTGGGATGTATCAAACGCTGTGATGTGAACTGTTTCATGAGATGGGATCGGAATTATTGAACATTGGATTCGGGTTAATTAGTAGATATGAACATGATTTTATTTACACTGCAGATATGCCAAAGCTCTCGACGTAGCATTGTATACACATACTTGACATACTATACGAAGTACATACTACGAAGTATTGGGCTCTGTCCCGGTGGCCCGTGCACTTCTAGAGACTCGCCGCTGCCCACTTCCGACCTCCACGCATTGAAGCTACAGTCCCTCCGAGCTGCAACAACTGCGATTCTGCCCTCATAGTCACTTGGCCATTGCGCTTTAGGTCTACCGATACTTAAGTGGCCCCGCGATCCTTATCCACCCAACCGCAGCTCAACCGGTCAACTCCAAGCCACCCTATCCTGTATCCTCGAACAAACGACCCAAAATACCACAATGGCACCTACAAAGCAGGAGCTATCGCTCCTAATCAACCCTCTCGTTCCGGAGTCCGTTCAGCACAACAACCGCGTATGCTCTCCCATGTCCTATCCACCCCTAATACCACCACCCTATTCCCAAATTCACGCTGGAGCCATAATCTCACCATGAACATCTACTATCGCGGTTGCAAACTAACACAATACCCATAGGTCCTTTCCTCCCTCCACAGTCTGACATCCTTCCTCCTGGGCTTATCCGCAGGCATTTTAGCCCTGCAATCAACCTACGGCTTCGCATTCTACTTCCTCGGTACCATTCTAGTCTCAGGTCTATTCCATGCAGTTTTGATCCATCGCTCTGGCGGTGCAGGTGCCGGCTCTTTCTTCCCTGGTAGCAATGCTGGTGAGGTCGAGGGCGTTGTGGAGGTGGACGAAAAGACTCAGGTTGTGCGCATGCAGCTCGATGGAAAGGCTGGGTCGAAGAAGATTCTTCGCAAGGGCGCTTGGAGAGATGTCTGGTTTGGAGGCGGTGTTATGAGCGAGGCTCTGAGTGGATTTGTGCTTGGGTGGGCTGGTGTTGGTGGTGTTTTGAGGTGAGGGGTTGTAGATTTGGGATTATGGTGGACTGCTAGAGCTTTGAAAACCGCTTTATATTGCTCTGGATTGTACATGTATGAAATCAATTCTGCATACAAGGTTTTACCAATGACAATTGAGTTAACTTCTTTATGCTTATCCGTCGATCTGAGTAGATATATCAAGAAATCACTAGATTATTTCTGACTTTTGCCTTCAGCCTCGACAATCTTTTCAAACTCCTCGAGCGCCTCCTTGGTAACAGGATAGGTATACTGTTCCGAAGGGAAAGCCCGACTCTTAACCTCATCTCTGTATGCCTCGACGCCTCTGCGCGCCTCGCCCCAAACATCGGCATAGGTCTTAACAAACTTAGGCAAGAACCGACCCGCGGGGAAATTACCCAACATATCAACCTGAACCAAAACCTGACCCGAACACCCATTCCCAGACCCAATACCAATAGTCGGCACACTCAGCCGCTGCGTCACAATAGCCGCAATCTCAGCCGGCACCGCCTCAATCAGCACCATGCACGCACCAGCCTCCTGCACAGCCAATGCATCCCGCAGTAGCTTCACTGCACTGGCAGCCGATTTGCCCTGCACGCGGAAACCACCGAGGGAATGCTGGCGCTGCGGCGTTAATCCAATGTGCGCCATGACAGGGATGCCGGCCTGAGTGATTTTCGTAATTGTCGGTGCCATCTCAGCACCACCTTCAAGCTTGATGCCCTTCATCCCACCCTCTTTCACCATCCGGATAGCGGATGTGAGGGCTTTCTCGGGTGATGTTTCATATGAGCCCATGGGTAGGTCTGCAATCTTTGTGGGGGTTAGATATGTACAGAATGGATGTTCGTAGGCATATACGCACTGTGAATGCACTCTTGACAGCACGCTTCACACTGCGGCAGTGGAGGAGCATTTCGTCCATTGTGACTTCGTTGGTGTCTTCCATGCCCATGGCTACCATAGCTAGACTATCGCCGACAAGGACAATTTCCATCCCTGCGGTATCGGCAACATGGCCACTTGGGAAGTCTGAGGCTGTGATGACTGTGATGGGTTCATTTTTCTTGTAGAGACTTCGGATACTTTGGATGGTCACTGGTTTGCGGGTGTTGGCGGTAGTCGATCCCATCGGGGAATGGGAGCTATATTGGGCGATGCATGTTTTGATTGGAGACTGGTAGCGACAGCCGAGACGCAGTGTCGGTTTTAAATAGGAGATTGCTTTTGTAGCCATTTTTGTAAAGGTGAACAGGGATAAACATTTGAAAGACATGAAATTGAAATATACCCGACGTTCTGGCGGATGCGGCGTACTTCGCAGCACTTGGCTAACCTCGGTCAAATGTTTCGCTTGCCTACTTAAGTACCTGGGTATACTTAACTATAACCGGCCCTTATATTTTTTTTTAAAAAAAAGTACAGACGCCAAACGAGGGCCATCCAAACTGAATTCCCGTCAGGCATTTAATTCCAACCTGCGACCGGTTTTTGCCTCCAGGGCAAAGATATCAATATGCGTGTAACACGCTGCTGCTCCGAATCTCTTGCATAATAAGAATTCTGGTTTCTTCATCTGCGGACTGCAGGACTGTTTGACCCCTGCAATCTTTGATTTCCACACTTGCACCTTTGTGAATCAGATAACGAATAACATCAGCTCTTTTAAGAGCCACTGCCGTGTGTAGAGGAGTTTCCCTCATGAAAGGAAACATGTTCCTAGAATACTGATGGGTTTGGTACATGAGAGAATTGACAGAAGCACCCCGATCAATGAGGAATTCGACAACTTTAAGGGTGTCGACCTCTCGATAAATCGCATTATGCACAAGCTGGCCAATGTTGACATCACCACCACGGCGTAGGAGGAGATCGATAGCTGGCAAACCAGCGTATCGGACAGCATAAGAGAGCGGGGTGTTGTCGATATCACATCGTGCGTTAGCATCTGCGCCGCGATCAAGGAGCCATGTTGTCATTTCCAAGTCCTCGAGAGCGTTGCTAAAATGAGAACATTTCTTATTCAGCTGGAAGCTTGAAGAACTTTAGAAGAAAATAGATTTGCTCACGCAAGAATAGGAGGGTCCAATCCATTCATTGGTGTGTTGATATCCCAGCCGTTATCAAAGAAGGTTGTCAGGATATCTTTTGCCTTTGCCTTCACAGCTTCAAGTACATAGATTGGCGACACGGGCATTTTACACCGGAGTAGCTCTTTCACGAGATATACCTTGTTTGACTTGATGGCATCAAGCATTACCTCGTAGAAATGACGGATATCACAACCATCACCGACAGTGCGATCTAAGCATTCTCGCAAATGTTGCTCGCCAAGTTCCGGTAACTGGTGGGCCAACAAGAGCGTCTTTGCTGGAATTGAAGGAGGGGTTCCATCCCGGCTCATATTACCCGGCTCAGAGATGGGGTAAGCAGACATGGTCGAAGTTAAGTTGGAAATGAGCAGCCGTAACGGCATTCACTGCGTGTCATTGGCTGCTCAGTGAGCGCTCAGCTTTACATACATACGTGCCACGTGACCACGTGCAGTTCTCTGAGCAGCCCGGAGTGAGATTTACTCAGTGAGCCTGTTATTCTCTAAATTTGGAGCCCTCTTTCATTCTTAATGTTAGACTCTTCCAAGCCTAGAGCTTCTTCAGCAGGTGCTTGTCAGTCTTGAGCCGAATAGACAATCCAATCAGCGCAGCAACAACAGTCATCGCACCAGCGTAGAAAATAGCTGGACGATAGCTGGTGATACCGTTGTTCTCCCCACCAGCCGCATTGAGGATAAATCCAGCAATTGGTGCGCCCTAGACACATCATTAGTAACCCAAACGCAGGCAATCTCCCAAGTGCAAGGAAGCCACAACTCACAAGCAAATACCCCCCTGCCCAGCCTGTAACAACCATACCCATGACAACGGACACTCTTGCCGACCCAAAGGTATTGCCAACAACAGTTGGCATGGTGGAAAAGAAACCACCGTTGGCCATACCATTCACAATCACAAAGACAATCAAAGGACCTAGTGATGTGGAGATAGGCCAGATGATCAGCATACTGAGGGCACTCAGCAGCAGTGAAATAAACAATGTGTTCAGTGGTCCAACAAAATCACTACACAGTCCACATAGCAATCTGCCAAGCGCAGAAGAGAAATTGAACGCCGCTACCACGCCCGCTCCCGTACCGGATGACATGCCCAGGGAAGCCGTAAACAGCGGCAGAAAGAACGGCGGGACCAAAAGAGGGAATGTTGCGATAGCTCCCATTGCAAAGAGAAGTACAAAGCGGATGTCGCGGAACAGACGCCTAAATCACATATCAGCCCCGAATCAGGGATGTTAGAATAAAAAGACATACCAGTCCACAACCGCCGAAGGCGGAATGGGAACCCGCTGCTTGATCAGGTATGCAGCGGGAAGGCCCGTACCCCAAGTGGCGAAGCCGATGATACGGAAAGTCCACTGGACACCGACGCGATCAAGCAGGGCATTCATGACGAAGCTGATCACAGCACCACCCAGTCCACCAGCCGCATACACAATTCCATTAGCGATGCCGCGCTTCGCCCGGAAATACTGCGCCGGCGTGACGGAGACAACCATGAAACAAAGGCTAGAAACAAATTAGCATGACACACTGACATCTGACATGAGCATACCTAATTCCAATGCCCATTACCACACCTGCAGTCGCGAACAACCCTCCAATACTCATCGCCGAGAACCCGCTCAACACCTCGCCTAGTCCAAGGAAGAAGACTCCCGCCATTGCAGAATATCTAGTTCCCAATTTGCGAATTACGCGAGCGTTCAGGATTCCAAGGAATGAGATACATGCCGTTGCCAATGATCCGACAAAGGCAAGTGTCGATGATGAAGAGACGCCTTCTTTAACGAGGGCTGCTTGTAGGATTCCCCAGCAGTAACTGGTTCCAATGAACCACCAGGTCACCACTGCGCAGCCAGAGATCACTACCCAGGCTTCGCCGCCATCGGGGACTTGTGAGTCAGCTAGCAGGGATTGCTGCATAATGTCTGTTTCGGAGGCATTGGCGGAGATGTCATTTTGGTTTTGTCGGGGTCTCTCTTCGAGACCGGTTCTGTTCAGCTCTTGGAGAGAGATTCCTGTTGCTCGTGATTGATCCATGGAAGACAACGGATATTGGAATGAGGTGTACGAGTAGAGCTTCGACTGGGAAAAGTTTATAGTTGTTTCCGGCCGACGCTAGTCCGGATCGGGAAATCCTGCAGGATTTTAAGCTTGTTTTTCTTTCTCTTTACTTTCAACCTTCAATCGCTGAGTCTCTGTACTTGTTTCGTTGAATTGTCACACTCAATTGATATTTTTCTCTTTCTAAAGTTCCATCCAAGCAGGACTCCATAGGCGAGCTTGAGTTTAGCCGATATGTGGATCTAAATGCGCTTATTCTCGGCAAGTGTGGAGATGTGTTGCTCAAAGGGCGCAGATTATCAATCAGATCGACATGCAACCACTCCGAAAGTACGGAGTACAGAGTCACTGCGGAGAATATCTGCAAGGCCCGAGTTCATGCAGTGTATGTAGATCTGTCAGATCCGAAGCCCCGGGGTGATCAAAGCCTGTGTCACAGGTGCAGGCTTCAGGCCGCTGTCCGTCGTTATTAGCGTCGACCATCTGTAAGCTTGCTCTCTTGGCGATTATCCCTGGTAACATCAGACAGGCGAGCATCTGTCTACCGATGGTCCCAGGTCTTCAGATGATGCCCGCTTCGAAGTCGACTCCATTGTCGCAAAGCGAATTCCCCGTGCGCCTCTGGCCTGCGGCGTTCGCTGCCGCAGTTGAGCTGGGAACCAGTTAAGTATGTCGTATTCTGGAACGCGTCAAATATTTGTTGTTTGAAAACACACAATGTGCAAACGAGCTAGGACAGTATCCAAGCGGAGATGCAAACCAGGCATGTGCAGCGGTCTGGCAACACTTATTCACTTTCCAATGGAATTTCGAAGACCAATTGGGAATAAGAGAAGAGCCGTCGTATATGTAGTATTGACTCTGCTGGTAGATTTTAGAATGAAGAGAAGTGACAAGGAAATGTACCATCTAATCTTTCAGGCTGAAGTTTGATCTGAACTGAGAGATCTCTACCCTCGACATATGCTGGTATTGACTTCTCTCTTGTCACCTCTCCAGCTCTGCTCTCTTCATTTTCATCCTCCACATCACTACCATCACTTTCGCTCGGCTCTGTCGCTGTTTCCAAGTTTCTCTGGACTACAACGACACCTGCCAATCTCACCAAGATTCATATCAAGGTAACAGCCAACAGTGCAAGCTATCTCTTCCCTCGAGTTCGCCCCACTGATTCAACAGTCTGCAACTCTTGGCTTTCGATACGAAATCAACATGGAGCCTTCCGGAGCCACAGTGATGGACAGCAAAGACTCTACCGAACCGAAGGGCAAGGAACGGTGTCTTAACCCAAGCCCCGAAAGGTCCGCCACGATCACAACAACATTACCACCCCCAGTGACAGACCCAGAAACAATGAGCAACCCCGATGACGTATCCAATCTCTCTGAAGAAGAAGCCACTCTCCTCCGGCTCCTCCAGAACAAGCTCAAACGCGTCGAGGAAGCCAAGAAAACGGCCGAGTCTAACATTTCCGAATGGCCCTTTTTCGCCTCCGGCTTGTGGCAAGGCATGCTGGAAGACCCTAAGCTCAAGAGCCTGGCCGAGGGAATCATTCGATTCGGCAAATTCGACGACCCGAAGCTGCCACAGGACCCTCTGCTACAGCTTATGGAGCAGATTGTCGCTACTGCAGCTCGAGCTCCATCGCAGAAGCACATATTTGCGGAAATGCGTCTCAGGTTTGCCCTGCTTTCGCAGGAGGAGAGAGCCCAGATGAAATTGGTTGTCTTGGAGTTCTGCAACCCACGATATGCACACCTCTTCTACGTCTAATATCCTGTCCAACATCCACATGCAGAGGAATATTTCAGGATTCCGAGGCGGAAAGCGGAAAGATGGAAATGGGGGAGATGAGGACTCGATCGTGAACGGGGGATGGCAGTGGGAAACAGTTACCAAGAATTGATATCAGACTGGCATGCAGACGGCTTTCGTATTTCGATATCTGCATACTGACAATTGACAATTTCGGGCGTTGGGGGAGCGCTTTGATTCGGAGGAACCTGTCAAGCAGATGTTGTCAAGTGGTTATGATCAATATTATCAGCTATTCTGAGGATCGTTGAATTGGACAGGACATTTCCTCTTTCGTTCATTCTTCTGTATCACTACTGTTTGGCCATATAATTTGGTTGCCAATGAACTATCAACACCGAGTAATGTTCATAAAACGCTGGGTAATCAATTCCTGAACAACCGGTCTATCAACATACACTTTCCGACAGAGACCTAGGCTGTTGAGTGAACTGAGAGATCATCTCATCTCTTCCCTTTCTCTCTTCCCTCTCTCTCTTCCCTCTCTCTTCCCTCTCTCTTCCCTCTCTCTTCCCTCTCTCTTCCCTCTCTCTTCCCTCTCTCTTCCCTCTCTCTTCTCTCTCTCTTCCCTCTCTGCTGCTTCATCCTCTTCTTCCTATTCTTCTTCCTTCTTCCATATTACTTATTTCTTCTTCTTCTTCTTCTTCTTCTTCTTCTTCTTCTTCTTCTTCTTCTTCTTCTTCTTCTTCTTCTTCTTCTTCTT